TAGTAGTAGTAATAGTAGTAGTAGTAGTAGTAGTAGTAGTAGTAGTAGTAGTAGTTGTTAACTGTGTGTTGGGGGGGCAAGTTGTTAGGAGCATATGAAACAGGATGTATTACTGTACTGAGTTAGCCATGGGAAATTGAACCATTGGCTGTATCTTGAGTTGCATTGATTGTGTGCATTGATAGGAGTCGATTGCTAGCTGGTGCAATGTGAGATTATGACTAGTCTAAGCAAATCACTTCAATTGCGGAATGTGAGATCTGTTCTGTGAGCTGGACGGAGGCCGACGTTGACGTTGCATGTGAATGTGCGGCTGAAGTGGAAGGATGATCTGGCGATAGTGTAGACGATCGATTAATTCCCGATCGGAATCAGCAGATCTCAAGTCACGCTATCTAAGAAAGAATATTGTGCATGCATAGTACATCAGAATAGTTCACCATTTGCTGTCTGCTTATTGTTCTACCCTAGCAATCAATGGAGTGGCGGTCTGTTCCGCTGATTGTTAGGGTTGGTCAACTCCACAAATCCCGGATACCGAGTCATTTGCTATAGACTCAGCTCGGCTGGTCGGAGTATATTAAACGGAATTATGAAAAGAAGCTGCAGATAGATAGCTGTTGTGTAAGCCTTCCTGCATCGTGATAGGATGATCTCTGACTGACGATCCCCGCGGATGACCCGGCGATAGCAAGTCATCCTAGCATCACCTCGGCCCGATCATCCCGTCGCCTCGGCGCCTGCAGATCACCACTCTGCCCATACTACAGAAGTATGGGATGCCATCCGAGGAAAAGCGAGATTTCACAATGGAGAAGTAATCCCGATCAGCAGCAATACAATGCATCACTGTCCGTGGGTGACCGGCTTTGATTTCCGTCGTGAAGGCGACACAGAGATGGTCCGTGAAGCTACATGATCCACTTTCTTGCATGACACCCCCGGGTTTAATTAAACTAGTCCAATATTTATTATTATTCCTTCTGCTCCCCAGCCCCAATTCTTCTTGTCTGTCTGTCAATTTGTACTGCGCCATGGCTTCCATCTCCGTGTCTCCCTTCCCCGACGTGGAGATTCCCTCCGTCGACCTCTGGTCCTTTCTCTTCGAGCGTTCAGACCGACCCTATCCACCCTCCCATCGTATGTCTCTACTATCGCATCATGCCAGATATCACTTTTCTCAATTCTAACATCCAACAGCCCTCTTCGTCGACCCCCTCACCAACCGCAGCCTCACCTTCCAGCAAATCCGCCAGCGCGCCCTCCACTTCGGCCACCACCTCCAATCCCAATGGTCCTGGCAACCCGGCGACGTGCTGGTCGTCTTCGCCCCAAATGCCATTGACCTACCCCCGCTGATCTGGGGTACCCTGGCCATCGGCGGTGTCGTCTGCCCGGTGAATCCCAGCTATCGCGCCGAGGAACTGCGTCATCCGTTGACCGATGCCGGCGCCAAAGCCATCGTCACCACCACTGCGCAAGCCCCAATTGTATACGAAGCTATCGACCGTGTGGGCCTCTCCCGCGACCGTGTCATCCTGCTCGATCAGCTAGAACCATTATGGAATTCCATCAAAGTCTCGGACTACACCGCGCCGCACCGTCCTCCCATCCAGAACCCCGAAAAAGACCTATCATTCCTGGTATACTCCTCCGGAACGACCGGCCTCCCTAAGGGCGTGATGCTCTCACACCGCAACATGGTCGCGAATTTGCTCCAAAGCGCTGTTGCCGAGGAGGGCCAGCTGGTCTGGAATCAAGATCGCATTGTGGGCGTTTTGCCGTTCTTCCATATCTACGGTATTTACCCCACCATACCACCGTTTATTACAATTGTTGTTGAATACTGATTTTCAATGATCCATGAAGGAATCGGCTTCCTCCTTAACTACACCGTCTACACCGGCGTGCCCATGTACGTTCTCCCGCGCTTTCAATTCCCCTCTTTCTGCGATACTATCCAGCGCCATCGCATCACCTACGCTTATGTCGTGCCCCCGGTTATTCTGGAGCTGGTCTCCAACCCTGCGACTACGAAGGACTATGATCTCTCTTCGTTGAGGATGGCGGTCTCTGCTGCGGCGCCGCTGGCGGTGGATTTGATCCATGCTGCCAGGGAGAAGTTGGGTCTTGTTGTTCGTCAGGCGTATGGAATGAGCGAGTGTGCGCCTGCTGTTCATTTCCAGGTATTATTATCCCCATAACCCCCCTTTATACATCACACACAAAAGAACATAATTGATGAAATATGGGGCAAAACAGACCTGGTCCGAAGCATCTACCCACCCCGGCTCCGTCGGCCGGCTCATCTCCAACATGAAAGCGAAATACCACCCCATCCATGACGACAGCTCCTCCAAAGAAAAGGAACTCTGGGTTCAAGGCCCCAATGTCTTCCTTGGGTATCTGAATAATCCCACTGCGAACAAAGAATCCTTCTCTGAAGACGGATACTACAAGACCGGGGATGTGGGGTACGAGGATGACCAGGGAAACTTCTATATCACGGATCGAGTCAAGGAGTTGATCAAGTATAATGGATTTCAGGTGGCGCCGGCGGAGTTGGAGGGGATTGTGTTGGGGCATCCGGCTGTTAGGGATGTGGGTGTTGTTGGGGTGAAGAGCGGGTTGGCGGGGAGTGAGTTGCCCAGGGCTTATGTTGTGGTTAAGGGGGATGTGGTGGGGGATGAAAGGTTGGAGAAGGAGATTGTGGAGTTCGTGGAGAAGAGGGTTATTGGGTATAAGAGGTTGAGAGGGGGTGTGAGGTTCGTGGAAAGTATTCCCAGGAATCCGTCCGGGAAGATTCTGAGGAGGGAATTGAAGAGGTTGCAGAGGGAGGCGAAGTTGTGATGATATTTGGTTACAGTAGTGTGTGGGGTTGTATATGATGTGATATGGAATACTTGTATATTTGTTTTGGTATCTCCCGGGTAAAATATGTATACACAGACATCCCAGATGTCCGATCACACATTGAATACCTTCAGCGTCTCCTCCACCATCCCCCTCCACCCCCTCACTTTCCTTTCTCCTTCCTCCCCTGGATTCCGTATCCCCACCTCCACAATAGCCCTAACATGATTCACCACCTTCTGCATCCCCTCCTGCCTCTCACTTAACCTCATCCCCTCCAACACCCTCTCCTCCCCTCTACTCTTACAAACCTCCTCAAACACCCTCTCCAACCGATCCCTCTCCGCCTTATCCTCCACCCCATACCGATAATTCCACAGGAACGCCCGCACGGGATTCCACCGCGGCGCCGGCACCACACTCGCAAACTCCCAGTCCAGCACGGCAGTGATGGGGCACTCGGGGGACGATGGATCGCACATGATGTTCGCGAAGTGGAGGTCCTTATGTGCCAATACATATGGCACATTGTTCAGATTGTCATCTGATTCCAGGACTGAGATGAACTGCTCCAACCGAGGAATGAGATCCCTATGCGCAGATAGCGATGGATGGATGCTAATAGCGTGAGTATATCGCTCCACACAAGCAATATTATACCCCGTGTAGCTTGCATATCCATCACTCTTGAACGGATTCAATGTTTCCAATGTCTCGTCCGTCCCGGACCAGTATGTTTCCAGATCCGGCACCTGCCAGTAGGTCTCTTCAATAGGCGGACCACGCACTATCTCCTCCTCCACCTTCTTCTTCCCCTCCCCATCGCCACCATGTGATAATCTCAACCCTCCCACATAGCCCCCCTCCCACGGATGACTATGTAACTCAACCACATACCCTGCCAACTGCTCCACCAGCTTCATTTTCCTTCCCTCATCAAGAGTATCATATAGCTCTGCAACAGACACCCCCGGTACCCTTTCCAACAAGGTGAACTCATACCCGAGGGGATTATCCCTACTCGCCGAGTACGCGATCACCGCTGGGACGGGGATATTTGTGTTCCGCCGTACCCAGGTCATAACGGCGACTTCGTTGAGGGTCTTGACGGTGGGGATTTGCGCGCCCGAGATGCGCAGGACGAGGGTGATGCTGCCGTCGGGGTCATTGCGGGCGGGGATTGAGGGTGTTGCTGATGCTGCGGTGGAGGCGTCGAAGTGGATGAGGGAGATTGTGTGGAAGGCGGCGGAGACGTTTAGGGGCGAGATGGTTGTTGGTGCGGGGAGGGAGAGGGAGAGGATTAGAGATGTTATGGAGGTTGTGGGGAGGGGGGGTGGGAGGTAGGTTGTTGGTGTGGTGGTCATTGTTGATGGTGGTGTTGTGGACGTCGTGGTCATGAATTAGAGCGGGTGGTGGCTCGGAGAGTATGCCATGGTGGTTGAAGGCTGTTATTGTGGTTTATATAGTTAGAAGCTTTTGTAGTATCCTCATGAGGATATTTTGACCATATCGATGGACGCATGATTGTTGCATGACTCATAGTGTATCATGTATCATCATGGAGCTAGCTGGCGGAGGCTGAAGCGAAGGATGAAGCTAGTCTGAAGCGCAGACATGATGATACGTAAACCGACGGCGTTCCTGGATACGCTTATCGTGTGGGCGGCGCAATTGACTGATAAGCTTCGGAGATGATGATATCCCCGGCTTGGATGGAGGACGTTTACGTTTGGTTTGGTTCAGGGGCCGCTATCGGTAGCACGTGATATGTATATGCCTGAGGCATAAATGTTGTTGTTACAGTAGAGGGCCGTGAGCTTGGACGTGTCGTCACGCAACCATGTCAAGTGCAATCTATGTAAATAGAGAAGAAATTGCATTGTTACGCCGTGATCCAATATTGGAGATCCTTGACAACATGGTGATCACCCAACACTGCCAAGCGGAAACCAACACTGGAATAACGATCTGCAACTCTATCTCCATCCGCCCTACGGTAGATCCAAGATCTGGGCGCCGAGGAACTAGGCTTTAGAGGGGACTTAGATAAACGACAATCTAGATATTACTTGTCAAAAGAAGGACATTGCAAAGTCTTGCTCTCAAAACAACCGGTCAAATTAAATCCTCAGAAACGATAGGATAGGCAAAACAGCGTGCCCTGCCAATACAGCATAACAATGAACGCCTTGATGCTGCAAATGTCTGATATCATGGTATCATCCAAAACTATGTACAAATGTTTCACTTCGACTGGTCCTCCGCATAGGCCGTAACTCATCCTAATGCTTGGGATGATACTGGTACAAATGCCAGTTCTCCATGACCCACCACTCCGCCACGTGGGCCGCATCACGCACCCAGTCTACCGCATCACTGCCGTGATCCTTTTCCAGCCTCTTGGCCAGATCAACCAGGTTGAACTCTGTGACCGGGTGCTGCTCCTCCGGATCCTTCTCAACGTTCGTGAACCGCCACTCGACATCGTCGACGAGCGGAATCACCAGTCGGTATTCTGGATGGGCAGCAGACCGCACCGCCAGCCACGAACCACCAGTGTTCATGACCGTGAAATGCCAGTTCTGGCGGCCGTCCATTTCCGGGACGAGCTCGCGGATCATGGACTGGCCTTCATAGATAGAGAGCAGGTCCTGCGCAGTGTGGGTGCTGTTGGGCCCCAGCGAGGATGATTGGATCAGCAGGTCCAGGATGGTAGGGACCACTTGCTGAGTGATCACGGGGGTGTTGACTTCAATGGGTGGGAGATGAGGATGCGCGAACACCATTGGAATATGGAAACTGCCGATGTGGGGGTTATCGTATGGGGTGACGCCGCCGTCATTCGGAAGGGAGAGACCACTGTCCTGGTTAGTATGAGTTGCATTGAAGCATAGATGGTAGACTTACTGATCACCTGCCATTACAAGCAAGGTCTCGTTGATAACACCCTTCTCGGTCAGAATGTCGATGATCTCCTGCAACCAGTCGTCGATATATCCGATCGTGTTCAGATATTTGTTGATGTCCTCATTGGAGTTGGTGTTCTTGGATGACACCATCTCCTCATATGCATTGTCGGGCATCCCCCACGGGTGGTGTGTCGTGCCCGTCAAATGCGTCAGGAACAGTCGGCGGTGGTTGTGTTCGGCATCGTCGATCGCATCCCGCACGTAGTCGCCCAGCACCATGTCGGGGTATCCGTAATAGTTGACCTCCTTCGACGAGGACGCGGAATGTGTTGCATTCGCCATCTCCAAAGACTCTTTGGTCACGACGTCATGGAATCCCAGTTTCGGTGTGAGTTTGTCCTGATTATCATAACCCTCGGTGACGGACTGCATCCATGCTGAATGCCATGGCCAGGTACGGTAGTCGGACTGATCAGTGGTGCTGTTGGTATCCACATCATCCTGGTGGTTGAATGCGTCCAGAACATGCGGCATGCACGGCTGATAGATGTGGTGGTTATATTCGCGGTTAAAGTCGGCGACTAATGGCGTCACTCCGCACACTGTCCCGACAAGACTCTTCAGGGTGTAGGTACCCGTGGTGAAAGCGTTGCGGGCACTAATGCCGCCATATGCACGTCGGCCGTAATCATGCTCGTTATCATGACCGAATCCGGCGTCAAATCCGGTCAGAAACTCGGATGTGCGGGTAAGATTTGCAACCAGCTTTTGGACGTCGTCGGGGATTTTCTTATCTGAATATGTTTTGGCGATGCGGTTCCACATGAAGGCGTCCTTACGCAGCGGAAAGACATCGCTCCGAGTACTCTCCAGTTTGATGAGGATGACATGTTTAATCTTGACGTTGCCGCTGGACAAAACCTCCTGCAAGGAGTCCAGCACCGGATTCTGCAGGTTAGACACATGCAACGGATCGCTTTCGGGGTTATAGTGCAAGCGAGGCACATCAGTTCTGGTCCAGTCTTCAAAGCCAGGCAGTCCGCCCTTCGGCAGCCAGTCCCATTTGGGTACCTTGTCTAACGGTGTACGATTCTCCAGCCACTCATAGTCCCCTGGCAGTCCCCCAGCGCGGACGGGGGAGTGCCGATGGCCACCGATGAAGGGTGCCACTGGCAAGGCTTCTGACAAGAACATGTAAGCGGGATCCCAAGGTCGAACCACCCGCAGTAAGACCAAGCTGAGGAATGGCACCCAGACGGCGATCTTGATCAGAATTGAGTGTCCTCGTCTCGCAACAGGTGACACTTCGCCATACGGCTCGAGAAGGTGGATAGAAGAGCCATCGTCACTCTTGTCGTCGAGATAGTCATCCACGCCGATCTGCTCGTAGATCTCGGGTTCCGGCAACGTGGATCTCGGGCGGAACGCACGAACCCGGCTCATACAGCGGAACAAACATTTGAAAGGCTGTCCCAGGATTGTGAGGATGCCACCAACAACGCGATGCAGTGGTGCAGACAGAAACCAGGCCACGGTCAGCAGAATGCCTTCCACGATCAGGAACCCGGTTAATCCCTGCAACAATGTGCGCATCGCGGCGGCATCGCGGTGGAAGGTCTTGGCCTGTCGCCAGTGGATTTCGGCACCGGTGACGACGTAGAAGGAGGTATTCGCGGCGGTCATTCCGGACATGATCAAACTAGATGGGTCAGTTGTTGACAGAACGTTTTTTTTGGTATGTTCGCAGCCTACCTAAATGGTACAATCACCAAAGCTGACAACAATGCGACGGTGCGCCAGTGGAATTTCTGAGTGAAGAAGCGGATGAGGAGGGTGAGAATCACATCCTGGAAGAAAAAGGTCGAGCCCCAAAGGATGAATTTAGGAGGAGGGAGGGAGTGGATGTGAGCGTATAGATGCAACAATTTGGCGCCAAAAAGTGCGATGAAGGAAACGGTGAAGAAATATCGGCGCGTGAACTCCCATGTGTAGTCGAAAAACTCGCCAGGAGATGTACGCAGACGCTGCAGGGCAGGGCCGCAGCGACGGAGGGGATTGGAGAGCTTCATGGTGCAGCAGGAAAGTCACAGTATCTCAGCAGACGGACCGCATAGCACCACGAACTAAGAGAGTACACCCATTGAAGGGTGAAGGACGGAGATGGCGTGACCGGGATGGAAGCCCGGAATGATGGAAGAAGGCGTCAAAAGCTGAAGAAGGGAATGAGGGGTTCTTCAAGGAGAGAGGAGGAAGAAGAAGAAGAAGAGGAGGAGGAGAAGGGAAAAGAGGAGAGAGATGGGGAAAGAAGAGCAGGACGCCATGATGATGGAGGCCTGAGGAGGTGGAGTCTTTCTTACGGCCAGCAATCACGGATAGAGCCGCAGTTTCAATTCACAGCCCTGCATCAAAACAGGCAATATAGCACGCTGGCCAGTCCAACGAACTGGGCGAACTCTAAAGCTGGGTGGTTCACGGTGTGCCGACCTCCAAGCAGTCTAGTGACTTGGGGGGGCTACCAGTAGTGCTCCGGAACTAGTGGCCTCTACTACACAGTACTACACAGTACTAATGACCGAGGGTGAATGGGATGGATGCCTGGTGTAGAGAAAGTTGGACCCTGAGGGCCCTGGACCCTGATGGTCCACCAGCAACATGGCAGCCATTGGCTGTGCAGGCGAGAATCGGTAAAATTAGAAGCAGCGGCGTTGCCAGACGTGCCCCGAAAGCCAATCACCCTCGGAGCCAAGCCCCGCAGACCCTGGGAAGTCAGTCTGAGACAGGGGGAATCTTAACTACAATTATCATCGGTCGTGTGTTCCGGGGCAATCCATCCCAAACATCCTTTCCATTAATTGCAATAGGGGTTACACTAGAGGGTTTGTTGTTTGAGAATAATTTTGTCCCCCACTGATACAGTAGATACAAGCAAAAAGCTCTTCCAGTCTAGTTGCCACTATTTCCAGCGATCCGCAGGCTTGTCTTTCGCCCCCAAGAACACGTGTTGGGGACTTTCCTCTTCGGTTTGACTGAACGATGCACCTTTTATTTTCATCCCAAACAGGAGGCCTGATGCCCCAGAAGAGTCTAGTCCGGACCCTCCGGGCGTGACCACATTCCTTTTTGGGGCCCCCGAGCGGGGGGTTACATCCGCTCTGTCCAATCAACAGACAGACATCCTGTGGAATACTCCACCGCCAAGGCTTCCAGAGAAATCTCTTGTCCGTTCAATTTATTCCCCTTTGATTATTGTTATTCACAATTTTTCCCGTTCTGCCTCTTCCCGCTGTCTCACTCCAACACTGTCTTACATAGCCCCCTTCTACCCAATTGCCATTGCATCTCTGCTCTCTTGGCCAGTGAAATCTTTCCCGTGTTGCATCATGCGTTGACGTGCCGTTAGTGTTTTGTGGAATTGTAGGTTCAACTGTAGGTTCGATTGCAAACTGCACCAAGCAGGCACGTAGCACGTGTGCATACCTCCATATGATGTTAGAATCCGCTCATTTGCATGGATACATGGGACCAGCTGCAACCTCGCTTCCCCGCTCGTCCATCGGCATTATTCTCCTCACCAACTCACCTGCACGAGACCAGATGCTGATGTGGGAAACACCTCCGGGTTGCCAGACCTTTTGGGGAGGATCAAGGAGGAACAAAGTCCTTGGCACACGGCAGTCCCACCGGATTCCCTCTCTTATTCCCGACTCTTTGTCTCTCTTGTTGTCTCTCGCCGCTATTATTAATAGACGCGGTGGATCGTAGCGGATACATGGCATGGCTCCGGATATCACCGCCATCACACTTAAAACCCGAAAATGAGTGTGCATCTCACGACGAACCAACAAACACCCTGAGTAAGATGATCATTGACCCCCAAGACCCTGCATGGTCTTGGCTTAGAAGCGTCAAAGCGCTGTTGACAGAATTAGTCATGTTGGTTTCATCCGTATCGCAGGCAGAAAACGTGTCACCGTTTTTGTTGCCTGAAGTTATTGATCCCTCATTGCCTGGGTGTTACCTAATGCTCTCAAAGGATTCGGCCAGTTCTATGTGACATGTAATATTGCTAGCTTTCGTCGCAGAGGTACTGTCAGGGTCCTTTCGCGTCTGACCTCGCTCTCCGCGGCACTCAGCCTTGCCAAGTAGTGAGCCATTAGTTGTTCCAATCAGGCCGCGCAGGCTTAGTCTCATTCTCCAACATGCCTCTTTCTCTAACACCCTACCAGTAGATTGGATTTCTGGGCTCAAAGGATGTATTACGGGTTTTGATGACTGAAAAAAGGATGTGGCGGTGACACCGCCGGTCATCCGAATATATATATACATCGCCTCTGCGCATCATTCCACAAATCCGTACCTTTCACACATGACAAATGATGACTAGTAGTGCAGTAACTTCAATACGGCTACTAAGTAATATTTCTCTTTGGTCATAAGCAGAAGAGTTCATCCAAAGGTATGAATGAACATAACTGACTCTTAGTAATATGATCTCTGTCAGCCGGGCATCGCAGTTCGGCCCAGCGAAGATGATCCCTGCGCCCCGAGGGATTTGCCAACTCAATCATCGCGGGGACTGCTTAGAAAGCTCGACGATCATGACATCATTCTCTCCATGTCAGAAAGTGCATCTCACATGCTGACAATCTGTGAACTTACGGGCGACCTGTAGTCTTGGCTGGGATTCCAATACTACGCCCTAAAATCTCACTTCCTGCAGGGAAAAAGATTCATTGTGACTTGCAGAATATCGGGTGGCATGTAATTGACAGGTCGGTGCTAAACCAGTAGTGTTTCCCCCCCTCCATGACTGGGGTGGACTTGGTGTCCGTGATATTCGATGCTAAACCATTAAAACCAAGGTCTGAGGTGACTATTGTCCTCTCTCAATGGCCTGATAGGTATAGCGCGAGGACAGGAAACAGGAGTGGCACTCTAACGGGAGTCATAAGCTCCCTGTACATCCATGGCAGATGTACACGGTCTGGATACATTAGCCCCTTGCTGGAGAGTTTTGAGTTGAGCGCCCACTTGGAGAAAGATACATGTGAGCTTGAGCACCACAAGCGTGCAAAGTGAAAGACTATGTCTGGGTCTTAAGTGCGTGGGTATAACGACGAAAGCTTCTCCTTTGTTATGCCGGAAGGTGCAAGCAACCGCAAATGTGTTTCCATCATCTCTGTTATTCAAACCGGACGAAGTATGCATAATAGAGCCCGGAATCTAATCGACATGCAGGGTTCACCATGGCTTCCCAACGGAGAAGACTGCTTTGCTTTACTCATCGGAAGCCTAGGTGACGGCCCGCAAAATAATAACCGTCTTATCAAAGATGTGATACAGACTTCTTACGGAAGGGAAACAGTTTCCAAGGGTGTCGAGAACACGATTTTGTTATATGCAGTTATGCACGTATTCTGTGGCCTGGGGAATGTGGACGGATGTAGAATCCCGGCAAGAATTCGGTTGATTTCCGTGCCTGATTAACATCGGCATTCATTTCGCGGGCTGAAGCAGCACTACTTAAATTGTGTAGTACCTTGCCCAGGTAATATTCCTCTCAAGCATTCACTGATACTCCAAACACAATATGGTGAAAACTAAGCTCCGTGTCGGCATCGCAGGCCTTGGCCGCATGGGTACGTTCAATCCGCCATGAAGTTCAGCTAGTTACCTAACAACTAAAGGTAAACGCCATGCCGTCAATTTTCATGAGTTGACCGCCCGAGCCAACGTCATTGCAGCGAGCACGCCTGATGGTGAGGAAAGGGAATGGGGACAGGAAAACCTGGAGGGAGTGACGATCTACGCCGACTATGATGAGATGCTCGAGAGAGAGGACTTGGAGGCTGTGGTAATTGCCAGTATTACGGCAGTACACGCTGAGCAGGCTATCAAGGCAATCAAGAAGGGCTTGCATGTTCTGTGCGAGAAGCCTCTCAGTATTGACCTTGATGTTGTGCGTCCTACCAAATGCATGAAGCCTTGTGTTCTAAGGTGCTGACATATGTCTTGACACGAAGGCTCAATCCGTCCTTGACGCTTATGAGAAATCTCTGAAAACACACCCTAACCAGAAGGTGATGTGTGGCTTCTCGCGCCGCTTCGACGCCTCATACCGCGAGGCTCATGAACGGATCACGCGGGGCGAATTCGGTCTCCCTGTTGTATTCCGCTCCCAGACTGCGGACTTGATCGATACCTCGGGCTTCTTCGTGGAATATGCAAAGACAAGCGGCGGTATCTTCCTCGATTGCTCCATCCATGACATTGATCTCATGCTGTGGTTCCTTGGCGAGGACAGCAACATAAGGAGCTTGCAGTCTGTGGGAGTCACTGCCGTGCATCCTGGCTTACAGGAAAGCAATGATCGCGACAATGCATTGGCCACGCTTGAATTTGCGGGTGGTAAGATCGCTGCTTTGTACTGCACGCGCATGATGGCGGCGGGACAGGAGGATATTACTGAACTTATCTGTGAAAGGGGTTCAATTCAGGTCAATTTCCAGCCACGAAAGAACCATGTTGAAATTCATGACGCTGCAGGCGCTAGACGGCTGCTTCCACAGCACTATTATGAGCGGTTTAGGGAGGCTTTCATCACTGAGGCTGCTGAGTTTACTGAGTGTTGTTTGGAGAATAAGGCTCCGCCGATTAGCCTTCGGAGCTCGGTTAAGGCGGTCGCTGTTGGGCAGGCTTTGCAGCGCAGTTTGATTAGTGGAGAGAAGATAGTTTTCGAGGGTCAGACCTTAAAAAATTAGATAGAATGAAGTGACACTCGCGATTCAAGTTGTTTTGTTGAGGTGTACTGAGCCGACCTGATTATGGATAATGATGATCGAATATGACAAATAGATACTGAGAGATACGAGGTCCGTAGAGTCAAACGAAGCAGTATGGCTCATTGAACAACTAGAAACAAGACTTATATTAATACTTGATGATGCTAAAAAACAGGAACCAGAGAGATACTACTCTAGAGATTACAGAAATAATCAAGCTATAAACAGAAGAAGGTATCCTGCCTTTCTATATTATAAGATTATTTCCAGAAAGAGGATTAGGACTTATTCTATTATATAATTTATCTTGCCGTGAATAATCTTGAAAATATATTAGATAAAATCAGAAATAAACTGAGCGTGGCTATATTTTATAATAAAGTCACTTAGGATAGAGCAACATATGCCTCTATAATATTCAGTGCATGAACAAATGATTTATAGAAGTAACTGTTGCACTTGCAAGACCACCCTGACTAAGTGGATTAGTGGATTGCCTTCTTTGTTGAAAACGCACGATGGGCTGGCCACTTGGAAAACTGGAGAACCTCGGAGACTTCAAAAGTATTTGTTATGATACCCCGCATTTATACTTAATGGGGCTTAACATATTCCTAACTGAAGCCAGGGTATCTATAAGATAATAAAATTAATATGCTATCGCATTGCTGTGGAGGCAGCATTAGAGTCGGAGTAGGTATGGACGTGGTTGGGCGAAAAAAGGAGATTCGCAAATGTCACTGGGCTCGGTCGAAACAGCGTGATATTTATGATTATTCGTTCGCCGACCCCGAACTTTAATGTAGTCTACCAGGTCCAATAGAGTATGTTGACAGCCCACTGTCCGCGTGTTGCGACGAGCCACTTGATGGGCTAATTCGGGGAAGATTAACTCGAATCCGAGTACACAGGTAGGTGACACCTGCCGTGTAAACCTGCTTTCCTAAACCTGGCGAGAGGTTGGAGGCTGGATGGCAGTTAATGCAATGTAACATTGCCATGCTACTATTTCCCGCCTTGTGCCAAGTTTTTCCGTTGTTGTGAGTGCATTAATATTGCAACGGAGTTGTAGTGAGACCAGTAATGGCTACTGTGTGCTCTTAATAGTATTGTCTTTTATATAAGTGGCCCTCCCCTATAAACTATAAGTAGTATCCACCCCCAGCTCTCTAAAATATTGTCTTACATTCATGATCGTTGACAGATAAGGTAGCAACAAGGGTGCAAAAAGAAGCAAGGGACATTCAAAAGTACATTTCTGTTTATACAGCACTCACTCTGCATAAGATACCTTTTCATAGTCTTGCTAATTAATCTTCCAGAACTTACCAAATCCTTATTATGTTATTGAAAAATATTAGTGGACTCCTATTCCTGGTTGCAAGTGCCGCAAGCAGATTCTCGATGTCGACAGACCGATATACTGTACCAATCCCCGAGGGAATTATAATTTTGGAGACCCGCAAGCAACTCAACGACATGGCAGACCAATATCCTATGGGAACCTTGGACGATAGGAATGGGGGATACTATCTGCTAGACCATGATGCTACAGTGTTAGCTATTGCATCAGATTCTCTCTGTGAAGAACTGGACTCCTCAATGGAATCGGCAAAAAGGTTTCATAGCAATGACCCAATTTCTGATAATGAAGCCGAGGGTGTTGCACCTCGGAATGCTGAAGCAGCCAATTCTGGCCTATCAAATCATTGCACTCACCCAATTCAATTCAACTAATATTCTTATACCTGATCGAGCCCGCTAAGTTATTTGCACTCACCCACGCTGTCATACACATGCTCCTTGTCGGACCTACAGCGGTTACTATGTGTGTTCGTCAAGTTTCCATTGGTGTTTCTGAATACAATATGAGGAAGATGTTGTTTATGATACCTTTACAGGAGCATTGTGAATACGTCACAAGCGAAGCCGGATTTGTTTTTTTTCTTATGCCTTCTCAGCTAGAATGGAGCAGTTCAACATTTTGGATCAAAGCCCACTATCCAACATAGTGACAGGAATTAAGAATCCCCGGAGATTCAATCAAAAGCTCTATAGGGTTGTCTTCGGCGAACTTAATATATACTGTACGAGTTGGTTTCATGTGGAGAATGCTGAGGAAGATAGCCTTCTATAGGCTAGCCCAGGGAGAGAAGCTCAACAAAACGAACAGCGCATTAGTCAGGTCTTGAATATCGCCTCGTTAGAAGAATCAGACCTTCATAGATTAATGCAATTGATACTAGTCAGTACGCTTAGCGAGCAGCTTAATATAGTGTTTTCAAATATAAGATATACAGCTGTAATTTATGTTATTAATTCAGTTTTAGGCTTCTAGCGGCACGAGGGCTAAACCCAACCAGTCAAAAAAAAAAAAAAGTGACATTTACATATTGGGTGATTTCGGCTCGGTTTCCGCTTGATCCAGGACCCGGGAGACCAAAGTCTTTGGAGGAAAAGATATCTTAATAGACTACTGAGATTAAGAGCGTGGATTCTGAGCGAGTCTGTAAACGCCAGAGTATCCAGCTAAGGGAGTCCAGATGCTGTCATGGTTAATGTGTTTTGCGTAAATTGAAATAGGTATGCCATCTTTTCCCCTGCCAATTTTCATCGAACTCAGTCAGCTAGATTGTGGTATATCACTTCAAAATACAGACACGTCGCCCAAAGGCTGCCCTTACCTCTCTGCTAGAATGGACAGGCAGTCTGACTCCTGCGGAACACGTATTGGCCTCTCGGTGGTTATTCTCCGGCGTGGTTGAGCTTCCCCGCAAACGCAGGTCGAATTCCGACTTGGCATATATCATCTCGTCGATTCTCCTCGGACCATATCCTGGTATGGGATGAGCACTTACGTGTCGATCCTTTCTCTAAGCCGTGTCTATCACATTCCAAGATAAATAATCCGTGACCCTCATTGGCCTTGGTTGCGGAGGCTCCACTCTACAATATTCTTGCGCTTCGAAGCCTCAAGCATCCTAGCGTAAGTAAGTACACATACAGAATCGTGGGAGGCGTGTAAATTACATGGCAAAGAATACACCCTATATTATTTCTACCTGTAGCGGCCGTTTCTGTACCTTCAATACAATGCAGATAGTCATTTGTTAATCGATCGTGATCCTAGGAAGCTCCGCCCCGCATCTGGCTCTACGACTACAAGGCCGAGCATTGTGAGAAGCAAACTTACATCGAAAAAGAGACATCTAATATATCTGAGAACTAATATGAAACTGCTTTCTGTAATCCATCGCTGTCATATACGCAGTCCGATACCATATCGCGCAAATCTAGAAGCCCTCAGGCTAAGGAACTACGTCGTGAAAGAGAAACCCAACATCCCCTTCTTGGAATACTGGAGAGATTAGTCATATATATCACTAGGTGAAATACCTAGAGGGAATAGTTTACTCAATCAATACATGGCTATCAATGTACTTTTACGGATTGTCCATTTCCTGGAAAGAGAACATCGATTCGAATCCCGGTATGAGGCATGCATGTCGGGAGATTGCACATCTCATGACTATATTCCCGAGTTAGCGATCCGTCTCAAGCTTTGAGAAGGGTTGTACGCCATTTGAAGCGGAATTCGCTTTCCATCAGCAAGCATGAAACCGCTTTCCGCTTACTTACGGGGCGTGAAGCCAGTAGCTTACACCCTTCAAGCCATTAACATTGTATACGAAATGCATGCGGATTCTTGTATCCGAGTGACACGAGATTATATCTCGATAGGTTGCCTTGAGGGAAGGTACCAGGTATTTAAATCCATCCGCAGTCATCAAGGTCTGGTACCCACTGAGCAGACACAATTATCTCAAAGAATATACTCCAAGATATCCTTCCGAAGCTACTAAGCAAGAAAGCCATCATGCCATCTGTCGAGATTTCGCTGGCTCCAACCAACATCGAAGTCACCTCCGACATGATCGATGCAGTGAACGTCCTAAGAGCCAAGAGCACCGACCCCACAACATCGAAAGATCTGTACGACGACTCCGAGTTTGACAAAACCAAAGACAAGACTACCTTTCGCCAATTCAACGATGCCTGTGACCGTGTGAAGAACTTCTACGCGCAGCAACACACCCTACAAACCGTGGCTTACAACCTGAAAGCCCGACACGGCTTCCACAACAAGACGCGAGCCCATATGACGGTCTGGGAAGCCATTGAAAAGCTCAACACCTTCATCGATGAATGTGACCCCGATACCCAGGAGTCACAGATGACACACCTTCTTCAGTCTGCTGAAGCAATTCGCCAGGAGGGAAAGCCGCGCTGGATGCAACTTGTCGGATTAATTCATGATCTGGGAAAGTTGCTATTCTTCTTCGGCGCACAGGGCCAGTGGGATGTCGTGGGTGATACGTTTCCTGTTGGATGTGCTTTTGATGATCGCATCATTTTCGGTACGGAATCTTTCAAAAACAATGAGGACTTCAAGAATCCGATCTACAATACCAAGTTTGGGATCTATTCTCCTGGCTGTGGACTGGAGAATGTGATGCTTTGCTGGGGTCATGATGAATACTTGTATCACATTGTCAAGGATCAGTCGACAATTCCTGATGAAGGTCTTGCGATGATCAGATATCACTCGTTCTATCCGTGGCACCGGGAGAATGCTTACCACGAGTTGATGAATGAGCATGATAAGAAAATGCTTGCGGCAGTGCGGGCCTTTAACCCTTATGATTTGTACAGCAAGAGCGATAGCGTGCCGGATCCAGTGAAGCTGAAGGTAAGAATACCCAGGAGCTCTTCCGTGTGAGATATTGCCACTAACACTGGTTTTTAAATGAAAAGCCTTACTATCTCGAGCTGATTGACGAATACTTCCCTAACAAAGTGCTCCGCTGGTAAGGGGCTGGAGTCAGACACCTCGACTGATCGGACCTCGAACATCCATAACCCATTTGACTGGCCTCTTAACTAGAAAGTGTTATACCAATGCAAGTGTATCTAGATCTTATGGACCTGAACCTTTTTAGAGCACTAGCATTCCAAATTGCTGAATTTACATGCTATTTCACATTCATCTGCAGGGTACAACAGGTAGGAATTACTCCAAGCAGTGCTAGCTAAGCAACGATACGAGTAAATTATGGACCCATATCCCTATGAACCTAGCGTTTCTTAGCCCTTCTAAACCATTCCAGCAGTCTACTTGAAAAATGACCTACTCAAACCTTCTACTGTTCGTCCAGCCTTCCACTCCTCCGGACCAATGGCCGCAGAGAGTGCGACAGGCCAACCCGGGAATGCGGGTAGAGCACCACCATGTAATGATGTACGCAAAAGAGCTGCCACCCATCCCGAAGGAACCCTGGGATACTGTTCACGTGGCAACTATTTCCTCAAGGAATGGGTACCGAAGCTTCAGTACGTCCAGCTCTTGAGCGCCGGATGCAATCAGCTACTGGGAATGCCATTTTTCTAAGATGCCGATATTGCATTTTGCACGTCGAGGCAATCATCCGTGAACGATAAACCTCTCGTGATTGAGTCACGCCAACTAATCCCCTTTCAAGTCCCCAGATGGCGGAGTGGGTTTTCTCGACCTTCCCAGCGTTTCAGCATCATAGTATGGCCGAAGGATAAATTTATCACCGTCATGTTAGACACTAACTAGTAGAAGTTCCGGAATATCTCTTCATCATGGCTCTGGTAATCACCTGTCGCGGTGCCCCGAATCACAAAGTGATAGGCTTCGCCTACTGGCACAATCTCTGAGCTACAAACGAATACATCCTCAGCAGAATCTCTGGACGACTAGTCGCTTTCATCGCAACCCTGCGCTTCTCCGTCTACATATTCGCCTTCACACCAGAGCTCCTGGTGATCACTGCAGGCGAGATGCAAACCCCCCGCGAGAACTTTCGGCGTGTTTTGTTCGACTACTCATCTTCTATATTCCCGGTGCCTTGTTCATTGGCATTTTTTGCCCCAGCAACAATACCCACCTACTAGGAAGCAGCTACTGGGCAATAGCAGCCAAAGACGCAGGCATCAAGAGTCTAGACTCAGTGATCAAAGTTGTCATCCTGTTATCAGCCTGGTCGGCAGGAAACTCATGGCTATATATTGCCACTCGCACTTTATATTCCATGGCAACTCTCGGCACTGCGCCTAAGATCTTCAAACGGTGTAGGGCATCGGGTATCCCGTACATGTCTCTGGCGTTCACCTCGTTATTTTGCCTCCTGGCGTATATGAACGTCAGTTCCTCCGCTGCCACAGTCTTCAACTGGTTCGGGAACCTCGTGAATAGCGGTGCATATTTTAGTTGGGTATGTGTCTGCATCATATACATTCGCTTTCGGAAGGCGACAAAAGCACAGCGCCTTGATGTTGCGGGATTACTATATTGGTCGAGATTTCAGCCATATGGTGCGTATTTTGCTGGCAGTGTGATCTTCTTGTTATGGTGATCAATTGGATTTACGGTGTTCCTTCCCGGGCAGTGGGATACGTCCACGTTTGTTGCTTCGTATGTTGGGATTCCTATTTCTGTGGTCTTTTATTTGGGACGTAAGTTGTTGAGACTTGGCTGGTTCCGTGCGAGGATGTGGATCTTGTTACTTGTCTAGCTGAGATAGTTGCTGCAGAGATACCGACTTCTACAAGATCTAGGGGATGGTTGGACGGGATTAAGGTCATGTCTGCATGAGTGTTTATATGGACTGGTGGGATGTATTATTTTGAGTTCCTAAAAAAAAAGACCTAACTCCAAAATAAGAAGCCATGGGCAGGATTTCTGTTCAGATCTATCGTCACCTACTTTGTCTATGAGAGGCACCTCTCTACTCAGATAATCAAACATGCTAATTCATTACCTCGACTAAAAACATATCTGAGTACAAATCGGTCTGACACACCAGCAAGTTCCAAACCTACCACTTCCACCAGCTCGTAGCACGCCAATAAACTCCCCCAGCCGCCAGAGTCACTCCCAAGAACAGCGTAACATTGCTAACTAGCGCCTCTTCCTTAACCCGACCAACATAAGTCGCCTTCTTCTTCGCCACCGCAGCGGACCCACTACCCTTGAGAATGAAGTCCGCCCACCGCACCTGAGACACCTCTTTCTGGTACTGCACCACCGTGAAAGGCCAGTTGTTCGTGATCAGGCCCTCATCAGTCTTGTACCAGCTTTGGCAGTTGGGGTCGGCGAAACTGGTTTCAGCCAAGTGTTTCTGGACCCGCTCGTTGTATTCTCGCAGCACTTCTGGCCGGGGCTGAATGACTAGCGTTTGGTCCTTCTTCTTCGCATCCGCCACGGCCCGGATCATTGTGCTTAGGTATCTTGATTGAGCTTCGATCATTGTGATAACGGAGTTGTGGCCTATTTCTGTCAGTGTATGCATTCTAATAAGTTCGGATGGAAAGATGAACGCACCCAAATTCGTGTTGGGTCCATAGAGCATGCCGAAATTCGGCACATCCTCGACCGTCATACCATAGTATGCTCTCGGCCCGCCCTTCCAGATATCTTCCAGAGGTCGGCCACCAGCACCGTACACCCGGATCGGGTGCAGGAATTCCGAAGCACGGAAGCCAGTGGCCAGTACAATGAGATCGTATTCCTGTTGGTCATCGTCTGTTTGCACGCCCGTGGCTGTGATGCGTTGAATCGGTCGGGTATTGAGATCGACGTGACTCGCGTTCAAGGCAGCATAGAAATCATCGGAGATGAGAACGCGCTTGCATCCAATGGCATAGTTTGGGGTCAGAGAGTCCCACAATTCAGGCTTATCGGGCAACTGGCTTTTCATCCATTCCTGTGATTGCGCCTCAAATTGGCGGGCTGGGACTGTGCCGGGGGTGACAAGGACGTTGTATAACCATTCTCGGTAACGCATCTGCAGAATTCGCTTGCACCAGCGCAAGGGAGGTGCATATGATAGCAAGAAATGCTGGATAGCGCCGATTTTCTTGTTAGAGCGAGGGAGGAGCCATTTCGGACTGCGCTGGTAGATGGTGATATGAGCGGCAGTTTTGGCTAGTTCGGGGACGATTTGGATTGCCGAGGCGCCTGTCATTGCCGTCAGCCTTTGATGTCAGACTAATTCATTGGGTATGAAGTAGATACCGTTTCCAATCACGCCAATCCGCTTGCCAGAGAAGTCGTAGGTCCAGTCCCATCTGGCGGAGTGAATCAACTTGCCGGTATAGTCATCCAGGCCTGGAATGGAGGGATAGCTGGGCACATTTAGTTGACCGACGGCTGATACCAGAAAGTCGGTGGTGAGTTCATATTGCTCGTGGAATTCGCTAGCCTTAGCGCTGTTCAGGGCCACCTTAACCTTCCATTGCTGTTGCTGGTCATCCCAGCGGGCTTCTTGTACAGTTGTGTTGAAACGGATGTATTTGTAGAGCCCGTGTTTCTGCGCGACATCTGTCATATATGTCTGCGGATGCGTCAGCCTCATATTTCCAGAATGGAGGACAAGATTACCAGAAACTCTTCCTGACCCGGATACTCTGCTGCCCAGTCGGGACGTTGTTCGAATGAATAGCTGTACAAAGAGCTACAGACTACACGACTCTTGGTTATTCATGCCAACAATCATGTTGAACCGGTCGCTTCTTACCGTCCGATGCACAGCCCGGGTAGAGATTGTTGGCCCAGGTTCCACCGACCGAGCTTCCCTGCTCGAGTATGACGAATTTTCGGATGGGGGTTCGATGAAGGAGGTCAATGGCCATGCACATCCCTGGAGTCTGTTAGCTACAGAGTTCACAATTCCCCAGGTCACAAGCATGGGGTTCATGTTCTACCTGATACGCCGGCTCCGATAATCACGACGGTGGCACGAGTAAAATCATAATTTCCCACATGCTGAGTGTAGTTGGAGGGCATGATGGAAGTGAGCGGTGGCCATATAACGCGTTCGAGGAAGTAAAATATGGCACATTGAGGATTGGGATTGTTGTTTCAGCTGCGCGACTTTGTACTATGTTCCAACCCCGCTCGCGTCGGGGAGAGGCACCTCGGCTCGACCGATTCCCCTCTTGACCCCTGCATCGCCAAGGACGGAGATGGTGTCGCGATCAATTTCAACTCCTTCAACCATTGGCAACTCAGCTGTAGCCATTGCATTGGTTTGCATTAGGTAGGTGTTGTAGACCCATATTGAGCTCATCATTGGGCCACACGGAGCCCGGCACATCCGTACTGAACAACACCGGAACTAGTCTAGCTGATAAGCGCCGCCCTTCGGTTCATTCAAAAAGAGAAAAAAAATTCCATTGAGACGCCGTACTAACCAGTCTAATACCGAGTGTGTACTAACATGGATGCGCGGAACTGATAGATCACATCTATTACCCTCTCAAGGCAAGACGTGCTAGATGTGGACTTCATTCACACTGAGGCGCTTCCTTCCTAACATAAGAAAATGATCAGATACGTCAAAATCTTTCCCATTGATGATAGCTATTTCTGAACAGAAGTTCCGGACGCCTGATCGATGCCTCGGGGGCATCTCCGACCTGCCACGGGCGGCACTCAGCTTGTTCACAGCCGGGATTCATACGAATCAATCGCACTATCAAAGGCATCGTCCACATCTCCAGTCCCTTGTCGGATGGTCTCCTTATCAGCACCGACGGCCTTGCCCTGCAGCGCCACAGAAAGAGCAACTGTCCGACTCCTCAAATTCACCAGATTGAGCCGCACTGCACTGCCCACGCCGGCGCCTATGAAGAGATCTCTCTGCAGTTAATAATGTCAGGATATCGCCCAGAAAAAGAGTGAGGTTTCAGGATTGGTTCCAACCTTCATGACGAGTGCGGCAATTGACGTCCGCATGATCGGCTCCAATCCCACCAAGGATTCAGTCACGCTATTGCTCTCCTGAGCGGTCCACTCCGCCGTGCTGTTGGTGTCGGTGGCCACTCCCTCGAGGTCCTTCTCCAAGTTACTCTCCTGGTGGAAGATTTCGATGGCCGCGGGAAGTGTCCCGTCATAGCGATAAATGGATGCGCCGAATGTGCCTATATTGGCATTCAGGGTGGACAGACCACGAAGGACAATTGAAATATCCCGTCTGATGACATGGGAGGTGGCAAGCGAGACATAGGCCAGAAGGGCGGTTCCGGTAAGTGCGAAGCGCATTTTGAGGGCTTATCTGGTGCTTAGTGTTCTTTCTGCTATCTGGCATTTCTTTTTCTTGCTAAGACGAAGCAGGCGTGGTGCAATCTATATACCACATTCATCCTGATGTTGGAACCTCAACCTGGGAACAAGCGGTCTGCTCTGTATGACCTCGCCAGGAATGCTGTATAACAGGGGTTAAGTTCACCCGTGGACTAACTCCGTCGCATGAAGGATCTCATTGTTGTCAAACCCGGACATGAGGTCTCAACCAAAGATTGACACCTCTCCGGGTGCAACAGTTCCACCATCGCGGATGAAGCTTTGAGCTATTCAAGAAGCCAGAGCACCCTTGCCATAAACTCCAGCCTTTGAGTGTACAGGGGTAACAGCCAGGTTGGCGGTCGGGGATTGTAGGTTCAACGTTCGTACACCCTTCAGGACAGACAAAACCCGGGCTGGAAAAGTATTCACGCTTCCGCCTTCCTGTCATACTAGGCCGGGCTTCTGGCAGGTGCTAATACACATTAGACCAACAGAGCAGTCACCCTGGTTAAACAGAGTGCTTAACAAGGACACTGTCTCTAAAGGTGAAATTCTCCGACCGACTGATCGCCATATTTCAAGGTTCACTAATGTGCGGGAACCGCACACAAGCACTGACAGCACACGACCCCGACACAATGCATGGATGCCATTAACAACTGGCAGGAACCGTGCGTTCGCTTTGGCCTATATCGAAACTACATCTGAAGGAGGAGTCTTCCATGCCGAGCGCAGAGAATGCAAACACTAGTAGCATATTTGAAAAGGATACTGGGCGTGTTCAACTCCTGGTACACCCAGACTTTCACATAAATGACAACACGCTAGGTGGAGTCCCTGGGCCGACGGCCTCTCCACAGAGGAGGCAACCCGACGGAAGCTCAGGTCGGACTTCTCTGCGAGACAACCATGTCCGGGCCAACCAGTACAAGACCAGTTGAATCGGCGTCTGAACGCCATCAGATGCCAAGATGGGCCAACGATCCATGTATTAACAACGGCTGGACAGAGAGGAGAATCTTGTCGCGCTGCATGGCCTAGGCAGCCCAGAACACCAGCAAGTCCATGGAGTACTCCGAGGACAGCGGAGAATTGATTCCGTGCGAGTGATGAGCGGCATGCACGAGGTCTGGTCGACTAGCAGCCAAGTGGATGCTAATGTGGGCAGACCAGCTGTGACCGAAAAAAAAAAGACGAGCAGCGCCAGCGACCGCATGACAAATCAGCTTAAGACTGGATGACCGATGAAGCAGACAAGGTCAATTGATTGGTTATCACCCCAGCAGGTTATCCACGAGGAGATCAGGTCAAACCAGGTGCGGCAGAAGGTCCACACATGGCCAGACATCTAGCTACATTCACGCTGTCTGCTGTCTATGGTCTCCTGTGTACGCCGTACTTGGTACGTGATAAGATAGTATTACGTGAGGGGCAGTTCACAGGGGGAAAGGATGCCGACATGGTCGGTCTAAGAGCGAAGCCCGTAAGCAAGCCGACCGTGGTGGGAGCGACATTCCGACCGACTTACTCACCGGGGAGCTGACCTTCTGGTTCTCCGTGGGGACTAAACCGACTCGAATGAGCCGTAGTGCTTACCATAGGCAAGTGGGGAATAAGCCTCCAAGAAACTGCCTGGGGAGATTAGTATGTGTTCGGTGTCACAGTTGGGGTTGGGGTTTGGGGCTGATGGCATTTAGCCTAAAAGCACCCGTGGAGGCGGCTGGGAATTACGATGACTTTATATTATTAATATTAACATTGATGGTAAAGAGGTTGCTTTCTCCTTTTAAGGCATCTGATTCCTACGTCCTGGTTACGCAGTATATCAAGGGGGAGATAAGGTGCTTACCACGGGAGAATAATAAATCATGGGTGCGATGGCAGCAGCTTATCTATCTCGCTAGCAAATCCCAGCGTGGTGTGGCTGAACTTTGGTTGCTGTTAGGCCAGAATCAGCTCACCGGAGGCATCTCGGCCCAACAAAAGGAAAACAGGTGCTGGACAGCATCAACGGCAAATGGAACAGCCGGCGGGGGGGTCGGCAATCCTGCCTGGGGAATGTTGTATCGGCCGACGCCCGTGCGGATTCGGTGAGTCAGAAAAACTAGGGCAACTCCACGGGGAGAGGAAAGAAGGATGGAGGAAGGAGGAGACGATCCCCTGGAGTGCAGCGACACTAACCGCCTTTTCGGTAAGGCGGCGAAGGGGCCGCCTGAAATCGGCCCTCTTTTCTGGAATCCTCGCGCGGATGCGACGGCGCCCTAAAGCTTGACCGAGGCTTGGATTCGACGCTTAAAGCTTGCCTCCCGACACCGGATTACCCTGTACCCAACTCGGTCATCCCCCGAAGAGATGGAGAACACGGCTGCAACTGGAGAAAAGCTGGAGTCGAAGCTTATGCGCCCTCCATCTCATTGGTAGACCCTCTGCACCCTCACCGGCCAGTGGAGTTGGGTCATGGCAAGACTGCAATCGGGGAACGTCACGCGGCGGGCTGCTGATGCTTTTGCCCCTCGCGCCGCACATATTTCTTTTCCTTATTAAAAGTCTTTCGTCCCCTGATGATCTGATCTATGTTTCTTGTTCTGTTCTCCGTTGACTTGAACTCCCCCTGAGCCTGGCGTTGCGACCATGACCGAGGAATCCCACGTCGGCGACCTGTTCGCCACCGCCGACCAGAAGCAGGAGATTTCTGATTTACACCGTGAAACTCTTCCTCTGGTCGTCACTGAGGAGGAAGCTTTGGCTCGCGCCAGGAACCAGCCCGATGAAGCCCTCCCCTTGCGCATCACTTTTGGCCCGCAAGATCGGGACAACCCCCGCTGCTGGGGTCACTGGCGCAAGTGGTACATCACCCTGTTTGCTAGTTTTCTGAACGTCATCACGTAGGTCTACTGCCAATTGCCTGTTTGTTGGCCCTACTAATCCTTATAATCCAGAACTTGGTCTTGTGGTTCCTTCTCCTCCGGAGCCACCGGCATCGCGGAGCATTTCCACGTGTCTACCGAAGTCACCACGCTATGCTTGTCCATGTATGTGCTGGGATATGCCATTGGACCTGTCTTGCTGGCTCCTCTATCCGAGTACTTCGGTCGCCAGCCCGTTTATATCGTCTCGTGGTTCATCATGTCCCTCTTCCAGATGCCTCTGGCACTGGCACCCAACATTGGCACCATTATTGTCTGCCGTTTCATTGCCGGTTTCGCAGGTGGTGCCCCGTTGACCAACACGGGCGGTACCATCAGTGATCTGTGGGAGCGTAATCAGAGTGGTGGCCCCATGGCCTTCTACGGTCTTAGTAGCACGTTTGGCCCGCCCATGGCCCTGGTGGTCAGCGGCTACATTGGCCTGAACCTGAACTGGCACTGGATCTTCTGGATCATGATGGCCATCACTGGTGGCACCTGGATTGCCCTGGTCCTCACTATCCCGGAAACTCGCCACAGTATCATTCTGCAGCGTAAGGCATCCCGCGTGCGCAAGCAGATGCAACGCGAGGGGCTGCGCTCCGCTGAGACCACCACCGACCTCCACGCAGAAGACCGCAAGGGCCTGCACCAGTTGTTCGCTATCACCCTCACTCGTCCCTTCCGCTTCCTGTTCACCGAGCCCATCACCACCTTCTCCGCCATCTACAACGGCTTCCTTTACGGCCTGGTCTACCTCTTCAACGAAGCCTTCCCCCTCGTTTTTGGCGAACCCAACGGCCACGGCTTCAACGTCGGCCAGCAGGGTCTCTGCTTCCTGGGTATGGCCATTGGACCCATCATCGCCTGCGCCCTATCCCCGCTGCAGGAGCGGTACTACCTGCGTCGCGTGGCCGAGAACAGCGGCCGCAGTGTGCCCGAGGCGCGTATGTGGATGGCCCGTGTCGGCTCCTTGCTCATCCCGATTAGTCTGTTCTGGTTCGGCTGGACCAGCTACCGGTCCGTGCACTGGATTGTCCCCATCATTGCGTCTTCCTTCTTCGGGGCGGGTCTCTACATCGTCATCCTCAGTATCCTCAACTACGTCGTCGACAGTTACCAGACGTACTCTGCCTCCGCGTTGGCCGGTGTCATCCTCGTCCGGAACCTCGTCGGTGCTGGATTCCCCCTGTTCGCTACGCAGATGTACGAAAAGCTCGACTACGAGTGGGCGTCCAGTCTGCTGGGCTTTATTGCCATTCTGCTCGTGCCGATTCCCTTCATCTTCTTCTACAAGGGTCGTGCCATTCGGTTGCGCAGTCCTTGGGCGCGCGAGCACTTTGACTCGGATGAGGATAGTCCCCATTAGCCTGGTTCCACTGCAAAAGTGTCTTGTCTTGTCTGTATATAGGTGCATCCGTATGACGTTATGATAGCAATTAGATGCTTAATACTACCACATTATGTTCCTCTATACTCCATGCATACTCTCCATAGTTGTAGACCTATAGTCAAGGCACTGGGCCTTGACGTCGACATTCTGATCCGTTCCTCGCCCCACAATATATATTCCACCACAATCCACCTTTGTTAACACCCACACCACTTAGTACTTCACACTTCTCTCACAATCAATGTATAATCCCTAAATCGACCCAATTGCCATCCTCATCCAGCATAGCCATGCCTAGAAACAACAATGTACGTAAACAGCGCAACTATCCCCTAGCGCCATCATGGCCAAATAGCCTCGGTCGGGGGATAACGGCACAGTGCCGGCTGCGATCGGAACAAGGGAGTGCTAACGTCACGAGTGTGGCAACTGTAGACCTGCTTGTCGAAAGACCTGCCATGCTACACCATGCCATGTGCTGTGCCATGTCAGACCCATCGTGGTGGACAGTGACGTTGGACTGTGGGGACCAAGCGATTCAATCTGGGGGATGGGGTCGGCGAATCAAGCTGAGAGTCATTGGTTCATAGGATTGCATAATAGAGTTGCTGGATTGGGTTAGTTGGTGTGGGATTGGGGGTGGATTATGTCATGTGGATGAGTAAGAAGGGGGCTAAACTATATTGGGAAGGTTGTGGAAATGTTCTTGATTTGGATGAGACGCGAGACGCGTTTGTTATAAAGAGTTGTGTAGTTTTATTTTTCACATAATATCGATATATTCAGATTAAGAATTTATAATACATCATAGAAAAACATGGTATTTATCCATCATCTGGGAACGGCCACATCCTCCTCGCCTCCTCCGGTGATTTCTCATCCGCCATGCGCTCGATAAACATCGCTAGTAACTCCCGGTTCTGGCGTCGCTTTTCCTCGATGTCTAGTTCGGGTGATATCCATCCCTCTGCGTCCGTGTCGAGACACTCCTGTGCCAGATGCTGAATCTCATGCCAAGTCTGGTACTCCACAAACTGTCGCTCGTGCGTCTCGATATCTTCCTCAGTGAAGGAAAATGGACACGATCCGGTAAAGCCTAGATCGGCCCACTTCTGAAAGATCTCGATCAGACATGCTCGGAGGGGAATAACGCCCATCTCGGATACCTCACCGCACCGGGTGAACAATTCTCGCAACACTCGCGGTACGTTTCTCGCAATATGTGCTAGTCGGTTCTCGAGGAATGTGGAGACTTCGTATGCTTTTGCCAGCTTGGCCTGCGACCACTCGCGTCGGGCTAGCAACTTGCTCTCATCATCCATTTTGTCGTACCCATCAGGAAGCTCGGGATGCGCAAAGCCTTGCGTGTAGTTGTCTGGGGGCTTTAAGAACTCGGGCCAGCGGGATTGGAGAAAGGCGGGCATTACCGCTAGAGACTGGAAATCAATGATCGAAACTATTCTAGTACTGTCTTCGGGTGCCACGTATATATTACCCATGTGGAGATCGGTGTGCCAGAGAGTAGGCTCTGCGGATTGGCCTAGTAGTGGATGAGAGTCGAACGTGGGCATAAGGCGTATTGTGAAGTTAAGGAGCTGAGATTGTTCTTCAAAGGTGCCTCGATAGAACATGGCTGATTTGTTTGGTGGTATACCGGAGATGCGGGATAGCTCACGCTCTGCAATGGCTATACCAAGTCCCGATAATGTGATCCCTGTGAAATGGTAAGTTCAAGTCACTCTGGGGGTACAGGAGACATACAAGGCCCTCGATCAGTAGGTTTGTTTGACGGTGTAGGTTGCTCGGCACACTGGGTGTCAAATGACCGGTCAGGAGAAGGACCGACACAAAATGATTGCGATGGATCAACATTGTCATCGAGCAGTAAACATTGATAATCTAAGTTCTGTAGATAGTCGCGCAAATATAAACCACCATAGGCAGGAAACCGGATAGCTGATAATTGTGCTTCGAGCTTTGTCAAGTTCTGAACAAGCTGCAACTTCTGTGATTCTGTCATAACCCCCCATCTACGAAACAAGGGAACGCCGGCAGCTTTCTCCATTATTATATACTCGGCACCTACAGAGCTCGCTTTATTAGAGGACCATGAGAGCACACGAGGAACTGGAATATTGGTGTTTCTGTGTACTATGAAGATAGAGTCAGCAAAACATGTATAGCCTCAATGAGGTACACCAAGGATGAAGGATGAAGACAAATTTCATACAGCATTCTAAGACACCCACCTCGGATGCCGTTGTAAGTTCTGCAGGTCCAGCAATGCGACAAGGGAGCTTGGCAACGACCTCGGTTCCATTTTCCCTGTTCATCAGTAGAGCTTTGCTAAACCCACCCTCCATTTTCTCCACCCTTGCTACCGGAGACGGATCGACGCCGACCGCCGTAGCTACATTGCATAGAGCATCGAGATCGAATTTCACGTAACGTCGGGCCAGCTGATGCTGTTCATCGACCAGGAAATGGCCGTTGGTATATGCAAAAAGCTCATCCGGGCTGATTGACTTTCCTAACCCAACATTAGCAATCTCCTAGTTACTATGTCTGTTCCATTAAATGGTGGGCGAATACCGCGACAAAGGATGGATAGCTGGGCTGTTGGCTGCAAGTGGTGTACCCTCTTGAGCCTTCTCGAAAGGGAGAACATGGTATTCTCCGTGGTTGCCGTGGTATACAGATTTAATTAGTTATCATCTCACAATGAGCGAGCCAAACAATGGATGTGAGAAATAAAGGAAGGCAGCATCCCTGTATTAATACCATGCTATAATAGGATTAGCGCATGATATACGTTTTATGGGACCGGCCAAATTAAGCTGGTAGAACCCGCCTTTTACATTGTGGCCAGCGGTAGGTGCCTTGCGACATGATTGTTTACCCAAAATGAGTTTCTGTTGTAAGATGTCTTAGTATTAGAAAAATAGCCACTGCATCTTTCCTCCGAAGGTACGTAGTCCATCATTTGGGAATAATATCTAATCCTCATCCTTGTGAACCTTACGCTCGAATTGCTCGATAAACTGCATCCCTACCCGGCCCGGATCGAGACAGAGATAACGAAATTCTCTCCAGAATTGGAGGGCATCAGTATGATCAGGCATGTAATCGGGCAACAGCATCCTCCACTCTTCGTCATCACCATAGAAGTTCGTAACACAGGAGGAAGCAGACTCCCACCATACAGGCATGTATGCGGCCGTCTCCCAATTAATGATCCCGGTAACACAGCCATCCTTGACCATGATGTTGGTGTAGCTAAGATCCCCATGGGTAAAGGTATACGGCGTAGATGGTGGCATGCGACTTCGTAGGAGTTTTCGCACGCGCTCGGGAACAGCTTCATGCAATCTAGACTCTAACTCGGCCCAGAGTTCGTCATCAGATGCGAATGGGCCACAAGGACGGACGTCCTGATAATTTCCGAAACGAAAGTTGGTAGATACCGGTCCGCCATCGAGGGACTCCATGCGATCGGAATGAAGTTTGCAAAGTTCAGACACGTAATTGGCTGTCTGTTTTGCGATGCTTTCTCTCTGCTCGGAGGAGAGCCTTCGCCAAACAGTGCTAAGTGGCTGTCCAGGAGGGCTCTCCATCAATGTCAGGGTATGATCATCTTCTTTCCAAGTCTTGACAATCTTCGGGACCGGGATGGAAGTCTGTTCCTGCACGAGTCGGATATTGGACGCCTCGTCGGTTGAAAGATTGTGCCCTCGATCTTTGAGGATCAGTTCGGATCCCAATGACCAGACGCCTCGGTCGCCTGCCTGAAAGAACAGTTTGACATGACTTTTGTAGTCATGATCATATTCCTCCCAGCCGCAGGTTTTGCAAGCATCCGAGGGGTACATGATGAATGAATCGTGAGTGTGTCTTTGTGAAGGGTGATGGTCTGGCCAGGACAGGTGAGAAGTAGTGTGTAGTCTTTTGAGGGATAGAGATGGATGTATATATAGGTTCAGTGTTTAACAGATGTGCACTGAGGCTCCATCTATTCCATGCTTAGCCATAAGGAAAGACAGGGTGCTGCCGTCGGTGAAAGCGCTTGCGGGAAAGGCCGAGATGCATACTAAGTGCATGGGTCTGCTGCGGCCTGATTGTATGCTAAGATTGGTGTTGTAAAGACAGGTATCTTGCATTGATCATGTGCACAACGGCACTGGCAGTGCACACTCCTCCCATATCTCATAACCTTCAAGATCAGGCCTTCACAACACCAAGGCAGATAGTGGAAACCCACAATAGCGCCTAATTGGCGCCAATCTCCAAGCAATATCCGATGAGCTAATAATATCTCAACTCCACCCGCCATCACAGGATTTCGCCATTTTAGGCTACAGCCTCGTCTGGTCAGTACTAGGCCTCAGGGCACAGTTGTCGCGGTAGCTGCCTCCGAATTACCTTGCCAACCGTATAAATTCATCAACATATGTCGGCAGCTCCCAGATGGCACGATCTGATAATCATCTCTGGAAAGTTCCATTCCAACTACACACACCTCACAGATACGCTGTATTTTGGCGTCCCAAAAAACACACTCTCTCATTCCCAAGTTGGTGTACCAACCCCAATTCAGCGTATATTCAACTAACCATCCCAGACAATGTCGCTCATTGCCGGGGATGTTTATCTCATGAGACTTTGGGAGGACGCTCGGACACCTGCCGATGAAAGGGCTGTCTTCAGGCTGTGGAGCCATTTGTTTATGAAACATCTTTTTTCCAGCAAAGACTGGGGTGTCTTCTATAAACCCACACCAGAGGATTCTCCCTCAATGCCTGGATATCACCATAGAGCATTATGGTGTACGCCATGCCACGGTCGCTGTCGATCTCGATTTCGATGTCGATATGACGGCATTTTGCATATATGAGCCAGTGGCGATGGAATCAAGTCTTCAGGATCTTGACGGACTTGTGAGACATGCATTCACAGTCTGTAAGGCCTATCTTCTAGATCGCCCCGGTTTGCCAAAAGTGTACGCGTTCACGGCATTTGGTACTAAGTGTAGAGCATGGTCTTGCTCGAGAGATGATGGATGCCTGGTGCCGCTATTTGGCTCACCGGACTCATGAGATCCCCGTCATTACGTTGATATTCACTCCCTGGAGGCTTCCCGGATTAATGAAGTTGTACATATGATGAAGAATGAATGTGGAACCCATGATCGTGTTGAAGTGCGATTAGATGTTAGCAGCAGGCGTGTCATGTATCCACCGTCGGGGTTGCTAAATAATTACCTGTGCTTATTATGCGTTTTTGTTTTTTGATTTCATCTATGCGCTAACAGCCTTTTGTCGCGTATGCCCTGTATAGGTTCTTTTTTTCCTTTTTTAAAAGGCACTTTGACACAGCCAAAAGTGTCTGACCATGAGACTGCGAAATGGATGTCAATTCCAGTGGAATGATCCGATGATTACCACCTAAGGCTTAAGGTTCGAGTCACAGGATACTCTTAATGTTTATTTTCTAGTCAATGGCAATGTCTCGATGTTATTTCTCACACTCGTTTCATCAATGCCTCATAGTGCAACAAGTAACATAGTAGACTCGTGATGTATAGTGACTGGCATGCATGGTCGTGGACTTCTTTCCTGTCTATTCGTAAAGTCAGCACCACTCATGTGGCATTTCACATCTGTACCCTCGAAGGCTTGAACTCATCCCTTATGTTAAACAGGATTTACCCTGAAGTTGGATTATATTCCAAAATATATTGAGAAGCAATGAAATCTGCTATCCATTAGTCATCGTAAATGGCAAGCCTATCTTCCACCTCACAAAACCACCATGCGAGTATTCCCTCAGCAGGCAGAACCTGCTGGTCACCCGGATGAACCGTAGACTCTACTTTGTCCTTTGCACTTCGGATGTCTTGAATATACTCCCGCCCATCATTAACTCCTTTCACAACAATGATAGGACTGCATATATCTTCACCCAGTCCGTAATCCCAGCGGATCTGTCCACTGGACTCGACATGACCGTCGTCATAGAACATTAACATGCCCAGACAGGGATGATGTGATCTCATCTGATCCCTGCATACTTGGACCTGAACAAGACCTCTCAGTGTGGCCTTGGTCATAAACCAGTGTTCGAACAATTTGTTGCGATTGCCGCCTGGAAACTCCGATATATCACGTATTGGGACCAAGACTGGGGTCTGGCCATTGCGAGGGCTATGGCAGGTAACTCCGCACACCGTGACATAGCTGGACCCCGGATCCATGCCGTCATGATAGATTCCGGAAACAGGTCCATCAACATCCCGGAGCATAGGATGATACCGCCGATTCGCGAGATAGTGATCCGGAGCCTGGGCCCCAAAGGTTACGTTTCTTCCTAGAGAGGTTTGCAGCTGGCTGGTCAGTCACTGAAGCAAATTATAGATGGAAGCCCCTACCGTCAATCCGTCGATGTATCTGTACCCCGGGGCAATAGTCCAGCCCCGGAGCCAGGCTCCCTGGATCTGTTCCTGATCATTGAGTGGAAAATAAATCCAATATACATGGGGGAGGCTGTCGTCCCGCCCTACGCGTTGATGCATCTCTTCAATGAATTTATCGAACATTTTGTTTGTGCCGGAGAAATCGTGAAACCCGACAATTCCATGGATGGTACAGCAGACAAGAAGGCCTTGGACTTGGGGACCAAGTTTCGTGTAATGCAGTCTAACCGAATTCACCCGGATAAAGGGAGTTTGGACCGATTGGTGGAGAGCGGGCGCAAAAGGCGAGGTCCATGTCAGGGATTCCGACCCTGAATATTGCCTATTAACCAATGCAATTATCTTCATCAGCAGGCACTAAATCGGTCAGACGCTGCCCAAATACTAAAGTGAATAAGCTTACATGACGGTATACCCCTAGTTTTGGATGAGAATTCTGCACGTTGAATATCTCATACCAGGGTGACTGATCTTCTGTCGGAGTAGCATCACGGTTGAGAAACTGAATCCCACGCACACCGATGTGGTCCTTTGAAATAATAACTCTGTGAATATTCCGAGGCAGCTGAACTTGAAACACATCAGCCCCTTCAGCTGCCTTTAGTGGTGTGTTGCTGAGCTGTGCCACGTAAGAATGATCCCTACAGATAATTCGCGACATCCATATGTCTTTGGTGAGGTCGAGTTCATCTTCCTGAGGCTCTTTGTTCTGTCTACCATAGTCAATGAGCCGTCGCGTCTCTCCTAGGATAGTCAAGTACCAGCATGAACCAACAAACTCCGAGATCCTGCGTCGTATCTCAGGGGGTAATTTACCAAAGAAGTCTTCCTTGAAGGGCTCTGGAATGATACAGGCAGTATACCTGGATGCCAGACCCTCTAAAACGGTTCCAGGATTTCCACGTTCTGGATAGGACTTTGGATAGATCTCTTCCGTGGCAAGTGCGAATTTCCTGATATCCTTCAAGGACGGCTTGTCAGATGGCTCGTAGCTGGCCATTAGAAGCCGAAGACACCTTGTATGAATGCATAGCAATGGGTTTGGCTCCGCCTTGCAGAATACGCAGTTTTTTTCACAATCGGGTACAGTTTGTAGAGGAAATCCATCCTCCTCGAGGTCTGCGGTTGGGTTAGATGATACTGCGCGAAGCTTCGAGGGGCTAAGGGCTTACCGATTATGCGTTCTCCAGCAGTCGGGTGATCCACGCATAGAGCGCAATACCTTCGCGACGCATGAATATCTTCTGTCACGGGTATGAACGGGCGATCTTTGATGACAACTCTTGGTCTTTCCAGTCATTCTTGGTGCTGGCACATTAGTGGGAGCTGTATTTTTTTATATAGTATTAGAAGTAGACAAACTACTATAGCAGTGCGACCAGGAATGGCAGCTTCCAGTCACTCGATTCAGATGATGAAACCAAACAAAGAGCTAGTTCGGGACCTGCCCCTTCATAATGAGGCGCCCTGTTCCCCCTTTGTAGGTTTCACAAGTCTGTGCCTGAGATCTAATAGAACAACTCCAAATGCCCAAGTTTTGTGGATATTGTCACTGCCAAATGGCAGGCATGTTGGAAAATCGCGGGGTTCTACCTTCCAACTGGGATGTCAACCACTGACTGAGCGATAATTTGTTCAGTAGTAGCCGTCGGGACATATTCTGTGCCACCCACAGTTCATTGTTTCTCGATAGGAGCACTGGGTTACATCCATTCAATATGATAAAGAGCTTTGGAAGTCGTATTTAGAAGAACCCACTGCTGAAAACAGCACATCACCACATTTGCGCTGCTATAGAGCGCACACAGGGACAACTTTCGGTAGTTATCAAGATCCCGTAGCTCATCTGACAACAGCTCTATTAAGATCCCTCTAATTCGGTGACTAGAATTTCCGAAGAGGAAAGAGGAAACAAACAAGGTTCAATGAACGGATCTCGTATCCATCGTTCAACCATGGAACCTCTCTCCGACTGACTTTCCCCGCCATTCCGGCCCAACCCCGAATCACCACCATCAGGAGATTGCCTCATCTGAAAGCCCTCCGATATTATATCTCATGAAAAGAAGGAACGTCGCTCCTAGGATACACCTATGGCCTTCTATGCCGCTGCCAGGAAACGCCCCCACCGCAGCATCCACGACCCGGAGGTGCGCCCGCTGCGTCTAGCCGTACTGAAAGCCGCCACCATCAATTTGCTCATCTTACAACTCCTCTTCCTCGGCCTGTTCTGCTATCTATTCGGGTCCATCTTTCAACAAACCACCCATATCCACAACCTCAATGTCCTCTTCGTCGACTATGATGGCGGGGCCATCGGTCGGGCCGTGCGCACTGCCTACCAACAGCTGCAAGGGTCCGGCTTCCCGACCCTCCGCGAGCAGTCAGCCGAGGCCTATCCCAATCCCGCGTCGATCGTCTCCACCGTCTGCAATATTCACTACTGGGGTGGCTTTTACATCGCCCCAAATGCTTCTTCGCGTCTGTCAGCTGCTCTCGCCGGCATCGGGACAGCAACCTACAATACGAGCGATGTCATGACCCTAGTCTGGAATGAGGCGCGCTACTCCACCGTCGTGGATTCTGCCATCCAGTCCAACATCCTCTCTCTATCCGAAGCTGCTCGCGTCGTCTACACGACTACCAACGGCCCATTCATTCTCCAGACGCTGAACACTTCCGACCAGACAGCCATCGCCACTCTTGCTGACCCCTGGACACTCTCCACCATTAACATCCAACCCACCACCCAAGGCTCCCGCCTCATCTACAACACCCTCGTCGTCATCCTCATCCTCATCCAAGAATTCTTTTACCTGGGCTACCTCAATGGCCTCTACCAGCAATTCCACCTGTACACCTCCGTCGACGCGCACCGCATAGCCATCATCCGCCAGCTCATCTCAGGAATATACACCTTCATTGGGTCGCTCTGCACGACGGGTGCGATCTGGGCCTTCCGATACGGCTGGCATGTCAACGGCGACCAGTTCATGATCACCTGGATGGCGCTGTGGTTGTTCGCGCATTTGAATTTTCTAGTCCTGGATGTGTTTACTATCTGGTTAGCGCCACCATTTGTCCCCATGGCGCTTATCTCATGGGTCGTGCTGAACGTTTCATCAATCCTGTTGCCATTCGAGCTATCTCCTGGCTTTTATAAGTGGGGATATGCGCTGCCCGCGCATGCTATATTCCAAGTCATGGTGGATATTTGGTCCGGTGGGTGTAATCCGCAACTTGATTATGCGTTGCCGGTCCTTTTTGCGTATGAGGTTGTTGGGATGGTGCTCAGTAGCCTCGGGGTGTATCGTCGGGCGCACTATGCGGTTCTGGCGGAGGAGGCGAAGAAGGAATCACAGGAGCGCTTGGCTGTTGAGGCAGAGGGAGAGGCAGAGAAGGAAACCCCTGGTACTAATGGCGGGGAGGGACCAGCCGGGGAGGCAGAGGCAGAGGAAGGAGAACCATCAGAGATGCAGCCAGAGGGATTTGGAGAGCGCATGAGGCAGGAAATGTCACGGCTGGAGAGAGTGCACACCAGTCGGCAGAACACGGGCCCATCCTTCGATCTACCATACACCGACTAGTTACTGGTGAGAGTCTATCGTATATATCTATAGCAACCAATATGATCACTCTGCAACTGCATCCTGCCTTTAGCACGCAACGAAGCATCTCTATCCTATCCACCTCCCATACCAAACCAATCTACTCAAACAAACCATTCCAAGATCCCCTCACCCCCTTCCTCACCGGAACCACCAACCCAGCCTCATACTCATCAATCTCCTTCTTCAACCCCCCAAGCCCCAAATCCGCTGTCCCCGGCCACACATACCTCGTCCGCTTAACCACCTTCCAAAAGCCATACGCGACCACAAAAAACCCAACCATAGTATAATCCAAAAAGAACGTCTGCACATCCCACTGCCCATCGATGAATATCTCGAACCCAATGATCAGCGTCATGACTATCGTCCCCACCAGCGCGAACCAGCCCGCATACGGCTGCAGATAGCCCTTATAGGGAAGTGTATCGCGGGATATACCCTGTCGGCGCAGTGCAGCATAGAAGTGCAGGTATGTGATGCACGTGCCGACGTAGTTGAGGAGGTATGATGCGACGATTATTCCCACGAGCCAGTTCAGCACCGTGGAGGAGTTGTTGCTTACTTGGAGGAATCCGAGGAGGCAGAATGCCAGCGATGCGGCGACGGCGTAGTAGGGGAGGCCGTTGCGGTTGCAGCGCGCGAAGAGGGTTGGGGCGCGACCTTCGAGTGCCATACCGTGGAGGGTCCGGGCTGCGGAGAATACGAGGTTGTTGCCGGCGGAGAAGACGGAAGTCATGATTAGGGCGTTGACAATGTCCGGGAGGACGCGGATGTTGAAGTGGTTCATGGAGATTACATAGGGGGAGCTGGAGGGGATCTCGGATGTTTAGAAGGAATACTGGTATGGATGAATATTGGCTTGATGGGACTCACGCAGCTCCCGTCCCACTTCCTTGTTCCGTCCCTTCCAAGGTGGCAGCAAGAGTAGGATCATTGTAGGGGATGAGTATGCCCATTGATAGAGCACCCAGGATGAAAAATGTTACCAGTCGCCATGGGTACGACGCGTAAGCCTTTTTCATTACTCCTCGTGGTCGTGCTGCTTCTGCGGCTGCCATGGATATGTATTCGGGGCCGACCATTCTGTTGCAGTGGTGAGTTTGATACAAACGCAAATTACGTGTTTGGGTTGGTCTAACGTGAAAGAACCTTGTATCATGCATGCTAGAACGCCGCAGAAGCGTCCAACGCCACCGGATATAATGTAGGACACAAATGCCCCCTGGAATTTGCAGATTTGCCATTAACCAACCCTATATATACCTGTTGATGAGACAATGCACCCACCGGATCTCGCCAGTATCGGAAGCCGTATACATCGTGGCGTGGATTGCCTCCGACCATGGTAATGAAGGTATACAGCAGAAGTCCGACCATGAGGAGTATTTTGAAGGACGACAGATAGAACTCCGATACTCCGAAGAAGCGAACGGTAAATATGTTCAACAGTCTGGCATTGCAGGAGTGAGGTTAGAGACACGTACAATGGCTGTGGAGGAAACACGTACGTATAAAGCACCAACATAATCACCACCACAGCAGCTACAGGCACACGATCGGTCCAGTAGGTGAGGAGGATGTTGATGGCGACTATCTCGTATGGTATTCCGAATGCTGTCAAGGTTAGCATTCCATCACCTGCAGAAAGGTGAATATGACTAACCCATGGTGAAAAAGAAATTCCAGCCCATGGCAAAGCTTAGGGCATCATCCACCCAGTGACCGGCGAGGCGGATGAACGGCGAGGGGATAGGCAAGTAGCAGACCATCTCCGCTGTAAGAGTCAACCCAGCTCCATCGGACAAAGTTTCGACTAGACCAGCTCACCAAAGCATTGATTGACAGAGAGGATGATAGGCGTGTACACGAGAAAGCCGATTAAGAGACCTGCAGGGCCAGCTTTAGGTAACATGGCACCCATCTGAACAAATAGCGCTACAAACAGTCAATCAATATGACGAGATAATTGCTGGCAGCTAATTCACCGGCATGCCGAGACGTACATGTTCCAATGGCTCCCCCGACCGCGAAGAGCTGAACTTCTTTCCCGCCCAGCTTGCGATGCAAATACTGCGATCCTGCCGTGATATTCGGGGCTTCCGGGGACTCGGAAGCATGGTCGCTGGCTTCGGCCACACCAGGGTCGGGAAGGCGGTACTTGTTATCCATGTTTGACAGCCGTGCGTTCCGTATCCCTGGCCACGAGCATCGCCTTTTATTTAACCGCCGGCACACGAGCATATCGCTTTCACAGCTTGAGATTACACCCCACGTTCTCGCATTAGGAGCACGGCGTTAGGGCGTTTCGGGCGGGGTTCGGCCTATGAGAGGAAAGTATCCACTTGAGATGCAGATAGCTCTGTGCGATCATCATGGCCTGTCATCGGATCGAGATGTTGGGCAGCCGGCGATCGTGTAGCCTGACCGTGGCCGAGATGGTAACAGAGGAGCGAGGCGGCATTTATTAGGAGCAAAGCGGCATTGTTTTCCGAGGGGGATATTATCTAGGATTCTAGAATAAGTCGAGAGACGAGATTGAATTGGCTGTCAACGACCCAATTAACCGCGAAATAGCATATGTCGCGTGAAAGGATCAGGTTAAAAACGAACGATCGACATAAGCTTGGATGACACGGGATAGGGATGGCAATGATTACGTGGATCGCTTGAATCTAACCGAACATTTGTATCATCTCTTCTATCAGATATTTATATAAATTCACACCAGGACCAGCTGGTGACATCTCGGCGCTTAAACTGCAGGCAAAGAAACCGAACCCAAGAGTATCCCGAGAAACACTAGACACTCTCGGCCTATAAAAATCATTGGTGCTAACACTCTAGTCCAAGAAAGGCAGTCCAACCCAGTCGGACTCCTTTTCCGATGGCTCCTCAGCCGTACATCGGTCACACCCGCAGACGAATCTAAACAGACCCTGGAGGTGATCTCGACGGGACTTGAGGTCGACGCGTTTGCTCAAATCGAAATAGGATATGCAGCACTCCTCGCCGGCTGCGATGTCCTTCGAGGCAGTAAACACCATCCGTCCGTGATGATCGGGTTTATGCATGATCTGGACCGGTCATATTAGCTAATAGTCAAGGGTGGACATGGAGGCTCTTACATTAGGACTGCACGAATGGTTGGCAATCGCTGCTCGAGGATAAACGGCCGCACCAAACTGCTCTCCCCGGTCGACAGGGGGTTCTGGGACAGGATATACACCCGTCTCGCGCGGATACAAGCCGAAAGAGTTGGCTTCCTCCCGGCAGATCAGAGCCACGATCTCGTCAACGCTTAGGTCGTGTGGCAAGATCGGACTACTGCGAAGATACTTCTTCACCAACGCTGTCCATGATCGCACCTGAGCGTGTGACCAGCTCTCTATCGAGCCACAGAAGGACTGGATGGCTTCCCAGCCACCCTTGAAACGCTGATTCGTTTCGTTGTTGGCATCAAGCAGCTGCTGTCGCTCCGTGTGGCGTGAGGCGAGGATGCGGACAATCAGCCACATCATGCCAAAGTCGTATTCGCCCCATTTTGCGCGAATGGGCGAGGCGTATCTCTGCAGCCAGGTGCACTCGAATTCATGGCGCAATTGATCAGCTTCCTGGCAGGTCGAACTGCACCAGACTACATCTGCGAGACAGCGGTTGGGACACGAAATGCGTCCCGAACTTTGTTGCGTCTGACGACTACAGGTTGGATTGCTGCACAGAAGACTATCGCTACTGGCCGGATCATCGACGACGGGAATGAGCGCATAGGGCACGTCAATCATCAGGAGCTCGCCCTTTCGGATGGGTTGCGAGGCACGCAGCTGGCGGCCTTTAATCGGCACCACGCCCTGCTCTAAATGGGGATGTACCCACGGAACGGACGCTGGACGGAATTTATTAGGGGCATTGAGATGCTCTGCAGTTGCGAGGAGCCGTTTTTCGACTGTCGTTGTTGATAAACTCATGATGGTGTGCTGCTTAGGGTCACTGGGACTCGGAGACTTGGGTTTGTTGTGACGCAGATGGGCTGGTTAATTCGGCACGCCATTTTACTCCATTTTTCTTCCTGTCCCTCTCCCAAATTTTTCTGCAGTTCGTCAGCAAGCTCTTATCTCCATTGCCAGATTCGGGTCCACTCGGATCTCGTCTGAATGGTCAATCGGTTTGCCATCACGGTCAAGGAACCAATAACGACGGCAGCAGCTTGGAACCGCAAACCTCAGTGGATACTGCGGATCTCCCATGCCAAAGCCTGGACCGAAGCCATCGAATGCTGCAGACGGCACAGAAGGGAGTTAACAGCCAGCCATGATACGCTGCATATGCACCATCTTTCTCACACATGGCACCATTGAATGGCTGCCCTTAGTGGACTTGAATATGCAGAGGAAGAGTGAGACTGATCTTTTGGGGCGGGAAGAAATGCTGGAATAGGGCATTGTCTCGAAGTCGATGGTTTATCCGCACTAGACCATCTTATCGATACCATTCTTGATTTATCCGTGACATGGAAAGGGTGGATGGTGATATTGACTCCTAGTAAAGTGGCTTGTCGATGATCAGTTTTTCATCTATTTGCTTGCTTTTCCTCTTCTCAATAATTGCGGGAGGCAAAGCTGCCTCAGGCAGTACCCACACAGCTACTATGCCTTCTCTGATTGGCTAATTGATCACTTCCAAGCTGGGAAATCTTCAGCTGACTAACTTGGATAGTAGTAACTTCTAGATTGGGACTAGCTCGGCACATGATCGATACTCTCCGCCTGAGGCAGCGATGGTTACACCCACGCCCACTCAAGAAGGACCAAGTACAACAAGCTCAGATGCTATTCCTAGATACAATTTTCAACTAGTATTTCACTGCATCCAGTTCCATCACCTAAGTCACGACGGCTCCTCACCACCTGATCAGCAAAACATCACTGGCATACAAAGCAGACAATGTCAGGATCCTCAGTCCGTCGTCAGCCCATCTTGATAAAATCCTTCAACTCCAAACCTTCATCATCAAGGAACCTTCCTGCTCTGATTTCCCAGAAGTGGGCATCATGGCACTCGTGCTCGAGGTACTGCCAGCAGAGATACTTGGAACTTCTGGGATCGTACCACCGCGGCTGCCTGAACCGATCAATGAGATTCGCAAGAGACGTGTAGCTATTGTGTGTGAAGGGCGCCATGAACTCAGACCTGCTCAGTCCGTATACGCTCATGTTCTTCATAAGGGCCCCATACAGCATGGAACTGCATTCAAACGAGCAACCCCTCTTCCCGCTCAGGTATTCATCTTCAACATGATAGATGTGGTCCATCAATCCTTCAATGGCCTTGATTCGGCGGGCGTTGATTTCTTCTAATTAGTTGTAAGCGAGCGTACTTCGTGTTATACCGGTTAGATATACACTTACCCACGATCGGTGCCGGGATCGGAAGGCCCAGAGGCGGCATGTGTGATTTTCCTTCCTTGATCAAAGCCAAGCTCGCTGCCTTGAAAACACCCGGCATTCGAAAAAATATTCCGATCCAGAGCCAGATCACAGACTCGCGGTAGCTGTCGTCTGGTCCTTGGGGGTCAAGCTTGGCAATCCATGGCCGAGCTGCAAAACGCACCGCATCATGGACATCATAGTAATCGGCGACCACACAGACCTTGCCCAACATCTCCAGGTCAACTTTGTCAGGAAGCTCATGGTGCTGGCAATGAATGATTCTCAGAACGTAGAGTAGCGCGTCTTCATCCCAGCATTCTGCTGTTGTCGACAGTCTTCCTTCCGCCTGGAATGTGTTGCTCTCTGCCATGCCGATGGTGAGAAGGGACCTAAAGTACGACGATGCGGCCATAAGATGCTTCGCCGATGCTTGGAAGATAACCACTGCCTCAGTGTCACTCTCATCGCTCATGAGCTGGAGCATCTTTTTTTCCAATTCGTCCCTGGCACGTCTGCGCGATATTCGTTCCTCTGCGGTCAGCAGTGAGCTTGGGAGTATGTCAACAGGTGGCCCGCCGATACCCCAGATGCCACTCTCCAACTCAGTAGCCTGGATTTCGTCGTCATCAGGCTCAACCACAAATGGAACAGTCGTCAGCTTCTTATACTTCTCGTCCATGATTCCGGCGTCTATAGCCATTCCCATCCAACGCTGCAATAGCTCGTGGTCCACGACTTCGGAGCTGACCTTCTGCGGTCCTTCTTGTTCACAGGGAACGAATTCGCAATTAGGATACTTCAACGTAATAAAGATCTCGCCTTCCAGATCAAGAATATAGTCTGGTGTCTCCATTTTTGATGTTTCCCTCTCGAGTCTGGGACTGATCTGACGTACTTTTCCAGGTGGGAAAGTGAGTTAAACAGTCAAGTTGTATGGGAAAGGTAAATGGGAGAATGGTACATGAGAGAATGTGAGATGGAAGATTGTGAGATGAAAGCAACACTCCAGCATGGAGCTGAGGGGTAGAAGAATCCATGGCCAGTTTGAGGATTCACTGTCTTGCTCCGCGTTGGTGCTGTTCTGTGCCTCATTGGGCGATCAGATGTTGAATTGAATGGCAGACCCGCGTTGGAACATGCAACTCGAGACTCTCTGCTCCCAGCCGCACTGGTTCGGACACACCCACCCGAGTAAAATGCAGAAGATGGAGGGAAAGACGGCGAAGCAGGCTTTTATATGGTAAATTTTAGCACCAGTCCCGTGATGGCCGATCACTGCACAGTGTCATGAATGTTCGGCGTGAATCTAGCTCTCCGTGACTATCAACATGAAGCACCATTCAAGTCACAAAGGTTCAGCGAATGGCCGTCGCCGCCACTAAAGCTTCACAGGCAGAACTCTGTGTTGACGCATCAGCAGCAGTGAAAGGCCCTGACCAGGCGGGGCCGAGTTGATCTTCATCGCCCCGGTCATTCTGCCAGATGCTGTTGGCATTTTGCTGCAGAAATTGCTTCAGCCCGTCGTCGGGACTGACCTGGTACAGCATCTGAAGGTTTCGCATCAAGATACCTTTAAATTGTGGCGCATCCCCGGTGCAGTCCGGATCGCAGGATTCCTTGAGTATCCCATTGGCATCGCCCAATGCCTGCATGGCTGCATCAGCTATTCGGTGCGCCGTGGTAAGATACGATGTGTTTGAGACCAGCTGCGACAACTCGACCAGTCCTCCTAGAACTACGCCCTGATTGTAGCTCCAAACGGTGCCGTTGTTATTGTGACAAGTCGTCAGATCCAGTCCATCATTAATGGTGTTTTGGCTATTGATCAAACCACTATTCTCGAACCAATCCCATTCTTTCATTGCCCAGTCACGATAGTAAGACGCGTTGTCGGTATCCCGACGCCCTAGATGAGCAGCGACGCTCAGGAACAGCTCAATTTCGATAGCGTTGTTGCCAGTATGATCCTTGTCCCACCAGATCCCACCGCATGTAGTATCCCACCCGCCTGCCATATCATCAAAGATGTTCACTGCGGTATCCAGGTATCGCCGATCCTGAGTTAAATCGTAGGCCTGAATCCACGCCAACGCCCACCACCCCTCGTCGTCGTAGTAATCATTGAGAAATTCAGTACTAGATTCGGTGTCGTTCTGGGGTAATTGACGCTTATATTGGGAGGTTGGTTTGCGAACACTATGTGAAAGAGTTGAAGTTGGGGCTTGGATGAATGTATTGTTGAAAGTTGCCGAGCTCGAGTTGAGCATTGAAGGGTCCAAAGCCGTGAGATCGCCCAGCACGGTGAGGCAAATGGCACTATTCCACCAGCCGGTCGTATCCCACAGCCCGGTTGTTTGATTGTACCATCCCTGCAGCGTATTCACGGCAGATTTGGCGTGGTCAAGGTATGGTGTAGTTGAGCTGAGGGTTAGTTGAGTGGGAGATGAGGCGACGATGGGGGCAAGCCCCAGAAGCGTATATACTGCTGATGCGATCATTGTCAGAATATGAAAGATGTCAGAGGACACAATGTCTGACGCTGGTGTTTATATCTTGTGGGTGCGCCTGGCGCCGATCCTGATGTCATGTGGAATGCTCACAAGGCTTCTGAAACACAGGAATCCTCAGGGATCCACACTGATGGCTGGAGAAGGTCAGACTGATAGATGTCCAATCTCTACATAAGGAGGTACTCTTCCTTCATATAAATACAGCTTGTCATGGCACAGGATGCTTGGGTTACACGCAAGGCAGGTGATAGGGGAACTAGTATAGATTGCGGGCTACGATCGACCCAGCCAGAAGCATGAATGATCCGAAATATAGTTGCTGGCAAGATTCAATAGAAGAATCCAGGAATTATACTCATTATCTGAGTTAAAGCTCCCTACGCTATCCCTTCAGTGGATGCGATACACCTGCTAGGCATTCTATCGCAGTTGCTGTCAGACCATGAAGCCATTTCATCAGCTTCGTACCGGTAGGAAGTACACGATTATCGCTATTAGTAAATATTACAGTACAATTCAATCAGCCAAGTTTTTTCTGGCAGGTCAATGAGCCAGTAAACTTATATTGAAATGAATGACTTGTAATAGAGCAGTTCATAAACTTGCAGTGATGGCTCTTCCCGTAACTGCGTAGGACAAAGTTAATACCTCACTCCTCAAGCTGGATCATGATCGGAACCTTCCTTTTTCATACATTTTTCCATCCTGCAGTCTTCCGATCTCTCGGTCGGTCGGAATTGTCCATCACTGCGGTGTGTGAATGGTTCAACATGTCACTGCTATCAGTGTGTCGACTGGTTACACATGGCGGGTTCATGCAGGTAACCCATGGTTATAGCCTCGAGGCTCCAGGCTGCTGCCTGTGCTGCCTGGAAGCCTTGCAGATATGCACTTTCCATGCCGTCACTCTTGCCCTATTCCCTCCTCATCCGGACTCTTCTCCCTCAACATAAATACTCACCCCGCCTCACCCCCTGAACCTGTTTCCAATCATCTCACAGAACCTACAATAACAATTTCTCCAATCATTAACAAAACAGAAGATGCCTCGTCGGACTCGCTCACCACCCCATTTTGAGCGCACTCTCGCGGACCTGGAGGATTGGGCCCATAAAACCGCCATCGAGGTATTTTGCCCCGTCGGGTTCCTATTTGTCGTTTTACTATTGCTCCTTGCGGTGCCACATTTAGATTAGAAGATTATAGTAGGGACTGGAAATATTCTGAGAATGTGCTGACATAATATGACAGGATTGTAAACTCGATGCGTGTCTTGACAATTTTCTCGTGCGCGTTTACCGGCTCAATCGTTCCATCCTTGAACAGTTGGACTACAGGCCTTATTGGAGATATGGGAACAGAGATTCCGAGAATCCCCCAAAGCCATTAAAATGGGATGGGCCGGGTGCCGGGGAGCTGCGGAAAATCGCTTCTCAACTTCATGACAACTTGAAACGCCTTCTTCCGGGCTACGTGGAGGATGACACTGATATTCTTGCAAACGAAAAAGTGCTCCGAAAGCTGAATAGCCGATGGAACGCTGTCAACTCCAAGGTGGTCAAGGGCAAGGAAGACGAAGACGAGGAGCAAACCTTCGACAAGAATTATCTTGACGATGAAGATTATGAGGAAACAGAGGCTAAAGATACCAGTGCAGGAGAGACTGGTGCAGGAGATACCGATGCAGAAGACACAGAAACTGAGAATAGACCGGGGGAGAAACCCAAGGGAAATGTTCGTGAGACAAAGGCTTTTCCAAACTCCCCTGCTCGCTTCATGGACCGACTCCTAGACACCTTGAGTGCGGCACGTCTGGCAACAGTGCGAGAGAACAGTACCGGATCTTCCTCCCTAGCGACTGGTGCCTTTACACAGGCTTGTCGGCAGTTGAGAGAGGCGATCGAGAGCGAGACCTCATCTGCCTCTTTTGCATGCGGGGGCAGCATTCCGATCACTAATCTCATCGACTCCGAGCAATCTGCAGCTGGACCTATGTCGCCCCGTGTGCAAATCGTTCACTGGGGTGATGAGCACGAGTCCACCGCACAAAGGCTCACGCTGCCACTGCTAAAGGATGCCAGTGATTCTTCTATCCATGGTCTCCAAGAGCTTCTTGATGCTTGCCAACCTGCGAGCTTTGGTAGGGGTGGGCAGGACATCCTTGACCCCGAATACCGCAGGGCAGGCAAACTGGATCCCGACCGATTTCTGACGAGCTTCCATCCAGCTGATTTTGGCATTATCGAACTCATCGAGCAGATCCTTCTACCTGGTATTAGCAGCGAGACTGAAAATCGGCTGCAGTTCCGCAAGCTCAAGGCTGAGTTGTACAAACTGAATGTCCGTTTGTTCCGAATCCCTAGCATTATCATGTGTTGACTGAACGCATTGCAGGTATACTCGGGCCCTTCTGGGCATTTCCGAAAGCACGTTGACACCCCACGCTCGGAGCACCAGATTGGATCACTTGTGGTTTGCCTGCCGTGCCAATTTGAAGGAGGCAACCTGATTGTGCAGCATCACGGGCAGGAGACTAACTTTGACTGGAGCCGGCAGAGTAGCTCTGATATCCAATGGGCGGCCTTCTACTCGGATTGCGAGCATGAGATTGAGACTATCAGAGCGGGCAATCGGATCACTCTCACGTACAATCTCTATGTACGGGAGATGCCTGGTGCCATACTTGCCCCTATCCGTCCGGCCATTGATCCACGGGCTTTCCCACTCTATGGGGTGGTTGAGAGTCTACTGAACACCCCTGGCTTCATGAAAGATGGTAGGTTGTTCCCGATTATTTTATTCCCGCCCTGTACTTGGAATTGACGAAGGCTGAACTTCTGACTTAGGCGGCGTGTTTGGAGTCTTCTGCTCTCATGCCTATCCCCACTCCTCGGATATAGCCGAGCTTCAACTCCCACGTGCCTTGAAGGGCGCCGACCTTGTTGTCTATGCTATCTTTGAAGCACTTGGTATTGAAGTCAGCATCCTCCCGGTCCTGGAATACAATGGAGACTATGCAGGTAACCCTCAGCTGGGTGTCCCTGGGCAAGTCCCCAAGCGTAAGGGTAGGTATGGGTATCTGTCCCAGAGTGGAGGTTGGAATCCTGTTGCAGAAAGCTACCTGAGAGAGGGCAAAGAGGATTCCCTCAGCTACAACGAAGTGTACCCTTGGAAGTCCAGCAGTGCACTTGACGTGGACCAGCACTGGAGACGGCTGCTGTTGACACGGGAAGTATCGGAAATGAAAGATGCCTTCTGGCTTGGAGAAAAGCACCATCTGCCAATGAAGCCAAACAGCCTCTATCAGGGAGGGGGTGCTCGAGTAGCCCCGCATTTCCGAGGCTATTTTACGTCTGATCGCGGACAGGAAGAAGGCCTAGATGAGGTAAGTTGTATTCCAGGTTTTCCTTTGGTCATTGGGAGCTGACCTTTAATTTGCCAGGTGGCTAACGATATCTGGCCGACATACTACCTCCCGGGCATTACCTGGCTCACCCAACCAAAGCATGAGGAGATGGCCTTTTCTCAGATCTCTTATGGCAATGAAGCCAGTCTCGGCACTCGGTATTCCTGTGCAGCGATCCTGGCCGTCATTCCGCCTTCTAGTCAGCGGGGCCAACAGATGCAGATGTAGTAAGTCAGTGAGGTTTTCCAGGTAGTAGTGACGACAAAATGAGATTGATTGGAGAGTATTGGTATGGTTTACTAGTTCGTCTTGTTAGTTAGTTACAATAGATTGGACGCTCCTCCCATGCCTTTCCTGTTTCCAGTCAGTGTAGCTCGATACCTGCTGCTTCGCTACCAACCTTAATGTCCCAGTATGATACTGCTAGTGCGGAGCAACCATTCATCCATTTGGTAATATTACTAGCTACGTGTCCACCGTGAAATATACTGCCATACGTGCACTAAGTCCATTCCAAACATAACACATTAATTTAATCGCTACCGTCCATTGCCACCTAAGTATACCACGTCGGCTCTGGCACCTCACCCAACAGAGCATACCTCCCCAGCTCGCGATTCTTATACGCCACCGGATCATGCAGCGTATGCGTCCGAATATCGCGCCAAAACCGATCCAACCCGACCTTCACGGCCGTCGCCCTGGCACCAGTAACCTCAAAGATACCCGAGGTCACCCTCAACCCAACATCCGTAGTAACCACCTTGACACTGGCAATCCACTCGGCCAAGTCACCCCGTTGTCTAGCCGTCAACCCAGGCCGGTTATCCGCATGCTCTCGATACAAGGACGAAATCTCCTCTCCAGCCCGATCAGCCAGCGCCTCGGCCGCGCGGAGATGCGCGAAGAAGTTCCCGTATCGCTCGAGAATATAGAACTCCTCTGTCGCGGAGGGCTTGTTGTCTCCGCCAAAGGGCCATGGGCGGGTCGTGCTCACAGTGTATTGCGATGCGAAGGCTAGTGCGCCTTGAGCGATGCCGAGGTAGAAGTTGCTGAAGACGAGTTGGATCCTATCCAATCCATATGTCAGTATTGCTGTGTTCATTAATGGATCAAATGGAAGGATGGAAGGTATAACTTACGTGGGAAGCAACAAACTCGCAAATGGCACACCCAGAACCTCCTCGCGCGGCCTCTTCGACACTTCGTCCCATCCCAATGCATCTTTCCACGGCGCACGCACATTCTCTATCTTGACCCCTCCGGACTCCGTCAATCGTAGACCAATGTTGTTCCAGTTATGGGCGAACTTGATCCCCGCCTGACGGGTCTCGACGAGCGCGAAGATGTGCTCGCCTGTACCTTCGAGGACACCTTCTAGGACAGTGAGGTCGGAGACGACGCCCCCCGTGTTGAAGAATTTGGCTCCGTTGAAGATGATGTCTTCTCCGTCGGAAGTGATGGATAGATCGCTGTCGCGGGGATTGACGGCCCCGCCGACGAAGTAGTTGTTTGTGATTATCCACTGGTGGATGCGGTCGGCTTGCGAGGGGGTGCCGACTACGTTGGCTGTTGTGGACCAGAGGAGGTGGTAGCCTAGGAGCATGCCGATTGAACTATTTATCTTGGTTAGTTTTGTTATGGTATATTGTGATTTAAAGATGGAAGGGGAGGGGGATGTATATACCCATCTCCTTTGGCTACCTCGCGGATTGCCTTGTATCCCACGCTCCAGGGCTGTTCGCCTCCACCGTATTTCTTGGGGCCTAGTAGTTTTAGAAGACCAGAGTGTTTGAGTAGAGCTACTTCCGCCCGTGGGGATTTGTTCTCTTGCTCGCGCTGCGCAGCATCCTGGCTCAGGATTGTGGCTACTTCACGCGCCCGAGCTAGCCAGGCATCAGCGGTGTCGGGTAACGAGGCCCATTGGGATTTGTAGGCCTCATAGACAGCTGGATCGGTGGCTGGGATGTCAGTTTGGGTCATGTTGAGCTGGTTATGATAATGTGTTGGGAGAGTGAGGGGGTTGTGAGGGGCTCTGATGAAATGCTGCAGCAGGCATGGTGGCACTGGGCAATCACTTGCTTATAAGTTGATATCTGTTGACGGACTCAAAAAGTAGTCAAGACGTGGTGATTGCGCTGGAAGCTTGTAAATGGCGCGCACGGATCACGCCATCTGCGGGCTGAAGCACATCGCATCGTGGATCGACAAGGAGAGAATTGTTGGATGCTTCAGTGGAGGGGAGATGTCGTTATCCCGCCGAATATGGCACAACCAACACAATTACGGGGTTGGCTTGGACCATAAGCTTATCTCGTGCTGCCACAATAATTAACTCAATACATTATATCCAGATATACTACCACTATTTAGCACTAACTGCTGTTCTGATCTGCAGGGCAGACCCACACCCTCTGTCCTTCTACTCTTCTCGCTTCCTGCTCTTCGCAAAATACCTCCCCGTGTCCCCCAACGGCAACTCCAGCAAACAATTATCTTTCAGGAACAAATGAAACACAATATACCACCCCACCATCCCCGCCACAAAGCAACTTGCCCCTCCTGTCTTGCGCAATGCCCTCGCCGACTCAGCGTGTCCATCCGCATCAGCAAAGTAACTCGCCGCCACAGTCAAGAACCCCAAGTCCACAAAGAAGAAAACCAAAATATTTGCCAGATTGATCGGCAGCGATGCTATGAGAAACGCGAACACGAATACTGTCCATAATATCATGAAGAAACCGAGCGCGTTGTTGTACTGTGCTGTGTCGGATCCGTAGGCTTGTGCTACGCCAAAGGCTGGGGTGAGGATCGCGCCATAGCCGGCGTAGAAGAGGCCTGTTCCGAGAATCAGTCTGATTAGCTTCGTTATTCTTCAAGGAAAGGAATAGGGTCTATGAGGGAGGTGTACCGAATGCGCTGAATACCGTGTACGCAAAACCATTCCCCACGGAGAGTTCCCATTGCGCGGTGATGACAAGTCCGAATGCTGCGATGAAGAAGAAGTTGCCCACGTAGACGTTGGTGATGGTTACCCCGCGCCATTCCATCAGACTGAGGGATAGGGTTGTTAAAGTCGTGCCGAATGCGCCTAGAGCTAGTGCTGACTACACATGAGATGCGTTAGTGTATCACTGATTTTTCAGGATGGAGGATGGTGACTCACGCCTGCACCGAGTGACTTGGATGCGACTTGCACTGCTGCTGCAGTAACAGATCCTTGTCGCTCAATGTCGAATGCATCGGTGACATTCTTTCTGTCTGTTGGTGAAGTGGTAGACATTGTAACTGTGAGGGGACGGTGTAGGTAGGACTGCCTAGTTGTGCTGATTGATGACCTCGCGGTGAATGGGCCATTCCCTAATTATGCTATCTTATAGACGCGCGGGCCTTATTTTGGGTCTATTACGCCATCTGGATACCCAGTGGTGAGCAGAGATTGACTCCAGAGTGGGCGGGATCTCTACGGGATATGGGCGGGATCTGCTGGAAAATGGGGTTTTCGGAATAAGATCCAGGCTGACGAAGCGGGAAAGAAAACAAGTTCTTGACGGTCACATTAGAGTATGCAGTATGCCTATACTATTTGTGGGGGGCGATCATACGATGGCCTCATCTCCCCCCCCGCGATGAGGTGCTTGTCTGATTTTTGGTCCAGCCCACAACACACTTAGTAGCTCCGATCAATCCAGTCTCCCCAAGTCTCGCCCAGCACCGTGGTCTTGTCAACCGCAGCAGAAATGGAGGTCTCGTATTCGCGATCAGAGGTGTCCGATCCCGCACCAGAGTTGTTGTATTCATAATACAGCGGCGTCGCACCGTCTGCCATGGTCGTCCATCCCTTGGGGTTGATGATGTCCGACAACACCGAGTTCTGGTAGATGACCCGCGCCAGCACGCGCCACGGCCGGCCCAGGTAGACCTCCTCCGTGAGAGAGACTCCTGAAGCAGCCTTGATGTTGCAGTTGTCGATGGCGTACCAGCCTGAGTCAGAGGGGGTTTCGCGCGATGAGGCCGTGATGGCACCGGCGCCGTTAGACACAATGTCACATTCGCCGAACCACACGGACGCATCGCCAAAGATGTAGTCGACCGCGCCTGGAATAGTTAGTCAATGTTCTAATTGTGCTGTTTGGACAAATACTGACCCTCGATCATGCAGTTGGAGTAATACTGGGTGCCGGCCTTGACATAGAGAGTGTCTTGATAACCACTGAATTGGCATCCATAGAAGCCCAGTTGGTCTGCGTTTCCGACAAGGCTAGCAAAGCCATTAGCCCAACAATCTCAATGAATTGGGAAGATCGGCATACTTACGCTACAGCTTGTGCTCCCTCGCCATATCCATTCTCCACGTTGATGTTGTACATGCTGAACCCATCCGAGACCACGTTGACGGTAGCGCTCTTGTCGAGAGAGCCGGCATCCGACGACGAGATGGTATGGGTAATGGTAACCACATTGTCCTTGTATGTGCTGGTGTCGGTAGTCTCACCGTACAGGGTCAGGTTGCCAGCGTAGTCAATGGTCAGCTGCTCCTCATACGTGCCGCTGGCAACGTAAATGCAAGCGGACGAAGTGGATGAGCCTAGAGCGTCAAGCGCGTCGCCGATGGTGGAATAAGTTCCATCCGATCCGACCGTCAGACACCCTGAGGGAGCACTCGTCCGGCTCTCTCGCTTCTTGATGTGCTCTGCCGGAGCACCGACGGCGGTAGCAGCCAGGGCGGCAAGGGCGCCCAGAAGATATGAAGTATGCATGTGAGTGAGTTGTTGCTGCGAGATCCTCCGGACTAAATGAGTGAGGATTATATCCTAGCAAGGCGTCGGAAAAGGAAGGAATCGACAGGCACGCCAAGTGACTATATAGCTTGCTTCCGAGCACATGTCAACAAGGCTGTCAGTTCATGTCATAGCATCTCCAGTTGTCTCTCCTCGCCCTAGAAGGCTAGCTGCCAACAAGACACCGGGACAAAACGGCGGTCCAGCGCCAAGAAAAACCATTGCCGGAGAATTTACTCCACACTTCCATGAATAACCATCTTCGCTTCCCGGCACGGCCGCCATGGCGTTTCACATAAGCATCCTTCGTCTGCAGGAACGCGCCGTTGACGCCGACGGTTCTCCGTGCAGAATGAAGCGATTGGCGGCGTGCCATCGGGAAGCTACCAGACAGGTTCAGGCCTCAGCAGGAGGCGGAGGAAGCGACCCTGGCAATTTATCCGGATCGACATACCACCGCGTCAGCTGGCTGGGTCTGTCTCCTGGAACGGTTCGAGTGTCGCATGTTAGTGGGCGGGGTTTCATCGCGACTCGCAGGGATCAAGCGGCAGTTCGGCATAAGAAGAAATTGCATGGCCTATTCACAAATTGTGTTGAGGACCCTGCCAGCTGTTGTAATTTGTAGGCCAATTAGCCGATAATCCCCAGGTCTTGAGATGGTCAGGGCACGGCGGTTACTCCGTCACTAAATTAAGCATCCGGCTCGTTTCAAATTGACCCCCAGCCGAGATGACAGGGCCTGCCTCGGCGTCCCACAGCCCTCACTGATGTATGCCTCTGCAGATAGATGGTAACCACTGCATGCCACACGATTCCGTACACCTCCGGGCAGGATGCAAGTCGTATATAGTGGGCTAGACATCGCCAGACTGGTCACCAGCTCAAACTGTGCAACAATCCCATAGTCATTGGCACAATTAGTGTTCACCATGACGCTATATCGCAATCTTCTGCTTTTGGCCAGCCTTGGACTGAGCTATGCTGCTCCCTCTAAGGTCCAACGTGCCCCTGATTCGTCCCTCCACGCTCGTGCCGTCTGTACCCCAACCGCAGGCGGCGATTCTTCCACTGACGACGTGCCCGCCATCACCGAGGCTCTCAGCTCGTGCGGAAACGGAGGCACCATTGTATTCCCGGAGGGCAGCACCTACTACCTCAACAGTGTGCTTGACTTGGGCAACTGCAGTAATTGCGACATCCAGGTGGAAGGTCTTTTGAAGTTCGCCAGCGACACCGATTACTGGAGCGGTCGCACCGCCATGATCAGTGTGTCCGATGTGGATGGCCTGAAGCTGCGCTCACTGACTGGGTCGGGTGTCATCGATGGCAATGGCCAGGATGCGTATGTGGTCACACTTCTCGGAAGCAAGCCTCCCAGTCCATTTAGCTGACCGATGCAATTTAGGTGGGATCTCTTTGCGAGTGACAGCAGTTACTCACGCCCAACGCTCCTGTACATCACTGGCGGCAGCAACCTCGAAATCTCCGGGCTGCGTCAGAAGAACCCACCCAACGTGTTCAACTCAGTCAAGGGCGGCGCCACTAACGTCGTCTTCTCCAACCTGAAGATGGATGCAAACTCCAAGTCAGACAACCCGCCCAAGAACACTGATGGCTTCGACATCGGCGAGAGTACCTATGTAAGCATCACTGAGATCACCGTCGTCAACGATGATGACTGTGTGGCCTTCAAGCCCAGCTCCAACTACGTGACCGTCGACACCATCAGCTGCACCGGCTCCCATGGCATTTCCGTGGGGTCGCTGGGCAAGTCCAGCGACGACTCGGTCAAGAATATCTATGTCACGGGCGTAACCATGATCAACTCCACCAAAGCCGCCGGAATCAAGACTTATCCGAGTGGAGGCGACCACGGCACTTCCACGGTCAGTAATGTGACGTTCACCGATTTCACCGTAGACAACTCCGACTATGCCTTCCAGATCCAGAGTTGCTATGGCGAGGACGATGACTACTGCGAGGAGAACCCGGGCAACGCCAAGCTGACCGATATTGTCGTCTCGAGCTTCAGCGGCACAACCAGTGACAAGTATGACCCGGTTGTGGCCAACATCGACTGCGGTTCGGATGGAACGTGTGGCATCTCCATCAGTGGGTTCGATGTGAAGGCGCCGTCGGGAAAGTCTGAAGTGCTGTGCGCCAACACCCCGTCTGACTTGGGTGTCACCTGCACTTCGGGAGCATCGGGCTAAATAGCTTCGGCCAAAAATGATTTCTGTATCCACTAGCTATCGATCGTCATCAGATCTAGGAGTTAGCATGGTAGTGTACATAGCAGAATGTAATCAATTCCCTGACGATGCTGCAAATACAAATATGGAAGTATTATCATTACACATGAGACACAACGACGACTTTCTCGGTTTATAATTGTTGTAATGAGCGACCTGATGTAAGAGTTGATGAAGATTCCTTCAGGAGGCAGAGGGTAGTGGAAGCAATGGGGCTTCTTCACCTGGGATGGGCTCAAGCACTCCCACCGTCATGTTTAATAAATGGCACCACCGCTGATTTGTCAATCATCCCGTCCTCGACTCCAATCCCCCGCCATCAGTTGAATTCTGCATCATCGTCGGAAGGAAAACCGGACCCTTCGGCCAGTGCCGGTCGTGCATCCCCACGATGTGGAGGCGGGGAGCCCGTCATGGGGATGGAACCACGCACCACCCGGCATAACACATATCCGCTGGTTCATCCTCCGCCAATCGGCCCTCTCTTCACTCTCCAGCCCATCTAGTACAAAGTATACCGGCCCGGAGATCGGTCCCAGAAACAGCCTCCGACTTCCGCACTGTTGAGCCTTCGTTTCTGGGGTTTCTCCAAATGCATGACGGAGCTCAAGCTTTGAGAAAGATCCTTCACGGGATGTTGGGAGCTATAAAAGGTGCGGGAGAAGACCCCAGAATCACTTGACATTCTTCCAACTTCAGGATTCCAATCCAGCTCAGGGAAGGAAGATAGTTGTCATGAAGCCATCCTGGAGCCTTGCTTCCCTTCTTGGGAGCGCTGCCATTGCGTCCGCCGACGTCTATCCTCCATATTATGCCAATCTTACCTGGCAGGCCCCGCGGACGCTCTCCAACTGGTCCAATCTGACCGTGGAGACGCAGACGGGCACCTTCATCGGCATGCTGAACGATACCTACCCCAACGTGCGCCAATTCCTGCGCATTCCGTATGCTAAGGTCGGTTTCTAATTGGCTTACTGATCATGGTGACTATTGCCTGCTAACCAGTTCCTATGCGATAGCCTCCTGTCGGTGACCTTCGCTGGATGCCTCCACAAAAACCTGAAAAGTCGCGCAGAAGATATGACTCGACCCGATATGGCCCAGGTACGTAGATTTTATAATGGACCACATGATGATCACGTCCGCTGATCTACAATGGCCAGCCTGTCCGCAATATGTGACCGGCGAAAGCACCATGTGGAATGAATATTCACCTCCCAACCTCTTGGTCAACCTAGGAGAGAACCTGAACCAAGGGGCAGTGGCGTGGTCCACGTCGGAAGACTGTCTGTCATTGGCAGTCTGGACCCCGTCCTATGCTAATCGCACCTCGAAGTTGCCTGTGGCGTTGTTCGTGACCGGTGGAGGAGGCGTCACAGGCGGTATTGAAATCCCCTCTCAGCTGCCTTCGCCGTGGGTGTCTCGCTCGCAAGAACACATTGTCGTGACTATCAATTACCGCGCGAACATCTTTGGAAGTATGTCCCCAATCCTGCCACTCGAGGGAGTCACTCACATATGTGTGTAGATCCTAAGTCACGGGCCCTGAATGACACATCGCTCACGCTGCTCGACGTGAGGGCAGCGGCTGAATGGGTGCACGAGAACATCGAGGCTTTTGGTGGAGATCGCGACAATATTATGGTCGGTCTTGCCCCAAGATACTGAACTAGATCTATGTGATGTGACTAACTATTGTCTGTAGCTTTGGGGTCAGTCACAAGGAGCAGCCCTGACACATCTCTACACCCTCGCCTTTCCCGATGACCCGCTGGCAGTCAAATTTGGTGTCATCTCGCAGCCACCATCCGTCACTATCGACCTGAGTACCACCGACGACGTATACCAGGACTTTGACATTGTCGCCAAGGCCCTGGGCTGCAACTATGGCGACGATGCGGAGGCCGAGCTGGAGTGCATGCGCCAGGTCTCCTGGGTGCAGATTGAGGAGTACATTAATCGGTACTCGGGCTCACCTTCAATTGCATTCAGCAACTATATCCGTAGGAAACACACTTTGCTTGCTTACTTCTTTCCCAATCTGACAATCCTTTTAGCCGATGAAAAATACATCTTCTCCAACGAATCCAAGCGATACCTCGAAGGCAAGGTCGCCCGAGGCCCAGCCATCCGCTCCGACGCAGCCCGCGAGGACGCATCGGCGAATACCACGAGCGTGATGATCAGCGAGGGAGAATGGGATTGCAGGGCTGCCCAGGACTCGGCTTTGCGAAAATCTCTCGGGCTCGAGACATACCGATACTTCTGGGCTGGCAACTTCACCAATATTAGTCCCGTCGACTGGCTGGGTGCCTTCCACTGGTCTGATCTGTTGATGATCTTTGGGACTTATCGCGAAGACGTCGGAGAGGTCCCGGAGTTGGAGGTGAAAACGTCGGAGACCATGCAGGATCATATTTTGGCTTTCTTGAAGAATCCTTCCACGGTCAATGTGACGGTCGGATGGCCGGCCTTTGATGCGGATAGTCCCGGGGGTGGGCAGATTCTGGAGTTTGGCAAGGGTACGCCGGTGCGCAAGGTGACTGGGGACTGGTTGGATGGGGGATGCTACAATTCTTCGATTCCATTCCGTATTTGGACTTGATATGAAAGTTTGTGAGGATATTCATTTTGGTTGATAATATGTGCAATGAATGATGAGGATATGCTATCTGCAGTGAAGACCGGTACGGGGGTAGTTGCTTTACCCCCAAGTAATGCGAAGAATACCAAAGTACTGACAGTTGAGAAATTCGTAAAAGCATCAGATTTCCGACTTCAATACCGTGGCGACGCTTCCTTGGGAATCTCCAGTAGATCTCCTACCGGTCGGGCCTCCATCCACGCATCCATCGCCTCGTACAATTTGTAGAATGCCTTATTGTTCATCGTCGGCAAATCATTCAAGATCGGGTGGCCTAGCTTGGCCTGTGCCACCGCCAGATACTGGTAACCCTTGGGGTATTTCTCCAACTCCGCCCGGTCAAATTTGGGCACCGTCTGACCATCTGCAGGCGTGACGCGATCCTTCTCGTAGAACAATTTTATGTATACCACTTTCCAATCTCCTCCCTGTTTCAGACAGAAATTTATGAAGCGGCAATCGCACTCGACATCGAACTCAACTCCGTCCCAGTTGAAGCGTTGAGTGATGGTGGCCTTCATCTTACCGATGGCGCGGCTGGTGGTCGGATTCAGATCGACGAGGGTGCCGTTTTCGCGGTGCATGATGTGGTCTCCGTTGGCGCGTCCCTTAATGGATGTCTTGATGAAGTCGTCGATAGGGAGCCCGCCGCTCCAGGCTGGAAAGAGGCATGGCATGTTAGCTAGACTGGCTGCTGCGGAGTTAGAGACTCGACCTACTAGTAAAGACAAAAGCGCCCTTGTCGACAAACAGATGGCGGTAGTGGTTCCATTCAGAGGCATCGCGATAGACTGGCCAGCCCTTGCAGAGCTCGGAGATGCAGTAGCGATCGAGTATATCGCCCTCGGAGCCGTTGATGTGGCTCCAGATGGTGGGCTGGGTTTCCTTTTCGGTGATATTGTAGACCATACTGGATGACGATTTTTCGTGGACCAGTTAGGCAATGAGCACTCCTCTACCATGCCTGCACATCCAGCAGTAGTAGTATATAAATCGTGGCTACCCCTCCCGAACCCAGGTTCACCAGACATGACATCATCCCCGACCGTGGTTGAAGCTGGCTGTCAGAGTTGAGGCTTTCCGCAGCATCCGGGGTTCTCGATCCGGTTCTCAGGTGCCGACTTGGCGATCCGGACCCATCCTGCGGATCGATATAGCATCATTGTCCTGTCTGGAAGTCCTGGCAATCAATTTGGCAGTAGTCCGAACCGGCAAGAGTCGCGCGAGAGAGTCGGAGTGGACGTTCGGGAATGCGGTCGCAGCCTGTCATTTACTTCGTCATGTTGTCAGATCTGGATTAACTGGAACTGTCTGCATGCCGGAGAAGCTTAGACCATGCTTGGTTGTTGAGGTGAGATCATCTGATCACGAAGAGAAGGTAGGCTTAAACTGTGGCTGGTTACACGACTTTTATTTTCCGGAGGAAGGGTCGACTATTTTACTACTACGGAGTAACTACTTGTTGATGGTTGCGCGATTCAGTCAGGTGTGGCGCTAATCCCAAGATGGATAGGTACGTGTTCATGCTTCTGCCTCAGGTTACAACGACGGTCGCGCATCCAAGTCTTCTTTCTCTGTAAATCTTACGAGTAACAACTATACTTATCTTAGGAGCTACTACTATGGTAGAATTGCAGGACTAGGACGACACAGTAGGGAGATCGTTAAGTTTCCGTGTGTAATAATATCGAAGTGAGCTGAGTATATATAGTTGTAGTTGGCGTTGTTAGTAAGTCACGATGAATCTGCATGTAGTAGTAGTAGGCATGTAGTTTCAATCTAAGTGAGCACCATCATTTAAATGCAGATATCTCTTTCTCATAGTGATAAGAACAGCTCGTACTGTTTGAACAGACGACTTATCAACACCAATCTAACAGGCTAACCCATAATCGTCAGACTATACATCCCCGGTTCGGCAGGTGTGCTGCGCGGGGTTCTGCCGTCCTTCCCCGCTCCCTCCCTTTTCTCCTCACTTCAATCCCATCTCCACATGTCTACTCCATTTATCTCCCAAGTCGCTTCTGCTTGCTCATTTGACCTGCGATACAAACTCTTCCCCTTCTATTCAGAAGCGTCATATACCAAAGATACTGACTGCCGTTGAAGACTCCAGTCTGGCTACACTTACATGCCCCGCTACAGGTGCATAGAGGAAGGCCTGAGAGGCAGACAATGAACTTCTAGAATTATTTGGACAGCAACTCCCAGGAACTTTTCCTTCATTAGAGATCAATGGGCTCACCCCGCCAAACTAGTGAAGGATATATATACATGAACAAATGGCAGAAACAAGAGCGAGTGGCTGGCGCGACCATTAACCTATTACTTGCACTGAAACAGAACCCCCTCAACATTGGGCCTCACCTTTCACAGAAAAGGAGATATGTCGACATTATACTGGAAGCAGTGTGAGACCCGTGAAAATACCCGCAGAAGCAGACAATTGGCAGGACTAGAGGTGCACTCCGTCTTCGGAACTAGAAGCAGACGTGCCGTGGTAGTTTCCTAGATAGTCTCCCAGCTCCGAAATGGCTAGTTGCCGAAGCTCACTGCGCAACACCTTGCCGGACTATCACGAACAATATTATCAGTACTGCAGGTCATGGAGAAAATTACAGCGGGAAGAAATAGTTGGTGCATACCGCGTTCCGAGGAATCTTTTCAATGAACGAGATGCCGCCTGACAGACGCTTGTATGGAGGTAGCTTTTCCGATATGAGCTCATGGATTTCCTCAGCGGACACAGAGGTCTTGGGGTATGTCTGGATATAGGCCCGGGGACCCTCGTCCTCGTTTCTGCGGAAGTTAGCGTCATCTTCCAGCCCATGTCACGAGAAGCTTACACTGCGACTCCGATAACCCCAACATCACAGACGTGCGGGTGCTGTAGTAGGACAGACTCAATCTCAACCGGAGATACATGGCTTCCATTAACCTTGATCAGATCCTGTGGCAGCCGTGAGCTAGGGTACTTCTTCCTGTCAAAATCGGCAGCAAGGGTACGAAGACTTACCTTTTTACGGTCGACAATATACCAATTGCCTTCATCATCGACATATCCTACATCCCCTGTGCTGATCCAGCCGCCGGCTCCCATCACCTGCTCTGTCGCGGCTGGGTTGTTCCAGTATCCTCGAGTTGATCCCGGCGTGCGGATCCAGATGTCTCCAACCTCTCCCGTCTTTAATGTCAGAGAGGGATCGCTGGAATCGGTCACTTTCCCTTCGTATGTCGCGTTCAGTTGCCCGACCGTCTCGGACTTGGGCGGGCGCAGGGGATCAGGCCCAGTGATAGTTCCCGTTCTATTTAGTCATATAGTCAGCAACTGAAACACGTCTTGCAGGGGCCAACTTACTCTGTAAGCCCCCAGGCACGGGCAACGTATCCAATTCCCAGACTTTCCAGCTTGAATTTCGTGAACTGGCTCATCGGCGCAGCACACGCTTCGACACGTCGGAGACATGACAGATCGTATTGTCGACACACGGGGGCATTCTTTGCCATGGAGGTAAGAACAGAGCTCCGAATGATTGCATCCGTGATTTGGAACCGCTCAACTGCCTCGCAGATGCTTCGAAAGTCGTTGCGTCGCATCAAGTACAGCGGAACACCCATCCTGGGAAATATGGCGCAATACGACCGCTGCCCAACACTGTGATTGATCGCAAGGGAACCCAACACGCGGACGTTTTCAGGGCCTCCAAGGCGAGGGCTGTATTTCCAAGCCGGATGCGAGGAGATTCGCCGGATGTATCCCATCGCTGCAGCAATGTAGTTGCGATGCGACAGTTCTACACCCTTGGGCTCACCAGTGGTCCCGGAAGTAAAAAGAAGCATGATTGTGCTGTTGTACTCCTGCGAAGAAATGACAGTGGGGTACCAAAAGCGGGATCCCTCCCATTCGGATGCCACCATCGTCTGCCAGTGCTGAATCGGGCCTTCCGGCTCGCCGCAGCCGTCCAAGATATCATCATCGAAGACGAAAATTCGGTCATCGGGGTGATTTGCCATGCGCGCGGCTTGAAGGGCAACTGGAAGGGTGGCACGGCTGGCAAAAATTACCGAAGGTTTTGAGAAAGAGATGAGACGATGAAATTCGGCCTGGTTGAGAGCAGGTTGTCCAGACGCGAAGATACACCCGGCCATCACGGTGCCCATGAGGAGTGCCGGATAGCAGAGGGCATTGGAGGTCACACACAAAACGCGATCCTTCGGGTTAACGCCCATTTTCTGCAAGCCCACTGCTACACGAGCAGAGAGGAGTCGGTATTCTGCCAGCGACAAAGCTCTCGTATCCGGGGAGTCGGCATCGATGAGGATCTTTCGGCTACTCAGGGAGCGTCGAGGGGAGCCAAAGACGAACCGGGGGAGTGAACATTGAGGGATGGGTGTAGTCCATTTGGAGACAGTGTGCGAAGACCTGTCGCTGTGTGGTCGGGGCATAGGTGGAGGATGCATGATGAAGAGAAGTCCACGAGATTATCACTACTGGCTCTTTCACCAAGCTTCCTTTGATCTGCTCGTGTCTGGACTTTGGTCTCTCAGTGGATCCTCTCTCCCTTATATACTTTCTACGACGAAGGTTTGCTGTCAGCCAGCAGGGTTTGGTGATGGATTTACGTAAATGAACCTTCTTGCGCAAGCCATGTTCGAGCTGAACAATGATGCCTGTCGACCGTGAAACTATGGAACAATAGCCTGGGCCTGTCTGCTGCTGATGAAATCTATCGATCTGCACGTGTGGGCCAGGGGCCGTCTTGGTTTGCTGCAGCTCCAGGCCGATGATCTGCGCCTCCGGCCGCGCCGCTTGTCGGGGCGGCGATCGGCCAATTTCGTGATGCAGACTAGTACTGCTGCAGACTGACACTGCAGATATTGCCCAACTTGACAACAGCTCTTGTCGGGACCTCTCTTCGGAGTTCAGTTGCCAGCTCGGACATTGAGCCCACCAGGTCGGTCCGGACAACTTTGGTCTCCCCTGATTGTTGCTTTTCTGGCATCACACCGGCGACAATCATTGCGTGATTCTCATGATGTGACGCCGGTCCTCACTAGAGTCCTATCACATGGCAATAATCTCCTCATCACCTCACGGTGAAGACGTGGACGGCATGATGGGTAAGGAACATGGCGTAGCCTCATCCCCGCTCAAGTCTACACAACACATTCTACAAAGAACATTCGGAACAAAGCAGAATGCAAGGGCAGCGCACGGGCAACGCAAGGGACGCCATTGCGTATACTCGGGGCGACAGGTCAAAACTTTGATCGCTTTAGGAATGTGATGTCACCAAAATCCGTCTACAATGTTCGCGCGAAAAACTTTCTCTGGTATATGCACGAGAGGTCCATGGTACGAATTCCTGAATTCAGCTATCCGATCTTGTCTAACTATGAAACATCCTTTTTCTTACTTCGATCTACAGTGGCTCGTAGATCTTGGGTGCGTTGGCACCCCTGAATGAATGACGATCCTATCAGATCCTCCCCGCCCGTTTTTTGCGGTAGTCGTGGCCCCAGAGTAGAACACCCCAAAGAAGTACGCTGGAAACCGCCCACAGAACAGCAATCAGGGTCCCCATCCAGCCCATACCGATCGCGTTAATGATAGGCACTGCAGCTGCAACCGCACCCGCGCCTAGAAAGCAACGAAACATCGTGTTGGAAGCCGTGACTGTTGCCGCCCGCTTGACGTGGCAGTCGATCAGTAGTGTGACCAGAGTGCTGGTGGCTCCTGCAATGGTATGCGCTGTGAAGAACAGCATAATGAGCGGCCCGGCCACATGAGTTCTGTAATTCATGACCCAGCCGTAGCCAATGATGCAGATGCAAGACATATAGACCATCGGCAACGTGATTTGAAGACGGGCCTTTTCGACGGGAAACTCAATGAGGTCCACCTGGCGGTTGTTGACCACCTCCATGCCATGCTGCCGACCTAGGCGACGGAAATTCCAGTCCACGAATCGCCCAACGGTCCACCGCGAGGTGAGACTGCCAATGCCGTACGGGATATAGCACAGGCCGATCTGGAGCGAGTTGTAGCCGTACTTTTCTCCCAGCTCCGAAGACAAACTACTGAGAACAGCAAAGTATCCGCAGTAGAGGATAGAGCAGAAGGCGATGATGGCGCCAGTTTCCTTCTCCAGGGCAATTTTGATGCTGTCAATTGGCGTCGGTCGACGGGGCTTAGGGCCGTCATCGAGCTCCTTCTTAGCCGCCTCAGCCCCCTCATAGGCCGAGGGCTGCACGATGGGAATGAGTGGCCGGTTCCAACGTGGCGCGGGAATGGATCCATTCCCTACCACCATACGGCAGGTTTCAGGAAAACAGACGAGGATGAGGATAATCATCGCGGCGGCAAATATGGCCAGAAACCAGAAGATACTTCGCCAGCGAAGAAACTGGGCCAGGACACCTCCAATAATAGGCCCGAGCGCGGGTCCCATCGTTGTTCCCAGAGACGAATAGATCATGTATTTACCACGCTCGCTTCTAGTGACCAGGTCGGCCGTAACAGCTATACCAACGACGGAGATGGCACTACTTCCGCAACTCTGGAAGGTTCTGAGGACGATGAGTGCGATGTAGTTATCTTGCAGCGCCAGGCCGATATTGACGGCGAGGTAGGTGATCAGACAGACCAGCATCGTGGGTCGACGGCCATATACATCGGAAATACTTCCTGTCACCAATGGTGCAACTCCTTGGAAGATCTGAACTCATGTTAACTTATGCTACATAACTTTCCGGACATGTGATATCATCTTACCATGTAAGTGGTGATGGTCAAGTTAATTTTGCTCACGGAGACGTGCAAGTCATCAGATAGTTGGTCAATGGCGGGATAGTAGATGTTTGCTGACACCGGGGCTAGGAATCCCACGATGGCCGCTATAGCGATGGTCATGATCTTCTTCCTCTCCGTCAACACTGTATGTGGCGGCGGCGGCGGCGGTGCCGCCGCCTCTGAGGGCGTTTGAGAGAGTGGCTGGAGGCTGGCACTGCTGGAATTGCCCCCGAGGGAACCCAGCTCGATGGTGTGCACAACCTCCTGAGGACCTTTGTCCTTGACTATTTGAGACATGATAAATTTGATTGCCTTAGGGAGTGAAATGGGTTGGTGAAGGCCCTGAAAAATTCAAAAGGAGTGACTTGGTTCAGCCAAAGCGTCAATCAACCGCGAAACTTGCCATGTCTGGCATAGTTATACGGACTCTATGCTGACACCCTCGTCTTGTTTGATGACATATGCATCCGCCCGATCGATGCTTATTTTCCGGGAATGGCAACCGGAGATCACATCATGGATGAGGTGCATTGCGGTCTAGCTAGTGTCTTCACGGCACGGGGCCTTTCATGTGGACGTAAAATTCCGTCTGTTCCCGAGCAATTCGGAGTCACTTTCTCAGCTACACTCGATGTGATTCAGAGCTTCAGCTCGCCGAAAGAGGAAATGGGGACCCCCATGGCAATTACCTTTAAGTAATGGAAACTAAAAGTTGGGGAAGATCGCGGCTGAGCCCCATGGGTGGCGTCAACGATGATCAGGGTGCAAAAGCAAGTTTCGAAAGGAACAGGAAACCGCGCCGAGAAGAAAGAAGAAGTTAAATGCGCAGCCGCGTCAGCGGCTGCATCGTCGATCATGCATCTCCACTCTGCAGCAGCTCAACTATTGGCGGTGAAAGATAGTCCGGGCTCGACCTGTCGATCTTGTAGGGTGTGCAACCCTAATACTCACGCCATCGCGGACCTGCAGCTTAGCATCCATGCTGGCCCGACAAAGTATGCATGCCATAAACAGGTGCCAAGTCACTGTGATTGAAGCCCCTTGGGGTGTCTATATAAAGCTCATCAGAAGCGGATCAACCATTGACCAAACAAGGCAATCAGGACATCTTTCGATCCCAAGGTCTTTGTAGTCGCAATCCTCCCTCACAATGCCGTCAATCCAGTTCATGCCTGAAATGGACCCTCCATCCAATACAGCTTACCTCTCCTCTTCCGAACGGGAGGAAGGAAAGAATGTGGAAGAAACTACATACAATGTGAGTCATTCCAAACCAAGGCCAAAGCTCATACTGACGCCCTGAAAGGACACACTTCGCCAGCTGAATACGCTCAACACCAACTTCGCGTATCGCCAACTTGCCATTAAGACAGCGGATCGGAGTGTCTTCATCCAGGATATGCTGAGATGGTGTCGCGCAGTGGGATATGAGGTAGGCAAATCCCCTCGAGGGCACTCTAAACGGACACTGACAGCGATCAACAGAGTCCTGATTTCGATCCCTTGAATGCGGTGCACATTGCCGGAAGTAAAGGCAAGGGTTCCACCTCGGCGTTTATCTTCTCGATTTTGTCCGAGTACCAGGGCCACGAGGTATGCGCTGCAACCGCTGCAGGCGAGCTGTCGAAGATTTCCATCCACAGGCACCACTAACACATGTCACAGAACCCAATCAAGAAGCTGGGGCTTTACACATCACCTCATCTACGCACTGTCCGAGAGCGCATTCGGATCAGCCCGTCCAACGACACCCCTTTCCACCACACCTCCCTAACTGAGGAACAGTTCGTCCAGTACTTCTGTGACGTGTGGGGCCGACTCGGTTTGACGGAGGAGACGGCAAAGAGCGGCCCTCCGTTTGCCCGCTTCCTCACCCTGATGGCCCTTCACGGGTTCCTGCAGGAGAAAGTCGACACCGCCGTGGTCGAGGTGTGCCTCGGTGGCCGACATGATTCAACCAACATCCTTCACCGCCCTAGCGTCAGCGCCATCACGAGTCTCGCACTCGAGCACACCGACCTGCTAGGCAACACTATCGAAGAGATCGCCTGGGCCAAGGGCGGCATCATCAAGCCCGGTGTCCCGATCTTGACCATCCCTCAAGCCCCCGGCGCCACCGCTACGCTGCAAAAGATCGCAGCCGAAAAGGGAGCGCCGCTGACCATTGTCCCCGTACACCCGGAAGTGGAGACCATGGAGCTTGGACTAGCAGGAGATTTCCAAAAGATAAACGCTAGTCTGGCCATAGCCGTGGCGGCAACCCATCTCCGGAACATGGGTTATTCGGACATTCCCGAGGACATCACCTCGTCTCCCCTGCCGGAGGAATTCCGTCGCGCGCTGGAGACCGCCAGCTGGCCGGGCCGCTGCGAGACGCGGGACTGCCGGTCCGGTCGGTTCCATCTGGACGGCGCGCACACCGTGGAGAGCATGGACCTGGTGGGTTCCTGGTTCGCGAAGAAGGCCGCACCGCAGCAAGACTCCGCGAAGCGGGTCCTCATCTTCAACCAGTCGACCCGCGATGCCTTTACCTTGGTGCGACACCTCCGGGATAGTATCCGCCAGACCGCGGGCGCTGGTAGTAGTCTGGCCGAGAAGCCGTTCCACCACGTCATCTTCTGCTCCAACATTGCCTGGGAAAAGGACGAGACGGCGGATATGGAGCGCGCGTCGATGACTTTCCATGGTAATGCTGGCGAGGAGAACCTCAACCTCCAGGCCCAGCTGAGCACCTACTGGCGTGGTATCCCCGGTGAGGAGTTGACGGGCATCACGGTCGTGCGCACCGTCGAGGAAGCGATCCGCTGCGCTGGGGGTGTCGGCAGCGTCGGTGGCCAGGGCCGTGTGCCGCCGCTTGTGCTCATCACGGGTAGTTTGCACTTGATCGGTAGTGCGTCTGAGGTGTTGGAGACCCTGGAGGAAGAGGGCCTTTACTTGTGAAAAGCTACTATGCGGGGTCTGTCTGGTCTAGAGCTCTTTTTTTCTTTCGGTGTATTATATTGGGTTTTCATTTGTTTTAGAAAGATGTAATTATACAAAAGGGACGAACATGGAGGATGGTGACTGATATGTATTGATGAATCATAGTCGATGTTTGGTCTTTCGGGTTACCGAGGGGAGGATGAACCAATACAATAGTTATACAAACTTTTGTAAAATAGTAATGAATTTGCTAGAACCAGATAGTGACTTCGTGTATCGTCTAAGATGGAGTCGAAAGATGCATATGTACAGTCTCAGTTGGGGGTACCTGAGAGTTATGGCCACTCAGGCGCATGGTCTAATCTATATTGTCGCCCAAGAGGATCAGTTCAGTTCAGAAAAAATGGGTTATTTCTGTGGGCCGACGATCGCGCCACTCCTCGTCTTTGCCAACACTTAACCGCTCGTATTGTTGCAACATCTCGTGCAAGCCAGAGGCAGGCGACGCTTGCGGATCATCCTGGAAGTGCTCTACATAGCTCTGTTCGCCGTCGATCTTGGTGAGCTCCTCGGCGTATTTATCCCACCGATCAGGTACTTGCGGTATTGAGTCTGGCTGAAACAGCTCTTTGATTCCCGGTGGAACCTCGTCCGACTGCTGTACCCGATCCCCCTGGTTGCGTGCCCGCACCGACAGCTTGAAGAGGTGGAAGAGATGGCGCCCCAGTTGGGAACGGCAGGCAATGATGGACATGGCGCTGGTCAGGGTCAGGAAGTCTCGGTCGAGAATATCGAAGGTGTCCTGGCCGAGGAGGGTAAACAGCGCCAGGTTGACCGAGTACATGGCGAACTGGTGGGCATGCTCCATCCCGTATTCCGCCCGCAGTTGCTGCGTGAGCGCCGCGATGGCCCGCACCGACGACATGGCAATTTCCATGGCGCTGAACCCTTTGCTCTCTCGAGGAGCACGATTGTCATGTTCTGACAGTAAGGGGTGGACTCCAAACCGATCGCAACACAGGTTTATAACTAGCGTGTGGAAACGCATTCTGTAGACACAAGGGTTAGTTGGCTGCATTTCACTCTCCGCCGCTGCCTGGACTGCGAGAACACTCACCTGAGCAAAAGGAGATGTGGCGCCGGTCGCGTAGCCGGATCGAAGCATTCGGGGAGGTTGCTCTCCCATACACTGAGTTGGTCGTAGAGTTCCTGCTTGCGCTGATCCGGCTCGGCGCCCGACCGGTCGGTGCGGGACAGATTCCAGGAAATGTCGCGGGCGATGAAAGAGAGCTTACATGCCTCGTCAAAATATTGGCTCAGGTATGACGGCCGGACGGTGGGGGAAATCGGGTATGGCGTCCACCTCTCGCTTGTGTTGGCATCATCTCGCTCGATGGGCTCGACATTGACGGATCTCACGCGGCTAGGCCGGAGGAAGTTGGTATGGACGACCCTGTCGTACTCTACCATCAGATCGAAGGCTTGGGACGGAGATGTGTTGAGTGAGCCTGAAGACGAACTTACGTGTCTACCTGGAACAAGCCCCAGGCGGTGCGCTTAATGGAGACGATCATATCCTCGGACATTTGGGATAGTGAGAGGCGTAAGCCTGTCTTTTGGTTCACGATGCCCAACGACTCTCCCATTTCAATGGCGCGGTGTAGCATAGTGTAACCCCAATCATCGTGGCCGGACAGGGAGTATCTAATGGATTGGAAAAGAATACAGTCAGGTCAACTAATCTACGTATTAGGGCGTGCGCCGCCCAGGATTGGGAGCCCGCATACCTCTCATACAGCAACAAGTGCGCCTGCAAGGATGCCAGACGAATGTCGCCTCCCTTCTCGAACTGATGGGACTGCAGATGGCGTTCTGCCTCCGCCAGAAAATCGGCGCCTTTCGTGCGAACATCACCGGGTACAGTGTAGGCTTCCGTATATTGCGAGTAATACTGTGTTAGAAAAATTCGTACGAAGGTCATGGTTAGCGAACCACATTGACGAGGCACGCTGGGGGAGAGAAGGGCCATACGCATGCATTGGCCAACAGGGCGTTGACCAAGAAGGGACTGCAAAAGTCGGACTCGGTGTTGCCCATGGCCATGTGCTTGACAAACGTCTTACTGTCGAAGAAGGCGAAGAAAGGGTAATCCCAGACGAGATACAGGGAGACGAGGTGGGAGACCAAGTCGTCGTCGTCGGTCACCGAGGTCCAGGGTTTGGCAGGGACGCGGTAGGGGGCACTGCTGCACAGATACCGGATGTCCATGATCTGAGGCCGAAAGCGCGGGGGCTCACTTTCGACCTCGATACCGCGACGCAGGCCCTCGAGGCGGTCCAGAGCGTCTTGTTGATCCTGGAGCGAGGGCTGGGCGTCGGCCAGGACGCGGGTGAGGTAGCCACGCACCTCATCCAGCGATGCATGGTTGCGGATCATGCCCACCAGGGTCGGGGTGTAATCGGGGTTAACGGATCGGATGACCTGGAAGAGATCGTGCAGCAGGTCCTCATGGTAGTTGCCGGAGCCGATGGCATACTCGGCGACGGCTTGTTGGAGATGATCAGCCCTAGTGGGGGCAGTCTAATGGGGAGCTCGATGATTAACTTGGGATTCTTGACAATATATAAATAGATGTTTGGGTATTGTAGTTGGAGGAGGGGGGGAAAGGTGGGGGGTGAGGTTGAGTGTCTTGCTAAGAAGTAGTCTAGTATAGGGTGGAAACGAAGCACGTACCTTGGATTTCTTTCTCCGCGTGGACATGGCACCAAAGCGGCAAGGAGGAATCTGGGAAGATTCGAGAAGGAAACCAGGAGATAAGAGCGACCGAGAAGTAGAAATCAGAAGCAGAATCTGATAGTGTGGGCAGCATTGAGGCTGATCGGGAGAAGAAGAGGGGAGAAGCTGCTGATGGTTATGATGTTATGATGACATAAAGGAACCCACTTTCATCCGTTCGCCCACGCGTGGGAAGGAGAAGCAGGAAGGAGCCATGCAGGCATGATAAACCCAATCCGGCAGAACTCTGGGAGTAGGTAGACTCAAATAAGAGCGGTCGGCGGGAGATACAAGACGAAGAGAAAGAGGGTGGACAGAGATGGAGGCCTGGAGATAGAAGCGAAAGTAGGAGTAGTTGAGATGATGAGGAGATGGGAAATCAATTGAGACCGAAGATGCGGAGACAAGGAACCGCTGAGGTAAGCAAGATGCGGGGAAAGTCCAGCCAAAGAGAGACACGCAGAAACACACGTCTCTAAATACTAGTAGTTACCAGATAAGAATCGGACTCTTTTCAAAGCACAGCACTCGGTGTCAGTTGTCAGAACTACAATTGAGCAGGTAGGAGAAGGAAGAAGGTCAGTTTTCGCGTTCGAGCCTCGCATCGATCCTTTTCTCTCTCTCTCTCTCTATCTCTATTCTCCACTACTGATTAGTACTGCGAAAAACCAAGACAGAAATTCTGACTCTTGATCAATCTTAACAGGCCTCCACAGTCGATTCTCAACAATCTCTTGCGCTCATCCAGCCATGTCAGCCACTGCAAGACGGTCACACATCATCTTCCCTTCTCCTTGGACCGCTGTGTGCGGAGCGGTGGAATATGGCTATTGTGAGATTTTACTACGCGGTGATTCTTGTCTCTCTGCGCGATGCAACTACTTAACGCGATGAGATCGTTGGGGGTTGGGGTGGGAGATAATGGCCTTGGACTTATCAATATCGTGATTACGGGAGCGCTAGTCGGACGGGGAGGCTGTGTGTCTGGAAAGGATTCCGTCCACAACGCGCTAATTGCTGTCCCTCCGTGAACTTATTTTTTCTGTTGAGACAGACAGTGTCTTCCCCTCCGTCTGTCTCACCAGCCAGTTGCACCCATGAAGGAGCCGGCCGACACCACCGCCGCCGAATCTCCTCCCCCTCTCTGGAAGGTGCGCATGCCTTTCTGGCACCGCGTGGACTGCTTCATTCGACTATGGCTGCTGAAAACCCTGGCGGCCATCTACTTCTACTATCGGCGCCTCGTTAGGCAGCCTCCTCGGCGTTACCAGCCCACCTTCGTCCGTCGCTACCCATCTCGCCCCATGCTGAACACCCATATCTTCTTCCCGCCCAACTATCGCACGGGAGAGCTGCTGCCCTTATATCTGAACATCCATGGCGGCGGTTTCGCCGTGGGCGACGCCCAGGTGGATGACCGCTTCTGCGTTGCCTGGGCCGAGCGGACCGGCATGTTGGTCGTGAGCTTGGACTACCGCCGCGTGCCCCGACATCCCTTCCCCACTGCCACCTACGATCTAGTCGCCCAGATCCAGGACGTGCTGGCGGATGAGTCCCTGCCCATTGATCTCGATCGCATCGCCATTGGGGGGTTCAGTGCGGGCGGGAATCTGGCTCTGTCGGTGTCACAGTTGCCTCCCCTGCATGGACGGGTCAAAGCTGCCGTCGTATACTACCCCATTGTCGACTTTGGCCATCCCCCGCCCGTCAAATTAGCCTCCCGCCCCTACACGGATGGGCCTCTGGACAAGATAGGCATGATGGCGTGGGCTCTGGATTGGGGGTACGTCTGTGTGGGACAGAACCGATGCGATCCGCTGCTGAGTCCCTGGTATGCCAAACCGGAAGATCTGCCTCCGCGCATCTACACGATTGCGGCCCAGTGGGATATGCTACGGCTGGAGGCCCAGCAGATGATCCACCGTCTGGCGGGCCTGCACGACAAAGAGGACCAAGAAGCGCCTTTCGAGACGGCTGCGTATAAGTGGACTTTGGCCCGAGGGTGTACGCATGGCTTCACGCATGGGCAGGAGGGAACTGCGGCCGAAAGAGCGTACCGGAAAAAGGTGTGTGAGGAGATTTATGGCCAGGCCCATGAATGGCTGCAGAGCTCGTTGTCGTAGAAGTCGTGGTCTGTTTGAAGAGCATCAGTAGATATTAGACAGCCTGAGGATATTAGAGAATTCAGACAACAACTAATGGTGAGACGGGAATATGCACCAAGGGACAAGCTTGGGCAATCTGTATAAGAATTAGTGTGTCCCAATATCGTCCCATGCTACCACAGCAGCAGATGGGCCCCATCAGGCTGATAGGGACAGGGGAGCTGAATTGGCTCGAATCAATGATGAAAAGAGGGGGAAAGAGAGAAAAGGAGGGGGATAAGAATTATGCCATCCCACAAAGCCAAGCCAGTGCATCACCATTGCAACACTGGCGCTGGCGAATTATGGTATGCGGTGCAGATCTGATAGCATACTAGGCGACATCGTACCTCTGCCCGCCTGTCCACCAGCAGGCATCGGGAAATGGAGCAGGTGGCCATGTGCGGACCCCTGCTTCGAGGTGACGCGGTTTGCGCGGGAAACTCATGGCCGATAAGCATGAAGAGGCAGCATACCACACCAAAAAAACCCCTGCTGGACATCTGCAGTACCGGGCTCCAAATGTCGTCTCCCTTGCGCTTTATCAGTCCAAAGAAGGAAGTTCCATGGCATTCCGAGACGTCCGGACTGGGATCGACATCAAACCCGACTAACTAGCGGAGCCGACGCGGCTGTTTGTTCGAGATGATATGCGTTGTAAGGAGTTGAAGCTACCGGCATCCCAACAACAAAGAAAGGGCAGGACGCTAAGACAGGGAGGGGAACAGGTGGCGGGCCGATGGGGCGGACGCATCGTATCTTATCCAGAGGAGGCAAAGTCGCGAGGGGGAAAAATATGGATCCCTGGGAAAAGATGACCCAAACAGGCAAGGCGGTGTTAAATAGTGGCGGGTCCTAGCGCATCTTACGGAGGAGCTTTGGCCTTCCTTGGATTGGTGATGGCCCTCGCTTCTATCGGTCGGAGAACGGGTGTCGCGTATGGTCTCTTGGTTGGAGGGTTTCGCTCATGGGGGGAAGAGACTCAAAATAGAGGGAGAACTCGCATAGGGACTGCCAGGTTGACCGTGGATTGAAAGGCGGGGCGAGTAGCCAAGGGGGGAGGATGAGGAGACGAGTAGACGAGGAGAAGATGAGAGGATGACGGTGAGGATTTCTTTTGTGCGTGCGGGGTTTGTCGGGACGCCTCATCCTTGTCGTTTGCTATCACTTTGTCTGTCTTTCTCCCTCTTGATGGCCGGGTTTCGACGTCTCCGTTCGGGTTGTGTGTGTGAGAGTGAGTGTGTTGCCATACTACCACCATCGAATCAAAACGGGAATCAAGACTATTCTTGGTATTAGGTATTCACGTAAGTTTCGACCGGTTCACAGGTTGCCTAGATTCCACCATGATGAAAACTCCGCATCTCCGCCGCCCGGACCGGAATTGGCATATCCCAGGGAGCTCTCCATGTCGCCCAGTGGAGCCGAATCGGCCCAGAGCCATGGGGTATTGACCATCAGACTGTCAATCGGCGCAACGAGGGTGTCGCGCACTATGGAGGTGGCTGCCGCGTTAGCCTTGGAGGTCGCTGGCGACCGATACAGGGGCAGAGGCACTGCTTGGCCCCCGTCGGCCGTGTTGACCGTCACCTCCGGCGAGGTCGTGACGATCACCTCAAGGGTCGAATCTTCCTCGGAGCCTTGCCCGACTGCCGATGCTGTAAGTGAGGAATGCAGCAGGCGGCCGTCGGCCCTCCCGCCCGCCGACCGATTTGTGCTGTTGAACTGTAGGATGTCCCACATGAGAGGGATACTCAAGTAGATCTTGGATGGGAGCCAGGTCTCGTAGTCGACATTCTCCGAGCCGGATGCAATGCGCATCATCTGGTCCAAAATGCGATGCTGCGGAGAAACGGAGTCAGCTGCTCATTCTACAAACCGGGGATGACGATCACCTACCAGGCCCTCGCAGGCCCGCGATGTAGTGGCAAAGGTTCTCAGGAACTCGCGGCACTTGGCATAGTCCACCCGCGACTTGTATTTCAGACGAGGGTCCCCGGCACAGCAGTAGTACAGCTGCACCGTGGCGGCAATGGCGGCGACATGAGCGAAAAAGGGATCGGACAGGCGCACCTCCTTCTCCACCACCATGTCGATCAAGCGCACGATCCAGGTGGCATGCAGCACCACCAGCTCCGAGGACCGTCGCCAGAAGCTGTTTGGGATGGCCAGATTGGGGTTCTGGCGTGAGGCCATGATGTACAGAAACGGGTGGTTGAGGACCGTGAGGATGGCATGGTACATGAACTGCAACTTCAACCAAGGCACCCAGTAGGACAGCTCGTAGGATAACTCTTCGCCAGTACGTTCATAGAATTGAACGTGATCATAGCGATGACAGAGGGGTGTCCGGTTCTCGATCTCCGTGAGGTCAGAGAGCACCATCGAGTACATCGACTCGTGTCGCCAGGGCTCCTTCATTTTGCTGCGCGCACAGTCCGATACATAGCCCCGGACATTGCTCCACACCCACCCGAACTGGATGCTCATGTTCCAAATGCCCGTGTCGTGGGGGTTCGTGCATCCCACGCTGTCCTGCGGCATGGGCGGGGACGGAGGCACTGTCGCCTTGTGGCTGTCCTGGTCGCCATCCGTAGCGAAATATGGTGGGCGCCAGATCTCGGTCGATGTGCGTAAGATTCCTGTCTGTCGGCCGTATGACTGCTCAAGTAACTGTAGACTCCAAAACAGCCGCTTCTTTCGCTCCATATGTGGATCATCGGGTGAATAGGCGACCGCAACATCAAGCATGGCCGCCCGACAGAGCTGGGACGCCAGGCCTAGATAGAACTGCCCGAGGTGTGTATTGCCATCTGCAACAACCGAAAATACAATTAGCCACCCTCTATCACTTCCCACATTACTTGACCAACCCCGGGATAGACGTACCGATGAAAGAGGAATAGGACAGCAGACATAAACTTTCGATCGTGGCCAGCTCCACCGTCCCATTGGCAATGCGCAGCATGATGAGTGTCCTTGCATCGTCGGCATAGTGCTGTCCCTGCTCCTGCTCGTGTAAATAACGCAAGGTGAGTGCCAACAGACTACAAATTAGCTCCTCGGGGAGAGAGCCGGGCTCCCCTGGCCCGTCAAAGTCGAAACACCAGACTGGCTGCCGGTGACAGTGCTCCACGTAGAGATTGATGGCTCTGGCGATGACGGAGGGGGAAGAATGAGGGGTTGTGCCCTCCCCCAGGCCGGATGCTACAGGATATGGAGTGTGAGAATCACGGCGTCTTGGGGATGGTGGCGATAACTTCGTCTCGGGACCTGTCGATCGAGCGAGTCTGCGCGAATAGATGAGTCCCTTACACTCCGGAAAATATCGCGCGGAGAAAACACCTACATATTACCGTTTAGAATGAGATTGACCTTCTCTTCCAGTTCTGCCAGCCGATCTTTCTGGAGAGGGGGGTTAATCAGCAATCGCCAAGTCAAGGGGAGCTCGGGTGCACCCACGGATGGGCTGCCTATTGACGTCCTCGTGACGGGTGTATACGAGCATGGCTGGTTGAGCCGCACACAGCACGAGCAGGCCGGTTTCTCGCCCGGACACCGCGTCTTCTTCCTTCTGTCCTCGCTGGTAAGTGGCTCTTCTTGGTAGATCATTAAAGGAAGTCTTTGGGTTTTTCGTACCTGCAATTCAAGCAAGCATGATTAGATCGTAACCTCCGACGCTGTCCCTCTGGCGGCGTCATGATATGTCCCAGGAGGAGAAGTCAGAGAGGAAGTGGTTGGAAAGATGCTGGGGAGATGACTACGGGACGCGATGCCCGCGGGAACAAAGAGGGGGAGGGAGAGGAGGGGAAAACGGGGGAGGGGATTTTGGATTAGAAAAGGAAGAGACGAGAGAGCTCGAGCGAGCATATACTCGGGTGTCCACTATCTACTAGGACCTAGGCGGGAGGGTTGGGGGGGATAAGCAGCAACCAATAATACGAATAGCTGCAAGGAGCAAGGAGGGGGGAGAGAGAAAGAGGGTACTGTAGGTTGGTTGGCAGTGGAACCTGGGAACTGTCACTGCTCAGTTGGGAGGTGGAAGGGTTATCGCTATCTACTAAGTAGTAGTAGTACCGTACGGGTACTGTACGTAGTCACTTACTTATCGTCTCTTCCCTGGATGGAGAGCAAGCAGCGAAGGGTGGATCTGCCGCTCTCCCCGTCGACTGTCACATATCTCCGGTGTGTGTCGATGGAAAGATAAGCCGAGTCTGGTCGATTCACGGCGGCCGGGCTATTCATAGTAGCTAGTAGTACCTCATGGCCACCCTCGCATACTTTCACCCAATACTCTCTCCATCCCCAGTGGTCAGCTGGGCCTGTCAGTCCTTGGGAATCCCCGCCATGACCCGTCGCCCTGTCCAGGTTTTGGGGCGTCTGCTACTTGAAGGGGACGGTTGGACATTCCAGACCAGGCGTGGGAAGTAAAAGAACTGGGACTAGACACTGTGACTAACCCGGGATAACCTAAAATCATCATTAAGTAACCTTCACCATCTTTGTACTCATTAGTCCTTGCTTAGTATCCCGGATTTGCCATGAGAAACTCCGAGTGAATTTCCAACCGGTCAGGTGAGCGCACGTGGTCTAGTCTCTTCTCCCCCTCTTTTGGCTGCTTTTCCCGTCTTGGCTGGTCCTCCCTCTATCTTTCCCTCCGCCCTTCCATTCCATCTCCTCCTCTTGATCACCATTTACTTATCTACACGCACTACGCGACAAAAAAACTGAGAGCATGATTCAGTCGAACGTCATTAAAGATTGCAGAATGCTAAAAGAGAAACTATTCTAAATCGGTACAATATCTCAAAATCAAACAAAGATCGCTAACCTGATTGCCAAAAATGTGTCAAAACTCGTCAATATGAATCATAGCACAACTCTCTTCTTTCCCAAATTTGCCGATCCTTCTAGGAACCAATAACCCCCTCACCAGGCGACCGCTGCCGGTGGCTGCGCCCCGATGTTCGAGCAGCACTCCTTACCCGCCCCACACCCCAGGTTGGAGCAGAACTGCATGTCCTGCGCACTCGTCGCGGCCTCCTTGGGCACGCGCTGGCGAGCCGGCCAGTACTCCTGACCCTCCTTCTCCTCGCGCTGGAAGTGCTCCGTCACCACGTCGCGCACCACCTTCTGGAAATACAGAGGGCCCTTCTCCATCTTCGGGTGCAGCTCCCCGTTCACAAACACTCCGGCATTGAGGTTCTTCTGCGTCAGATCGCAGAGGTACTTGTCCTCGGACATGATGCGCTTGTACATGGTGTTGATCAGGTCAAAGTCCTCGTCGCTCGAGTTCTTGTTGCGGTACACCTCGTACTTCATCACCGACCGGGTGGGGGAGATCGGGACAAAGCGCTGCATGAAGAAGAAGTGTGGCCTGCAGAGAAACGGTTAGGGATTTTGAAACTGGTGGGGGGGTGTCTTTATATACTGGGTCCACTTACGAAACGGTCATGGAGGCATTGGGGAAGTAGTAGGTGCTGGCAATCCTGAGCCCCGCCGCGATCTGGTCGGGCTTGGAGTGGGCGTCGTGGATGATACCGCCGTCCTTGGTGTCGACCGAGTAGGTGGCCAAGTCGGCCAGGGCCGGGATGTCCGGGTGCGTAGTCGCGCAGTGGTAGCATTCGTTGTAGTTGTCGGCCAGAATCTTCCAGTTGTAGCTGCCGTCCTGCTCCCAGGTGTGGTCGAAGGTGTAGTCTTCCCACTTGACATCGGCAAAGCGGGACTGCAGATCAATGCCCTTGAAGTCATCGTCCCAGGAGATCTCGGGCTGCTCGCCGGCATCCAGGTTGACCCAGATGAAGCCGTTGGCGTCGATGTGCACGTGGATGGGGAGCAGGCTGTTCTTGCTCTTGTCGAAGCCGTCGAGGTCCTGGTAGCCGGGAGCCTTGGCCAGCTTGCCATTGAGGCCGTAGGACCAGCCATGGTACTTGCAGGCGAAGATGCGAGCGGACCCCTTCTCCTCGGTCACCAAGGGGAAGGCGCGGTGGCGACATACGTTGTGGAAGGCGTTGATGTTGCCCTCCTTGTCGCGCACCAGGACAAAGTTGAAGCCCGACACCTCATACTGCAGCCAGTCTCCGGTATTGGGGAGGCGCAGCTTGTGAGTGGTCAGCAACCATTTGCGGGAGAAGATGGCGCGGCGCTCCAGCTCGAACATCTCCTGCGAAGTGTACCACGAGGCGGGCAGGGCTCGCACGGCCTCATTGGTAGGGGCAGTGGGGGCCTCGCGGAGGCCAAGGTAGTTCCACAGTGCAGATGCCATGGTACAAGCCAAGGGTGTAGACTAAAATGTCGTGTTTGAATGTATGTGAATGACTCTGGAAAGAGGCTCTTGTTGTTTCAAGACTGAACTGTGGAGATTGATCTGGGTCGTTGTTGTTCTACCAGACTTGAGGATGAGATGAGATACTGTCTTTATACCCAGTTGGCTATCTGGTTATCTCTATCATATCCTCGCTCTCCCAGCCCAGCCCTCCTCCTGGCAGCGGCTCCATAGCCGTCCACCGGCTCCAGAGCGATCAGGAGGTCGGAACGGAGCCTTGATTCTCTGGCACCGGAACGCCTCGTGGCGGCGATGGCAGCCGTGGTTCCTCGTCTGGCCAATGCATGGGACTAACATCCAGCCCTATCCCATCGCACTACACTATCGTGGTCCTGATACAGAGGCAGAGATAGACACGGCCGGCAGATGGGGTCCTTGCCCGATCCGCCGGCTGGCAATCAGATACGGAGCGATAAGGGAGAATGAACCGGACTGATGAAACTCATCCTGTGATGGAAGGACAAACAGAGGGGCCCCTTACATGCATCACTCGATTGGGAAATCAAGCCCCAGAGACTGCATACATCAAGATTATTATTAGTTTACCTTAATCTTTGGACTGAATGTTTTCCGGTCTAGGGAAAGCTTGAGCTGTCAGCCGGCTGAGGAGCTGCCAGTTCACCAGTTCAGTTGGCCACTTGGACTGCATGATCAGTTCTCCACCACGGAACCGGTCCACGGTTAGCCTCTGCAGTGCCATTCATCCCTCCAAGCCAATTCCCCCAACATCCAAGGATTCCTTCACCCAAACGAGAAGGAATCCAAGTGCTGCGGGCGCAGGCCAAGACGGACTCGGTTCGGTTCCCGGTTCCCAGCCGGGGCAGAACAAACGACCAATGCCTGGTCTCAAAACACATTAAGAATCTGGGGTCTGGCCTGGAGGGGAGAGGTCCCATGACTCTATATTCTGATACCTGGATAATATGTTCTTGTTAGTTTGGATATGGACAAGACACAGTCCGTCGTGATCGTGGGAGCCGGCGTGTTTGGCCTCTCCACGGCCCTGCACCTGGCCGAAGATGGCTTCTCCTCGATTACAGTGATGGATCGGTCCATGCCGCCCGTCCCCGATGGTTCGAGCAACGACATCTCGCGCGTTATTCGCTTCGACTATGGCGATCCCGTCTATGCAAAGATGGGCCGTGATGCCTACGAGCTTTGGAATACCAGTCCCGACTATGCGGACTCCTTCCATCGCACCCCATGTGTCTGGACGGCGCAACAGTCAGGACCTGCCAGTCTCGTCTCGGCGGGCGGATCCGACTTCATACGCAAGACCAAGAAGATCCTCACGGATATGGGCTGCGAATGGCACCCCCTTGATAGTGTGGCCGCCATGAAAGCTCGTTTTCCCACAGTGTCGGGCACTCCCATCGGAGCAGGCTTCGAGGGATTCTACAACAACGCCGCTGGATGGGCTGATGCCGGCCTTGCCATTACCGGCCTGCGCGATCGCTGCATCCGCGCGGGGGTCTCCTTTGTTACCGGTCGCCATGGACATGTAACAAGCCTGGAGCAAGGGTCGGATGGCCGAGTGACTGCCGTGCGAACGATCGATGGCGGGCGCATCACTGCCGATCAGTTCATCCTGGCCACAGGCGCATGGACTGCCAGTTTGGTGCCCTCATGGAACACCATGGTGGCCACCGCGCAGATCGTCGGATTTGTGCGCCTCACACCGGAGGAGGTCCAGCGTCTGAAAGACCTGCCCATCTTCTTCAATCTGTCTACGGGATTCTTCAGCTTCCCGCCCCATGAGCAGACCGGATACCTGAAGGTGGCATGTCACAGTTTCGGCTACACCTTGTCCTCATCCAACATCTCTTCCCCACCCAGCGAAGCCATTTCACAGCGTGCGAACTTCATCCCGGAGGAAGGCCGGCAACGCCTGCTGGCCGGACTGGGGGAGATTCTACCCGAGCTAGTGTCGCGGGGATTTGAGAAGACGTGTCTCTGTTGGTACAACGAGACCCCGACGGGCGACTTTATCTTTGACCGCCATCCCGCACACCAAAACGTGTTTGTCGCGACCGGTGGTACGGGACAGTGAGTACTCCAACCCAAGTTCAGGGGTCTAAACGACGATACTAACGAGGTACTAGTGCATACAAATTCCTTCCTGTAATCGGCGCATATATTGCCAAGGCCTTCCAAGGCCAGCTGCCCGCCGACCTGGCGGAACGGTGGAAGTTCCACACCGACTACCGGTCGCTGGCGCGAGATGACTTGTTCACGGGGGCCAGCGCTCGCGGTGGCGGCGATGGCAGTCGGGGAGGCCCTGGTCGCCGGGAGTTTACGGCGCAGGAGCGAGACAGTCTCTTGACCTTGACGAATGCTCTGACCCGGAGGCCGGCCAAGATATAGATGACCAGCATTCTAGGTTATGTTCTAGGTTAGTATGTACATAGAGCGGGTTGTGGGATTTTAGCTTATGGTGTCCGGCGTGGTTGAAGTACCTGATCTATTGTATCTATTGGGTAGGGGTTTTGGCCACCAGTTTAGTTGGCAGGTCTTGGTTCTGTACTATAAATATATCTATCCTTCTTCCATGTCCCAGCCTGGTGTATAATGCAACCGTAGGAAGCAGTACTATGCCAGTCTCAACCATCAACCACCGATATATATACTCCCCGACCAGGTCCTCTATATTAAGTTGTATATCACCTCAAGCCTCGCGTTTCGGCGGATCCCGCACCATAGGGGCCAAGGCACCCGTATCCCCAAAGACATGGCTACGATCCTCGAAGCCAAACCGCTCATAGACCGGCTTGCCAGCCTTACTCGCATCAATATAGACCGGCACACCGTCCTGGTCCGCGACACGACAGCCCCATTCCAGAAGCATACGAGCGGCACCCATACGTCGGTAATCGGAGTGAGTCGCGAGCATATCGAGATCTACCCTAGCAGTTAGCAATCCACACTTCAATCCCAGCTCGTCAAATCAACATACAATAATTAGGTCGACCCCCACCCACCAGCGCAGCGCGATACGTCTCCAGCTGCTTCAAGAACGCATCATTATGGACGGGATTCATGTCCGGATGCCAGGCAGGCCAGCGAGCACCGCGCTCTTCAGCCGTCTGCAGGGACCATTTGGCGTAGGCGACGATACGGCCATTCTGGGATGTGTCGACGACCTTTAGAAATTTCTCCCCGGGTTTGTGTCGCATGTCGTGCTCGTTGGCTTCGTGCCACCATTGTCGCACGCCCGGGGTGTCGGGCCAGATGGTGCGCATGGAGTCGGTGGTGAAGGCATTGTACCAGAGGTCGGTGAGGGCGGGGAGGTCCTCGAGGGTGGCGGGCTCGAGGCGGAGGGGGGAGGTGTTGGTAGAATTCATATTGGAGGTTCAAGATAGGTGAAATGGTGGTATAGGTGGGAAAGAGGAATATTATCCCTGTCGGAATAGCTTCAGTCTGGCGCGGGGGTCGATGACTGAATCGCGCACGGGTCACCGCCCGGGTTGGGGAAAAAGAAGGGATCGGCGGGGATCCACAGCCCCAATTGTTCCTCACTGACTGACTAACTAGTCATTCTTCATCCTTCTGACGAATTCCTTCCGTGGCCCCGGATCGACATGTTACTACTGTGAGAGATCTATACTTTTTTAAGTTCCCTGCCATGGAGGTTCCCTGGCTATGGCCATGGCCCGGCCCGCCGTCCAAGGTTAATCTAGATGAACTCGACTAGTTAGCTGAGGAGTGAATTCTCCAGTGCTGCAATTAAGTTAACCGCTCGGCCATCTGGTGAACGACCAGCATTCAACTCCCAGCGGCTTAAAACGCGCATCACTTATAAAATTCACTTAGGTAGAACTAATATAGATATTGAATGTGAGGCGGCCAGTCCTCAGAGCTGTCCTATTTCTTCAACAAACTCATCGCCCACGTTCCGGTGTTTTGGCTCTCTAAGATGGTCCAGTAAGTAGCCATCCCACAGCATACTGATAAGATCTTGCAGTTTGGTTCACCTAGGAAGCTATCTCATCCAACAGTCTGACTATCCACTCGACTAACTTCCCAAAAATGCCCATCATATCTCTTCCTGTTGAGTTGGTGACCGAAATCTGCACACACCTGGGAATACCCGCCTTGCACGCGCTTCGACTGACCTGTCGGTCGCTCTTCATTACAACTGCCGATACCTGTCGACGTCGGGCTTTCCGCAGCATTTGCGTCCTGCTCACCACCGACGGGCTCCATCGACTGTCAGAGCTTTCCATGCAGGAGGGCATCTGCGAACATGTAGAGAGTCTTACGGTTGTCCCGGAGCTGTTTAATGGTGAATATAACGCCCCCTACTCGACTTTTTCGCGGTGGGTTTGTATCCAAGGGGCTTTGGGGACATCCCAGCAGGAGCAGGACTCTGGACAAGTCGATGGCAAGGCATACTATGCCGTCTACGAGGCTGCCATGGCGGACCATCAACACGCGCTGACCTCGGCGACTTCCATCATCCTTCTCCAAGACTGTATGAGGCGGTTTGTCAACTTGTCGTCGGTCGGATTACAATACTGCCCTACCGCAGGGACTGGGGATATCTGTCTAGGCTGGCGCAGATTCAGAGCTCAGCTGGGTTTCTACCCCGACTTCGAGAGGGAGCGCTTCCCGCACGAACAGATCGCCAGGGAGCATGATCTGGCTTTCTCTCTCCTTGCAGAGGCTCTGATTGCCAGTGGTCGAAAGGTGAAGAGGCTGTCGACCTGTGGCCCACATTGCTACGGTGTGGGACTTGGCAGGATGCAACTGACCCTCGAAGCATGGGCATCTTTTCTTTCCTGCCTCAAGGGATTGTCGCACTTACACTTCTGTCATGAGAGCTCGGCCATTTCTTCTCACCCAGAGCGTCTGTGTGAGTTGTTGGCGGCGGTTGCCCCAAGTCTCGAAACACTACGCTACCAAATCGGGCCCTACACTTCGTCAATCTACCGGGAACCTTTCCGTGTTCGTGAGCTTTTTGAAGGGGTACCGTTTCAGCGCCTGCAAACTGTGCGCCTGCGCTAATAGAACTTCCGATGGACACTCTAGAACAATTCCTTCGTGCAGTATCACCCACTTTGCAAATCCTAACTCTGAGAGCGATCAGCCTGGCTGAGCCTGATGATCCGTCCGATCCTCTCCCCCAAGACATGGAGGAGCAGACCAAGCACCATTGGTGGCGTCTTCTGGAGTTCACTCGCGATGAGCTTAACCTGCAATTCTTTGTATTACGGAAGGTGATGTTCAAGAAGAACCCACTGGGAATCGTAGATAGGTCGTTCACTTGGGCCAGACACCAGCACAATCTGGCTGTCTTTCACCATAGACGAACTGGCCTTTCCTTCCACGAGTGGATGAATCAGCTACGTCTGAAGTAGGTGCCAAGGATGTTGGCAAGAATGGCAGCTTTTAGTGAATTCTGCTTAGTAGATATGAGTACTGTTAACTATCTAGTCAGTAGTGCTTTACTTACTCAGCCACCACCATGTATAACTATGCCTTGCTCCATCACTATATTCTGCTAAGAACCAGGAGTAGATAATAGCTATGTAGCTTGGTTGTTATTGTTGTCTTATCTCTGATAATACATCCCCATTGGCATTCCATGAAAGTGACCACTGAAGGTGCGCTTGGCTATCGACCCGGGGAACTAATAAATCAGACTGCTTTTTACTCAATCAACCTTTTTAGTCTAACTTCGTATCATAACCGGGCAGAGTCCCACATGTTGATTGAGCTTATCTTCCGAATCCACCAACTAGAAATGACAGATCAACTAAAGAGACTGATACGGTGAGGAGACTATGCATACACTATATCTTAGAAAGTTGGATGGAACGACGCGACAATGTTGAAGACTCTCTCCCTCGTCTCCTCCAGCTCCCGGGGTGACCGGAGATCCAACGGACAGTCCGGTGGTGGCACGCGAGTCCGGCAGAGTCTATCTATCTACTAATCTTCCTGCAGGATCTTTAGCGTGGAATCCTGCGCTGCAGAAACAGGGTCACTTGGGAACGGAAAAATTGTTATCTAGGGTTATCTATTTGACGCAGAGATAATGGGTTTAGACTTTTGAGTGGGGGGGGTTGGTGATAACAATAATGCAATTTACCGGTTCTGGTTATTTGTCTCACGCGACATGGCACTGAGTAGTAGTATGCTATCTCTGTCGGAGTGGTTTGCTACAGATATCGGTATTATTTAGATACTGGTTATGCAGCGAAAAGGTGATAGATGGATGATTGGGTACTGATTGCGATAAGATATAGACTGCGTTGGAGCAAAGGATGCTTCAGTTTCTATCCCCGTAATAAGCTCATTAGAATTATGTACCGTAACTTGTATGCTCATGATCAAAGAATACACTTTTAGTCGGAATGAAAATTAGGATAGGATACATGGTGACATAGCTCGTTCAACTCGTCAATCAAATGCATACTTATACTTTCACTGCGTCGTCTGCCTCTGGCCACCCGTCGTGCCCATGCTAGAGGTGTCATACCCATGGGATTCGAGATAAGCGCGGAAGCGAGCATCCTCATGCGTGATAGTATCCTACTGTCAGTTAGTCACTGTCACATACAAGTAAATTAGATCAAATGATGTCATCACTTACCTGGCCAATATGAGGTAGACAGAAAAATGCCAGAAAAGCACTAAAGATACACAGAGCACTGGACACGTAGAACGGATCCTGGCCCTGGCGGACCTTGTTCGGAGCATTCTTGACAATAATCGGGAAAACGTAGGTGCCGACGAAAGCGCCCACTTTGCCCATGGCCGCTGCGGTGCCATAGTACTGGCCGCGAATGGGCGTCGCGCAGGTCTTGGCTGCACAAAGACCGATGTTGTCGCCGGGGCCGACTTCGCCCATGGCGAGGAAGATGCTATCGTCCGAGTGGTCAGCGAGGAGTGAAATGGGTGAGGATTGGGGATAAACTTACCCATAGACAACGACAAAGGCGGCTACATAGTGAGGGGTGTCCAGGTAGGGATAGCATCCGGTCATGATCAGACCGATGGCTCCCTGGACGAACACTCCGAATGCCAGTGTGTTGCGCGGACCGTACCAATCACTGAGAAATGCGCCCAGAGCGGAGCCGGGCAAGTAGAAGACGTTGATTAGGGTGTTCCAACCGAGCGTCTGCCACATGGGCGCATTATCGCCGATGATATCAGCCAGCCAGGCGGACGAGTAGATGCTGAAGGAGTAGGTGGAGAAGTCGTAGATGAACCAGATCAAGGCGACGACGCACTGGGCGAGTTAGTAAGATTTGTTGTGGAGTTCACGCTAAAATCTCCAATGGGCTTACCCAGCGCTTCCAATAGAATCTGTTGACAGGTGACGTTAGTATTTTTCTCGGCGCATAGAGGGGGACAGCGAACATACTTGACAATCAGCCAGACGGGAAACTTGTTCATCTTCTCGCGCGTGTACTCGGCGGGTTCCTTCAGCTTCATCCGCAGGTAGATTAGACTGAGCGGAGGGATGACACCGAGACCTAAACAGATACGCCAGGCAGCACGCAGATGGTTCTCTCCAGTAGCGAGCACAACGATCATGGGCACAAGTGACGACGCAACAGATGCCAGATCGAGTTGGAAGTTGGTGAAAAGAATGAACCAGCGGTGCCGGGTGCCCTCAGCCAGTTCTCCACTGCTCTCAGCGGCGGCGACGGACCCAGCAGGGTATTCACCTCCGACACCCAGACCCAAGAAGAAGCGATAGACCGTCAGGGCCGTGAACATGCCGGGAAGGCTGCCATTGTGGCCGTAGGCACCGGCACAGAGGGCACCGAACACGAATAGGATGACGGTGGAGACCATCAGGGTGTTGGATCGAGACCAGTGGTCGGAGAGGTAGCCAAAGAAGAGCATGCCAACGACAGTGCCGGCGAAAGCGATGGACGAGACATTCTGACTGTAGGTGGAGCCAGCGTAGATCTTGGGATAAATTTGATCGAGCATGGTGTTGACGGTACCGATGACCTAACGGCCGGGACCTATGTCAGTGCGATTGAACCTCACTGGGGCATAATAAGAGAAAAAGAGATTACTGACATATTGCAAGTATCCGTCCGACCACAAACCAGCACCGCAGGCAAAGGTAGGCCAGCTGCGCTCCCAGAAGGATTTCTGGGTGTCGGCCAAGGGATCCTCATCGATGTGAGGGTCACCGTGCGGCGAGACCACCAGCTCCTTGGTCTTCTCATCACCGCGATCCATCATTGTGTAGAATCAAATTGCAGTCTCTGAAACTGACAGTTAGGTCTAACTTGGACAAGTTCAGGAGTGAGTAAAAAATTTAGAGAGAAAGCAAGGGGGAAGCAGCAGGAGGGGCAACGTTAGCCAGCCGGGGGCACGAGACCACGGGATACCCTACCAACAGCGGCGACAATCAGCAGCAGGAAGACGCTCGACTGGTGGGTGGGGGAGAGGTTTTATAAAGTCGGTGACCTGCAGCGTCCGGCAAAGCTTGTCCGAAGGAATTGCCCCATCAAGCAGCCATGAACGGGTCTGAAGCCAGAAAGTGAACTGCAACGGGGATCTCAGTGGTGGGGATAGGAGAGGGTGGTGTCAAATTCGAGGTAGTACGGCGTGAGCACGAGGGAATGGGCCAGGTCCAAGCATCTCACTGGTTCATGATGGCACTTTGACAGACAATTTCTGTTGCTATCTCCGGTAGCGTAAACCAGGAGGATACTAGTATTGACTACGAAGTAAGCAGAGAGGAATGGATAGATAGGAGATCCACCGGCAGGCCACGATAGGAACCTTTGATTCGGTCTCTCCGAGCCACTTTTGTCTACTTACTAACTCGTCGTAGATAGACCGATTTCCTACTCCAGTGTAGGTACCAAGCTTCTCTGCTTCGAAGCTTGAAGTGGGGGCGACCATGGATCCAGCCCAACTGACACCGTCGCTCCACGTGCAGGGCTCACTGGGTGTCGCCTGTTGGCCCCCCAAGTAAAGGGGGGGACCCGAATGGAGGAATATACGCAGTTCGGAGGGAAACTCATATGGCAGGGCAATCAGGCGCGTGCAGAGGACCGAGCCAATCTGCTTCCTGGTCGCACGCTCATTCGATGGTGCAGGTGGTGGTGGCGCGATAGAGCCATCGCTGCTGATTCGCGATAAGCGGCCGCGGTACAGACAGTTGGGGATGCTGTAGAGTAACTTCAATCAACCTCAACTCTGCAACCTTACCATCCCCTCCTTATGCCCCATGCTAGGCCCTACAGCAGGGTGGTGGGTGTACAACGCTTTTATTTTGTTGGTTTAGTTCGTACTGATTCTCTTTGTCAAAGGATCAGGGGTTTGGACAACCACTGCCAGTCTGCCAGGCACGTGGGCTGGACGGGGGCTTCTAATCAGCACGGCGCTTGGGCCCACGTGCCGCTCTTTCTGGCGCATCCTGCAGCACTCGGCGCAGAATCTGCTTCATTGTGCTATTTGCTTCGTCTGGTTTGATCAAAATGCGAATGCTTCGTCCCGATGCCAAAGGTGGCTCACGTAGTAGCCACGAATCTTTGGAACGAACTCCCTCGATCAGAGTCAATGAAATGGGTCGATGCCCACCATTCGGGGCATGACTCGGGGATACAGGCCACGTGCACAGTCAACTTCCAGTTCCTTTCACTCTGGACTGCAGTGACCGGAAATTTTTTTCTCATGGAGACAAGCCATGGGCCCGATGGCACTGGCCAGCCACGTGGTCCCTGGTAGACCTTTATAGGAGCCATTCACGTTGCAGCACCCACTCTCTACTCTTCCATTCTGTATAATACAAGCTACGCCTATCCCACCATCAAATTAAACAGTCCACTGCCGGGTTGCACCGTACAGTCCCATTGCACACCCGCATATTCGCTGCGCGGACGCACCGTCACGGGGAACTCATCCTTGAGCGGTCGCATATTCGACGCAACCGCCATCGAGTTCAACCGCGGCGTGCGCCACTGCCCATCCACCGGCGCTATATCATATCGGAGCACCAACAGAGCGACTAATCCGAGAATCTCCGAGCTGGCAAAGTGTCGCCCGGGACAGATGACGGGGGACACGCCAAATGTCATGAAGCCTCCCGTGCGCCGCGGATTCTTATCATCCGACCGCATGTACCGCCGCGCATCGAACTCCCGCGCCGTCTCTCCCCATGCCTCGGGCATCCGCCCCAACGTCGCGGCCGGCATGTTGATCATGCTGCCGGCCTTGAGGAAATATTGATCCGCCAGCATCACGTCTTCCATGACAAATCGCGTCGGGGCGGATGCAGACTGCACGCGCAGGATCTCCTGGAAGCTCGAGACTACGAGCGGGCAGTTGTCGCGTATGGCCGAGATATCGATGATGTGCCGCTGGTCCGCGTCCACGCGGAGCGCATTCCTGCGGATCTCCTCGCGGATTTCCTCCAGCAGATCGGGCCGGGAGTACAGCTCATACAGCACCCAGAAGGCGGCGGGAACCGTATTGGAGAGCAACCCGATGCCCATACCCACCTCCTCCCGCGCAATCTCCTCGGTGGCCACCCCGGCCTCTCTCATCGTCTTCCATCGCACCTGGGTCATCTCCGATCCATCCTCGTGGCCCCCTTGCTCGTAGTACCGCACCATCCCAGCCACGACCGCCTCACGACCCCGCCACGCGGTGCGCGCAGTCAGCCAGGGGAGGAAGTTCGCCATTAATGGGCTGAGATGCGACTCAAAGGACCTATAGACTCAGTCCCATAGTTCGCGTAAACTTCGCGTAGAATTTAACTCGTCACTCACCAAAAGGATTCTTCGATCTTTGCATCCTGGTAGGGGTTCAATGGTCCATACGAGGCATTCGTGCTGGCGACCGTGATGGCATGGCGACACCAGCCATAGAGGTCAACCGTGGAGGTGCTGGCCAGATCATCCACCAGGGGTCGCAGCAGACGCGCCATACGCTCGTTCATGCGATCCAGGGACGCGCCGATCAGGGTGGGTTGCATGGCATGGATCACGGCCTGCTTCAATCCCTGGCCGCCCGATTGCTTTTCGCGCATGAGTTCTAGCGTCGGTCCCCGAATGCCGACCATGCGCTCGGCCGCCATGCTGAGGAACGGGTCAAAGCTCAGGGACTTTTTGTTGCGTTGGATGGACTGCAGAATGCTCGGCGAGGTGACCAGGTAGCTCTTGGTGAAGATCATATTCAGGCCGAAGATCGGATAGGCATGTTTCTCGCTACGGCGCATTAGAAAGCTTCGTGGGTCTAGCTAGCAATGGCCGAGATGGTCCGGGGAGACTCCAACACTCACGTCATCATGGTAAAGTATGATAAGCCATACCACAAGAAACCCAGCAGATGGCCGACTACGGGAATACTGCTGCGCACCAGTGGTGGTTCGCGCGGGTCGGCTTTCTCGCGACGGGTAAAGGCGTACCCGAACACGGCCAGGAGGCCGAGCACCGCCAGCCGGGTGTAAAAATCCAGCATGACTGGAAAGGGGGGCGCGGAGAGACGCCAATCCAGAGAGATAGAATTAAGTCCTGGAGGAGAAGGTGGAAGAATGGGTTGTTTTTCGCGGGGAAGAAGGAGAGTTTATGGAGTCAACCTCAGCCCCAAAATCACGCGACCGCCATTCCTACTAGTAACATCTCCACGCCGGTTGGCTGCTTCGGCTATCCTAAGCTTCGCAAGGGTGGGGAGGGACCGGATTTTTATTTAAGTTTCCGACTTTCCAGCAACCAAGAGCACATCAACATGATAAATTATAGATCTGGCTTTGATACTTGCTGGTGAGCTATCTCATTCCAGTTGGGGTCATTCCTCAGGCTGTACTTCTACCTCTCTTGCAGCTGTAGTCAAGAAGAATAACGAGTAGGGACAATATTCTCGTTACCAACAGTCGCTGGACAGCGTGCATGAAAAGGGTTACACAGGGAATATAGTTTATCAAAGTGATTCTAAACTATTATGAGTCGGTAACTGCATGACACTTAGAAGGAGTGATACTTTCGGACAACTATGTACATACACGAAATGTTGTGCAATATTATGCAAATTGTGGCCTGAGGCTCAATTCACCGCCAAGAAAAGTATCATATCGTGTGGGTCTCACCAGAGCCTCTGGTCGATGAGATCTCTCCGCTGGACACACATCGACTGGCGGAGAATAATAGAATTGCCCAATGTCATGAAAAGCGGTAGAATGTATATAGGTGCATGTGAGAGCATACTTATTGACCCTGGATGTCCTGCGTAGTACATTGAAGTGCCGACCACTAGTACTCCGTGGATGAAGTATGTAGAAAGAAATATATATCTTACCTACTACACTAGGATTCAAGTATCCATGGCCATTCCGAGTAGCGCCCAATACGAGTACTTAGAAAGGCATTTCCAAGGTCAATAGATAACATCATCCTCAGTTTTTGAATGTGTTGTCCAGTGCATGACTTACTATAAATCTAGTGCAATGAAAACGTCGGTGTTAAATTCAGTTCTCCTGGCAGCGATTGTTTGTCTCATTGCACTACACATAATAATAATTTCTGACACTTTCGACAATAGTGTAAAATAGTGCTCAAATCGTAGAGAAATGCCAGGATATATGACAAAAAAAATGAATTTCTTGCAAGAAGTTGCCTGAGAGGCTCATTCACCTTGGGTGTACAAATTCCCGTTTCAGGTGAAATCCAAAAGTTGGACCGGTCGCATACGCTGGTTCCCGACTTCTGCTTTCCTAAAAGACGACTAGATGTCGATAGGATACCATAAATATCAAGGCTGGTGTCTGTCGGAAGTTATCTCACCGAGCAGTGAGTGGGAGGCCACATTCACCACCCTATGCTCGATCGCCAGACTGGTGATTTCCCGCATTTTCAGTACAGTCCTCTCCTTTCAATGCCCATAGAGTTCGTATGGACGTTCTAACTCTATCACCATAGCTACAGCCCAGTCGGTCGATCAATGCAAACCTTGAAGCCTTTTACCATAAAAAACCCGAAAACCAGTCTTGCTTTTGGCGCGTAGATAGAGCACTCACTCTGGACGCCTTCTCTCTTGTTGACGTAGGGAGCTTAACAAACTGACCACTGAGCATTTCACAGTATAGCAGGCAGCCTTGCACTGTATATACTGATCGACGCAAAGGCACATGTTGGAAATTCTGATGTGAGCGTTCGAGACCAAATGCGATCGACAGCATTGTGGTGCTCGTCGCCTTCGGAAGCGGGCTGGCTTAGCACCTAGTGCGAAGGACTCAGCAGAACTCTGGTTAGTTAGATCAATCGAATCACCAGTGCTGAGGTCTGGAGATGGAGGTAAGCATTTGGCATAATGAATGATCAATCACGTCTCGCCATTTTATCAATCACACCGCATGCTTTCTATACCAACAGTCACTGGACTGACATCAACAAATAGGCCCCGGTCGTCATTTCGCTGTCAAAGTTCAATTTTCCCATGGAGCCTAGAATCATCCCTACATTGGTAGTCCGAGCAGACTCAGAGGATCGGCCTCTGGGCATCATCCTCCCCAGCAGGATTCGGGGCTGTGCGGATGAGTGAGCATATCGCCAAGACTGACTCTAGGACCATGATGAGACGGTTCTTCCAACATCAAAATGACACTAGCCAGGAAGCCGGTCTGGCCCCGATGAATATCAGGTTTCTGGCATTGGTTTTCGACCCCTGCCGAGATTAGATGTCCCTATTCCTCCAGGGACTTCCAACTCTTTCTGTTCCCGATCGATGGTATATAAAAGCCCCCAGCTGCGTATAATCCGACCGTACACTCACGGAGAAATCCGAAGCCGATAAGATGTCCCAGCGATGTTGTCAGTTTAGGCGACTGGACGAAAAATTCTGCGCATGCAAGCAGCAGCCAGGAACTGAATTTTTTCTTCCGCAGTGCACATGTGGCATTGGGTTTTCAGCCTGCAGGTACGACGTACCACGTACTTACGTATAGGATTGCCTGCTTATTTTCTCCTGTTATTTCCACCTTCCAGTTGCTTTGTTTTTGCCCCCCAACACCAATGTACCTGCTGCATATGCAGTACAACACAGCAGTCGTAGACCGTAGAAGTTCCTTAGGGTGGTAAATAGTCTGCTGCAATGTCTTGGATTTTTTTTTGGGGCCAACGCGCCATGGCGGGATGGAAGACGTGTGGAAACCAACAAGTTGATCTATGGCAGACATTCCATGTCTGAACGGCAGCGGTGAATGTTAGCGTCTGATTCATGTCTGCGACCAAGTGAAGCAGTCGACTGCTTCTGCCTACGTAATGGCGGCGGTTAGTGTTCTATATATAGCGCTCTGCCGCGGGAGGACATATTGCTTGTGCTCACTTTCGCCCGGTGAGACAAACAACTAATGGTGTTTGGTGATCTCAGGCTGTGAATAGTTACCAGCGTTGCCGGAATTAACTCGCATGAACTACAGAGTCATTCAACTTCGCTTCGGCGGCAATATTATTAAGGATTGTGGTGAAATTTGGAAGAACCTCTCCCATCGTAGTAAGGGTTGTGATGATCCTGGTGGGCTTTGATCGGGTCACACTGCCCGTCCCGCACTGAGATCTAGCATTTCTCTTCGACCAACGACATCACCGCGAGATCGCTGATCTTCAGGAAGGCCACCTCGTCACGTACGCGTCCAAATCGCCAACAAGACTGACTGACTCTCTGGCTGAGGTTTGCCTGGCAATGTGCGGCATGTCAGCACGATGCACACGTTGAGGGATCCATATGCGACCGTGGCTCATAGGTGGGATGGTGGCCCAGACAGTTTTGCAACAAGCTTTCTGTGTGAAAGAATCGAAGAATCGCGAAGCATTCCTGAGGCCGGGCTGGAGCCTGGACCTGGAACCACAAAAACTCAATCGGAATATTGTCTGGTAGGGGCCAAGGGCAGAAGGATGGTCTGGCACTCATTCTGTGACCCGGATTGTGTCAGTGTCTGGTGGATTATGTGCCTGGTTGTTGCCCCTCCTTCAACGACGGGGACATCCCGAAGCAGACCGAAAGACTCTGATAGGTTCCATGACGTCTTACGCTGTATGCGATTTATGAGGCGTTTCTTGGGCTGATAACGGCCAGACTGGCCGCCCAGTTAGAAACCCTCGACAGAGTGTAGTCCGACATCCCGACGGGGCCAGTGGCAATGCAGCCGAACCGGGGTCGGCAGGACAAGGCATGACGCCGTGATATGCCTATTGGCCAGGTGTGAGGCATGGGGCAGGGTCTCTGGCCTCTCACTGTGAATTATCCGCTGAGATAACAGAATAACAGGATCTGGCGACTCGCTGAAGGGTACGTGGGCCACCTGTAGTGGGGAGGGGATCCGGGACATGCCCACTCACAGTGATTCAAAGCAAAGTCCCGATGGTTTCGGATCTCCACCGAGCCGCGCCTGGTTCCAACCATAGAATCTGCGCGAAGGCAAAAAATGGAAAAAAAGAAAAGAAAAGAAAAGAAATCCCTGGTCGTGCCGAAACACAAGGACCAATGTTCGCCCCATTTGCTGGCCCGACATCAGATTTTTTTGGTACCTTGGCAGTAGTTGATGGGAACCCACGGATATACCGTTATAGGTCAGACAGGCACAGGCACACAGGAACAAAAACTCTCTCATTCTCATTGAGCTTAGAAATCATTAATAGGATGATCAAGATTAGCGCTCTGAGTGTCGGTCACAGTGATCATCTCTCAGTGACTGCAGTAGTGGCGGCTGCTTCAGCGGTAAAGTCCGCCAGGGATCACCACCATCAGCATACACAGCTATTATACCCTCCACATCCAGCGCGGTTGCCCATTATCGAATGACAGAGGGTGTACTGACGAGGCCCGCCTCCACCTCACCCAATCATGCTATCCTGATATGACGTTTCCTAATAATAGCCACCGAGAGTAGAGAATGACCGAACAGGTGTCTTGGATCGCAGGGCCTAGCGACCCCACCGCGGGCGAAAGGTTTTAGATAATGGTCTCACGACGGCTTAAGCACCGCGCTTGTCTCTCTCTCGTCATCGAGTAGTCTCTTGTCTTTCGTAGCATTCGCAGCAGTAACTCCCAGCAGCAATTTGCTGTCTTCTTTTCTCTCGTTTCAACCATCCCCTGGGAACGCTTTCCTCCCACGTTTCTCTCGTTTCATACCCCAAAGTCATTCGTTTTTTGTGCTGCTTATCTTCGCTGTGTTCGGTACGAGGGTTTCGGGCATGTGGCATTGGGTTCCTGCATAATAATCCTTTGGACCTTGGCTGGCACAGAATTCCTGGTACCACACGCCGCTTGCCATCATGTTCGGCACGACGGTTCAGCGCTGCGTGGTGCTCATTCTGGGGCTACTCAGCGTCACGACCGTGGGCTGGCCCTACGATGAGTCGCTCGTTGATTACAACCTGAACGAGAACAAGACCGCAGAGGGACCGATAAACTATTGGGGAGAATGGCCAGATCACACCTATCATCCGTCACCAGACAACTGGCGCTTCCCCATCTATACCATCTTCCTGGATCGCATCGCCAACGGAGATCCCGCTAATGACGATATTAACGGCACCACCTACGAGCATGTACTCGATTCGAATCAGATGCGCCATGGCGGTGACCTAGTCGGCTTGATTGACACGCTCGATTACATCAGAGGCATGGGCTTCAAGGTGTGTCTATTCCCTTGATATCAGTTCCCGGTTCATCCGTGACTGACTGACTGTTCTAGGGAATCTACTTCGCTGGTACGGGCTTGATGAACCTTCCCTGGGGCTACGATGGTTACTCCCCGGTGGATACCACCCTCCTCGACAAGCACCATGGCACCCTGTCCGACTGGAGGCGGACCATCAAGGAGATCCACGACCGGGATATGTATGTGATTATGGATAATACATTAGCAACGTGAGTATGCACCGAGTATTCTAGACGACCATGCCACTAATAATCTCCCGTGCAGTTTGAGTAACCTGATCGGTTTCAAGGGCCACTTGAACGATTCGGCTGATTTCAATGCGAAAGAGTACGAGGTGGAGTACGTCACCGAGAGAACGTACGCCGATTTCCAGTTCAGCAATGACTACAATGACACCTGCAACTACCCGAAATTCTGGAACGAGACGGGATACCCGTTGACGTCCGGTGGCGTGCAAGACCTGAAGGGTTGCTACAACAGTGATTTCGATCAGTATGGCGAACTCGAGGCGTTTGGTAATTTCCCCGACTGGAAGCGACAGCTCACGAAATTCGCTTCGGTGCAAGATCGTCTGCGAGAATGGCACAAGCCGGTTCGCGATGTCATCACCCGGCATTCCTGCATTGTGATCGCCAGTTTGGACATTGATGGCTTCCGGTTTGATAAGGCCGTCCAGGCCACTCTGGATCCGCTGGGTGACATGCTAGCGGTCTACCGTGAATGTGCCAAGCAATATGGCAAGAAGAACTTCTTCCTGCCGGGAGAGATCACTTCGGGAAACACCTTTGGTAGTCTCTATCTTGGCCGGGGTCGTCAGCCAAACCAGACGCCTGATTCGGCGGACGCTGGCGCCAAGCTGACGAATGCCTCGTCGGATTCCTACTTCCTTCGAGAAGATGGCTTGCAAGCGTTGGACGCCGCGGCCTTTCACTACACCATCTATCGTTCGATGACCCGTTTCCTGGGAATGGACGGGAACCTGGTGGCCGGATTTGACCTGCCCACCGACTTCATCGAAGCCTGGAATGGCATGCTCGTCACTAACGACTTCATCAATGCCTTCACGGGCGAGTTGGATCCCAGACATATGTATGGAGTGTCGAACCAGGATAACTTTCGCTGGCCCGCCATCAAGAATGGTACGGAGAAATACCTGCTGGGTCTATACATTGTTACGCTGGAGCTGCCGGGAATCCCTTTGGTTCTCTGGGGCGAGGAGCAGGAGATGTACGTGTTCGATGCGACTGCCTCCAACTATCTGTTCGGTCGGCAACCCATGACTTACCAGACGGCGTGGTGGACGCATGGCTGCTTCTCGCTAAACACCTCGAAATTCTACGATTTCCCCAACGACAAGGGATTGAATGGTTGCAACGATATCACAGTGACTTACGACCAACGGAATCCGGCGCACCCCCTTCGCAACATCATGAAGCGCATGTTTGAGATTCGGGAGCAGTACCCAGTGGCCAATGATGGTTTCAACCTTGAAACCATTTCCCAGCTTACCCAGGATATCTATCTTCCGGGTTCATCGACTACCCCGACGGTGACTGGTCTCTGGTCAGTGTTGCGCAGCTACTACCCCGGGGTCCAGAAAGAGGCCTCGAGTAGCAACGATACTCTTTGGCTTGTATATCATAATGCCAATAAAACGGAAACCTATGGCAAGAACTGTACTAGCAAGGACTCCGCTCTTCTGTCCCCTTACGAGTCGGGCACGAAGTTGAAAAACCTCTTCTATCCCTACGATGAACTCACGCTGCAGGATGGACCAAGTGACGCTAGCAACGGCACCGAGTCCTACGGGTGCACGACCAACATGAAATTGCTGCCATGGGAATTCCGGGCTTACGTCAAGGCGAGCGACTTCGTTGAACCTGGCCCTACCGTCACCGAGTTTGTCCCCGGCCACGATGCTCGCCTGCTGTCTTCCGAGGATACTGGGGAAACACTGAAGATCCAGCTGGGCTACTCCAAGGCCATGGACTGCAGTGCCATCACGAAAGCAGTCTCCCTGAATTCGACCACCGTCAAGGGCGTCAATGCCACCCTTGACACCTCTAGCGTGAGCTGCACCAACGTCACCGCCAGGACGAGCAGTAATAACTACATCGGCGAGGTTCCCACTGTTTGGACCTGGTCCGCGAACCTGACAAACGTCTATCACGGAATCCACCAGCTCACCGTCAAGAATGCCTCCACGACGTCTGGAACGCGCGTAGATGCCATCGACCGCTTTTTATTCCGAGTCGGAACCCACACCAACCCGTTAATATCGCCACTGGCCAACTACTCTACCAGCCTCGTCCATCAGTCGGATAACGGCAGCTACTATGTTCAGCATGATGCGGCCGGCGCTGACCAGTTCCGCTACACGACCGACTTTGGCCTGAACTGGTCCAACTGGACAGACTACACTGGTGGTAACACGACGATTGAATTTCCGACTTGGACCGGCACAGATGCTCAAAAGTGGGAGGGCACTCACATTCGCGTCCAGTATTTCTCCCGCCTTACCGGCAGCAGTGATTACATCCAGGAGGGTGATTATGACTGGGAATCCGGTGTCCCTCGCAGATTTCCCCATCTGTGGTGGAATGGCCCGTACAACCAATACGGTTATGATGCCGGTCTGGACAGCAAGATGCGGTTTGATACTAAGGATCGCCGCTGGAAATATGATTTCGTCTATGAATGGCCGTCCGTCGGACAGATCAGTGTCTGGGGCACTGGCAAGGACGGTATTCCGGAGACAACGAATGTTTATGGCGATGTTGACAACTCATCGGTTGTACAGGTCTTGCCTCCCTCCTACTTGTCCTCGAACGTGATTAATATCACCGAGCTGCCCCCCTTCCCGCACCTTGGCTGGACCATCTCTCTCAATGATGCCAACCTCCGCTATGAATTGCTTCCGGTCGGATCTGGATGGGCTCAGCTGGTACTTTACATTCTTCTTTGGGTCGTCCCTATCTTGATGGGGCTGGCGGGAGTTTTCATCTTCATCCGCACCTTCTACCGTGTTGAGCTGAACACCGATGGCAACGTGGTTAAGGAGGACAAACTGCCGCTGTTGTTCTGGCGCAGGATGAAGGGCCAATCTGGAGGTGATGGCCAGATGGACCGGGAAGAATCAGATGTCGCCGCCGTGGCAGGCGAAATGGCCATTGCAGGAGCCTCCGAGAAACGCCGCACGGTCTTGATCGCCACCATGGAGTACGATATTGCGGATTGGCAGGCCAAGGTCAAGATTGGTGGTCTGGGAGTCATGGCTCAGCTCATGTCCCAAAACCTGGGATATCAGAATCTTATCTGGGTGGTTCCCTGCGTGGGAGACATCGAATATCCCGAGGATACCCCGACAGAGCCATACATCGTGAAGATCCTCGACAACCCCTATCTCGTCAATGTGCAGTATCACGTTCTCAACAACATCACCTACGTCCTTCTTGACGCTCCTGTATTCCGCCAGCAGACAAAAGCTGAGCCGTATCCTCCTCGCATGGATGACCTGGATAGCGCCATTTACTACTCCGCCTGGAACCAATGTATCGCAGAGACCATCAAGCGCTTCCCGTCCATCGATCTGTATCACATCAACGATTTCCACGGATGTTTGGCACCGCTGTACCTCCTGCCGACCCGAACGATCCCCGTGTGTTTGTCTCTCCACAACGCCGAGTTCCAGGGTCTCTGGCCCCTCCGGACCCAGCAAGAAAAGAAGGAAGTCTGTTCGGTCTTCAACCTCCCCGTTGAAACGGCTACCAAATATTGTCAATTCGGTAATGTGTTCAACTTGCTTCACACAGGAGCGAGTTACCTTCGGTTCCACCAGCGTGGATTTGGCGCAGTCGGGGTGTCAAAGAAGTACGGAAAGCGCTCCTGGGCTCGGTATCCCATTTTCTGGAGTTTGGATAAGATCGGTAGTCTGCCCAACCCTGACCCAACTGATACGGCGGCCCTGGAGGATACTCCTGACGAGAAAGCTCTGACTCGGTCATATGAGGAACGGATCACTGACAAGCTCGAGGCCCAGAAGTGGGCTGGCCTGACCGAGGATCGTAACGCCGACCTCCTGGTGTTCGTCGGTCGCTGGTCTAAGCAGAAGGGTGTCGATCTGATTGCGGATGTCATCCCCGCCGTTCTGTCTGACCGGCCGCAGGTGCAGGTGATCTGTGTTGGTCCCATCATCGATCTTTACGGAAGACTGGCTGCCATTAAGTTGGAGAAGATCGCTGCCATGTTCCCTGGCCGGGTCTTCTCCCGACCTGAGTTCACTGCTTTGCCCCCGTGTGTCTTCTCTGGCGCTGACTTCGCTCTGATCCCGTCTCGTGATGAGCCATTTGGATTGATTGCCGTTGAGTTCGGTCGGAAGGGTGCACTGGGAATCGGATCTCGCATCGGAGGTTTGGGTCAGATGCCAGGCTGGTGGTACACCGTTGAATCAGACGCCACTCGCCATCTTCTACACCAGTTGAAGACTGCGATCAAATCTGCCCTGGATTCGACTCCTGAAACTCGAGCCCAGATGCGCGCAAACTCCGCTAAGCAGCGATTCCCCGTTCTCGAGTGGATCCAGAAACTCGAGACTTTGCAGCGGACATCGATCAAGATTCATCATGACAAGAACAAGGACACCGTGACTGGTTCGATTCCGGAGTCTGAGAGCGTATGGGACCTGCAAAACCTTCAGAGTGCGCGCTATTCCAGCGTGGCACTTCCTAATATGGCCCTGTCCAGAGCGGACGGCACGGAAACACCGCCTGAAGCCATGATCCAGCAAGCCCACGCTCGCCTTCAAGAGATCCAGGCATCCGAGGGAAGCAGTCGCGACAGCAGCCTCAACCGCAAACTGTCACTGGGTCGCCGGTCCGGCCCTGGTCAGGGCAGAAAGCGCTTGACGAAGAGGCAAGCGACCGCAAGCCAGGCATCCACTGATCACGGAGAAGATGAGAACGATACCGACGCTGACGACGACAACACCAGGCCGCAGGAGGATTACATTTCTCCCGAGGAGGCCATGCAGGCCGTTAACAACACTCTTACTCCCCATGCTATCACTGGAGACAGTACTCCCCGCGCCTCCTACTTGTCTAGACCCGTATCCCCGTACCCCATCTCACAAATCTCTACTCCAGCGTGCCCGACACCGCCGCCCATGACTCACTTCCGGACTGTTTCTATGCTGTCGTTGCCATCCGTTGTTGGGGACCATAACCGCCTCAGCAGTCTCGGCGGCGAGGAGCAGAACCAGCCCGTCTTCGAGTTGCAGAAGGTGGACCCGACTTTCACGGACAGCTTGGGCCACTTCACCCGGCGCTTCGAGCAGTCGCTTGAGAAGTTGAACAAGAAGAACTCCATCACGGACTATTGCATTGAGGTGTATCTGATGAAGAGTGAGCGCAAGTTCTACAATTCATACAACGACGCCCAGCTTAAGAAGCAGCCTAAGAACCGTGCGCTCGCGGTTCCCAGCTCTGAGAGTGTTGTGCAAGAAGGGCCCGGTGGCTCAGTCGTTCGTCACTCGTACTCCAGTGAGGATTCTGAAATCAATGGAGAGGATGAGATTGACCGTTGGCTGATGCGGTTGGGTTACACGCGTCCGATCGCAGTTCAGCGATTCATGAGACGCCGCTTGGGCAATTGGCCAGTGTATTCACTATTCCTGGGTCTGGGTCAGATCATCGCCACCAACTCCGCACAAATCACCCTGCTTGTCGGCCAGGTCGGAGAGACCGCTGTGAAGCTTTATGTCATCGCCGCTATCTACTGCCTGTCCTCTATCGCGTGGTGGTTCCTGTATCATCGGTTCCCAGCCGTCATCTCCCTCAGTCTCCCCTGGTTCATCTACTGCCTGGCATTCATCGTTATCGGTGTTTCACCCTTCGGTCTCACGGCTCTCGGTCGGGCCTGGGCTCAGAATGTTGCGGCTGGCGTCTACGCCATTGCGTCGTCTAGCGGTTCCTTGTTCTTCGCTCTGAACTTTGGAGACCAGGGTGCCGTCCCTGTCAAGGACTGGATGTTCCGCGCCAGTATCATTCAAGGTATCTCACAGATCTACACGGTCGCGCTCTGGTTCTGGAGCTCCAAGGTCACTGCCGCCGAAGTAGGAGGTGTATCTGTAGCGGCCTTGAGCTCCTGGCGTCTCACGGCCGTGGTGATGCCCATTGCTGCCCTCTGCTTCGTGATCGGAGTCCTGCTGGCCCTGGGATTGCCCAACTACTACCGTCAAGCTCCCAGCCGTATCCTATTCTTCTACAAGTCTCTGTTCCGCCGACGCATCATCCTGTGGTTCTTCTTCATGGTCATCGTCCAGAACTGGTTCCTTGCTGCCGCTTTCGGCCGCAATTGGTCCTTCCTCTGGTCGTCCAAACACACCAAGCCCTGGGAGATCGTCCTCCTTGTGTTCGGCTTCTTCGTCGTCCTATGGGTAGTCATTCTTGTCATATTCCGTGCCCTATCGAAGGAACACAGCTGGATCTTGCCAGTTTTCGGTCTGAGTCTGGGTGCTCCCCGGTGGGCACAAACCTGGTGGGGAACCTCCAACATCGGCTACTATCTCCCTTGGGCTGGCAGCTTGGTGTCGGGGTCGATCGCTTCCCGCTGCCTGTGGCTCTGGCTGGGACTACTTGACGAGATCCAACAAGTCGGATTGGGTATGATTCTGCTGCAGACCATGACTCGCGTGCATGTCTGCTTCGTCCTGTTGGCCGCGCAAGCACTGGGATCCATCGCCACCATCTGCGCCCGCGGCTTCGCGCCCAACAAGATTGGCCCTGGGGATATCTCTCCGGATGTGGGCACGTCGGTGGACAAGGTCGGTAACGCATGGTTCTGGATCGCTCTCTTCTTCCAGCTCCTGGCAAGGTAAGTCTTTCCCACATTCTATTTTCTACGCGAGCTCTATCTAACGTTTGCACAGTTGGGGCTTCCTGCTCTTCTACCGCCGCGAACAGCTCAACCGACCCTAAATGCCCTACCGGGTCAATACAGATCACGGATCCCACTATATTAACGTGGGCAGATCTCTTCCTTGCATTACTGCATCAAGTGGTTGTACAAGGCAGTGCTGGAAAGCACAAATGTCACCATCACCACTAGTCATGACCATAGACCTATAATTACCCTGTCTTGTAGCATATAGATTTGTATATAAGTCGCATGATCAGCAATTGAATATATTGTCTTTCCTTGAATTATTTTCTATAAATTAAAGTGCCACCTGAGAATACAGAGCAGCAAGGCATGTGCATATGATTTGACACCGCCGGTCTTTTCCTTTCGGGGAGCCTTATCCGGCCGGGGTATTACTGCACAAGGCTGCAGTGAAAAGCTGCAAGGCTGGTAATGTTCAAGGTACCCCGCGGGAAGTCGCTATTCGATCTTTCGTATTATTTTATCTTGGCGGAGTACAAGTGACTGCCCTGCTCATACGGACCTGGGCAGCACATCAAGAACATAAATCACTGTTCCTACATCCACAGAATTTTCTTCTCACGCGTCATTATGAACAGAATAGATCCATGCTTCAGCTTTACTCACCATCTGGAGCACCTTGAAGGAAATTAAGCAGTCATCCCATATGTCTTGACGTGGCCATGGTGGGGTAGAAGAGCCTAGACCTGATCTTCGATACTTGTGTTACTCGACGTGTATCCCCTTGCCTTAGCGGGGTCAATGCCGCTTTTAATCGACACATTTTCTTGGCAGTGGATAGATATCTCGATGCCTAAGCCTCTGGGTCTCTGATCGCTGACACTAGTAGGCTAGGAGGAATTCATTGACGCCGTATCATTCTGAATACTCTATCTCATTTGAGTTCGTGAGCTGATATTTACCTCTCGAGGCTCCTTAGCAGGCATGAAACCACGCCTGCACTACGACGACGTGGCTCAGGAGCACAGCGAAGCCATCTCCAATGCGTGGATTCGACAGTTCTTCAATCCTAGGGTCCTCCAATCCGTCGCACAATTCCTGAAAAGACACCATGGTCCGGGAAACGTTGATGAATTCAGTTATCTGAAGAAAGGGTCTTATAACATCACCTTCCAGATGATTAACACAAATTCAGACGCTACTGTCATACGTTTCGTTCAGCCAGGATCGATCATGTTCCCTGAGGAGAAAGTCCGCAATGAAGTTGCCACGATGCGATACATTTACGATCAGACTTCCATTCCCGTTCCTTTCGTCAACCACTGGGGACCGAGGAAGGAGAGTCCTCGGGGATTAGGCCCGTTCATCATCATGGATTATATTGAACATAAAAAGAGCATGTATGATGCTCTCAACGTGCCTAGATGTCCAGGCGAACAGCGTGGTATTCTTGACCCCCATATCAGTGAGGCCAAGCTGGAGGCCCTGTATGGAGAGGTTGCAACTATTTTACTGAAGCTATCTCGACCAAATTTACCCCGGATAGGGTCACTGCATCAAGTCGATGATTTCACCTGGGAAGTAACCAAAAGACCTCTGTCAATGACCATGAACAGTCTGATTCGGCTGGGCTCGCTACCCCAATCAAAACTTCCAAACACGACGTTCGACAGTACCTCTTCATATTATGAGGCTCTAGCAGAGCTGCACATTGCACACCTGACCAACCAGCGCAATGATGCCATCGATTCAGCTGACGACTGTCGGCGCAAGCTTGTTGCTCGATACCTTTTCCGTAAACTTGCCAGAGAACATTGTTTAACAAAGCCGCTGGCAGCCTTCGATAAAGGCCCCTTCAAGCTTTGGTGCGATGATTTGCGTCCAGCTAATATTCTCCTGAGCCGAGAGCTTAAGATTGTCAGCGTTTTTGACTGGGAATTCACATATGCCGCCCCAGTGGAATTCTCATTCGCACCACCATGGTGGCTGTTAATTGAAAAGCCTGAATACTGGCCACAAGGGCTGGACGACTGGTGTAACGAGTATCAACGACGCCTTCCAACCTTTCTAAGAGCAATGAGAGACCAGGAGGATAGAGCAATTGAGCAGGGGTGGCTAGACAGTACGCAGCGACTGTCGGGTCTGATGAAAGAAAGCTGGGAGAGCGGCGATTTCTGGATAGCGTATGCAGCGAGGAACAACTTTGCCTTTGACCTGATATACTGGCACAAGATTGATCAGCGACTCTTCGGACCGACATCAACTCCGATCGATGACGTTTGGAAGCAGAGATTGGTTATACTCGAGCCTGCAGAGAGAGCCGAGATCGAACGCATTGTGGCGAGAAAGGTCGAAGAGATGCAGAGTCGGTCATTGGCTTGGGATCCGGACGGCTACACCAAGGAGATCGCAGATACACTCTGTGAAGATAACGTAGACAAGGAATTTGAAAGCCAAACGTCCGACTCTGCACCAGACAAGAGAATGTATGCTGGGCCGACGAAGTTGGAAGAACTGTCTTTGATTGGTGATGGCTCATTTATCCTCTTTAACAAGCTCGGTAAAACGTAATAGCAGTCTATATTCGAAGCAGGGTCATAATGATAGGCTTTTTTCGAATAATTATCCCCCATTACATATGCAGAAAATAGGACTGAAAATAATTCTTGTATACTTCTTTTTCCTCGCGTCTTTCGAAAGTAAACCCCCTGGAATGGTCTGAAAAACTTACGCATGAGGCCCTGAAATCCACTGATAAGACAGTATTACGCCTCCTGATCAACGACCCCTGATTCAGTCGTTCCGTGACACCAGATGGCTCTTCTACTATTGTTCGGACAAGAAAAGAGATCCCAGCAAACAATTTACTATAAAACGCGCAGGCAATCTAACGAATTATTTCACTATCATTCTGGAGACCAAACCATCAAGGCTTACTGTAGTCTATCCAAAACTGCTCAAGTTCGGCAGCAAGATCACTTAAATTCAGGGAACTCCTCCTCGGTCCAGACTTGCCACACCAACCGTTCACCACTAACAGTGCCGCTTCTCAAGATGCCTAAAGCTTTACTCGCCCTGTCTAACAGAGTCTCTCCTTCAACTATCCGCTGCTTATTCGGCTTGATAGCACCTTGGGCCACAAGCGTGGGAAGTATCTCCGTCTGGAGATGGTCCCGCAAAAAGTCATTCTAGGAGAAGGGTTGATGTCAGTCCAGCATTCATTGCAGTGTGAGTAACGAACGCTTCCACAAACTCACGACGCAACATGGAAATACAACATACCTTCTCGTAGTCGTAGACTACAATGGGGTGAGTCTCAACGCCCGATGCCCAGGGCGCCTCTGTAGAGACATCAAAGGAGAGCTGTAGACCGTCTTTCTCAGATGGTCTGCTGATAACAATCGGAAGAACAGCAGCAACAGCTGAGCCTGGCTGTGTGGCTATCTTGGAGATCGGAATCAAGGAACCGGATTTCGAATTTATGCAGTCAAAGACGCGAATGCTTTCTTGGTGCCCTTGGCTATTCAAGAGATCGAGGATAGAGGCGGTATCCGGGTCACGATAGTCGAACACGTGCGCCGCCCCATAAGCCTTGACCATTTCATGATGCTTCGGGGAAGCTGTTGCAATAACGTTGGTATATCCCCAGTATTTGAGGATTTGCACCGCGTACTGCCCTACAGAACTGGCAGCACCCCAAATGAGAATCGGTACGTCTTTTTCGGATGGAGTGAAGTCCTCTGGGCGCGGCCAGGGTAGTTCAACTTTTAACTTCTCGAACAGCGGAAAGAACGCAGTGCAGAAGTTCGTCGGTATGGTAGAGGCAGCAGACAATGGAATGTTTTGTGGGACCTAATTTTCCCGTTAAGATAACCTGGAAAATATATCTCAGGTGGAAATAGAAATGGAATGTAAACAAACCTTGCCAAGAAGAGTCTCTGGTGCCGTGACATATACCTGCTGGCCTTTCTGTGTCTTGGTTTGGAAGAACATTCCGAACACACGATCGCCAACCCGGAGACGCTTGACATCAGGACCGACAGCTACCACAGTTCCGGCGGCGCTATCCCCCAAGATCTGAGGGAACTGGACCATCACACCAGCATCGACTTGGTAGACATCCAGGTGGGAAGTCGGAGCCCATTCCACTCGGACCTGAACGTCGTGATGCTCAGCCTTGAGGGTTGGGACATGCTCGATTGTCAAAGGTCCCTTCAGTGCGGTTACAATGATCGCTGGGTGGGTGGCCATAATACTGGGGACAATTATCAATGAAACGACTATTAGTAAAATGAGGATAGTTGTGCTTTGAGTGCCAATGCAGGTGTTCTATACCAGTTTTGGGGACATATTTCAACTATATATAACCAAGACCCCAGAGGCAACGGACCCTGTCATAACTGGGCTGTGGTGACAGCATTAGAAATACAATGCGATTAGAAATCCGTCTCAAATCGCTAACATTGACGAAGCTTAAGCTATTGACTTCCAAGCAGTTCGATAGTCAATAACATCGGTGACATTGGAACAACCACACTGCACCATGCAGATTTAGCGGATTGAAGACCCTGGTTGCGTGCTGACAGTCGGTTTCTCATTGGTGGTGTCAGCAATGCGCATTAGCTTCCGTGGGGGTGGAGTCATCCATAGTCTGGCTATGCATCCAAACGTCGGGTTGTTACTTTCTGCTGATAAAAAAAACTCAACTTGTATTTACTATAGTAGCGATAATAATTACGTATATTGCTTTCCTTGTAGTGTGTGTGTTGGCTGGCATGATTGTGGCTAGTAAACAAAGTCCGTTCACGAAGTGAGAACAGAAGACGAATAGAGTACAACTAATTGACATTGAGATGGAGCCAATAAATAAAAGAAGTTTAATTCTCCTTCTTTTCCTTCCCAGGGCCTATTATAGTTCGGTGGTCTGGAAGGTGAAGCACAATGCCAGGGTTGGTATTAGTGTTTCCTATGTTGCCTATGATTGTGCGGTTGTTGGGCCATATTCCGTCGGCTGATCGGATAGACGCGATATATCCTTTTGGTCTAGCGGTTAAGATGTCGACAGTTTCTGACTCCACCCAGGGTTCAGGATGCGGGCTACATCCACGGTGTAAATTACATCATATCTCAAACAACCCTTCGGAAACCGCTTCGGAGACCGCTCCGGAGTTAGCGGACTTCACTTCCGTGCAGTGTCTGCCCCACGACCATCCAACGCCGCATCGACGGCCCCGAGGGTAGCCAGACAACAGACTCACTCTCCAGTTCGGTTATATATTAACTTCTGCACCCTTATCCCTGCAGCCGTGTTCATCAGAGTTCGTCAACCCCCTGCCGTGACAGTGCATCACTCGAAATTGGTCTATTCATCGTCAATCAGAAAAATGGCTCGCATTCTCATTACTGGCTCTGTCGACGGACTTGGCCTTGAGGCTGCCAGACAGCTTGTCCACAGAGGCCACACTGTGTACCTACATGCACGCAATCAACAACGTGCAATGGACGCGAAATCGGCATGTCCAGGTGCCGCCGGGGTGTTGACGGCCGACTTATCCAGTGTGGCAGAAACACAGAAGCTCTGCCACGATGTGAACGCAATTGGCAATTTTGATGCCGTCATCCTCAACGCTGGACTCATGCAGGGTGGCTTTCGCAAAACCCCGGATACTGGTGCTCCAGCCTTGGTGTCTGTCAACCTTATCTCACCTTATGTGATGTCTTGCTTGCTGCGTCCACCGAAGCGCCTCATTTTCATCTCCTCACACCTGCACCGGCAGGCAAACATGGCGAGCATGGATGACATGTTCTGGTTCAAGCGCGGGGAGACCAGGTACCAAGACTACCCAGCATATTGTGACTCCAAGCTTCATGTCATGCTTCTCGCCAATGCAGTCGCTCGGCGGTTCAAAAACACTTCAGTGACTTCAGTGCATCCCGGGTGGGTGGCGACAAAGCTTGGCGGACAGGGTGCTCCAGATAAACTGGAGGACGGTGTCGAAACGTATGTCATGTTAGCCGAAGGGGATTATGATGAACAGAACCTGTCTGGAGCTTATTTTGAGCCCAAGAGGAAGATTGGCCAGCCGATTCCGGCTGCAAGAGATGAGGATCTCCAAGAGAAGGTGGTGCAAGCCTGCGAGGAGGTTACTGGATTGAGGCTGTCGGCTTAGTATCCAAATGTGGTTATTGAGGAGTTGATATTGGACTGCATATATTGTTTGACCGCCATTGTGAAGCGTACACAATAGTTAAGGAGGAAATGTTGTTTGCTCATCACTTAGATCTCCGTTACATTAGATTTATAGGATAATGAAATTGGCGATTGATAGATGTGCTTTCCCACATACCTATATGTGTGAAATTGGTAGCATCGGGAGAGACGTTTCGAACATGCCAAAGTGATAGTCAAGGCTGCTAGCACCCTGTCATCCTAATAATAAAGTAAGCGATGCGAAGTTCCCCTATGCCTTGGAATGTTTGGGATAATACCAGACACCGGCCCCAATGGGGACTGAGAATGAGCCACCCCGGGAATACCATAGTGTGAGAGTACGTTGCATTAGAGGAGATATGATGAAGGATTGTAACCTACCCGAACAATCTGTAGAGCGACAAATGATGGGGGGTACTCATTCGACAATGCTAAGCGTGCGATAGCGACATCATGCATCAAGCCAGGCCTTCAGTCACAAAAGGGATTTGTATGTAGGTGTCGGACTCGCAACCTTTCTTTTTTGGTGTGTTTATGTGGTCTTTTGGTATGATATGTCCCATGAACTTGGCTTTGAAGGAAGGATGCTGACCAGTCGAAGTCCTTTAGACCCGTTAATCTTCCTACCATGACAATGGTATGCATGGATTGACAGACATGTGCGTTGATCGTAGTGAAAATCATGAGAGGACATTCTGCTGTGATTGAGACTAGCAAAGGCTTATTCCGGGTGATATTGCTTTCCTGAAAAAAAAATTGTCCCTGCCCAAGCCTCGCTGTTGCTGGGTAGATGTATTACAAGTCTGGTATTGATAAAAATGTCTCTACGCCAGACGCAGTCAACCGGCTAATGTGGTCTTCAACTCGCGAAGTCGGACTTTCGGGAGACAGAAAAACATGAGACCTTTCTGAGCCAATAACACGTCCACAACAGACTAAAGCCACCATGCGAATGACTTATCCACAAACGGGAGAGCCACCATTCTGTTAGAAACACAGCCCCCGCCGTATTCGATACGGGCCATTGGAAATCCGTAATATCCTTCTCTCTGTTTCGGTGGCAATGGAGAGATAGCTGCAGGAGTGACCACAGTTTTGAGACCGCATCAGGTCAGACCTCTCAGTGGTCTGCGCTGAGCCATACTTACCCTGCTTTAATCAAGATCGGCAGCGTGGGTCCGGGTCCCGCCGATAAGACGATGCGGACGAGAGAGACTCCAACGCCGCCCACTCTAGACTCTACCCGCTATAACCCAATCTGGGGTCACTTTGCGAACACTCCACGGCATCAGATAAATGGTTTCCTGGCGTCGCCATCCCGGCTATGTGCAGCTTCACAAGGGGATCTTCGGGCTCCTAGGCTACAATATTCCCAGGCATCTTTCGCAATAGTTGGAGTTCATCGACACCTACAAAACCTTCCGAATTCTGGACTTATTCTACATTACACCTGAAAAGCACTTCTAACAGACACTAGCCGTTCTCCCGGCGCATCTTGACACATGGGGTACTTGAGATCCTCGGAGATAACAGTCTTCAGAACATTCTTGCGGCCCTGGACCCACTATCACGAAGATCTTTCCCTGATCAGAGGCACATTTGTCCCGCTCTCGAGGGTTCCTGGTTTCTCTCCAGAAACGATCAGTAATATAGATATGATGAAGATTTAGCCTGCCGAGTTACAGTGTAATACCGCATCCCCACTCTGTGATAAGCTCGATGTGTGTACGCAGTGGTGTATCTTCTTTCATCCCTGATGTGTATTGAAGGCTGCTGGCCAACCTCCCGTCCCCAGACCTAGAGCAAGGCAGAAACGTTCCTCGGAGCCTAAAATGAGACTGGAATAAGTACCTTATTTGCCACGTTTGGCCCGAAAACTCTATCCTGATTAGAGAACCTGCTGGGTACGCGAAGCGTGCTTGATCCCGGCGTACTCGGCCCTCCCCGCCGCAGTTTTCCCGTCCGACCCACCCGTACATGGGTCGAACTGGGGTGTCTTTTTACACCGCTCGTGGTTAGAGTATCTTGCTTCCTCCAATGAGGGCGATTTATTTTAAGCTGATGCTAAATACAAGACACACTTGGCTTTCTAGCATCTTACGAAGATCCTATCAATACGCCGAAGTAGCGCAAGACATGATGTGGCTAACGCGTCACGCACCGAGCTGACGAGGCTAGAGGGAATCGAAGGCATTGCAACTCCTGGATACGCCGATCGAGGCTGAATGGATGCTCCAAAAAGTTAGCCATCATTATACGCGTGTCCAGGCATATGGAAGGAGTGATTTACTAGGGCCCAGACTGTGGAGGGGCAATTTGAAGCTAAAAGCACCTTGACCAGACAGCTCCGGCATGAGCGGCTGCTGATCACCGACAATAACTTCCTTGTAGTGTTCGCAGAACTACTTATAAATGGAACGGCCATAATTAGAAGGATATGGTATATACTTGCTATTAAAGCCGTGCTATATGCCTGCTTCCTTGTCTGTCATATTCTCAATTCCCAGGCATTCCTTCTTACCTCATCGTTTTTCAAATCCTAAGGAACACTCCCTATCGTCATCATGAAGGGCATTATATCCGTCATCTCTATCCTGCTTTCCATGGGCACAGTTACTGTGGTCTCCGCTTCCTGCGATCAGAGTGCTCTGAATACCACGAGCTATCTCTACGATATCACGGAAGAGACTACGGTTTTCGAGGTCGCCCGCAAGACCAATCGTGGTGTCTGTGATATTGGCCGCCACAATTTGATGGCAGATGTGACTATTCCACCCAACATCGGTGAAGTCTTCATTATCCCGGGCGAGACCTGCACCCCCGACAATGAGTCCTGCCTGATTAAAGACGTGGGCCGTACCCGAACTTGCATCTACGGTGGGCCGCGCTTGTATTACACCGTGAAGGGCGACACATATGAAAAAATTGCGCTTCGTCTGAACATCACCACCGAGTCACTCTCCGGCGGTCAATCTGCCAATGAAACATTGCCCGTCGGCCAATTTATCAAGGTCCCCGAGTGCTCACCGAGCCAATGCATCATTCAGCCTTATTCGTTCGAGTGGGGTGTCTACAAGGATCTTGCCGACAAGTACGGCACGACCGTTGGCCAAATCATGATGCTGAGCCCGACCTACAACTACAGCAGTTTGGCTTTCAGTTCCGGGGGTACAGCCCCTCCAATTGATCTGCCAATGAACTGCACAACTCTGTCGAACAATATCACTGTCATCAGCTAGAATCGGAGCGTATTGGGACAGCTCCAAAGAGCGGCTTTAGCCAGCCGTATGCGTGTCTATCGTTGTTTTCACTGTGACTAAGCCCATGTACTTTCTTTTACCTTCCAAATGGGCCTTGCAGTAGTCGGGATATTGAAAAGTGATCCTATAATAGAGGAGGTCGCAAGTTGCATTTGTATAATCCCTGAGATTCCAAATACAGATCTAGAAGATAAATGCACCGAAGGTATTTGGTGAACCTATGCGAGATAGAGAGAACGCGATACATTTTGTGATTTCATTAACTTGTATAACCAACACGCTACGTGGAGTCGACCATAGCGCCGTCCAAGCAAAAATTGCTCGAATAGTCACTTCGGCATTCGTAATCCTGTATGCGCAAGCAAGAGGTGAAGCCCCCGGCTATGTACCGTCGTGTAGTCGTCATGCGGTGCCATTGAGGAAAGGATACAGAACTAGGTAGTGAAAGACGTTACGCCAGTCGGAGATATTGCGTACACTCTTTTTCTCGAAGATGAAGCATCCAATGAGAAGGACGATGGTTGCCTGTTCGGAAAGATCATCTCTTCGCTCGGCGTTGTGTTGTCGGGGAAAAGGGTGGACATTTGCAGCTGCCCAGTGAGATTGAAGAACGAGGACAATTGAGAGGCAATGCTACTGGCTTTACGAAGGAGCGGGCGGCACAGAATCGCGATCTCGTCCACTCTAGAGGTTGAGAACCAATGCATATACTTTTAATAACAAGACGCCTTGCTCCGACCTCGTCGATGATACCGCCTTCGGGGATTACAGAAGGGCTGAAACACTGTGCTCGGGCTAACATACAACACCTGCAGGGAGGACATTTGGAGTATGGAGATTGGCCTGTATTGTTCACAAATAAGCATCATTGGAGAATAACACATCCCGGACGAGCCCCGAGATTGTCAGGAGCGACGTATTATATTGTAATTTCTCCACTATCTCTTCGATATTAACCATTCAGTAGAATTACGCAAGACTGGTGATCTGAAGTCCTATTCTTCCTTCACTAGTACCTGAATCGGAGGGCGCAGATCGCTTCGGGTGGGCGAATTTGAGGGAAAATTCGCATTACGAGGTTGCAACGAGGGATCGACGGCGGGTATCCATATCAGGGTTCAAGGTCCGACAAGTGGAGCCCCCGGACTTTTCTCAGCCTGGCACCTGCATCTTTACGGTTCCCACCAGGATTCACTAATTTAGGCCCTGAGGGTAGTGCTCCAGTTGCTCAGATGGTTCCCTCCATCTAAGCGAAGATGGCTCTGGTGCTCTCCAATTGTCAGCGGGTGCATCCCCACCCCTCTCGCTCTTCAGAGTCTGACATATAAAACAAACAATGTCCCTACCCTCCAGTCAATTGCCAACACTTGTCTCATACCTCGCTTTCGAAGCCAGACATTGTATCTGGACTTTGGTTTCGTTGTCGTCCACATTACAACCCCAAATTTTAGCAGCCCCTGTAACTAGGGACTGAGAGGCGCCATGCATGTTACGAAGACATGGGCCTGGCTTGCATTAGCCACTGCCACGCTGGTGTCTGGTGCGTCACACCATCAAGTCCAGGGTCATGCCGCTAGAAGAGCAGCCTCAGACACATATAAGGGGACCTTTCTACACAATCGCATCAGTCCCAACTACTCCGAGCTGTACATTGCCGAACCAGATGGCTCTAACGCGAAGCTCCTCCTCGGTTCCAACACCGTGTACGATTTCCGAGCAAGCTGGTCTCCTGATGCCAAACATGTTTATTTCACGTCAGAGAGAAGAGGGGACGGCCAGGCGGACATTTACCGCGTGGCCATAAATGGCACGAGCACGGTGGGAGCCGAAGTCGAACCCGTCGCCTTGTCACCAGGTGTCGACGACTCTGCTTCAATCTCTCCTGATGGCAAGATGCTGGCGTTTGCAACTTCGAGATACAATCACACCAGCCAGATCATGCTGATGGTCCTGGAGACGGGATCTCTCAAGAACCTGACGCTCATTCCTGGTATCTCCGAAGCTGCCAACTCCTCACTACCCAATGGATACTTCAAGCCGACATGGTCCCCCGATGGAGAGTGGATTGTCTTCACGTCCGATCGCAACACACCATGGCGCGGCCACAGCGACGGTTCGGGTTGGGAGCATACCCAGGAGTTGTCCATCTACGCAGCCCGCCCTAATGGCACCGACTTCCGACTGGTGTCGTCTCGGAGCAACTACACCCAAGGATCGCCTAGGTTCTCGCCGAATGGAAAGCGCCTGGTCTTCTACGAGATGTTGACCGAGGACACGTACAATGGCCGTCTACAGCCTGAACTGCTTGAAGGTTCTTATCTTAACACCAGCATCGTCTCAATCGATTTCGCCACTGGAGGTGACCGTATCGTTCATGCCACTGGAGATGGCACCAAGATTAGTCCTTCATTTGTCACCGATGATGTGAGTACTCGGGTCTAGCCACCATAGGGCGATTTGTTGGTTTCTTACTTACCGATGAACGCGTTCACTAGGTTATTGGCTATGTCATGAAAGAGTCAGCCAGCAACGGTATCTACTACACGTCTCTCTCGGGCAAAAACTACACGCAGTACCAGACCATTCCCATGAACACCATGAAACCTGCACTACGCTCCCCTGCGTGGTCGCCAGATGGCAAATATGTCATCTATGAGAAGCAGGGTCCCACGGGCGGTAGTACATCGACTTCCAAGAAGCAATACTCTGACCTGTGGAACTTTGACCCGGATTGGGACTACCGCTTCACGGATGTCTTCCCCATGGCCAAGCGTGGAGGCTGCCCTATGATGGCCATGTCCCAGCAGATGGAGGGTGTCGCGGAGAGCAATCTCATGCGCCTCCAAATGAACGGCACTGATCAGGTCACTCTCTTCGAGACCAAAAAGGGCATGATCAATCCTTCCATTGCAGAAGGCTTCAACGCCCGTGCCTACCAGGGCAGCTGGGGGCCCAATGATACAAACATCACGTTCGGCTACGGCGCATACTTTGTCGGTCGTCAAAGTAGCCCCGGTTTCATTTTCAGCGTCACCCCGGAGGGCACGGGCGTGACGCTTCTCGCGGGCAACAACATTACCAATTACGGATTCCCGTCCTATAATTATGATGGCACTCAGGTAGTTTTCCGAACCTGGCCTGGCACTGCCTCCAATGGTACCACTGTTGGTACGACCGGATTGGCCATTGTTGATCTACCCTCCCGGCAGGTGACGCAGCTCACGACCGAGTGGGATAATCTTCCGGCCTTCTCTCCCGATGGCAAGAAGATTCTGTTCACCCGGCGCACAAACCTGGATAATATCGGCGACAATTACGACATTTTCACTATGAATCCCGACGGCAGTGAACTTACCAAGCTCACCCCATCTATCGCGAGTGACGCCCATGCTGTGTGGACCCAAGATGGCCGTATCCTTTACAGTACTGCCATGTTCGGCTTCCAGCAGGAGGCACCCTTATACGATGACTCTATGCAGCCCTATGCTATCATCATGCTCATGGAAGCCGATGGTAGTAACAAGACTGCGTTGTCAAACAGTTTGTGGGAAGATGCCATGCCTATGTTTGCGCCAGCGCATGTAATGGAGTCTGACTGTTGTTCTTGAGGCGGACATGTTGAAGAGATAGACACTGGGTAGTGGTGTATCTCCATCTTCAAGACCTTTGTCGTTTCAAACAGATTCTTTCGGCCACCGCGATCTGTAATGTACATAAAAGTATAGCTAGTGTACGTCGTGCATCCTTCTCGATCACGCCGCATCATTGCTGGATATAAAGACCTTTGTGCTGAAACTTGGGGCTAAGAATAAACACTCGTTCATCATGGTCACCACCCGAGTAGCAGCCTGCCACGTCGCGCCTCACTTTCTGTCCGCGTCAAAAAACACGAGCAAAGCCGTTTCCCTCATCTATCAAGAGGCGCGAAATACCGCCCACGTGGTTGTCTTCACGGAATCCTACGTTGCTCCCTTTCGTGCCCACCATCTGTTCTCCCGCATGGTGGCGCATTCCATTACCCTCGATGGTGAAGAGGTTGCTGCACTGCGAACTGGCACTTGTGAGACTAACACCGTGGTGACAATTGGGATCTCGGAGCGTAGCTCGACCAGCACTACTTTGTCGGTACAGTTCGAACCTCATCATCGATACAACCGGCTCCATTGCTGTTCACCACCGCAAGCTGATGCCTACTTCCTTTGAGAAGTCGGTTGGAGCCCCGGTGATGGGCATGGGCTTCTCAGAATTGACAATCCGAACCAGCTGACATGATTCACTCACATGACGCAGCGGGAGCAGATTCATATCTCGTCGTGGCCATGCATCTGGCCTACCCGAATGCTGGATAATCCTTTCCAGGCGGCGGGCGGGAGCGGGGACGCTTCTGCTGCTTCCGCTCATTCCTCGGTCGGGGCAGCCCCCGCTGGGTCGAAGTACAACAATGTCCTGGCTAACCGCCTGTGCGCCGCTGCCCATTACTTCGAGGCCAAGTGCTTCGGTGTTATGTGTAGTGGATTCCTCGATGAGTCGACCATCAAGACCATTGTCGTCGGACCTTCGAGCTCTCACCGCACGGTGTCACCATGTTCCTCGATCCCACGGGAGTCCCGGTTCAAGGGGTTTACGTTGACGGAGTCGACGCGGGAGCAGCAGACACGGGAATTTGTGCTCATGGAGGGGGTAGTTCTGTATGCCGACATCCATTTAGGGTTTTGTGTTGAAGGAAAGCAGTATCACGATGGGGTGGACGGCTATCAACGATTAGATGTGTTAATTGTACTCCTAGATGCTCAACCCTGGTTTGCTCCCGTACACACTCTGTGTCGAGGTCACTCAGATACAGACATTGGATCATGGCCAATGCAGTCCTACAGTATGAATGCATTTTGCCGCTACTCGTATATGGAACGTGCCAGCAAGCGTCTCACTTGCATGGAAGGGATTAAAGTGGCCCTTTGCAACGGTCAAACCCTGCGTTGGGAAACCCCGCGAAGCTATAAAGATAGTATTAGGCAGCAGGAATCAATGATCGCATTCCATCGAAGAGATTACAGATGGAATCAATCCTTTTTATGGCCCTAGCATCTACCAAACCTCGCTCGACTGCAATCGCAGCATTTAGTGGCCCATCCGGAACCCCGTCAAAGTGAAGCCTGCATCAATCACCAGACTTTCTCCATTGATAAAGGAAGCGGCGGGGCTACAGAGAAACACGACCGCATCAGATACCTCCTCTGGCATGGCGATCCTCCCGAGGGGACACAGTTTCGCAATGGCCTGCTCCAGGGTAGGGACGTTGCTGATTGTCTTCTGCATCATGGGAGTATCGGTCCATGACGGACATACAATGTTTACGCGGATGTGATGCTCAAAGTTATCGACGGCGGCGGTTTGGGCGATCCCGATGGTCGCGTGCTTGGATGCCGTATACGGCATCATGCCGGGCACTGAGATCAGGCCATTGATCGAAGACAGCACGACAATCGACCCGCGGCCCAGACTGCGGGTCGTGTTGCTGCGCGTGCTGGTGTACGAGCGTGGCTCTTGCAGCGACATGGCTTGGGAGACGGCCCGCAGCACCAGCATAGTCCCGCGGGAGTTGGTTCTCATGGATTGGTCGAATGCGTCGACGTTCAGGGTTGCGGTGCGGGTGCGCGAGTTCCCAGAGATGCCGGCGGAGTGCACGCAGTAGTCAATACGCCCGAGCTCGCTCACGGCGCGCTGGACCATATTGTCGACGCTGGCCTCATCGGTGACGTCTACCACTACCGACAGGGCACGGAAGTTGGGGTGGGAGGCGAACTTTTGACACTCTTGGAGAGTGGTTTCTGTAGGTAGGTTCAGGTCCGCCAGGAGGATTGCTTCAACGCCGGCTTCGGCGAGAGCGAAGCAGGCATCTTTCCCAATGCCTGATGCGGCCTGCAGATTGAGTTCTCAGTCACATTTGATTTAATCTTTGCTTTTGTGGGTTCTCGATACGATGGAAGCAAAACAGCGACAACCGACTTACACCAGTCACAAGGGCGATTCCACCGTTCAGTCTGGTACCCGCCATGAGTAGTAGAAGGAGGGGTTGTGGCAAGGTGGGAGCAATGCAGATAATGGATTACCAGTGGACTGTAGAAAAGGCGAGTTTTCACTGCTTTTTTTGTGGCTCGGTTGTCGGAACGGTGGGAGGAGAGAGAGGGGAAAGGAGGAAAAGCACAGGATACTAGTAAATCTCGAGGGGGGGGACGATATGAGATGGGATTGGAATTGAATGAGGGGAAGATGACGGCGGGGAAGGGCTCTAGCTTGATGCACGCTGGAGGCTGCGCCTTCCACTAGAGAACAAAGAAGGGGAGATGGACCCCTGTTCACATGCTATTTCAGGTAAGGGTTCATTATACTAGTAGTAGTAGATATTATATAACTCAAGGCCTCGGGAGGGAGAGCTGCTGAATCTAACATTTAAGTGACCCAGTAGCTGAACCTAGTAACTCCCCACCCATGCAGCCAGTCAGCCAGCTTACTTCGTAGCAATCCTACACTAAGATCGACACTCCGACATTCCCCACGGGATTTTAGTCTAGCCTTGTGTTTGCCTGAAATCCTCAACACCCTAGTAAGTTCTTTAATTAACATTAGACGATGATTTGTTCCCTCTGCCACATAAGCACCGAGGCCAGAACCTGGCCCCCAGCGAACCCCGCCAAAATTTTCATCTGCAGATTGTAACTGGCCGAGAAGGTCCCGCGAACTAGGCTTTGTGCTGACGCTGGGAGAGTGGAAAGGCTTTCCGCGGAGTGCAGGACCAACTGCATCTCGGTCGGGGTGAGCCATTGCTGCAAGTGAGACTGCAGGTAACCATTGGCCACTGCCGTCAGCACAGAAATTCCAATGCAACCACCCATGACTCGGAACTGCGTAATGGCCCCCATGGCGACTGCATTGTCTCGCTTTTCGATCGTGAAGGGTGTCATCAGGATCAGCAGGGTGATGTTGATGCCACACCCGAAGCCGGCCAGGACCTGGTATCCATACTGCGCCGAGGTGATCGACAGTGAGTCGGGGAGAGTGCCCAGAAGGACGTAAGCAACCACCTGCAGCAAAGACGCGAAGATTACCAGGTATAGCAGCGGAATCTTGAACACTTTTCCGATAGCCGGTGCCAGGACGGATGCCACGGGACTCGCCACGGTGAAAGGGATGAATCGGACAGCCGCTTGGAAAGCCGTAAGCTGGTTGACGATTTGGAACCGCTGGGGTAACTGGAACATGGTCGAGAACCACACTGCCCCCAGACAGACGGAATTTCTTAGGGTGGCAGAGATGCCAGTCAATGAAATAGCCGGGTTAACAATGGCAGAGAAAGAAGACCTACAACAACATTCCGACCCAGACTCGGTTACAAACGAACCTCCACGGAAAGACCGGCTCAATGTGCTTAGAATAGAGTGTCACCCGTCTTTCCCACAGTAGAAAGGCGATCCACGCCAGTCCGGAGATGATAAGCAGCACAATGGTAAAAGCCGAATTCCAAGTGTATTCCTCATTGGCTTCCTCCAAAGCCGTTACCAGGAGAATTGTTGCAACTAACAGCAAGCTGGAGCCGAGTAAGTCGACTCTTTGAATCATTTGCCGCAATGATGTCAGCACGGATGACATTGTCTTCTCCTTGGATGGTTCGTTGTGATAGGGGAACCGATTGGGAAGGACCAGAGCGAGCCCTATCCCAGCCAGTGCGCCCGGAGGGACATTCAACAGAAACACCCAGCGCCATGTGGACGAGTCGGAGATACCCCCTCCCATCAGAGGTCCAAATAGTAAGGATATCGCGTATACCAGGGATAGTGAACTCATGTACGTCGCATATTTCTCTGTCGGGACCAGGTCCAGCAGAATGGCAGCACAGAGAGAATAGTTGCCCGCTCCGCCAACACCCTGAAAAGCACGAAAGACGATCCTAGTGCACCACACGGTCATTGACTATCAAAGGGCCCGAACAAGGTATGTCGACTTACAGTTGCTCCATGGTTTGGGCTGCCCCGCAAGCCCCGGAAAACACCACGAAGAGAAAAACAGCGACCAGTAGGCATGACTTGCGGCCAAATATGTCGCTGAACTTGGCCGAGATGACAAGCAGTCCGGCATATCCTAGCATATACGCTGTAGTAATCCAGTATATCCTATTCAAACCTCCCAATTCCCCGGTGATTCGGACCAAGGCGGTTGTCACGATCGGGATTTCCAGATTGGTTAAAAATAGACAGACGGCAAGGCTAGATGGTCAGAACATCCGTTGGCATTGATGGCATCAGTGTGAAATTACATACGCAGCAGTAATTGTGTGAAGTCTTGCGCCTTGAATGTGTGTAGAAGGAATCGTTTCTGCCTCCAGCTCCACCTTGTATCCTGTTGTCATGACCTCGACTGATTTCCTATTTCCCGACATACCGACGACAACTGAATATAAGAGAATAAAGGAAGGCAAAAATAGGTTAACCGAAACGACGTGTAGAATCTTGGGGGCGAAATATAGGTCTGCGATATTCAGCAACACAGCATGTGTGCACAGCCTCAGAATGTCAATTTGAATCAAGATCAAACAACGCTTCTCATGAAGGGATATGGACACTAATATATTTAGTATGTGCGGCGTACTTAGTTATGAGTGGGGAAAGGCCAGGCCAAGGGGGGTCAGCTACTACGATTCCGCATTGACGCAAGAGGATACAGTATGAAGTTACTATGAATTGGCATGCATGCTCACAGGGGTTTCTGGCTCTGACAATGGAATACATATTCAGGCACCAATGCCCATATATGTTTCATAAGCCCCAGAGCCTTCCATTTTCCTACACCTCCCCTAGGCTCTTCAGGTTTACTGCAACCCGGACACTATGGTCGCCCTCACTTCCGCACAACGCGAAGCCATTCTTAATGGTCCAGCTGGCTACCCTCCTGCTGGGAAGACACCCAATCTCTCAGATCCCCCCAATATGCATGCCGTCGGGCGTATTGTTCACCTCGTCCTCTTTATCGTGGCTTCTTTGTGCTTTATCATTCGTATATATACGAAAGCGTGTGTCGTACGACACGTCAGAATGTCTGACTGTGAGCACTTCTCTCTTCTAAGAAGAATCCTCACCGCCGTCTTTGTTTTCTCTTCTGACCTATGATACAGATATGATGATCATCGCCTGGGTAATACCATAACAACCCAACATTGTTATAAATGGTTATCTTACTAGTGAAATTGGACAGCTCGGCTTCATAGGGTACTTCGTTCCAGCTTGGTTATTAGGCAATGTCGCCCCAAGGGTCGATCAGTGGAATATGACCATGAGAGACTTCATTAAAATGCTCTACGTGAGTTTGAGTCTCACTCTCTGATGCATGAACCCCCAGGTGTGTATTAAGCTAATCCTGCCTTGGCCTTTGTCTCTTTAGTACTTTCGTGTTGGGTCGGTTTTGTATGGTATCTGCATTTTCTTTATCAAAGCGTCCATCCTATTGCAGCTGGTCGAGATCTTCTGTCACCGGAAGGACACCTTCTACTGGTTCTGCCATACCGTGATTTGGATTAATTTCCTATTCTACGTGATCAGTACCTTCGTGGAGATCTTCTCCTGCCGTCCGATAGCGGCTGCGTGGGATGTTCTGATCTCTGGCAAGTGCATGAACGTCCGTCTACTGAATGTGATTGCGAGCTCAGTGAATGGTTTCTTCGATCTGATCATCTTGGTCCTGCCTCAAACTCGTATCTGGCGACTTCAGATGGCTCTCCGCCGAAAGCTTGCCGTCTCGACCGTCTTCCTATTCGGAATTCTGTACGTTTTTCCCTATGTCGCCGATTCTAATGGTTAGCATTCCTTCTCACATAAGCCGAGCAGAGCTTGTGCATCAGCTATCACGCGGCTTGCGTATGCCGTGCTACTATTTACGACGACCAACAACATTGCCTACTACAGCTACATGGCCGGCCTATGGACCCTGCCCGAGTTGGTGGCCGGTATCATCGCCGGATGTCTCCCTTCATCCCCAAAGTTTTTCCAGAGGCTGCTTCAGAACAAGATGATGACGAAGTGGGGGAGCTCGCTCCAAAATCTCGTGGCCAGTCGTGGGGGCCTTTCGCACCGTCGCGGTCGCGGGGGCGGCGGCCTTTCAGGCGATTCTTACATGATGGAGGTTCCCAAGGAGGGAAGCAAGATCAAGCAACAGCAACAGCAGCAGGAGCAGGAGCATCAGGAGCACGAGCGCCATCGGCAACGAAAAGGCCCACCGGACCAGTATCCGCTGACATCGTTCGCCAGTGCACCAGGGACCACTGACCAGTCCACAAGTGATCTGTCTTACAGCGCAGAAAGGTTGGGGGAGGGTGTATGAGAGCTTCATTCGTTGTGAGAACAATACCTTCTTCCCGTCTCCTGCGTGTCAGAAATTAGTGCGTGTCTCGAAGTCATCGGATTGTTCAACACCAGCGGCTGGGAGTATTCCTCGTAGACAATGCCGAATTGTAATTCGTCTGACTTTCCTGCAAGAAATTTGGGTGTTGTAGTAAAATACTCTTTTCAACCTTTAAGATTTTTGCTTATGTGTTAGCGCCAAGGTGAACGGTTGTTCGTGTTGGATGAATAGCCGTTGGTCCTTGCACCGACAAACTCGCAGTCAGGATTGCGGAAGGAGCGTGGCTCGGGCCGACTAATCTTCATGAGGGCGAAGAGAGTCCTTTAGATGCTATACTTTGGATACTAGTGGCAGCCTTGAGGGGTACATTTAATCTATTTCAAGGCTGGTGGGGCTGAGTTCGTGATTATCAGGGGACTTTTGCTAATGAAAACTCAGTTACGCGGGGTACGGTGCGCTCATAACATGAGATCTACGTGAATGGGCGCCAAGCAAGGAGTGGAGTAAGAAGTACATATTGTTCAGGCGATGAGATCCAAACCACGACTACTTAGTGCTTACTTTGTAACTATCTATGTCCAGCAAAATGAATTCAGCTCCTTGATAGCATTCCACACTTGCATATTCCTTGCAACCTCCGACAGCCGGTCTTTGCCAGCCTTACCAATGAACCAATGAGACCTTGACCGGGCCATGATCGACAAGCCATTTACTTGATGCGAGGCAGATATTTCCTTCGACAAGGCTGTGTATCCTGTCTGCTATGATGAGAAAGACGAAGATCTACACAGTACCCTCCATCACTAGATACATGGACATGTACTGCTTACTTGCTTGCTTACTCGTCACCTCCCGCCCTTGCGATCGTTCGCTTGATTGCCTGAAGGCACCTGGCCAACGTGACAGGGTCGCGTGGCCCTGGGATCTCATGTCCACCATCATGCACAACGATTTCTCGATTCTCACTTTTGCACCACCGGCTCAGCTCAGGGCCATAGCCCCATAGCGTATCATTTCGCCCCCAAATGTGCGCGGTGGGGATTTCGATCACCTCCGACGGCTTTCCGCTGTCGCCTTCCCTGGCCTTGTCTATACCAATTATCTCAGCATCCATGCTCGGTGCAGCAACCGTCTCCCGAATTGGTCGCCCAAATAGCGCTGGTGCGCCGCAGAAGAATACGGCAAAGCGAAACGGAAGCCGGTTGGTCGGGGTGCCCTGCTGCATCTTGTGGATCAGATAGCTGGCACCACAGCCCGCACCCAGTGAGAAGGCCAAAAGCCCGTCGAAGGGTTCTGTCTCCATGGCAAGGAAATTGTCCATATCCGTTAGGACCTGTCGGCGGGTCTCCGCCGTGTCATCAACGTACATGAGGAATTCATCGTCCGGCGCGACAAGGTCCTGCATCCCTGGTGGGGTTCTCACGCTTAGCTTCGACATTGCAACCTTGCAAGGCTACTAAATCAAGCCTGGCTTGCTTCTGTGCCCCTTGATCCCGGCATCTGGAGAGGGGTACAGGAAGGAGGATACTAAATTGGAATCTCACCTGGGGCCATTTCCGTCTTGATTGATCCGTCTAACCATTCATAGCTGTGACCGTCTCCTAGACCCTGGCGGATAGCAGCTGCTGGCATCACACTGTTTAGCCGGTTTCTCTGACCATGGTAACACAGCCCCCTCTCTAGAGACAAGGTAGTCTGGTAGGTGGCAACGTACCAGTCTGTAGCTCGAAGATCTGTTGCTTGCGCTGTCAGCTTGGGGTCATACCACCGTCGTAGGTCCTTCTACTAATCTTCGCTTACTCGACTATTGGTGCCCATGCCATGAAGACACAGAAAACGCATGTTTGTTTTCGTTGTCTTTATTTTCTTCGATAGCGGAGTGATAGAATGAATGAGGTGTTTTCCATATGTCTGTGAACAGGGGACCAGGAGGTGTAAAAGTGGTGAGTAGGAGGGAAACGACAGAGCTGCGGGCTTACTATCGGCTGCTTTAGTCCCCTTATATGCAATTCCGGTGGGTATTATAAGTGTAATACTGTACATAACGCACGAAGGCCACCACAGTGATTTGTCACTGCTGCAGTAATCACATCCAAACCTCCACATCGTCTCCCAGGCAATCATCGGTTTCATCATAAGGACCAATAGGGTAGTGATATCCTGGCCTTCTTCACTGGCAGTAGCTGCGAAGTTGAGATATCGCCCCAGCCTCTTGCTTCATTGGTTTCCCATAAGCCTTGTGCTTACGAGTCTGGAGTATACACCAACGATGTCTTTGTGGATCATTGCGCTGTACTCAGCCGGAATCCTGAGGAGGGCCCCCTGAGAGGATATCAAATTTGTATTACCAGTGGGGCTGTGTTGTGGTCGAGGTACTTAAGCATCACGGACGTTGTTGTACATACAGTATTTCCCTTGCAATGTAAGAATATTGTGAAAAAGCAGGAAACCTTACCAGACCTTGATCAACTGCTCTCCCCCCAAAACCCCGAACTCTAGAGAAAATAAATCTAGGACATCATCATGCAAGACATCGCAATCGTGGGATTCTCCATCAAGTTTCCTGGCGATGGTGACACACCGGAGGGGTTCTGGTCGATGCTAGCGGAAAAGCAATGTGTTATGGAGGAATGGCCGACAGAGCGGTTCAATCTGGAGGCCTTTGCTGGCCGCAGCTCCAAGGTGATTTCACTTAAAGCACCCCTACAATTCCCTACCTCTGGTCCAAAATACCTGACCGCCGATGACAGGGGTTTGTACGAGGTGCACATTTTATGAAAGAGGACTGTGGGTTATTCGATGCCGCATTTTTTGGCATTTCGGGAACCGAAGCGTGTGCCATGGACCCTCAAGCTCGCCTATTGCTGGAGACTGCATATCGGGCGCTGGAGAATGGTATGTAGGACAAAGTTTCCCCCCTAGATGTCTATGCCTCAGCAGAGCCTACAGACAGGTGTTAACAGTTGCCGATATAGCTGGGATACCTATGGAAGCCGTGACTGGTACGAAGACCGCGGTCATCAACGGCTGCATGGCCGACGACTACAGGCACATCATCGCGCACGACCCAGATGTTATCCCCAAGTACACAGCAGTAGGATCTACGGCGTGTATGCTCGCCAATCGGCTGAGCTGGTTCTTCGATCTCCGGGGCCCCTCGGTGAACCTCGACTCAGCCTGTTCCAGCAGCCTGATGGCGTTGGATCTGGCGTGCCAGAGTCTGCGAAACGGGGACTCGAACATGGCCCTGGTGACCGGATCTAACATTCTGATTGGCATTGAACCCATCCTTTCCCTCATGAACATGAGTTTCAACTCACCCGACGGCCGATGCTTTAGCTTCGACGCACGTGCTAACGGATATGGGCGCGGTGAAGGAGTAGGTGTGTTGGTAGTCAAGCGGCTGGAGGATGCGGTACGTGATGGAGACATCATCCGCGCCGTGGTCCGATCTACGGGGTCGAACCAGGATGGCCACACACCGGGTTTAACCCAGCCGAGTAAAGATTCCCAGGCCCGCTTGATCTTGGACACATACAAGAAAGCCGGTTTGGATCGCCTGGAGACGAGATTCTTCGAAGCGCATGGTAAGCTTTGTCCAAAGGGATACGTCACAGCTCCTACTGCATAATGCCCGAAATGATATCGCTAACTGACAATGTTTACCACTTGACAGGGACTGGTACGGCGATAGGAGACCCCATTGAGGCTGATGCCATAGGAAGCGTCTTCCGAGCCTTTCGCTCTCCGGAAGATCCTCTGTACATGTGAGTTGCGGTCTACATCACTCAGACATCACTTACTCACATCTTAAAACAGAGGAGCAGTGAAATCGAACATTGGACATCTCGAAGGAGGCAGCGGCATTGCTGGCATTGTCAAAACCATTCTAGTATTAGAAAAAGGGCTCATTCCACCCAATGCCAACTTCGAGCATCTAAACCCCAACATCGATGCCGAGTTCCTCAACCTAAGGGTTCCCACTGATCTCATTCCGTGGCCAACAAAGGGGCTACGACGTGCCTCTGTAGCCTCTTTTGGCTTCGGGGGCTCGAATTCTCATGCCATTCTTGATGACGCCTACCACTATCTCCTCGAGCGCGGGCTGCTTGCCTCGGCCTCCCACTGCACTGTCCCGGACCCTACACATAGTGGTACCATCGAGAACGGGCTGTGCAGAACAACAGTCGAGGTCAATGGATTGGAGGGGTCCCTTGCCTCACCGATGTTCGAACCAAAATCAGCAGATGGATTGTTATCTCAGCTTCTCATCTTCTCCACCTCAGACGAAGCAGGCATCCAGCGGATGGCAAATGCTTACACGCGGTACTTCCAAAGCCTTCCATCCTTTCGCCGCGGTCGAGACGAAGAAGTTTCTTTCGTCAAAAGATTAGCCACAATGTTGGCGCAAAGGAGAAGCAAGCTAAACTGGAGGTCCTTTGCAGTGGCTGATGGCTCACTTGACTTCCTACGCGATCAATTGCCGTCCGCCATATCCAAGCCAGTCCGTGTTAATGAACGCAAATCTTTGGGCTTGGGGTATATATTCACGGGTCAAGGAGCACAGTATCGGCGAATGGGAGTAGACCTCCTCAAGTACCCCATCTATCGCTTTACCATGGATCAATGCCAGGAGGCCTATAGCAGCTTTGGGAGCGAGTGGTCGATCTACGGTCAGTGCCCTCTGTTTCCATGATAAATCTTCTTGGTCTTCCCTACGACAGTTTGAGGCCTGGAATCAATTGCTGATTCATGTTGCTATTATCCAGATGCTTTGCTCGATCCTCACAATACATTGGATATCAACGATCCCAAGTATGCGCAGCCCCTAACTACCGCATTGCAAATCGCTTTGGTGGAACTGCTGGCATCCTTTGGACTGAGGGCACGAATGGTGATCGGTCATTCCTCGGGCGAGATCGCCGCCGCATATGCGCTCGGGGCATTATCGTTGGACTCTGCATGCAAGGTGTCGTATTTCCGAGGCGTCTTTGCCAGCCGTCTGCGGGAGAACGCCGAGGTTACCACCAGAAGTGCAGGAGCCATGCTGGCCGTGGACCTTTCCGTATCTGATGCGGAACCCTACCTGGACCGCGTCAAATCGGAGCTGAACATCGACAACATTCACGTTGCGTGTATCAACAGCCCGCACAATGTGACAATATCGGGAGATGCAGTCGCAATCGATCGATTCAAATCCATTGTGGACAGCAGCATAACGACAACTATCGTGTCGCACCGCCTGAGGACAGGGGTGGCATACCACAGCCCCCAAATGCAGCAGGTTGCGACAGAGTATGAGTACGCTCTGGCTAATCTCAGGTCGCAACCTGACTTCAACAGCCGAGGTACAGCAGGGATAACAATGGTTTCGTCCATCACTGGCATGGAAGTCGAAAACACGGCCGTTCTATTGACTGCGAGGTATTGGGTACAGAACATGGTGAGCCCGGTGCAGTTCTCTGCCGCTATGGTCCAGGCACTCGTTCACTCTTCGGTGCGCAAGGGACGCCAACAAAGACCCAAAAGGCTGGGCGCCGTGACACACAATGTGGTTATCAGTGACTGGATCGAAATCGGACCTCATAGCGCCCTAAAACGGCCCTTTCGAGAAAATTTAGGTGTGGTTGACAAGAAGACTAAAAGCCCGGTCGTCCGGTACTACAGTGTTCTTGATCGGCATAGCCCGTCCATTCACTCCCTCCAGACGATGGCAGGCAATCTGTTTTCGCTTGGTTACCAACTAGATTTGGGAGAGATCAATCAGACCCAGAAAAAGACAGGATCGGGCTTTGAGGGGATCATCACCAACCTCCCCGAGTATCCTTTCAATCACACGAAGCGGTACTGGTTCGAACCAGAAGCCACGAAGAACATCCGACTCCGGCCACACAAAAGGCACGAGCTGCTCGGAGCCCCTTTTCCGGATTCCACCCCACTGGAGAGCAGATGGAGAAAGATATTTGATGCGACCGAAACTCCATGGCTACTGGATCATGCAGTAAATGGCAAGGCCATCTATCCAGCTACGGGCATGATCGTCATGGCCATCGAAGGGGCCCAGCAGTTGGCCGAGAAAGGAAGAGTCATCTCCGGATACTTTCTACATGACTCCGTCTTTGTGAATCCCATAGTCATCAGGCCAGGTGGCGACAAGACTGTGACGCATCTGCACATGAGGCCCTTGCGTCAGACCCAGGACCAGTTGTCCCATGCTTATGACTTCCAAATCTACACAGAGGTGGGCGATCGGTGGCAGACAAACTGCCGCGGGCAAATCTCAATCCAGTATGAGGGTAAATCCACCGGTGCGACCATCGCGGAGCAGCAGCAGCAGCAGCAAGTGACAAGGGCGGATACCGTGGCTCTGCAGTTGCAGCAAGAGGAGGCCTTCTACAAAGAGCAGTGGGAAACCGCTCGTCGAGAGTGCCACATGCACGTGCCTACGAGCAAGATCTACAAGACCTTTCAAGCCAATGGGCTGCACTATGGACCATCGTTCCAAGTCATGGATGATCTACAGTGGGGGGGATCTAATATCTCGACCGGGACGATCAAGCCCTTCGAGTGGACCGCAGAGCAATCCGAAAATGCTCCAGAGCCGCACATGGTTCATCCCTCAACACTGGACGGTCTGGGTCAACTAGGCTGGGTAGCCCTTACGCAGGGAGGCGAGAAACTCGTCACCACAGGTCTAGTGTCGACTCGGGTGCGCGAGGCTTGGATTTCTGGCGCCGGGGCCTCCGCAGAGCACATTGACACCCTGCATGCTGTGGCACACAGTCGGTTTAAGGGTCTGCGAGGTACGGACACCTCCGTATATGCCGTTGACAGCAGCGGTAACTTGCGGTTGTGGATCTCGGGGATGGAAACCACCTCCATGTCTAGTAACAACGCGCTGGTGGGAGAGGCACAACGGAGAGAACTATGCTTCTCGATCGACTGGAAGCCGGATTTGACTCTAATGAATCGTGAGCAGCTACGGGAATACTGCGGTCAACGCCCTTCTCACGGGGAGACAAATGGGGCTGGAGTCCGAGCCACCAATGGGCTCGACTGTGCAGAAGAGACCGATTATCTCCTTATGCAATACGCACGTCGAGCTGTGGAAAGGTATGCCGACCGCCAAGCTAGATTAAACCTGCCTGTCCATCTGCAACGGTATCTTGAATGGCTGGAGCGCAAGCTTGCCACTACGACCTGTGATACTATGCAAGACCGCCCTGGAGACCAAGCCCTTGAAGACCGCGTGTTGAACCAGACCTCGGCGGGGCATTTATACGTCACTTTCGGAAGATTGCTGGATTCGATTCTTGACGGGGATATTGAGGCCGGCCCAATCCTGGATGGCGAACAAGGAACGCCGGAGCATGCTGCTGTGCAGCATCGTCAACTCCTTTGCGACCAGATCTTGGATAAGGACAAGGCTCTGCACCGTTACATCGATGCGTTGGCCCACAAAACCCCGCAAATGAGGATTCTAGAAGTCAACGCCAGCACCGGCTCGCTGGCCCCGCAATTGATAAGTGCTTTAACACACCATGGTGTAGATGGAACAGAGACGCATCGCTTCTCACTTTACGATTACACTGACAGATCGGACCGATGTCTTCAGGAAGTCCCAGAGCGCTTAGCCGCACTGGGTCGCAAAGTCGCATACAGAGTACTCGATATCGATCAAGACCCAGTAGCGCAAGAATTTGACCTTGCTAGCTATGATGTGGTTGTGTCTGCATGGGTGAGTCTTGACGTCGGGGGCTTCGACTTTTGTCTAGACAGGGTACTAACGGTCAAATAACCAGGTCTCTGGTCATGTCCAAGGCCTGGCTTCCTTTGTCAGAAACGCTCGGAAACTACTCAAACCGTGAGTAAACCCGTCCACCATAAAATGCGGGCGATAGTATTGATGGTTCTTTCACAGCGGCGGCACACTCCTGATCCTAGACATGGTCCGAGGAGGTTCATTGAGATCGGGCTTTGTATTCGGAACCCTACCAGAATGGTGGGAAGACACATGCTCAGTACAAGGCTGGGACAGTCTGCTCACCTCCAACGGCTTTTCAGGAGTTGAAATCTCGTTTCCGCATGATTTGGGGTGCAATGTTATGGCTACAACAGCAACCGGCACTATGGCCATAAACTGCAGTCCTCCTCTGAAGCGGACTATCCTCGTCATTGATCCTGAATCCCGCTTACAAGCCCAGGTAGCGAGCATATTATCAGATACGAGCCTCAGAGTTGGATACGCCATTGAGATTTGCTCGCTCAGCGATATGGACACGTTATCGACTTCCACGGACGGCTCTTTGGTGGTCATGCTCCCTGAGATAGAACAGCCTTTCCTGGTCGATCTCAATGAAACCACTTATAAAGCCCTCCACAGCCTCCTCTGTAAAGCCCAAGACGTTGTTTGGGTTACTGCAGGAAATGAGGAGTCGCCTCACGCACCCCGGCGTCACATAGTTGATGGCCTGGCGAGAGTGCTGTGCACTGAGAATGATCGACTCTCCTTTATCACCGCACACTTGGAAGACCATGCCGCCAACCCTGCCGTGTGGGCAAAACATATCTATCAGATCATGGGCACGAGACTCGAGCAACAGGCTACCAAGGCCAGTGAGCTCGATTACCGAGAGCAGGATGGAGTGCTGCACATCGGTCGCGTGGCTGAAGCAGAAGAGTTAAACGATGCTCTGTTCGAACAAACGCAGGCTCCGCCTAAGGTGCGTCCGTTCAAGCAGGGCCCTCCATTGACCTGTACGATCGCGAACCCGGGGTCAGTGGAGAGCAAAGCGATGCTCTTTGTTGAAGACACCGGGGCCATCGAGCGCCCACTCGGTGATGATGAAGTGGAAATCGAGGTGAAAGCGGTGGGGGTCAACTTCCGCGATATCTTTGTCCTGCTGGGCCGGCTCAGTGACGGCGACAGCATCGGTACAGAATGCTCAGGGATTGTGACCCGGGTGGGTGCGGCAGCAACTTCGGACCTGAAGCCAGGAGACCGGGTCTGTGCCGTCCTCCTCGACTGTTTCCGCACCCTGGTTCGTTGCCACTACCAATTTGTTTCGAAGATCCCGGATGCCCTGAGTTTTGCCGCGGGCGCAGCGATCCCCCTCGGCGGCGTGACTGCATATCATTCCCTGGTGCAGATCGCACGGTTACGGAAGGGAGAGACAGTGCTCATTCACTCGGGGGCTGGGGGTACTGGGCAAATGGCCATCAAAGTTGCCCAAGCCCTGGGGGCTAAGGTCTTTGCCACGGTCGGCTCAGACGACAAACGGGACTTGCTTGAGCGGCTGTATGGCATTCCCAAGGAGCATATATTCTACAGTCGAGACACGTCGTTCCAGCGCCATGTTATGCGATTGACTGGTGGCCGTGGTGTGGATGTCGTGCTGAACTCGCTCTCCGGCGATGGCCTCATTGCCTCGTGGGAGTGCATCGCCCCGTACGGACGGTTCGTGGAACTGGGCAAGTCCGATATTCAATCAAACTCCAAGCTGCCAATGCGCAACTTCGGGCGCAACGTCTCCTTCTCGGTAGTAGCCATCGACCAGATGCATTATGACCGACCGTATATCATCCAGGAATCGCTGGGGCCGGTCGTGGAGATGGTCACGGCTGGCACACTGCAGCCCGCCTGGCCACTTCAGGAATTCACCCTCTCATCGGCAGAGGAAGCATTCCGCTTGATGCAAAGCGGCAAAAATGTGGGCAAGTTGGTGATCAACATGACCCCCACCGACCTCGTACAAGTAAGTTAAACTTCCGTCCTTCAGACCTTTGCAGGCACTAACTGGTTGAAATTCATTCTAGACGTCCATTCGACATGTCCCCAGATATTCATTCCCTCCCGAGGCAACGTACTTGATTGCCGGTGGACTCGGGGGCCTAGGGCGAAGCGCCGCTCGATGGATGGCATCCATGGGGGCGAAGAATCTGATCCTGCTGTCTCGATCGGGTCCCAAGGCAACCGCAGCACAAGAGCTCATTCGGGAACTCACCGATCAGGGAGTTCGCGTCCGGGCTCCCCGGTGTGACCTGACTTCTTCCGAGGCGTTGACTCGGGCTCTAGAGGAGTGCCGGGACCTGCCTCCGATCCGAGGGTGTATCCAAGGAACAATGGTTTTGCAGGACACGATCTTCGAAAGTCTGACCTTCAGTCAGTGGGATACTACTCTCCAGTCCAAGGTGAAAAGTACGGAGAACCTGCACGCGCAGCTCCCTGCCGATCTCGACTTCTTCATTCTTCTCTCCTCGCTTGCCGGTGTCATTGGCCACATTTCACAAGCCAACTACGCAGCGGGGAATACCTTTCAGGATGCATTTGCGGCTTACCGTCGGTCTCTGGGTCAGCGCGCGGTCGCGCTCGATCTGGGATGGATGCGCGAGATTGGAGTTGCTGCTGAGCAAGAACACTTGGCCATGCGTGTGGATGCGGCCCCCAGTATGGCTGGGATCAGCGAGGCCGAGTTCCTGGCCCTCCTGGAGCGGTGCTGTGATCCTGCGGCGAATCCAGTCACCACGACCATTAGCAGCAAACCACAGATTCTCGTCGGAGTGGTTACACCGGCACAGCTTCGGGCTCATGGCCACGAGACACCAACGTGGCTGACCGAACGCAGCATGTTCCAAACCCTCCGGCAAGAAGCGACGGGACCAGGGGAGACCGACGGCGCAGATAACAATCCCATCAACCCCGGCGGCGACACCTCACCCAGCAATTGGCACCGGGCATTTGCGCGGGCAGATTCTTCCTCAGCCGCGGTCACCGTGGTGATCGAAGGGTTGACGCGAAAACTTGCACGGTCGTTGAGTCTGACGTCGCCATCCGAGATCGACCAGCAGCGCTCGCTGGCTCTACAAGGGGTGGACTCGTTGCTGGCGGTGGAGATGCGCCAATGGGTCTCGCGGGCGTTTGCGGCCGAGGTTTCAGCGCTAGATATCACGAGTGCGCCGAATCTGGAGGAGTTGGCGGGAATGGTGGTTGCGTATAGCGAGGTGAAATTCGATTGAGAGGCTTTTTGCTGTGGGAAGCGTTTGACATCAGCTCCTGTGATAATCGTATTCTCATCGACTCAATATGACAACGGCTTGTGTTTCCATCAGAGGCAATTCCGCCTACCAAATCAGGAATGACATCGCCCGGCAGAATCCCTACCGCTTAGTTTGCACACGCCAGGCATGACTCAATGCCTCAGGCTTTGTCGTAGCTTCAACTGAAATATTGCCGTTGCACAGTTAGAGGTTTTTAATCCTACGGTTCATGTCTTCTATAATGCAGCTCTGCAGCACTAGCACTCTAGCCAGATGAGCTTTACAGTACATAGTACTGACTACTAGTAGTAGTAGTGATCGGATCATGTTGTTGGGGGCCGGTAGATGGTCCGGCGGCATTGCTTCATATATATATCCGAACGTGTACATGAATACAAATAGTATCAGTTTACAAAAATGAAATTTTTTTTTATTCGTTTTTTTCTCTATTTCTCGTTCATTGTTATTCCTGTGGCGCTTGGTTGAGTTACTCCAATCAAGACCAGTAGATAGTACTGAAAATATAATTTCAACACGAGAGGACTTGGAAATATTGATGTTCCTAGTTAGATCCAGTTTGTGTTAGTTGAAGGTCTCCATTTAGGAATATTGATTGTAACGCCAAACCATCTTCTAACTAGTGAAAAGCGGAAGAAGCCCCTAGCTCAAGACATCGAGATGTAAAGGAGATTGCCATAGGAGGAGTCCGAATCGCTCCCCAAACGCTCTCTTTCTGTCATCGGTTTGTTCTCTTGGTATATCCGCATGTCCGATCGGACCCCACAAAAGTCGGACTTAAAGCAGATCGGGTGAAAGTATCGGGCCATCGGACATTGACTGAACAATGAATGCATACATCGGACCCTAATCAAGACCCCGCAACCATGTCTGGGGTTAAAAATAGGCTCGAATTGACATAAAAGCAAACTGTTTCAGCGCCACACAAATTTGCATGCACCACCAAGCATTCATATCACCATGACCACCCAACCTCGTTTGAAAATCGCTCTGATCGGCCTGGGCCGGCTAGGTGCCATTCGTGCTCGGATTCTGGCTTTCCAGCAACCTCGCATTGAGCTTGTCGCTGCCTGCGACACAAAACCGGGGGCGGATGAGTGGGCGGCGACAAACCTGCCTTCATCTGTGAAGTTCTTCGATGATCCGGAAAATTGCATGAAAAATAGCGGTGCCGAGGCTGTCTTGATCTCGACGGCCACTGCTACCCATGCCCCCTTGATCCTCAAAGCACTTGATTTAGGTTTGGTGAGCTTACTAGCGACTGCCTACATGTGTGGGATCAATGGCTAACCTGTGATCCAGCATGTGATGTGTGAGAAACCCATCTCGGTAGATGTCATCACTACAGAGGAGGTCGTCGCCAAAGCCGCTTCTAAGCCTCACCTCAAATTCTTGGTACCTTTCTGTCGACGGTGTAAGTCAAGCATTTAATTTTCCGTGCTGAATCACGAAGACCTATCGACTAATCTAGAATAGACGATGATTCGTATCGTCAGGCGAAGCAGATGGTCATGGATGGGTTACTCGGTGATATTCACGCGGTGGAGAGCTCCTGCATTGACCAGCAGGATCCTACAGGTGAGCTATCTTTCAAACAATTACCGACAGCCTAGTGAGTTCTAACCGTCTTCCATAGGCTTCTTTGTGAAGTTCTCCGAGCAGTCTGGAGGTATTTTTGTTGATATGGGGGTCCATGATGTCAGTCATATTTCCATTATTACTTAGTCTCTGTAGGGCTCAGTCGCTTACACCGCACAGATTGACATTGGCAGATACTACCTGGATGTCAAGTCGGGCCTCACAAATCCCAAGAAACAGGTCAACAGAGTCATTGCCATGGGCCAACAGGCTGTGTATGGCGAGCTTGCCAAGTATGGCGACTGCGACAACGGATGGGGTCTGGTTGAATTCGCCAACGGCAAGATCCTCACCTTCCACTTGGGCCGCACTCTCACCAACGGCTTCGAGGGGATGACCCGCGTGTGCGGGACTAAGGCCCATTCGGTCATCAATGCCAATTCCACTGTTAACCGTGTTGAGATTCGTGATTCGCATGGTGTGCGTACGGCTACAACCCCAGATGCTTTCGTCCTCTACGATAAATCGTTCATCAAAGACTTGGAAGAATTTGCGGCCGCGGTCCTTGACGGCGAGCCTCTCACCTGCGCTCCTGAGGATGCCTATGAGGCGGCTAAGATTGCCACTGCTCTACAGCACTCGTTCCGCAATGGCGTACCAGTATACTTTGACGACAATGGCCTGCCCATCATGGAAGTTGCGAAGGACAAGGCCTAATATTTTAAATACAAAACCAGTCGGTAAAATAAACTAATAGTTTTCCTAATCATATTTGTGCAGGTCTTTTCTTCAGCTGGCCATCATCGCCCATAGACAGAACTGTAGGTGGAAATCATATGCATCCTTTCTTGTTTTGGCAGCCTTTTAGATGTTACCACGGGGCCTTTGTAGACGGGCGTATGCGGTTGTTGGAATTAGATTAAACCTAAAATGCAGCACATTCTGAGATGGGATCAAAGTTGAAGTGATGCGTAAGCTTCTGGTATTGTGAACGAACCCAGTCGCGTGTAGCAGAACCCTGAGTGGAGGCATCGGAATGTTTAAAAGCCTTTAGCTATAATTTCTGAAGCTTTGAAAACTGGTACTCTGTATAATATACCTTTGCTCAACATGGTAAATCAAGAAAATACGAACATCGTACGAGACTTGGTAGGTACACATTTTTTTGGAACAAATATTGGCTCCGTTACAATATAAGAAAAAAAGAAGGGACACAAGGAACTTGAGCGGTTGAGACCATGCAGAATGGTTGTAGTAGCCCGGCATCCCTACTGAAGACTGTAGCCATTTTGAAGAAACTCGGTCCCGAAGTCATCACCCACATCTGCCTACTCCACTGGAATGCCTCCCAATATATCCTGTAGCAGCATTGGATCCCAAAAGTCTTGTAACTGTGTGGTATCTGTCAGTTCGAATAATGGGCGAATGCTGGGATAATGATGCTTACGAGATCGTTTGTCGAGTCGGGGGTCACCATAGGAAGGGATGAGCCCGGCATCATGATATTATTGCCTATTCCCAACTCACCTTGAGGATGCCCATGCGGCGATGCGTTCGAGACATTTAAGCTCTCATAAGCATCGGTCGGCGTCTCAGCAAGCTGAATAGTGCGGATAGTCGGACGACCTTGACCAGCCCGTTCAATCAACCTAGTCCGCCAACCGAGTAACTCAACATCCTCACTATCCTCTCTGTCTTCCCGACCAATTTCCTGTCCGTCCGGATCGCCTTGGTCTCGCTGCGAGTCAACCTGTTGGGTGGCGGTAGACACTGTGGCAATCTTGGACGATGCCCGAGCGCGCAGTTTCGAAAGCCACTGCAGATTACGGCAGTATCTCGGAGTGTTGGCGCCGTGCTGAACCAAAGAGGTAAATAGATTGATCGCGGCATCAACCTGGGTAAGAGCGAAGGTAGCCATCGAATTTTGGGGATCGCGCAACACTAACGTCCCTAAGCAGAGAGCTGAACCGAACACGTGATACTAGGATGCGAAACACTGTCAGGTTTCTGGTCCCTCGCTTACGAAAGGAGTAGATTGACCTACCCAGAAGTTCCATTGTCTAGTGCTGACCGCGGGGAAACGGGTATGAATGTCATCAACAATAGCAATGATAATCTACCAATGTGAGGTGGAGGTCATAACTGGCTAGCCTACAGGAAGGGCTTACCCCGCAACGCTCGATCACTGTGAGAAATGAGGGCGCATATATGGATTTGGTACGTTCGTTGATGTCGTAGAGCGCTTTAGCATAATAAGGCCGATGCAGGTTGATTATCGTCTCAGATATGTTAAGTGCAAGATTACTTTGCTGCTTGAATCAGCGGACGCATGAATTGACGGGATGGGCAGACAAACCTGGAAAGAGATGGTCATTGACCTTGGAGATGGTTCTGGTGATGCCTCGATTGCCGCCTGGACGTGGGGGTACCGAGAGGGCATGGATAGGAACGCTGCTCGACAACGAAGGGAGAAGGGAAGGTTGCGTTCAAAGTCGGCCCTCGGTAGGGTTAGCATCTAAACCTGTTTTGCACTTATCAAGCAGGAGGACATACAGCCTAACATCTAGATCAGTGACAGCAGAGTACGGTGGTTTCCGTACTTTCATGGCCATATTGAGGATCCTTCAGTATCATTAGCCCCGGAGAAATAACGGACAAAGCAGGGGAGGAGTAACAATGAAGGACACACTCGGAAGAAAGCTGAGATAGCTCAAATCGTAGTCTGGAATAGCTCTTCTCGCGACTTGCATGCAGCGGCTCGGCGGGGAATTCGACGTCGCAATGCTCAGGATTAATCGCACACCTGTCCGACATTAGAAATGGAATAAGCCTACAGGCCGGGGGGGGGGGGGGGGGGGGGTTCTGTACGGCCTCGAAAAGCAATGTGCCTGGAAAGTATCGGCAGCATTCAGCTCCCAGAAAACCTTGCGTCTTTCTTGAATCACATCTTGAGAGAGGTTCCAGCGGGTACCGTCCCGGTGCATACCCATCTACATATGGTTCCATTAGATGCTGTCATCACTTCAAAGAAAGGTACCTACCGCTTGGACTAAACGCATGACCAATCCCCAAAGAGGCCAGGAATTGTCACCTCTTCCGCCTTTATCCAGTTGTCTACTCCAATTTTCAGCATGAAGAATCACGCAACGAGGGGGTTCCTATACAAATGCAGATGCGCCATTAAATGCTAACCACTATTAGTGACTGATCGGGCGCGATTAACTCAAGACTTACTAGGGTCTGGAGACCGGCTACCATGTTATTTGAGAGGAAGCGTCCCTTGACCAGAGCCAGCTCCGAAAGGTGTAGCCAGTCTTCGGTAGATGGATCGTAGTTGGGCATCTCAATATTGAACATGGTTCCTTGAGCCAGGATAATGAACACGAGTGCAATCTCCTGTGGATTGACGTTTGGGGATAAAGACGTCCCGCTTGAACTTGCGTAGACTCGGTCAAATGTCTTGTCGAAAGTGGCTCTGGGAGCCACATCATGACTAAACCTTAGTCAGGGCCATCTTTCGTACTGGGTCTCCAACACTCACTGCCAAGCACAGTAGCGATAGTACGACGCAACCAATGTCTCCGCCTCCTCCCTTGGCGGCAGGCGGGAGAGCAGTTCGCGAGTACTGACGTGGGAGGCTGCAACGTTGAAAGGAAAGGCGATGGGAGCAGTACCGGGCGTTAACCGACCAGGTCGAGATCGAACCGGCTCTTGGGCTATTTTGGGAGAAGGAGCGCGAGTAACCGGCGGACTGTCTGATATGTCTTGTGTTTCGGACTACCATTTATATTCTCAGCGGACTGAGTGTCGGTCCAGCAAGGAGACGTACTTCTTTCAACCATTTACTGCCCGCGGTCGGTCCCAAGTATTTTGACCGACCTCCCTTACCCAACATCAATGTGCCATAGGAGCCGCTCTGTTCGCCAACCCCGACGGGCTGTGCGACGGAGTTCTGCAATCCAGTATCCTTGCTTACACTGTGGTCAGCCAGAGGAATTCGGCTTGTGGCCATCGAAGGAGAATTCTGCAAAGAGTCTGACTGTAGCACATGGGCGAGGAGGGCGAGTTGTTCATCCCGTCTGCCGCTCTGCTGCGGCCCCAAGTTCCGACCCCGAGCGTCCGCGGAGCCCGGCGCAGCGACAATAGCTTGGCCATGATTGTGATGCTGAGGGAGGCCATGTTGGGGTAGCACATCCCATCGTTGTATGTGGTGAGGGCCAGATTCATGGGTCGCAGGTGAAAGGCGAGTAATTCCGTCCGGGGATTGCGAGGGCTGATCATGCCCAGCAGCCTGGCGCGGTCTTTGGTGCACCTCAGACTCTCTGCTGTGATACTGACTTAGCTGGCGACAGACCTGAACGCAGGGATAACGAGAGAAACACACACCGTGGCGGTGTTTGGCCGGTTATCCCCGGATTACAGAACGGGGCCCGGCGTCGACGGACACAATTGGAGCATGGCACTGCAATCTTTCTTCAGCCGGGACTCTCCAGACGCCAAGTTAGCTTGTTTACTAACCCTGGCGGTCGCATTTCATTTTCAGCCGGCGACATTCTGACAGTCGTAGCGTTAGCCATTGCGTGGCCGCTTCTGGCGTAGACCATACTGCAGGGATGGGATGGCACCAACCTGCGCAGCTGAGAGAGGGCCGTTGTCTCCTTTGTTTTTTGGGCGGCCCCTGTGCGTCTCCGGTCTCGTTATTCCGGCGTGTAGAAACAGCGCCTCTGCCCGATGCCTGGGAGGGGTTCGATCCTAACACGTTGACCATCATGCCATGAATATCGGACGATATGATGGAGGAGATCGAAATGCATGAGTCAAAGAGTAAGCCCGGAGTCAACCCATCCCGTCGGCATCGGATGGACGGGCGTGATTATGTCCGGTCATGTGACCATAACTATATCCGAGGCCCCGGACGCCCGTTTATCTCCGGTTACCAGGTTGGAAGCATGCAGCGGAGCTGTCTCTTGAAAAAGGGCACGAGGGTAGCTGCGGCGACATGCAGAGAGAGATGGAGAGTATGCTAAATTTGTTAGCGTCTGACACAATTCCAACGTTTTCTTTACATCCATCGCAATGGCTGTCACCATGCATGATTCTGTCCTGGACAGCAACAAGGCCAACATGACCGGTTTCAAGGCTGAGGTCGTCGTTAAGGAGCTGGAATGCCCTTCCCCAAAGGCTCCCGTTGACGACAACTTTATGTATGACTTCAAATATAATCATGTCTTACCCACTTCAGACATTCTGGGGATCGAAACTCCCATGGACTGCGATGCCCAAAGGGAGGCCGGAGACATCGTGGCGCGGCTGTCGCAGGCAATGGGAGCTCGGGATGCTCAGACATTTGCTGAGATGTTCCTTCCATACGGTGAGATCTAATTCTCCCCGTTCGTGCAGGCATCCTTTAACATGTCCTTCTCGGTACAGGCGTTTGGCGTGACAAGTTGTCCTTCACCTGGGATTACCGCACTTTCAATTTTTACCCAGCAATCCTCAGGGCTGCCACGGACCTTTTCCCTCAAACGAAAGCCACCAATTTCAAGTTCCTCACCCCGGCTCCCACGATTTCCCGGCCCTATCCGGACTTTGCTCAACTGCAGTTCGTTGTGTGCTTTGAGACTGAAGTCGTGGTTTCTTCAGCCGTGATCAATGCAGTCTTCACCCAGGAGGGGTGGAAGATTTATACAATGCACACCGTTGCAGAGAAGCTGAAACAGTTTCCCGAAATTCCTCCACCCGACGGGCATATGACGGGTCCCATTAGCTGGGAAAAGCAAAGAGCTGCGGAAATCGATGCTGCCAACCCTGAGATACTGATAATTGGTGGCGGCCAGAAGTTAGTTTATCTCTTCCACGTCTCGATGAACCGTACTGACCCTTTGTTTCCTTCAATAGTGGTCTCGCACTAGCCGCCAGATGCAAGGCACTTGGTATGGATAGTCTCATAATCGAGCGCAGCGAAGAAATCGGCGATGTCTGGAAGAAGCGTTATGAGTACCTATCACTTCACTTCCCCCACTGGGCTGATGATTTGCCTTACTTTCCATACCCCAAGCTTTGGCCCACGTACACACCCGCCCAGAAGCAAGGAATGTACATGAAGTGGTATGCGGAGGCCCTGGAATTGAATGTTTGGACCAAATCGGAGGTCGTGAAGGCAGAGCAAGACGACCAGCATAACTGGACGGTCGTGATCAACAAAGAAGGTCAAGAAACCAGACAACTGCACCCCAAACAGGTCATCATGGCTACCTCCCTTTGCGGCGTCCCCATGACCCCAGAAATTCCTGGTATGGCCGATTTCAAGGCAGGTGTTATCCGCCACTCAACGGCCCACGACAGTGCGCGTGAATTTGTGGGTAAGAAGGTCTGTGTCGTTGGTACCTCATCCTCTGGCTTCGATACGGCCTTCGATTGCTCCCGCCGGGGCATCGATGTTACACTCCTTCAACGGTCCCCGACCTACATCATGTCGCTGACCCACTCCGTCCCGCGCACGATCGGTAACTATGGTCCTGACGCCGAAGGCAACCGGCCTAGCCATGAGGAACAAGACCGCCTTTTCTTTGCCACACCTACTGGACCTGGGGAAGAGCTCGCCAGACGTAATGCCAAGGTGTTGGAAGACCTTGACCGGCCTCTTCTGGATGCACTTCATGCTCGCGGTCTCCGGACCTGGCGTGGTCAGCGCGGCACGGGCGGTTCCACCCTCGGCCAGACCCGGAACGGTGGCTTTTATTTCGATGCCGGTGCGTGTGAGCACATCATCAATGGCAAGATCAAGGTAGAGCCAGGGTACATTGAGCGGTTCACGGAGGACAAGGTAATCCTCAACGATGGGCGTGAGCGCCAATTCGACCTGATCGTCTTCGCTACCGGCTTCTCCAACACGATTGACTCGGTCCGTGCCACTCTAGGTGACAGGATCGCCGACCAATGCGGTCCTATCTGGGGTATTGATGAGGAGGGCGAGTTCAAAACCGCGTACCGGGAGACTGGAGTGCCCAATCTCTGGCTCATGGTCGGCTATCTCCCCTACACCCGCTTCCATTCCAAACTGCTTGCTATGCGTATAAAGGCTCTGATGGAAGGTATATATCCGGCTCCATACAAGGACTAGACCTTATTTCCTCTCCACCTAAGGACCCTCATAGACGATATGAGTACGATAAACATTGCTTTCAGAATGCGCCTGTATGATCACATGCTTTACAGATTATTGTGTGGGCAGAATTTGCTAACCCCACCTCAAGGGGAGGGAGGATGTACGTCTCGCGGCCTGTCTAGCCTAAGTACGCGAATTCAACATATCCTTTCTCTCGAATAACATTATTCCATAAATTTTATTCTTCGAAATCCTTATCAAGTCTGATAAGTGTTTCATCTCCAGCATGTAATTCAAGATTAAATAGTAAGTTTACATTAGAACCTAAAGGCTTTTGTGAAACATCTGGCCAGTAGGATAAAGTAATAGTTCACGTGTAACTGGAGAACAATCGGACATATTAACATTCCTCGATAGTATATGCCAGGTTTTTGTCATTATGCTGGACCCAGATCGGTCCAGCCCATAGTGGCAAATATGACTGATTTTAGGAGATATAGTATAGCCCCGCTGCTTCATTGGTGAGAGGAATTTTCTGACAGAGCCTAGTTTTACTCATGAATGGCGGTCTTCATTGGAAAAGGATACTGGCTTTATACAAGTCGAAACGGAGTCTACTCAACAGTTCAATTCCTACTTTTATGAATTGAAATCTTCTATACCTATACAGAGTGGCATGAGCTTTACTGCGACTTCACCGGACCGTACCAGTCCGCGAAGCCCAGATCGAATCCCCACAGTGGCGTATTTAAGCGTTTCGCCTTCCCCGCGGCCGCCATACCGTCGAGCACATACAGATCCTCCTTGGATAGTGAAATAACCTCTCTGTTACTAGCGATGCGCTTCTCACTCACAGATTTCGGAAGCACAACCACGCCTTTGTTGACGTGGTAACTGATGAGTATCGTGGCGGCGGAGACCCCATTCTTGTCCGCAATCTGTTGGATCTCAGGATCTGACATGATAGGAGCCCCTAGCAAAGATTTCAGTAATTTGCACATAGCCTTTGTGGGACACAACAATAAGAGCTTGAGGAATCATACTTACCGGTAGAACCAAGAGGGGAGTATGCTTCGAGGAGTATACCAAGCTTGTCGCAATACTCTCGGAGTTCATGTTGAGGGAGGAAAGGATGCAGCTCAACTTGGTTTACAGCCGGCACGACTGTCCATGTCTTGCGAAGCTCCTCCAGATAGGGAATGGACCAGTTGGCGAGCCCGACCGCCTTGACCATACCAGCTTTGTAAACTTCCTCCATCTGGCGCCAGGTCTCATTCTGATCCCACGATCGGTCCACTGAGCGGGTGCCATCCGGGTTTACCGGCAGAAGCTCGCTCGTCTCATTCTGCATGGCGGAAGTTAGTCGCGCAGGGCTCTGGGGCGGAATGCCACCAATGTGAACTGCTCACAGGAACCAGCCGAACGGGCCAGTGAATAAGCTGACGAAATACTTCGTCAGACCAGTTGCCATGCCGCATATCAAATGATATTGCACTTACGTAAAGATCAAGATAGTCGGTTCCCAGGCTATCTAGAGTCTTCTGTAGACCCTCCTTGACATTTGGGTGATGTGTGTTCCAAAGCTTACTGGTGATGAATATGTCCTTGCGAGGCACACCGCTATCCCTAATTCCCTGGCCGACCTCGTTTTCGTTACCTGAAATCGTGCGTTATTATAACTGTCGTTTGGGGAGATAGCCCACCGACGTGGATGAGCTCACCGTAGATCCTTTTGTTCGTTAGCCAGCACTCGATGACGAGAGGGACAGCCGGGCTCACTCACAATGCCGCATCAATGTGCCGGTATCCATTCTTGAGGGCGAAGGCCACTGCCCTTGCCACCTCACCTGGCTCGGATTTCCAGGTTCCTGTGCAGACTCTCCATGTTATTGAGGGCGCAGCAAGGTTATAAATGTCAATGCCACTCACCAAGGCCGACAGCGGGAATGAGGGCGCCCGTATTGAGCTTGAAGTGAGTGGGAGGAGCCATGGTGCTGTTGTTCTCTAAGACTCTGAATGGTACATGCAGGAGTTGTCCAGCAGGGGAGGCCCATAAAAATGGCCTTCAGCCCAGCTGACATAACCAACAGAAACGGAGATGTATATCAGCATGTAAGGAGATATACCTTAGGCCATAGGAACGGAGTTGTGACACACCGGGGATAACTGGTTATGGTGGGACCTCAGCATCGGATATATTATCATCACCTCGGTTGAAGGTGAGTCTGCTCGGCTCACCATTTCGCTAGGATTAACTCCGGTCGCTAAGCGGCCAAAAGCCAAAAATAAGTCCGATATGACATCGGGAAGTTTGTAGTTATTGTTTTCTAAATACAATACTATACACCAACATCGAATGAAGGGCTACTGACACATCTGAACTATGCGTTGGGTGCCGATTATGCTATATTATTTGAAACGTCAGTAGGACGTCAAATATGAGAAGCGGCTTGTTTTAAGGATATCTCCAGAATATGAAAGTCAGCCAGTAGATTTTGTTAATTTGATTGTTAGGAATATGCTTGCAATCTTTTTCAGTTTTATTTTAATTTTGCGACGTAGTTACCTGTCAGTTATTAGCTTTTCCCCATTGATTAGACTCATAGTTCTGGTAAAGCTTGATGTGCATGAAATAAGAGGTTACAGAGGCTTTCGATCCAATGGTTCAGTAGCTCAAAGCTCAATATTGAGATATGACAACATTGCACCCAAGGCATGAACAGCCCCGTCCAACCTCCTAGAATTATTCGAAGAAGGAAATGCTGAAGGTTAAACTCAGACCCATCTCTTTTGAGGAGGTTACGGCTGGGGGGGGGGGGATCATCTAGTGCTCTTCCTTCAATTCTACAATGGCAATATGAAAATATAAGTCAATGTCAAGCCTACGTGTCCATGGTCTCCCGATGGTCTATGTATACTCTCTTATAACCAAATGGCATGCTTTATCCCGTTCTCTAATCCCTCCTTCATGGCAGCTATTAAAGTCCACTCGTCTCCCTTGTCCCCGTTGATTTCATAGACCTCCACGCCACCCCCTTCTTGTCCGACTACAACGACATATCTGCCGTCGTCACTGAGCCGCATGCCACGGATGACATCAACACCCGTCCGTACTTGCTTGATGTCGATGACCTTCCTGCCATCGCTGGAGAGCAGAATAATAGCGATTGCATCTCCCGGCGGTAGATCACGAGGCACGTTGCGGAGGTATGGTTCAAGCTGCGCGATGTGCCTCTCCCAGCGATTACTGGCGTAGATAACATTAGGAATGGAGGGATGAAGACAAATTTCGGCAGAGTCCATCATGCCTTGATGATCAGGGTGAACCTCCGGGGGGATTATACTCGGTGCGAAGCCATCAATCGGCGGAATGCCGTCTGCGGGGGCAGCTGATACATCAAAGGCGATAACAGTGTGCGAGAGTTCACCAATAACGTACATTATCGTCTCTAGCAATTCAAGTCAGCTAGCTCCGGAATATGGGACCACCGTGTTGAGGTAAGGGTACATACCATTGGGAGTCAATACGGCATGTCGAGCGCCTGTTCCGGGAGGGCACTGTAGCCAGCCGCAAACTTCAAGATGCTGAACACCGTCACGCCGAAGTATCCAAACCCTATCGGATCCCAGATCTGGGGCGTATAGTATGCCTCGGCTGTCTTCCAATATTTGATGCACATGGCATTGTTGCTGACGGCCCTTGTTAGGACCGTGTCCAACCGACTGATATGGAAAGTCCGGTAGAATTTCTGCTCGGGGAGCGTTTTGGAGCAGCATCTTGCCATCGTCTGTCATAGAAATCGGATAGAGGGCAATAGATCCTCCCAGATACTACATGAAGTGAAATGTCAGTAGATGTTCCGGAACGGGAACCTGATGTAGACTAACCGTGCCAAGAGCCAGTGCAGCATTATCACGCAACTTGATGACTAGTAAGACCAGATTGTCACCAATAAGAACCGTGTGGTAAACTGAGTGATGTGTCTACCTACAGTGACCTGGCGCCCCCAGAGTTGGCGACTGGCTGGTAATTGTGCAAGCCCTTTTTAGGTGATCTATTTCAAAGGTATACAAAAAGACCAGACTCGATCCCCTCGGATAGACCCACAAGTTGATCAAGGCCCCTTTGTGATGACGATAGCTCGACCCATGAAGCATTGAAGGGGGCTGCATAATTAGCAAGAATGCTCAATTTCCCTGTCTTCAGGTCGAGTTCAAGCGTGGTGAAGTCGGCTCTGTCGCCTGCTAACAAAAGTCTGTACTGCATAACGTTCCAAGGGGACATCAGTGATAGGATTGATCGGAGGGCATTGAAATGATAGATTAGAAGCTCATATACCCATGTTGGATGGTATGGAGGCCTATACTTACGCTGATGACATATAATCACGTGAATTGCTGAGGGGGTAGAACCGGGGCGAATGTCCGATCCGCTTTCCTGCAGTGATTAAGTCCGATGTCTGCCATCCGATTCCGTCCACGTTACAATCGTTCCGAGCCCTGACGTGGAGAGACATGCACGGATGGGTAGAGGCCGGTGGTAGAAACAAAGCCTTTGATGGGGCAACTACTTCGGAGCATTCCGGTTTGTACAGGCAGCCTCCCCCGGGGGGCAATACGGCCTTCGAGACGTGTGGGGACCCCGCAAAAGCAATAGAATGGTCACAACAGTTACATATTCCTCAATTCGCATGTCGTGACGTATGTACTGTAGGAACGATTGTTGGTCATTTACCCAACAAAAGAGTTTCTGTTGCAATTAGTTTTATGGGAGGCCCATGTGTGGTCTGTTCCTCACTTATCCCAGCTATCATTTGAAATCCGGTTTGAAAAGCCGAGTTGCTGTTCGGTCGTGATTATTGCCAGGGTATTGCAAAAAGGACGTCTGGGGCGAACGGATCTTTGGTGTAATACAATTGTGGGCCACAACCGACCTGAGAGCCGTAGATAAATGGAACACAAACTATTGACATGGCCCATTCTCGAAAAGGCCCACCTTCCTCAGCACATCCTAAGCGGTATCTTCACTTCGGTGACTGAAAGCATGTGGCTCTGGAAACCCACATTTCTTCGTACCATCTAGCAGAGCTCGCAAGGCATTCCGTCGTAGGCAAAGTGCCCATAATGCATACGTCTCCCATCCATCTGGCTTATAGAGGGACGAGTAAGCGCGTTATTCGCTCAATGACCGACGCGACACGGAGCTAATTGCCACGGGAAGTAGGCCGAGGTCAGTGGAAGAGGGATGTCCGATGGGCGTGTCATTCTCGTAAGTTCTGTAAACAACGCTGATAGATGTGATTGGTGCGGTATACTCAATTACCGTATGGGGGAAGGGGGGGTGTTTTTAGACCCGGCCGGGGTAACTCCAGCCAGATATCCCCTGCCCCACGGGCTACTTAAGTGCTCATTCCTGCCTCCTCAGTCAGATAAAAATATGAGGTGACGGCCAAGAACTATAAATCGCTCAATTTCTCAATGCATCAAGTGTTGAAAGAGGATGGTACTACGGTGGAGCATGATGAGAGAGGCACCCTTGGTGTTGAAGCGGTGGATATGCTGCCCTCATATGGCCCGGATGGCGTCAGAGGGCTTTTCAGCTCGGGGTATGTTCTTGGAGCCGCCTGCCTTGCTTCTCTTGGGGGTTTCAGCTTTGGGTATGACCAGGGAGTCATATCAGTCATCAATGTCATGCCACAATTCCATGCGGCTATCCCGCAGGCGGAGAGTGAATTTGGCAAAGGGTTTATGACAGGCATGCTACTCCTCGGGGCATTTGTCGGTTGTATCTTCATGCCTTATCTTGCAGACAGGATCTCCAGGAAATGGGCCCTGACGGTGGTTGTTATCATTTTTGACATTGGGGCCGTTATCCAGACCTCGGCCCAAAGTTACGGCATGCTGGTTGCCGGAAGAGCAATTGGTGGTATTGGGGTTGGTACACTGGCTATGGTATGGATGAATCGCCGGTCCAATGCAACACATTGCTTGCTAATATATCTGGCCATACTAGGGTGCACCGCTTTATATCTCAGAAATTTCACCACCAAACCTGCGGGGAACCCTCTTAGTGCTCGAATCCATTTGCCTCGTGTCCGGCGCGGTCATAGCTTATTGGGTAACGTTCGGCATGAGATTAGTTGATAGTGAAGCTTCATTCCGTGTGCCTTTTGGCTTGCAGATGGTCAGTGCAACTCTTGTTGGGGTCGGTATCCATTTCTTCCCATACTCACCACGGTGGTTGGCGCTCGTTGATCGGCAGGAGGATTGCCTCAAGAGTCTGAGTCGGCTGCGCGGCCTTCCATTGAGCGATCAGAAAGTCCAAGCTGAATACAACGCAATCATCGGTGAGGTTAGAGCCCAGAAACTCATGGAACAACAACAGCGCCCGGGCGTGACTGGCATCAAGCGAGAGGCTCTGATATGGATGGACCTATTCAGGCCGCAGACCTGGAAGAGGACAGCAGTCGGCGTGGGTGTAGGGTTTTTCCAACAATTCTCGGGGGTCAATGCGTTTATTTACTACGCGCCCACGCTTTTCCAATTGATCGGCCAGAAGGGCGAGATGTCATTGATCTTGTCAGGTGTATTCAATACCCTCCAGCTTCTCACTGTCCTGGTTTGTTTCTTAACAATCGACAAAGTTGGTCGACGCCCCTTGGCGATACTAGGCGGTTTCCTGATGGGAGCCTGCTATATTATCATTGCCGTGCTGATGGCTCTTTATGGGCCCGACTGGGCTAACCCATCGGCCGGTTGGGGCTGCGTGGCGATGGCCTTTCTTTACATCCTCATCTACGGGAACACATACTCGCCTCTTGGTTGGGCCTTGCCTTCTGAGGTCTTCCCCAATGCACTTCGTTCGAAAGGGGTTGCGTTATCAACTTGCGTCAACTGGCTGTCCAATTTTATTGTTGGGATCGTGACTCCGGTGATGATGGCTAATATTGGTTATGGCACATACGTCTTTTTTGCCGCGTGCTGTGTTCTCGCAGGAACGTGGGCCTTTTTTCTGGTTCCCGAGACAACCGGCAGAACACTGGAGCAGATTGACGAAGTTTTTGGCAATATTAGCAAACAAGCACACCATGAATTTATGAGGGAAACTACTTTCCAAGCGGCTAGAGGGGAAGGGAGGCTTGACGTGTGACTAGCGCAAATGGGACGTAAATCATGCTGACTACGAAACTTCACGATAACATATTCTGAATACCATGAATAGTCATGCCTTATAAACATCGTATCAAAAACCTATTTTGTTCCCACCTTGTCCTGTTCGGCTAGATCCTGTGGTCCCCTACCGAACGGCCCGAGTATTATATTGAACTGAAAACCCGGGGCTCCGGCCGGATTCCGAACACCAGGTGCCATGAGAACCCCGAAAGAGACTTTGATTTTATTTATCTCTAACTATATCTTGCTTTATGATGGGATTTAGGAACATGACTTTTGATACGCTGTTGCATATGAAAGATCGGGCAGTCTGCACTACGAGCAGCATGTTCTATATTAGGTGATTGGAGCGCTTATGAACAGGCCGAGGAATGATTATCAAATTTATCGATAGGCCAAAATTAAGAGTGAAGTCGATTGCGCAGACAGTGATTGGGTAAGCGCACTTCTGTTGTGAAGGAATGATCCTATTGTCCTTATTTATAATTAAAACGAACTCTTTTTCTCTACCATATCTTAGAGATTTCCCCTTGTTCGGAACGTTTTAAGCATGCAAATAAACCACGATGTCTTACGGATCATCATAGTTATAAGGTATACTCATTTAACAAGTTGTGGCCAGATCCTGTATACAAAATTGTCGAGGTGTAAGCCAGCAGCCGAGTGAGGTTATATCATTTAATGTCGCAAAGTGACAGATTTCATAGACGAAATATTCCAATACTAGTGTGTCTATCGTCAAGGTCCCGATAGACAGCGCGAAAATATTCCAATACTAATAGTTATTCATAGCAGTATTTCTGCGACTATAGAAAAATATCTCGGATTCGCCACTTGCAATAGATCTAGGGATTAAGAAATTGGATTCAGGTTATGGGTTTTAAGCTCATCTCAGGACTTGAACCATCAGCGTCCGAAGCGTGCACCATTGGTAAAGATCAATTCAGAACATGACACAGCGACCAACGCCCCGCTCAGTTGAATCTTAAGTGAGGGCCATCCATCTGCCGCGTACGATATGTTCTTATTGCTTAAGATTATACTGTATCTTGTCTGTAGAATTCTAACAGTATCGTAGATCATTGTCGACGATAGGTTGTTCTGATTGTAGCTGAGACTTCAATTGCTACTAGTCTCCAGTTAATTATATACCATTGGAGCAGGGATGTATCTGCCTGCCACTCATACTCCATCTGCGCTCTAACAGTCTTACTACCATCTGACTTGTCAGATACCTCTAGATTGCTTAGTCAATAAAGCCTCAAGCAGGGTCACAAATGATGTACTGGTGGTTCGAGAAAGTGGTAGAAGGAAGACGAGGTCACGCCGAGAAACCCTTTTAGCCGCAGTCCACGGGGGCGCACTTCACGGTCGGCAACCCGGCAAAGCAGTCGGTAATTACTCCATTACCTACAGTTGTTTGGCCCCCTTGTTGAGTTTTCATATTGCGATGCCAATGCTTGGAAAAGGATTATAAGTCAAATTTTAGGCGATGCACGTTAAAAATTTAGTACGTTATTCCCAGTATCGTGCGGTAAATGGCCTAAGCCACATATATACCAGCGATACAATACTTCTATACAAAATAGTTAATATTCTTCCAGTGCTGAATAAACTTGAGCACTACCTTATCCTCCACATCCCGCATCTGGCATAGAGTGAGCAAACAGGCCCGAGAATAATCGGTGGCTAATATAACATGCCGATACACGGCGGGTTCAAACAGCCGCGCGAAAAAGGCCTTCAGCTTCAGCGCGGGATACCTGTGTGCTGTGCCCTCCGTCTCAGCTGCTTCCACCACAGCAGCCAGCCACTTGTCAAAGGGAATGCGCCTGGTAAGCCCTAGAACAGGCCCCACGGTGTCCAGTAGATCACTCCGTGCCTGACGGATGGATTCTCCACCCGATAGGCTGGTGCCAGTTGATGCGGCGCAAGAGGAATCTCGCAAAAGACGGCCCCCGCATCGTCAACGGGCATCCATGACGATGTCTGTTCATCCCCCCCGGCAGTGGTTGCATCTTCCAGAGATTGTCGAATTCCAAGTGCAACTTACCCCTCGCAGCCGGGACAGCTTTCTAAGGCTCAACGATGATCACAACATCACGGGCACCACCTCCTTGGTGATCCAAATACCCGTGGCGCGAGATCCTACGATAGGCCCTCCTCGGACTATTGCGTTCTCCAGCTCGTCCGGATACGTGGCTGCCGCCAGCTCCAGTATCTTCTCGCAAAATATCCTTCTGTCGGCATATCCCAGTCCGGTAGCTGACTCTCGGGTGGCCACGGAGGCCTCTAGGATCAACTCACCGGCATGGGCCGGGGTGAGGCCACGTTGTACCACCGCCGCGATGAAAGATAGCCAGGGGCAATAGATGGCGGAGAATCTGCAACTGGCCATGGAGCGATAACGAACCGGGACGAAAGTCCATGGGTCAGACGGCGTGCATAACATGGGTGATAGGGCGCTGGAGTTCTCGATACTCGCTTTCGTCCGTGGGATCACAGGTGATGAGGATAACTTTAGACCATGCAGCTTCGGAAAATACATACCTTCTTCTCCTGCAGCTGGTTGCGATAGGCCTCTGGGCTGACGGACGGGCTATGACTGAGACTATTTCGGAGGACACAAATAACCTGGCTCACCTGGGCGGACTGCACTAGCTGCGACAGACAGTGCGACCCCAGACTCCCAGAGCTTTCTGCAGAATAACAGCATTGGCGGGCTTGGGAGTGAGGATATCTGCGTGCGCGGAATATTTCCCTCACCAGCCGATTAATCTCCTGCCACGGTTGGGATTGGTCTGAGTGGATGGGGGATGAAGCAATGACTGTCATGGTGTGACATCTGCAAAAACGAGTCTCGATCACGAAAAAGACATCACCCCCCTTCTCACAAATCCTGGTGGGGTTGCCTTTGGGCAACGACTGGTCATTATGCGACTGATCGGCGATTATTGAGATTCGACCCATAAGTTATGCCCGGCCTTGTCGGTGTAATCGAAGCTATATTGCCCTTTCTAGCACAATTGACGAAACATAACACATGGGGTCCTTGTCTCCGCATTTATTGACTGCATTTGTCGGCATTGCTGATTTTGAGGCCGTCCTAGTGGAAGGGGAGGGAGGGACTGGCGGACAAGATCCTTCTTACCGGGCGTGAAAGACAGCAGTCACTCCACCGCCCATCTCCACAGAACATCTTGGGGTAACAACCATGGTCCGGGAATTGCTTTCGAGTAACAGCCGTGGTCGTTATATCATGGGTGGCCAAGGGCGCGTCGGATATTGACAGGTGATGAATGACGCAGAGTCCAACTGTGTTCATTGATACTAGCACCCCCCGTCTGTGAACGCCTGCTGGCCGAAAATAAGACCTGGCATCACCCTGCATCTCAGAACCATTCCGATCCGTTGCATCGCATGCTGGAATTATTGCCAGTGCAGTGACTCCCGGGCCTTGGGTGCCAACCCCATTGCACAGAACCTTCATCACTTGGACTCCGAAGACAATGCCAGCATGTAACAGATATAGTTGTGTGAGGTGCATTATGCGACTGTAATGTATGTCGCTTCTGCGTGACTGCGCCAAGTAATTCATTGTGAACTATTTCTGGACCCACTGGGCAGGTGGCCTAACAGGCGTCCAGGGTGCATCGGATCTATTTTGAGCGAGGATATGATAAGTAGAGAGCCTGAAACAAGCTGCATAAGTTGGTGCGCCTAACCATGCCGCCTCTGGATTCAGCATAGCCACAGCTCGGTAATGTGGCGTAAAACCGTGCCTACTTTTTCGACCTTGCTGGACGATCGATCTCTGCGGCCATCTGGCGTGCTCTTACTAGTCTTGACCTTTATTCCCTGGTGTGAACCCACCAAAGAGTCCGTTGACAACTGACACTGGACCGGGCCGCTGCGGGACGAAAAGACTGTGAATGTCTCCCATACAAATTTAGTCGTGAATCAAGGCGGGAAAACCCCAAAGACTGGCTTTTTTAGGCGGACGGGGAGCCTGATGTCTCTCCTCATGTCCCATCACTGCATATGGCACTTGCATGGCGGGCGCATTCCCGCGTTCTGAATGGCTTTTCGGGCTGACGGGCTTGGCCCAAGTAAGACATGTTTCTCCGTGCGGCAAGAACAGGAAACTGGGATCAGACCAGTCTACTGCTAAGCTCAAGGTGCACGGCTTGCTGAATTCAGTACAAGTCTTGGATCAAGCTCGTGGATGGAAGGAAAGGCCACCGCTGCTCCATTGAAGTCCGCGATATTTATCAAAGCCTCGTGATATGTACATCCTTTTATCGCATGTGACCTCCGCTGCCATCCGGACATTGCACTGCCCACGTAGTAAAAATAGATGAGCGAACTTGCTGCCCATCACAACTAATGGTTATATAAAGGGCATCAGCCGGCTGCCATACCTCACATTTTTCTTCTCCATCACACTCACGAACTAGACATACCTCCACTATACCACCGTCACCGCGATCGCTGCAGATCCTGATCCCAACCCCAAGATCTCATATTCGATTACCTGTCACCAGTGATTCCTCACACCGCCATTATGAACGTCACGCTCAAAATCTGCTCTGTCCTCGCTCTAGCCGTCTCCGCACTGGCGTTGCCCACGACTGACACGCGAGTTATCCAACTCCGCCTTTGGGGCGAAACCGGTTGTGCCGAGGAGAACAACGGCGAACTCGGCCTGTACCAATCCGGGCTTAATGAATGTGGCACCTTCGCAGGTCCCGAAGCCATCCACTCTATCACCACCTACTACGTTGTATCCGGATATGCTGGTAAGTCTATTTTGCACTTCTCTAACTCCTGCTGGGCCAACTGACAATATGTTCTTAGCGCAATTCTTCACCGACTCGAATTGTCAGGAAGGCCTTCAGAATGTAACAACACCAGGATGTCTCAACGGTGACACTGCGTTCGCCAGCTATAAGCTGGTTTTGACCTAGTAGTGGATTGGAAGCAGATGAGCAGTGCAGAGATGGATAGATGATATTGAACTATAGTTGTGAATGTTAAGAGAATAGTGCACTATATTCATGATCGAGAATATGCGAGATTCCAAAGAAACAGACTATGTAAAGAGAACCGACATGATATGAGTAGAATTCAGCTTCGATACGTCTGCTATTTTCCTTGTGATATAAAATACTATAAAGAGCATTTGGACCTAAGATGTCGGTAGGATTGGCAAGAATCTGACTGTAAAAGGTATAAAGCATGACAAGAGTCCTTTGTATCACTGCAAATATCGTATATTTTCGAGCCTATATGTCATATCCTGCTGAAGTATAAACTAGAACAGGGTGCGAATCCTCTATTTTTTAGACGTGTAATAACTATGACCTAGTGATATCCCTGCGGCCCGATTGAGTGACGTCGTGGTTCATATGCATCCAGGCTGTTGGAACAGATGTTCGTTTCTAAGGATCCTACATAAAGTCAGTATTCCTCTCCAACAGTGTTTGAATTAAAAATTTCAATTACTGAATAATATGATTCACTTTGCCCTAATATTATACTCAAATTGTAAAAAGAGATTAGTACCATCAGCCCGAAGTTCTTTCTTACCACAGAAGTGTTTATCACTGGTCGCATCATTCACCCCAAAGTAAATAAATCAAAAGCTAAATGAAACATCATATTATTAGATAATCTTCCCTTTCCGTCCCTTTGAAGTGAAGCATTATCTTGGAAAGTACTTCTGAAGGCGTAGGAGCTTCCATTGCAAATGTTCTTTTAGTATATTCAAAAAGCATTTATAATTTTCAAAGATATTCGTTTACCAGTAAATTGGCCGTGAACATCTGCCTTCTAGGTACATACTATTATTATTGCCTTAGGAATGAATCTGACATAAGTGCATGCCGATCGATTGTGCTATATAATGTACCACCATTTGCTGGTACCACCATTTGCTAACCACGTCGTCTTTCCCTCCAAGGGGCTTCAATGATTGTTCTAGTATAGCGTCCTGGAAGAACCATATACGACGGTAAATGCCGTGTTGCTATACATAAGAACACCCTTTATTATGTATTCCATGGTGCAAAGTAAAACTAGTGAGTGTTATTCCAAGATAGGAAGAAATCTGAACATCGCTATACCAGCGGCTATAAAAGTCCTTTTCCAGTATTTCACGCCCCGAAGACCAGTCACCCGAACCATGTATCCCTCATCCCGACGTACGGATATTTAAGGCTTCACAAACTATTGTGATACACGGGGTCGATCATGAAGAATGGAAATGCACAATGTGGCGAAGTGAACCGATGTTCACAGGCATTCAAGTCAAACATCATTTTGAGATACTCCCTTTCTTATCGTGTGCATATTGCGCCGCCAACGGCGCTTCAAGAGGATGAACAGGGTTACTTTCCAACACAAAGGGCTTGACAGGGTCAGAGCTCTCCGTTGGATTGTATGCCGGCTGCTGCAGATTGCGAGGGATTCTACCCCAGCAGAGCGGCGCTTGCTGCTCGGCGCTCTGGCTTTCCGGAGCAGGCGACTCACGACCCTCGAGCTGAGCGCAGAGTAAATTCTTCTTTGCCTCCATTGTATCTGTATAGTGATGATTGATCGATAAATTCAATGAGTCCACGAGATGAACGATGAGCAGCACCTGACTTGGCCTCGCTTCCTGTTGTTCCGGGATGCGTGGTAACCACTACACTTTCTGTAGCTCTTCGCTGCTTGGATCTAGTAGAAGCCACTATCAGTTCACTGATCGGCCGACGTATAGAGGACGTACTAGGGAAAGGAGACCTGCATTTCAAGGAGTTGTTAAGCGGCTTGCAGGATTAACATGAGAGGGAGGATTGGGACACCCCAGTAATAGACAGGTATAGATAATCATGACGTAGAAGTCCTTACTAATACGGTCATCTGCCCTCCAGATTGAGAAACTGATCTCCCCGGAAACAAATCTTTGAAACCATGGTTCATTCCAACTCCCTCTAACCGTAAAACCCCGGAATGGTAGTAAGCCAGGAAATATGCAACGCCATCGAGCACATTGAACATTTTATTGAAAATTATAAAGAGCTCGGACATTTATTTACTAACTTATTCTTTTTACTGAAGGACTATATCCCAATTCGTGACAAAGCGTGTCCCTATCTTTATTCCAGCGTATGTTACTTACAAGCCCACTATTGTGTGGGACTTGATTTTTATAGCAGAAAGAATTGCAACACACAGCCCGGGGACGCTGGGGATGAGCAAAAATATTATCACATATCAATGTTCACATTATGTACCATCAAGAGGAATATTGTCCCACTGGACGAAGTCCTCGCCCAAGATAATGAAGTCTGGCCCTCCTATTGATGCTGTAATTGAGGATGTCGACAATATTGCTGGCTGGCGAGTGGTGCCCCTGCCATCACGGAACCCGTGGATGGGTTCAGCTGAGGACGTTGACGCCGACTATTTCAACACTAATGTTAACTCGCGAGTTCTAAGACAGCGGTCCACGAGGTATCATCCCCAGAGTAATGATAGCATGATTAAACCATTTGTCCCTCAAGACGATTCTCTTGCCATAATATGGAGACTCCCATCTACAGAGGAACATTTTGCTAACCATATTGACTTGGCCACTCACATACCGTCCCAGATATCATCATCATATCATAGAAAGTCAACACGTATGATGCTTCCAGGTACTATATGTATGTCACATCCTCTCTAATATTTCCCTTGCAGTGCTGCAACTACGGCGTCTCCAAACTCTTGAGTGCTTGAATTTCCACCAAGGTCAGGAGTGCGAAGTCCCTTATCCAAAACGGCACGCACGGCATCCTCAATTTGGCGCGCTTCGTTCTCCATATTGAAAGAGTACCGGAACATCAGGCTCACACAGAGGATCATCGCAGTTGGGTTCGCGATGTTCTTACCGGCTATTCTTCAAGATGTCAGCAATGGTATATTCGTGCCATCTAGAAAAACATACGTCGGAGCAGAGCCATGCGTTGGTTCATATAGACCGCGAACCTTTTCCTGCCTGCCAGGATGAGGAAGACCATCCAAGCTGGCACTAGGCAGGACACCTAATGTTCCAATCAGTGACCCCGCCTGGTCTGATATCATGTCTCCGAAGGTATTGTCTGCCAGAATCACACCGTTGAGGACTCGTGGATCGGTTGCCATGATCAATGATGCTGAATCTGCGAGCTGGTGGACCAATTTGACTTGTGGATACTCTACTGAAATTGTGTTCTCGACAACGCGACGCCACAGACGCGACGAGGCCAGTACATTGGCTTTGTCAAGAGAAATCACAGGCCACGGCGGGTCATGCCGCAGGGCAAGCTCTGCAGCGAGACGAGCAATGCGTTGAATTTCGGTGGTGGAATAACCCCACTCATCCATTGCTGCACTCGTGTTAGAGCATCATGCTAGCCACCTTTCCTGGCGTACACGGTAGAATGGAATTTACCATAATTCTCTTCCTCAACCTTTTTGCCAAAATAGGCCCCTCCACAATTCTCCCGCACCACTACAAAATCGACCCCCTCGATCACCTCCTGCCTGAAAGGTGAAAAGTCCCTCGCAATTTCCCGACTCGGCACATCCACTGAACACGGTCTCAAATTTGCGTATATGTCCATGGCTTTGCGAACCTGTAACAGACCCCCCTCTGGCCCGTCGAGTTCGCGCCTGATATGATCCCACTTGGGACCCCCGACTGCTGCGAAGAGTACGGCGTCTGCAGCGACCGCAGCGTCTTTGACGGGTTGCGTGACGGATTGACCATGGGTATCGATAGAGATCCCGCCAATGAGTTCTTCTTGCAGGTGGAACTGCATGGAGGAACTGTTAAAGGTTCGCAGGACCTTTATGGCTTCGGCCATGACCTCCGGGCCGATGCCGTCGCCGGGAAGGACAAGGACGTTATAGGCTCTTGTACCAGACATCGTCTTTGTAGCCTGTAGATGTGACTCAGCAGTTAATAATGTGGGTGTGAATATCATGGAATTGTGTAAAGCATCCCTCTCGTGGGAACGGATGTGCTATATCCGCTCCGCGGTCGGAGATCAGGCCGAAAGTGCGGGGAAGGAACCCACCGGCGTTCTCCCGACAATGACTATACCGTGTCATTTGACGGACATGGACTTGTTGTCATACACCTGTCGATACAATTTATCCGACGTAATAAGTAGTCCATTCATTACCGGGCGAAACGAAACACTCAACCATTCTATCACCTACTAAGGGTAGAACCTTGGCAGCCATCCACGAACTGGGTATTGTTGACCATGAATCTGAGATATCGGAGGCAGCCCAAGTGTTGAACAGGGGAATTATTAATTGGTCTATTTCGGGGCGGAGTCAAAACAAGGGCGATTCACTGATTTATAGAAACAATATAGTTGATGCAGAGGTGTGAAATTCCATCTACTAGTCAAAATTGAAAGCCGGTCAACCGGATAAGCAATCATCTACACCCAGAGACCATAAAAACAATCATGTATATATATCTATAAATGTAAGCCATAGAGACTATTAGTTACTATAGTGCCTCTTGAAGATTTTCCTATGAAAGATATATTGAATTCTCATAACTACTTTAATCAGTTAAGGTTGATCAGCCTTTACTGATAATATAGGTTTTAAGATGTGAAAAATAGTAAAGATAATCGAAGTATACAAATGCTAATCAGCATTTTTCTACATGCTTCCACCAGTAATTGTACAGGCCATATAGTGTTCGGTCAACGGAATTTCTGCGCTTTGAACACGTTCAGCTTCAAGGTACCCGAGGGGAGGCTAATGCAAAATCAACACACGGGATAGGAAAGCGGGGCACGGAAGCCTCGACGCGAAGGCCCGTCCGCCACTAGATAGAGCTAGGGACCAAACCAGCCTTGTTCTTTCCCACCCAAGACAAACCAAGAGTCTGGTGAAAATAGGCCCGTCCCGCATGAGATGTATTTTTTCCGTTGCCACACTCTGCTAGTAAGCTTTTTCTAGAGTCTTAGACTCACAACGGTGCTGCTGTAAGAGATCTGGGTGAGATGTGTACTATGTACTATCCACGAAAGACTATGGCCGACCCTCAATTCAGCGGCGGGAATTCGCCTTTCGGCCCATTATGGCACTAATGCAGGTAAGCTGCGCCATCATTTCGGGCTGTGAATTAAATTAGGGGGCTGTAATACTATGTTGTCCTGTGTCACCACCTTTGCCCCTTTGCGGTGCGGCACAAGGCTGAGCAAAGCAACAGATAATTTGAACAACCGCTGGCCTGCCTCCGGTCGCAGGACAGCAGATGGAGCTTCGCAATATAGCAGCTTTACAATGATGATTAAAAGCATCTGCGTGCTCATCTGCCTGCAAATTCTATGCATCGTGCGCGCATCTAACGGAGAATACGCCCCATTGCAAGCTTACAATAATGCTGACAAAGACACCACCATCGCCATCAGACGGGCTCTACACGAGGCTAGAGGGAAGACATACTCGATGAATCAGACTGCTTTAACAAAAAGTTGGGAAAACGCTACTATATTCTCGATTGAAGCAAGGTATGTCAAAGAACCACCAATTGCTCAATAATGTCAAAGTACACATACTGATTCTGATGCTCCAATTCTAGCACTGAGAGTTCTGCTGGATCAAAGAACGGGACAGTCGGTCTGGAATCAGGGCTGTCAATCGTCTGCAAAGTCTGTTATATTAATGGGACTGTCGGCGGCTACTTGACCGTCGGGGATGGGTTCAATGTTACCACGGCCGTGGATAGCGTTGGGGACGAGATTGCGAATGTCACAGATTCTGCACTTTCTCGGCTTGAAAATTATGCGCGTGAAGCCGCCAGCGATATTCTCAAAGATGTCTCTCAATTCCAACTGAGCGATATTCCCGCCTGGCCGACATTGGATCTTGATTTCGACCTGGATGATGCAAGCGGATTTTCTGGGGTACATGCACAGGTTGACTTTGATGGTTTGGAACTATATCTGGAGCTAGATCTTCAGCTGTCGGCCGGGGCTACTTACACGTTAAACCTGTTCACCTCGGAGACTCCAGCAGGAATCTCAATATCCAGTCTCGAGGCCGGTGCCATATTCAAGGTTTCGCTTGTTCTCATTGCCCAAGCGGAAATCGATATTAGCAGTGGAATCCACATTAAGCTAGATGACGGATTAACGCTGGCTTTGGAACTGTTCAACAACAATGTATCGAGCATTACAGTGTGAGTCCTTCTTTATCATAAGCTGAGGGCCCAGGCGAAGTCCCGTTTTTTTTTTTTTTTTTTTTTTTATTCTTTTTTTTTTTTTTTTTTTTTTAATCTCGGTGACCAGCACTAATCAAAGTGTCATAGACCCGGTGGCCGGATGGAATTTCTTCCAGTAACCGTTGAAGGCCATGGAACCCTTCGGGCCCTCCTACAAGTCCAAACCAGTATCGGATTTCAACTAGCAACCCCAGACTCGGTCTCCGTCTTCGAGTACCTGAGCTTTAGTGCAGGGATAGGCGGCGAAGTGTCTGCGTCTGTGGCTGACTTCCTCCTGCAGATCGATTCGTCTACAAGCGATGATGGTCACTGCGACTTTGAAGCTGTTGCAGAGTACACCCTCGCTGTGGGTGCTGCTGCGGGGGCAACCGTTGCTGTTGACACATACCAATGGGGGCCCACGCCCAACACCACCGTCCCAGTGTTCTACACAACCCTGGATAGTATCTGCGCGGGTTCTAAGACATCTCCGTCTACTATAACCCCATCTGCCACCCTTGAACAGCGGAACGACCTCGTTAGCACTACAGTGTCTACCTCGACGACGTATACGCTCGTTGACTGTGCATCACAAGGACTAATCAACTGCCCTATCTATCTCCAGCGGACGACATCAGTGAAGAGCACCATGACAACAGTTCTCACAATCAAATCCGGCATAGATGCCACATATCCCGCGAGCACCTTCTCGTCCTTGACCAGTGTCATCCCCTTTGGCAGTGATGCTCGCAGACTCGTATCCACATCCGGAACCCCGGTATCCTACATTCCCCCGACTGCGACCGCAACAAGTAGTTCCAATCCCGCTACTGACAATGACCACCGCCACCACAACCACCATTCGAATAACAACAAGCTGATTATCGGCTTAAGTGTGGGGCTTGGTGTCCCGGCCGTCATAGCAATAGCATCTGCCCTATGGTTGGTTTACCGCTTCCTAACCTTTCGCTTGACTCGGAGTTGAGGTAACTAACTAATGTAGGTGGTTTGTATATCGACGTAAACAATACTCAGCAGTATCGCAATCCGATATGACAGCTCGTCCGTCCGAACTGGATAGAGGTGCAAAAGAACCACAGGCAATAGTGGCTGCTGCTGCTGGTTGACGGCAAAGATTGAAAAGACGTCGTACCTTTACTTTGTGAATGACTATCACTTCTACATTTCATGATCTTGGAATCAAAGGGTGCTTCTTACCCTAAGCATGGGACTTTTGTTCAATCTACCCAGTATGCAGTGCTATATATATCTGTGACATCTAATATTCTGACAATCGTAAGAATTTGTCGTCTAGTAGAAGGGGATATGGACAATACTAAGCAAAATCATGCACAAGGAGCAGCTAATGGATCTGCATCCAACCGCTTTTCAAAGCAACAAATACTTACCGCAGCTCGTTCCTGAGCCTTTAGATTCCGATGTAACTTCCCTATGAATCACGAATATAAGATGTATTCTAGTAAATCCGCCCACAAGTACTATCGTTGCGAATGAGACTATTTCTAAATATTGCAGATATCATAGATGGCATGTACAAGATTGCCTATTTCCTGTTAGGTAACATCAATGCCCAGTAGTAATTCACAGAGTACCGGCCACCTGACCTATAATGCCAAGGAATCAACCGGATTATGTGGTGCAAAACCCCGCGGTGAATCTGATGATACATTGGCTGACTGTATACGGTTTTGCTGACCCACGGATGAAAGGTTCACCCGACCCAGAAAAGGAAGAGAGATGCGGAGGTAATTTCCCCGCTACAGACCACTCAGCCGAGAGCTACATTTTGGAGCAATGAGTCCTAATTCGAACACCAATTATCTTGAAGAATTGAAAGTCGAAAGCAGAATCCATGATAAATACGAGATATTGCTCAGAAAAGCAGGGAAATTGAACGTAAGTATGATCTCAATGTAATTGTGAACACGAGAAGATCTCAAAACATAAAAACGCCACAAATGCTAATACAATTGTATGTCACCGATGACCGGGTACAAAAGGGGGCTCTCCCTGCAGTATACTCCTGTCTCGTTGCAGAGAAGTTATTTGAGAATCTACCATACTCAATTCATAAGTGGCCGAATAGCTGTATCTACTTCAATCCCGAACCTTATATCACCAACCCGATCAGCAAAATGTACATTCTCCCCACCCTCATCACGGTCCTAACTCTCCACACCTCCACCTCCACCTCCATCAGCACTCCCCTCATTAGCCCAACCTGCGATAAGCTTACCTCTATCGCTGGCCCCAAACTCGACAAAGCATATGACGCCTACTACAAAGTCATCTGCAGCCATGGTTGCAAACCGATCGTCTCCGGGCAGTACACCACCCTTGTCAGCGAAGCTATCCTCAAACCCTCTGTCCAAACAATCGCGACAAACCTCGGAATAGACAGATCACGCATTGAAACCTTCCTTAGCATAACAGATGAATCAATGAAGGCCGTGGAACAACACTGTAGTGACTTAGCTACAGCGAAAGATTATTGTCAAGACACTGGCGCATTCCCTGCATATGCTGCTTGCGCAAAGGAGCAAATAACTACCGTGATTACAAATCATGTATTCGATGTCGAAGTGTTGGTTAGTGAGGATATGTGTGAGAAAGAGCTGGAGTATTTCGAAAAGAATGAGTTTTGGGATAAGGTTTTGCCAGGTTATGTGGACAATTTTTGGAGGGTTTGTGAGACGTGGTAATAACTCTTGTAAGTATGCAAGCACAACAAAGCTGAATTTAAAAAAAAAAAAAAAAAAAAAAAAAAAAAAAAAAAAAAAAAAAAAAAAAAAAAGAACAAAAAAAGAGAAGAAAAGAAAATGAAAGGGATGAAACAGAAGAACGAACTGAAACAGAAAGCAAGAGAAAAAGGAACCGAGTAATAAGAAAGAAGGGTGGGGCCAAGTACAGCAGAGCTTTACTTCATTAATATCATTTGATTCATTGGGGGATTATACTAAATGCGCTTATATGATATCGAGTGCCAGTGAAAGTCAACTGGTATCCTTTTTCGTTATTATGGCCGCAAATGCGTGATAAAATAGTTTCCTGAGGAATAACTGAAAAAGTATACAATCTGACTACTTAACTTGCAGACCTTCTGATAATAAAATAATATCAAGGAACAGAATGAGCCATAGCAAGGTCATAATGCTTCCCTGCTGAATAGGGAATTCCTCTTCTTGAGTGAACAGAGAAGGGAGCGGATACACACCATAAAATGAACGGGGAAGCCCGTGTCGAACAGCGTCGGGCCAACTAAGAAATTCGTGCTTCTGGTACAGCGCAGGCGTAGAAGAGCAATTCGACCAGTGTAGCGCATGGAGATAATCTTGGAAGTCTGCTGATTACACGGGCTACTGTCAAGATACAGAGTCTCTAGCCGCTGCAGATCCAGATGAAGATAGTCAGCCACCGAGAGATGGTCGTGCATTGTACCCCAAGAGCATCACCAAACCCCCGGCCAGGCGGGAGGAGAGGGACCCGGTGCCCTGCTGCCACGAAAGAACGCTTTTAGCACACCGAGCTGGCCCCATGATCAACACCGGGCATGAAAGTACAGGGCCCGCATGCGCTTTTTCGTTCATCCACAGGTGTTTATCCCCCGCACATCTACTACGGTACCAAGCTTCAGTCTGAGTGCGCTCCTCGATGCATATATTCTGAGTCTCATTCTTCTTAAACGCCATCTGCACGGACAGCCGATGGACCTCAGCCTGCTTATCAATCGCTTTGAGCCCCCAACCCCGAATGTTGGCTTGTAGGCGACTCTTTGCAGCTGGCACTGCGGAGAACCACCGGGGAGGCATCTTCCCTGGTCGGTTGCCCCAGTTATTATACTAGTAAAGAGTTGAATTTATGTATATGACGAGTAACCAGACAATCATACAACTATTCACAACAATGGGGAACCGATGTTGCATGCCGCATGTGTGATGGGGTTTTTTCCAAATTAAGACGAAAGACTGAGTTCCTACATTTGAACAAGGACAGTCGCATAGTATGTTTCAGGTTAGTAACCATAGGTTTGTTTTCCATGCAAGAGTTACGATATTTATACCACCCAAGCTATATTAGATAAAAGTGGGTGTAAATTCAGCTCAAAATAACACTGAACTGATATTCTAGGTCTAGACAAGACTAGCCGGAGCATCGAAACATACTCTCCGCTGTTTGTAGATATCTCCTCTAGTTCACTCCCCGTGAAACCCACCTCTTCGGCTATTTCTGCGGCGCCCTTTTCTTCACTAATATGGATGAGAGTATTGTTGATTGATACAACCGTTACTGCACTATTAAAGAATAAGACACTTCATAAAGAAGGCTGCTTCGATAGAGATCCCCTTCAATATCAAATACAGCAGTGTTTGAGCGTTTGCGCGTCCTCAAAAAAGGCATAAGTTAATGAATACTCTAAGTCGTAATAGCTGCCCTGCCAAAACAACTGAGCAGCTTAATCAAGCTACTCGAAGAAGGAACATGCCTAAAATATCCGAAAATATATTGTATCATTAAAGTTCCGTCTGGAAACACTTCATTCTGGTCTCTTTCAGCTCATTACCCTCGATATCCGTAAACAATGATTATCTAAATACTAATGTAAGCACGTTATCACCATAACATAATCTATTGTCTAGCTTGTCAATCTCCCCTTATATATAGCACTACCTTTCCCATCCAGTAAAGATAGCTTCCTGCCTCGCCTTTACAACTGCATTCATCATATTAGGCCAGTCTGCTAATGGAAGATGAATATACATCCATTCAGAAGATCTGTTCGAACGCTCTACAAGCAGCGAAGCAAGAAGTAAATAATACAGTAGGAAGCGAATTGCTGGGATGACGCCCTTTTTGGCCGCCCCACAGTTGGGTTTGGCGCCTGTGTTGTGCTCATGCTAAATCTGGCATCGCACTATCTTTTGCAGTTGGGCCTGTCGGTAATAGGCTTCGTGCGTTAGGCTAGTCTAAACTGGGATCTGCCAGTTTCTACCGCCCGCCTGGCAACGTTCGCCAAGTAATTCTGCTCTCTCATTTCACCGACTTTCTTCCGAATACAGCCATTTTTGGGTGGAGTAGTAGTTTAACTTTGTTTTTAATAAGGTGGAGGGAACGCGAAGTGTTGGCCAGCCCTCTTGTGGATTACTTACATTACTCCTTCCCCCCTTGCCATTTTGTAAGCAATGAGGTCATGTCATGTGATCTCCATGTGTAGGACAGGGAAACTGCCCTTGCTCCTTCACCCGGGTTTGTCATCCTTCACCCAACAGCCTCCGTCTCTCGCCCGCAATTAACAAATGAGATCCACACTTGCCTGTCAATGGTGTCGGTGAGCCTCTGCCATCTCCATTCGTTCTCTGCCCAGCTGCTGAAGAGGCATCTAACTAGGAGTGCCAAAGTCAAATGCCATCACAACGGCTCGCCACCTTGTCAATCCTGCACGGTACATGCCGGCCGGGAATGTGTTTTGAGCATGCCAGGGCATCGATCGAGACGGAGTCATCCTTCCGTCCAGGCTAGGAAACGCACTGGGAAAGTCTCCTCCAGCCACCGGCCCGCGCCTCTACAAGATCAGGGACCTCAAAGAGGCCTTCTTGGCACCCCCCCAGTGGTTTTAGACCGTCCAGCAGCAGGAAACCTGGGCAAGCCTGGCCCTCTCTTTGAAGGAGAGCCTAGCGATCAGCATTCCTTGGCAGGCCTGGACAAAAAACTTTTAGAACATGCCTTTTATACTTTTATGCGACAGTTTCCCGAATTCTCTATCTTCCACCAGCCTAGCTTCCTTACCAGCCTTGACCAACAGCGTGTACCTGCTTTACTACTTTGCGCTATTCTCGCCCTAACCGCTCGGTTCATCCCCAAGTTAGCCACCCAGCATGGTAGTCCCGCGAAGGCCTCTGAGTACTTCGCAAACCATGTGCGCCAAGATGTCATGAGCCATGCTGTGGAAGCCAGGGACATCTCTTCTTGTCAGGCACTGGTAATGCTGTGCTTGTATGACTGGGGCGAGGGCTATGGCTCGCGTGCGTGGGTATACAATGGAATGGCTTCTCGCATTGCACATGGAATCCACGCAAGAGCTCAACGTCTTGCTGAGCAGAGTAGTTCAACTGCCCTGAAATCACAGCTGGAGGAAGCGCGCCGAACCGTTTGGGCTTGCTTCCTCGTCGACGCGATGATCGGATGTGGGAAGTGCCAGGCCTCCAATCACGCAATGAGCGTCCGTGGTATTCCTTTACCGTCGGGTGAAGACGACTTCACGTTCGAGAACCATCCGACGTCCAATGAAATATTCTTGGACTTGTGGGACCCCGAGATGGAAGAGTATCATCCGCTCCCACCAGCCCATCGACAAGAGAAGATGGGGTGTGACCGCTCACTGGCGTTGATACTCCGGGGCTTTTACATATGGCATACAATCTCCGCCTGGGCGTCTTCGGGGGGCAGCAGGCGCGAGGCGGCCGCATCCCGCGAGCCACCCTGGCGAGAATGCTCCTTCTGGGCGCGCAGCCTGGCAGCCCTGGAAGACTGGCGGGGCTCGCAGCGTCTGCAGTTACACTATTCCGCGTCGAGCATGAACCTGCGTGTCTACATCTCCCGCGGTGAGGGCGAGCGCTACGCCGTGATCAACCTCATCTACTATCTCAGTATCATCTTTCTCCATCGTGAATACCTTCAGTATGCGCCGCCGTATATCCTCAGTCGCTCTAGCCATACCGATATCATCGACTCCACTCCACTTCCACTCGGGGGCGCACCAAACGGGTGGTGGGAACAGAGCCGCCAGGCCCTGCTTGACTCCTCTTCCAACATCATCCAGATCATGCAAGAGCTCGATGAGCGAGGCGTGGTGTTGCAAACCCCATTCTCCTGCTTCTGCGTCTTCAGCGCTGCCACCTGTCTTCTCCAGGCCTCCCACGACGCAGCCCGCAAGCCAATCACAGCGGAGAGGTCGTCATCGCCGACGTCGCCCGTTCCATTGCCTTCATCCCCAATCACCTGGGCTTCTGCATGGCTCGCCCGTGCCTGCAAAGTCTGGAAACTCGCCTGCGGCTGGTACAGAACCCTACAGACCCTAATTAACCTCTATACCACCCAGGTTCGCATCGACTCGACGGATGCCATCTCCGCACAGGATGACCTCACTCCAACCTTGGAAGAGAACATAAAACGTCTCGGCGGCTTGGAGAACGTGACGGAATCGGGCGATGCCCCGATCGCAAACATCCTTCTCCTGCTGCAGCGGCAGCAGAAGCTGAAGCAGTCTCACGGGGCGCTGGCAAGCAGACAGCACGAGGCGGAGACGATGCATCCCCCAAGTGCGATCACGCCGCCAGCGACCGCGCAGCATTGGACCGGATCACACCCGCCCATCCTATCAGATGATCTGCGGTTGGATGTCGGCGTGGAACCTCCGCTGCCCTTTCCCGCTTTTTCTTTGGATCCGGACTTATTTAATAGCATCCTGACAGACTCAACGGGGGACTCGCTGCGCTTTTTCCCTGATCTTGGGTCATCGTTGGGATGAATGACGCTCAGGCATATACCAGAAATGATGGATTGCAATTGCCGGGGTGGGAACTCCTTGTTCGCTTGCTTTGCAGCGAAAAGACGTCGTAGGTTCGTTCCTTCCGAGCAAAATCTTTTATCATGTTATTATCTTTATCTGCTTTTTCTTTCTCTCCAGTAGAGTCATTGCAGCTTTATGTGATATAGCACAGTATTCGCATTACGTCCCAGTGCCTAATGCCACGTTGCAATCTGAGTTGAGGCCGTGGGAAGAATGGAAGGAAACAGGAGATTTTGTGTGCAGACTGCTGGGGTTTGTCGAATCTACATGAAAAGGATCCAGAGTTGAAGTATGAGCAATGCCGCACCTCGCGCATGTGACACCTAACGTTCATCCCGTTTTGTATCGGGACCCCGCTAAGAGCAACAGATCGGTGCTTTTCCGTTACGCTCTGCCTTGTTGAGCCCAGGCCTCCCGCGTAGCAAATGCCATGTTGTTTGATCGGGACTGGAAGGGCGGGGGCGGTTAACTTGCTAAACGTTTGCCTCCGTCTCATTTCTGCTCCTCTCCCCCCGAAGCCAGGGTCCATATCGGACGAAAGCAAGAGGCATTAGTACCATGAGCAATGCGATGCACCCAATGATGGTCCCCGCCCATTGTACCCCGAGATTCTCGAACATCTGGCGCGAGAACAATGGGAAACAGGCTGCCACGGCGGAGCGAAGAATGGTGTTGGCGGCGAGAACGGAGGCAGCCCTAATAGCGCGCCCCCCGGGAGAGGGGAGGCGCAAATAATGGGTCAACGTACTTCGAGCCTAATGCATGCAAAGAAAAAAGACAAAAAAGAGAAAGGACAAAAAGAGAGAAAAGAAAAGAAGGGGAACATTAAACGCACATATAGAGATAGGAGTCCACTAGGTAGTTAATGAACTGGAGAAAAATCGAGATGATCCCGAATCCAACCAAAACCCCGGCTGCGGTGGCGCTATCCAATTAACTTAAGGAGTATAGCCCGTCTATCCAAACCCAGTCATCCTCAGTCTGTGCCTTTTGATTTGGCTTTTATAAAAGAAAGGACAGGCTCGTACGTACCAGAAAAGGCCCGCGGTAAAAACGGCCCCTCCAACTGCCGCCGGGGCAATCTCCATTCCAGAATGAGGACATCATGGTTCGCGATCAACCGCGCCTTAAACCTGCGTTGCGAGAACAGCACCTATACGCCGCCGAGGAGTTCCCTGATCATTAGGGCAATAGAAGGCAACCCCCCCGTTTTGCATGTTCATACCATGGATCGTTTGGAAGATAACAGGGAAGTCCCCCAGCAACGCATACATCAAGCCGTAGACGAAAGACATGTAGAGTGTGAAGAGGAGGACGATGGGTTGGGTGAAGAGCAGGCGGATCGGCCGGGCGAGGTTCCGGGCGACCAGCTCCTGGAGGCTTGGCTCCTGTTCTTCGTGGCACGCATGGAGTTCCCAGATACCTGTCTGCTTGCGCAATCGTCGCGCCTGGTGCACCAGAATCACGAGAGGGAAGTTTTTGCGGTGGAATATGACCAGGAGAATCGTCCCAAACAATCCCATGATCGCGACGATGTACATGGTCCATCGCCATCCGAGGTCTGGGTTGAGGATGATATATCCACCCACAAGGGGCGACGTGAACGGGCCTGCAAAGACCGCCATGGAGAACATTGTCAAGGCCATACCACAGTGATAGGTGTCGTAAAGGTCTGCGAAACACGCCGGGACGGTCGCGACGGGACTGGCAGAAAATAGACCAGCAAAGAAGTGGGTAATCAGCACGCTCTGGGCGTCTTTGGTGGTCGTCGTCGCGGTTGTGAACACGCTGTACCCAAACAGGGCCCGTGAGAATGGGGTGTCGACGCCCGTAAACTTCCGGAGCAGGCGACCAGAGCACTGGGCCGGACGCGAATCCCAGCACATACAGTGTCGCCCCCAGCGTGCCCGTCTCGGCATCGATGTGGAACTCGTGCTCCAGGGATTGGATCGTTGTGGAGAAGGCTGCGCTAGCGAACGCGGCCACAAATGTGACATAGCAGAGGATCAGCACGATGAGTAGTCTAGTTATCAGTTCCTACCGGCTTGCATTGATGATCGGTCCAGCCTTTGTTGTCAGCATTGAGAGACGCACACCTACTTTCTTCCGGTTGACCAGTTCTGTGGCTGAGTTCGATCCTTGTCCTGAGCCAAGTCTACCAGCAAAGGTCCAGGCCTCGTAGAAGGTGCGCGTGGATTTGGAACTGGTTTAAGTAGAATTACCGGTTTGCTCCAGAAGACCTTGCGGTGGCTTCTGCACTCGGATATGCGTGCGACTGAGGTTGGCACCTCAACCGTATCCATTTTGGGGGCAGGGAAGTTGAATTAGCGATTTGAAATGAACCGTGATTACCATCATTAGGGTATCAAAAAAAAATAGTATGAATAAAATCCATAGCCTCTAATGTTGCGAGCCACTCAATGATGGTCGAGACAAGTGTTGTTTGATAATGCCCAATGGTGGCAAGCGAGGCTCCCTATCCTTAGCTCCGTGTCATAAAGGTTTATGTCCGAGGACCGGATCACGCTGGTGTCAGGAAAGGTTAAAAAAAGGCCCATTTCGCCCGGCTGGAGGGAGTGGGGGCAAGGGTGGTCGAATGCGAAATGCGAAATGCGAAATGCGAAATCCGGGATTTGCTAAGCCGACCGGCCAATGGCCGCCACAGGTCCAGACCCGACCTGCAACGTTGGTACCATACTTCACCTGGCTACGATGAACTATCGAACCACTTATGTCGTCATTTGAACCACTGTTACTTACGGTGAGCTCAGGTTTATAAGGCTCCCTACAACTACCCAAAATTTGGAAGTCCTGCTTTTAAATTGTATACTATCTATCTATCTATCAGCACCAAGCAATGGCCACTGCTACCAAGATCTGTTTAACCCCCGCCCACGGGGGTGTCTATAGTGTTCCGGGTCTCAGCTGGGCCTCAGCACGCAAAGTGAGTGAAGTCCTTCAGCACGACATGGAGAATCATCACGTTTATCTCAACAATATTGGATTTCACGGTAAACTGCTACCAGTACCTTTCCCCCTCAGCCATCAGGACAGAAAGACTAAACACATCAACCCAGATCATATCGTGCATTTCATGCTCACAATCTGGGCCCTTGGAGCCTCTCCGGAAACCATTCAACTCCAGTATGAGCGAGAAGCTAAACGCCAGCGGCCCGCCTTTCCCCGAGACGAAGCCCTTGTTTCATCCTTCCACGACAAGAAGAAGTTCATGAAATTCATGTATCAGGAAGAGCAATACTCCAACTACCTCGCCTTCTTCCAGGGCGAGATCACACGCAAGGGCGTCCCGGCGGTAATCAATGAGTATTTATTCGGGGGCGACGAGCTCGCCGAATCGCTCCTCTCCCGCATGTTCGCAGGGCTGGTCCACCCCATCATCCATCTCGGGTTTGGGATTGAATTCCAGCAGCCCGCCATCGTCGCCCAGGCTCTGGCGCAGGCATCAGTGCACCAGGATTATCTTGCCGACCGCTTCTACAGGCCCACGGAAGCTCTCTCAGCTAGTACTCCGAAGACGAGCAAAGCGCTGGTGGAGATTATCACGGAGATGCGTCGCGATCAACATCTTCGCGACGCCGCCCTCCATGGCGACACTGAGATCTTCGAGGATGGGATCCTGAAGCGCGCGGATGCAGCCATCTTAAAATACTGTAGCCAATGGAAGGTTCCTGAAGACCAGATCGACGAGAAGCTAGTTGAAATGATCAACACTGCCAGTGAGCCTATCACTTTTCACCTCCCCTAATCCTTGGAGAAGAGGTAGACGTACTTATACAAGAGAAACAGTTGACTGGACCGCCACCGCCCAGAACCCTAAGAAGGAGTTGAAGCTCGACTTTTTCTACATCCACGCCGTCAACCTCTCCATTTTCTTCAAAGCGTTTATGGACCTGCCCTATCTGAAGGCCTCAGATAAAGCCCGCCTGCTGGAAATGAAGGGCCGCATGGATCTCCTGATTTGGGCGTCACGGAAGATGCCGGAACCCCAGCCGGACGACATCATGAATTACCCAATCCACCTGGGTTGGCCCGAGGTCTTCGCTCAGAGCTATCTCCACCCTTCCGATGACGGCCACCTGTCCAAGTTCGTGCGCACCGTGGCCTTCGCGGAGCAGCTCTGCCGCCCTTACGAGGACTCCAAGACCCTGCCCGTGCGGGGGGACATGTGGCTCAAAATTGGCAATATCGGTGAGAGGCCCCGAAAAGCCTATGGATATAGCGTTCATTTAAGGCAACCTGGCTGACCCGCAAATGTTCTGCGCTCCAGCGGTCGACTCTGTGGGTGTGATATTCCAAGACCTTTGGGTGCGAGGATCTGGATTTTCTGAGTCATGGGAGAAGTTTGGACCTCGAACATAGTCAACTCTACCTTTCCCCGTTCCCTTGTCAGAATCTCGGTTAGGTGCCAGGTCTGAGGCTATCGATAATGAAGGGTATACTCTCTCCTCTGCCTTCAATAACCAAATATACGCATCGTACAATATGCCGCTGTTGTTTATTCTTCTGGACATAAAGACATCAAGTCCCATTCGCTTCATCCCCACAAGATTGACATACTCTACATGGCCTTATCTATCGGGATGGAATGAGCGATGTTATTAACACCACCTGCTTGCAAATTCGCCGCGTTACCGTGGAAACTGTAAGAAAGCAAAAGCTCGCGCCTAATGTATTCTTCCTCATATGATTATATATGACATCACAACATTGAAGAGAGCAGGTGCTTAAAGAGATTCCAAGTGATTGTCGACAGAACGTTGTACTGGTGGTAAACGTGTAGGGAGAAACGGGGGAAATGGGATATTTCAGAATTTGGCACGAGTGGCTGGCTCACTATACGAGAGCCGCCCAATGAAGCAGAAATGCGCAAGAGAAAGTCCTCAATCACATCCAAGACCCCGAGCTGACCAAATTCTAGAGGAGCACATTAAAGATGAGCAGTTCCATGGTTCCGGCTTTTTCTATATAACGCTCGTAAATGGCGAGCATGCGCCGCGATAGACCTAAGAGATCGATTGGTGGTGGGTGGGACTTGCGCTCGGATACCAGCGGCTTTCCGCATTTCGCATTTCGCATTTGGACTTCGCAATCCGGCCACTGGATGTTTGTTCCGATGGGCTGGTGGCGGACTTCGACTATAAGCTGCTAGAAGATGTTAAGGACAAATGGATGGATAGGTGTGGTGACTATCGCGTCCAGGCTGTGGTCGGTTTACCAATACACGCCGCGGTACAGCGATTCCGTCCGGCCTCATTACCAACAAGAAGCGATGTAACGATAAGGTCGGAAGACCCGCTAATGTGTCGATCAAAAATGGTTCCTAGTTAGAAGGTTCAGCCAGGGCTCCCCTGTTACAAGGTAGTGCATGGGAAAATGAACTAAAACACAACGGTCATAGTCAAATCAGATCCAAATCGTTCATGCCGCTACTGCCGTCAAAATTTCCCAGTTAGTCCGTCGAATAGCGCTTGACTCAACCGAGCTTTACTGGACTACGTAATAAACCTCCAGGCAGCACCAAAAAGCAGGAGAACTTCCTGTGATTTCTGGTAACGGGGTAGCATCCCACCTGCGAAGATGCCTTTGCTCTGCCGAAATGCGACCAGGCCCTAGCTCTGCCGCATATCTCTGCCGCCCACAGAATCGCTTTGTTGGCGACGATGGTGTTGGTGGTAGCGAGTGAGTAGCATTGTCACTTTGAATGTGATAAGCCGGGCATATCGAACTTCTCAGCAGCCTAATTCTGAGCCTTCCAAAAATACGCATCCGCGCAGGGCTACATCACCCCTAAGGTGTATCAAGGCTCCTACAACAACCTGGATCGTGACGCCGAAGCCGAACTGTTCCCGCTCCCTCGCAAGCTTGGCATGTGCTTTAGCGTGTACTCGCCCCTGGCCGAGGGCATGTTAACCCGCACCTACGCCCAATACGCATCCATTCCAGCCGGCGACGGGGGCCGGTTCGACCCCTCGACGCCGGAGGGCGCGGTGTATCGCGAGCATTACAGCACGGCAACTCTAGAGTCATTTTTACGAGGGTAGCAAGCAATCGCGGTGGAGGCGGCAATGGCTAAACTTGATCCGGTAATCCGCTGGCTGTATTTCCACCCCGCGCTCAGTCCCAGTGGGCATGGCAACTCAGTCATTCTTGCGGCCAGCGAGCTCCACCATCTGCAGGTGACGCTGCGGACACTGGCTGCAGGACTGTTGCCGGCGGACATTATGCAGAAGATTGGGAGGCTTAGCTTGTAACACGTGACGCGCGACGTGCTGGAGGTGAAGTGTGATCAAAAGCTCCCGCTTATAGATTGCATAGATTGTGAATAGTGTGTCAGATGTGGTGAGAGAAGTTGACAATTCTAATCAAAGAGTGTTTCGTGCTCTAGTGCTAGGGTCACTCAGGATGGAATTATACGCATACTCTTGTTGCATCTTATCATATTGCCCAATAATATCTACAAGTTGGAGGTTAACAACTTACAATACTTGTTATCAGCCTGACGTGTATATCGAATCGCATGAGCTTGGTTACTAGATTACACGCTTTTCACTCAAGCAGACACCGAAATGCGCTATAAGCAAGCCCGGGAAGAAACCATACTCAGGTCTGATTGTGCCAAAGCACTTGCAAATCATGTTTCAGTATTGGGTTGAAGTGTCGAGAATAATACATACTATGCATTAAACCTGCTTTCGTTCGATATCTTTATTCAAGCGACTGTTACATTATCCCTGGGACTTTTGCAAGGGAAAAGGTCAGCTAGGTACAGAATAAAGGTAATAAACTGTTTCAATTAAAGTTAATCCTTGCTATCTCAGGTATAGCAAGAGCCAAACTATCAAAGATGCTAGGCAAATCATAAGTTATTGACGTCACGACCGCAGCGTGATGAATATATAGCCGTACCGACAGAATATTGGTAAGGAAACCTAGATTACCCTGATAGTATGATATGATTTTAGCCTTTCCCGTTATTGCTTGTTCAAAGACATATTCAATTAGAACAATGCATCCGTCCGTAACAACGCAGGAGCTGGTTAGTAATTACGAATTGAGCGAGCCAGAGCAGTCCGGGAGGCGACTGGAGTTCTATATACATGCTCTGTAAGTTAGTAATCTGTAAATATTCTCACAGAAGCAGCAGTATCTTGATCGAGTAACCGAAATGGAGTTGCAGCAAAACAATTTACTTATACACTATTACATCTAACTAGTGTATTAAACTGCTACTGTCCGTTATCCACACAAGAAGCTGAAGCTCAACTTGTTCCTTATTTATGCTGTTAGTCTTTCGATCCCCAAGGCATTTGTAAATTTGCATTACAGTGAAGTCCTTGACAAGAGGCGGTTCTTGGAAATAAAATGCTGCACGGATTTTTAGACCTGGGCTTCTAGAAAGATGCCAGAGCCCTAAGTGGTGATGTACTGAAATGCCCAATCTGTCCGGGTTGGCCTGAGGGGCTTTTGAAGAGCTATCTCCATCCGGCCGATAATAGATATCTGGTAAAAATCGTCCGCACTGTTGCATTGGTGGAAGGTCTATCTTGTTCTCTCCAGAAGTAGCTTGATATCGATTGCTTTCCAGTCACTGGGGACATGTGTCTAGAGATCGGGAACATGGGTGAGTTGTCTCACGTGTTCATCGGGCTTACTTCTATACTTACTGCAATTCTAGCTGTTAATACTGTTGGTGTAATTTCCCGCGCTCTGTGGGTGTGGGGAGCTGGCTTTCCGAGGCCTGCACTTCGCCCAGGCCGCGGAGGTAAGTATCTGCATAAGAGCCTATATAAACCAACAGTCTTATTCCTTTTTGCAAGGCGGAGCTTGTAGCATGTCTTTAACCACTGGGGACTGCAAGCTTTGCATATTAACCAGGTTCACAATCCGTCTTGTCAAGGCCCTTCCAAGGCCGCTGAAGTATAACCCTACCCAGCATGTACTGTATCTTCACCAACTATCAAAGGAAAAAACTACGCCTCTCTGGAGGTGATTAACCCCGTCTACGCCCTCATATAATCTAATACCACCATCTTTAAGGAACCAGTAGAGTACTCCCTGATGTGACCCCCCAAAATTGGAGTCTCTGAACTTTCAGCAAAACATTTGGATGCATCGGCAGAGCCATTCTATGGGTTGCCTCCGGCTCTTGGGGAATTGAACCTCGTATCTGCCTTCCACCGTCGCATTTCGACACCGGTCGTACTGCGGGCTATAATAGAGTAGGAGCCTCTCGAGACACGAGCATACACTGTTCACAGTACACCTGTCCACGTATCGAAAGGTGAACTTAATCCTCGTACGGAGTAGCGCCGCGGAGGTGGCGCATGTGAACAACGTACGGACCCCCCGAAGATACCCCGAGCCGAATGGGTTCATTGACTCCCGGGAATTTCCTCGGACCCGGGAAGGTTTGCCACCTGCCAAAGCCTAAAGACCTATGTCCATTATCTGGACCTCGCATTCGTTGACCGGAAACGGTTAGAATCCCACTGGAAGGACGATCGGAAAGGCGTAGCCGGGATTGGTTTAGTGCAACTCGCTTACCAAATAATAACAGAAGCTTCTCCTGAGAGACCCAGCTCGTTTCTTTTCGAGGGGCATGGCTTATTCTGCATTTCTTCGGTCAGCAAAAGAAACATGAGTGTTGGAGATGACGATGGCTATGTTGTGTCGTATAGAGGCGAAGTGGTTGAAAACCGGCACAAGGTTCACGCTTCAGTCGTCGACGCAACGGGAAGACTATTGTTTCATGTTGGCGACCCGTCACGAATCACTTTAGCTCGCTCCGCAGCAAAGCCAGCCCAAACACTTGCTGTTCTCGAAACAGGCGCCTTTGAGCGATTCAATCTCGATTATGCCGAGCTGGCTTTAATGTGCGCTTCGCACAGCAGCGAGGAAAGACACATCACCAGGGCGAACAGTATGTTGGCAAAAGTCCAAGCCAAAGAAGATGATCTCCGCTGTGGTGGTCACCCGGCCTTGTCAGCGTCGGTGAACCACGACTGGACTAGGCGCGGCTACAGTCCCACCGCCATATGCAACAACTGCTCAGGTAAACACGTCGGCATGCTTGCCGGTACCAAGGCCATCGGTGCAGACCTGTTAACCTATCACCAACCAACCCACCCGTTGCAGTTACGAGTGAAACGTGTCTTTGAAGAATTATGCGACCTGAGAGCTGACGATGTAAGCTGGTGCATTGATGGTTGCAACCTTCCGGCGCCCGCCATCCCACTTCACTCACTTGGGAGGGTGTATGCCACCCTTGCCGCTGCAGCGGACCAAGCGGAAAAGAACGCATCGGCAACAGCAAGAACTCGGGACCTGGACCGAATCTTTCGTGCGATGACTCGCTACCCAGAGCTTGTCGGTGGTAACGGTAGATTCTGCACTGTGCTCATGAATGCGTTTCAAGGAAGGTTAATGGGAAAGCTCGGGGCAGATGGGTGCTACGGGATAGGAATTCGGGCATCAGAGCAAACTGCACAACTCGGCGCGATAGGTGCAGTTGGCATCTCTGTTAAAATTGAGGATGGTAACATCGGGATTTTGTATTCCGCAACAATAGAAATTCTCGAACAACTCGGTATCAGACCACCAGAACTATGCAGTGCGATCGTCGATTGCCATCGTCCGTCAAACGTCAACACAGCTGGTATCGTCACTGGTAGAGTTATCCCTGCCTTCAAGCTACGTGCTGCAATATAGAGCCGAGTGTCTGACATGTATCCTCTAAAATGCCTCGAAAATCCGTGTTATACGATTTGTTTAAGAATCCTTAAATTATAGCGGAACCAATATCAGTTCACATGTTTTTATCAACCAGCTTAATGGACAAAGACTCTAGGATAAAGTCCTCATACTCCTGTGCCACGAGCCTGCCGATCAATGTTGCAAAATTTTTCTGGTATCAAATTACTACGTCAGGCTCTTACCAAGATGTTACTCTAGGCTCCAAGCTCCAGTGGCCTACTTTTACCGTTATATTCCCATGGCCTGGAACACAGTCCACACCGGTAGGTTTTTGCAGCGGCCCAGGTCTTCTGGACCACCAAATTAAGAGAATGCCATTAGTCTGCATCAACTGATGTGGTAATACCATCGCCACAGTATATATCCGAACATAGCGCGCTAAGCAGTTGTTGAGTCTCGTTCTCCCGCCATAAGGTCGCTCTTTTTTAGGACATCAATTAAAAGCCTTGCCATCGCGGCGTATCCTTCCATGCCCTCCCCTCGAAGGGATATTGCTGTAGCCAGAAGCCTCTTTCTATCAGCAAAGGCCTCTCCAGTTTGCCAGGCATGAGCTTTCCCCTCTGCAACCAGCAGACAGATATCAGCCCCATCCTTGTCCGCCTCTTTAGTAAAATCCTTGATATCCTCAAGAAAGATCTCATCTCCACCGGCAGTGATCCATGTTCTCTTCGGTAAAATATGCTTCCAAGATCCCCGGATATCAACTCTTTCGGCAAAGTTGACAACAAGCCTTTTTTGCTCGCAAGGCGTATCTCTCAGGACCTGATGACTGTTCTTATCCAATGCCCTTTTAGATAGGAAATCCCTCTTCTGCATATCCGATATGCTGGAATGACTATTTATAAGATCAATCCAAGGGCTGAGAATGATCGCATATTGCGGTTTCGGCAAGACGGTCTCGAGATGCGGGCAAAGACCGGGCCTTTGCAGAGCTGCCAGGAACGAGAGCGCAAGATGCCCACCTGCAGATTCTCCCATGACCACTATCTTGGATGGGTGAATGCTTTCAACTTTGATCAGATACTGATACGCTGCAATTGCCTCGGTGATCTGCATCGGTAGGCAGCTTCCAGGAGCTAGCGAATAATCCAAAGAAAAAATACTGCAAGTAATGCCATTGTTCAGCAGAACCTCCGCGAAGAACAGGAGATCGACAAGATTATCTGCAGGATGTCCGAGAGTGTAACCACCGCCATGGATATAATAGATCACGACATCGGACCATCCTGGCTCTGTCGGGGTTGGAGATAATCCGCGATTCAACCAGTAGCCAGCGAATCGGTCTCGTTGTACGGACTGGAAAATATTCTTCCTCAGATGTCCATATCGCAAAGATTCCAGGGCCTGCTTCCCTGTCCGATCAGCGGCATTCAGCAATACATTTGTCGAGATCACTTCCGAAGCTCTGTATACGACAATCAGTCCACGCAATTTTCACATACCAAGATGGCGGTCGTGGGTTTACATTCTAAAGAGGGATCGGATTAAGTCGTCCTTCAATGACAGTTGGTCCCTTTCGCCACAACAGCAGATATGTCTAATAATCCTATTCCCAATGATCCACGGCAAGTAGATAAATAGGAATAGCAGAATACTCAGTATATCTACCATGGCCAAAGGTGGAGGCTGACCATTACCCATTTTCTCGGTATATGCGCACGTCAGAGGATGTGTTTGGCGTTATGTATGTATGAATCTTTCGCTGTTCTCTGATTTTGTGTAAAGTGAATAGGCAACCGGCGGCAAAACGGGGTCCAGTTGCGGACATTGAAGCTAGAGTAAAAGAAGCATAATTCTCCTAAACAGGTTACCCAGAAGAGCGTCATCTCTATTTAGACCCCCATGAGTATGGCACCATCGTGGAGTCTGAGACTATTTCTGAATAAAGTTTACTCATCCGCATCCGATAGGAATTCCATCATGCGCACCGGGATCACGGTTGCGCAAGATATTCGGATATGTTAAGTTCCGATATCCGGTTAGTGAAGACATTAATTCGGCAAGGTGCATTAAGACATCCGGTCCGAACGAACGAACTCCGCCACCCGCAGATGCGGGCCACGCTGGCTTATAGGCCCCATAGAAAAGCTTTATCAGAGTCGTACTGCTCTGCAAAGCCTGGTCACTGGCTTGCTTGGGAACTGCGTCGCACGGAGATGGGATTCGGATGGAAAGCCCTGCAAACGCCTCCAGACTAGAGTGCCAAACAGCCAGGTCGGGTCAAATTAATCACAAATTTTAAACCTGGTGTTAGGTTAGTTATTCAATTAGAAGAAATCTTATACCTGGCCGCAGTTAAGACCGAAAACAGGATAATCAATTATCTTAATTATTTCTATGCTACTAAAATATATCCGCTATATTTATTCAAATCTTGTTGTAGATAAGATATATTTAGAATGATCTTTATTTTATCTGGTTATATATATCTTCATTAATGAATACATTAAGATAAACAAATTAATTATAAACCGTTTAATAAAAAAAATCTTCTTCATATCATATTAATTTATTTATCTGGGATAGACTGATAGAGTAGATATATTTAGAGTAGTTATATCTAACCGTTATACCGTAACCTAACCTTAACCGTAACCTGACGGTCAGGTTAAGGTATAAAAATTATTAACATAACGGTTAACCGTTATACCTGATCAGGCAGAAATCAGGATTGGTTAGGAAGACGGTCAGTATGACAGTAAATCTCCTGCCTGATTTATACCTGATTTGTGCCTGGACTAGAGTGCTTAACGGCCAGGGTAGGATAGATTAATAGAGAAATTTATACCTGCCGTCAGGTTAATAGTTAAACATAAGATTATCTTATACTTAACTACAGAATACGTAAAAAATAAATAGTTAATTATTTCAATTATCCTTAGTACTAAGAGCTATCTGTTATATCTTGTTAAGTCTTAGCTTAAGTAAGACATACTCAAACACAACCTTTTTATGGGCTCATGTGGTGCGCTTGTCGATGGCAGTAGCTGTTGTTCTCTCCAATGAAAGATGACAACCAGTGTAATTGCCGCTGACGTATACGTTGTCGATACGAACTTCGCCATTGGTGAAGAAACCCTCAAATGTCTGTGTCCCGTTGTCATGGTGATACCATTCACCAATCGGCGCGTATCCGGATTCCGCAAGGTTGATACTCATTGCTTCGACCCCGATTGGTTCGTCCGACCGCTTGGAACTTTCAAGGATATAGATCGTCGCCGCACAGCTTGCAGCGCTCGACTTGGCAGCTATATATGCCGCTGCTGCACCGTCCATGGCTGCGATTCCTGTCAAGTATGAACCTCCAATGCTCGGTCAATTTTGCTAGTATTTCAACTCAGCGCGAGCATGAATCAATAGCGGTGCTTCCCTTATCTCAGGAGCCGCCTGAGCCAGAACGACAGGGACATTTGCAAGAAAGCAGAGCAGCCATAAACACGCCTTGATGGTATGACTTGATGTCCTAGTGAATATTTGACCGAGCAGGTTTCTACTCGAGATGGTGTCAACGGTTGTAATAACACACTACTCATCTATCATAACTTACATAGTATGGTTGTGCAGCGGGATACTTAAAGGAGAAGGTGATCACTGGAATGTTTCAAGAAACAAAGATACTACGTATAAATATTTCCATTGAAATGAGCAAGAAAAAGTTACTCCGAACTTGATATTCCATATGTGCAGTTTTCAAGTGCTTTGCTCGGACGCATGTGTCTGCTTGGATGCCGCGCGTCAATAAACGAAGACCTGATTTAAATGAAGGCACGTGATTGGGGGCGATGATAAATTGCTGCGCCCCCCACCCCCCACAAAGCGTATTTCTCTAGTGTTCCTACCTCTGGGGCCAGCTCAGTTAGGCCTCAGGGGCCAAAGCTTGTCCTTTTCTTTTTTTTTTTTTTCAGGCCGGAGATACTCTTATCAACTGGTGCAAGGCCACGAGACAATGTTGGATTCCATAGACCTCAACAAGAGCTGCAGCGCGTCTAAACATTTGAAGTCTGGACGTAACCAAAATGCACCAAACCCCATACCTACTGGTAGATAGAGACGGAGACTTTGTACAATTGCGTGATTAATTATACAACGTAATATTATCATGCGAGTAACGCATTGATACTGCGACTTTGGCCTCCGGAAAACGAAGAGGCTAACAGCAAAATACAGTAAATAATAACCCTCCGAAGATTGAACGAAATTGTGGAGATCCACGAGTTAAAAGATCACAATTTCCATCGGTTACCCAGTTTCAGCTTTACTTAAATCCCATGCCCACAGTAATCATCTTCTCTGCTAGAAATTATATGATCAATCTTGGGGCTTCGCCCGGTGTCTAATATGAGGGCATCATGTATCTGTTGATGACGAGCACGTTTTCATAGATAATGAATATTCAAGAAAGCGATAGTCTCTACATACAATACGTAGCGCGAGGGAACAAAATTTTGCATATCCAACTTACTCGCGTCCAGTCAGCTTACGCGTAAGACCCACTACCTCTGAAGATAAGGACTGGTGGGGTGAAAACTACCAAGTTGCTATTTTACGCACTTTCAGTCCACACGAAGAGTTTAAATGGGACATCAAGAGCAATTCCCAGATCAAACTTGTACGTGCAACCTCGAGTACAATTCATTGCGAGGTATTTTTGAGCCTGTATTATGTTGACGTTGATATCTGTCAATCATACATATAGTTACAACCAAAGTCGGTGTCATTATCATTGACACAGTCTTGCTTGATATGTTTGATCTAATTACTGCATTCGCCATATTCGCCCTTGTGATAGGGGGACGAGCAGTCTTATCTTCGCAAAGATCCGTTGGTTTCACTAGAGGACAGAAGATTGCTTCTTTTTTTTCTCTTATCCTCTATCTCTGTGGTGCTAGTCTTCTTGTGTGGGCACTTTTATGGCGAGGTATAGTGATTCAAATATTCTCTCCATATCTGGCTCAACGACTAGTATAGAGCTTCTTGATCTGCTCCAAAAAAAAATGTCCCGAATGTTCATGCTTTAAGCATATGAGACCTGCCACAAAATAAGCCTTAGTAGAGCATCCAGTGTTTTTTTATTAGTTTCTGCAGGCCTCTTTCTTCTCGGGCTTTGCTTGAAAGTGGCAGTATTTTTGAAGCGAGGTACAGTGACTGCCTTCCGCCATGATAAGAAATACCTATTGATTTTGCCACAGGTCGCATACCCGGAAGGTGTCGGACGGTCATAAACCGGTCAGGAGTTTTAGTGACAAGCATTAAATGCATTTGATGTTCATTAAGAGATGAAGATAAGATGTGGAGATAAGGGCACCTGGTTGTGGTGGAATTGGGGATTTTTTAAATATAGGCAAACAAAATCGGAAACACACTCTATCGAAATGGACTTGAAGTAAAGTTCCAATATCCTGGTTAATGCAGAATTATGGAAGCAATGATGTCCAACGCAGCTGTCTCGGTCGAATTGGGTAGACCGTCAGCTCGGCAGCCAACTGCTAGGCTAGTAAGAATAGTTGAGCCCCTAGCGAGAAGATAGAAGTCCGAAAGGCACTATCGAAATGTTGTTTTAAATCAGTGCCATTCCTTTGGCCCAAAAGTTTCACCCTCGGTTACTATCAAGTATCTGCAATCTTGAACGTCGCATGTTGACTTGCTGGTGCCCTCTGGCCATTGTCATGGTTCTTTGGGAGAAATATGTGGCCCGGGAGCCTTCTCCGATATGCTCACCCGATTGTTATGAGTATGTAACCAGCATAGCAACAATCCCGAGTCATAATCAGGAAACACTCTTGCACAATACTTGGTTAACAAAGTCTGACAGTGCTTGCTGGCGTTCTCTGGGCCTATACTAACCTTTCCATGTTTTGGCAGTCCTTCATGCTGGCGTGTGTCTTCAGTGTTTGGGTAAATTGCCGGCATCCAGACTGGCGGAACAAGTATGTTTTTGTTCTTGAGGCTTCTTTGAATACTGGCTTTGCAATGGCCAGTCTTGTACAGTTTTTGCCGTCACAAACGCGAATGCATGGTAGGCAAAGACTCTTCTTAGTCCTTTCATAGTACTAACGGGTAAATGGTGTTGCCAGGCGTTGCTTGATGAGATTTTGGGAGTATTAAATTCCTAGGAAAACTGAGTCACTTCCCAGGATCACTTGAACCGATTGATTGATTGATTGATTGATTCATAGTCCGTCCCAGCAGCCCTCGTGGCAGCTATGCAGCATGTATAACTAACAATACAGAAATTCCTGATTCTTGCATCCAGAAATGAAACTATTCCTCTCACCAATTGCTTTCTCCATCTGTTTCCCAGCAGTTGCACCCTCACGTATTCATAGTTCTAATAACCGTTCTATATCTTTGACTTGTCAGGTCTTTCCGGGCCCTCCTCTGCTTTGTTTTGACAATAATCACTCGTCTGCAGTAAATTGAGCACTGTAGGTGGTGCGATAATGTGATAGAAAAGCGAGGCTTTTATAGTTAGGACCATCGGGATGATGTACGCAGACGGTTATATATATTGTGAGGTTATTAGTGATTACTATAGCCTGTTATAGTAGATATAAAATAATAATTACTTATTTTTAGATTATTGATCTTTTAAGAGCCAGCCTATTCTATAGATATAGATTATCTTTATTACTAAATTTCGAGCTTTATTACTCGGCTTATTATACATTATATGATATGGTATGATGTACTATTATCCACAACGTTCCAGTATCTAAATATTGCCTGTAATTCAGTGCATTGATACTCCCTCACAACCAGATAGTATCATGTCAAAAGGTCTGGCTGTCTCTGAAGAATACATGGAAATTCTTGTTCACTTGCGACTCCCATTATATTACATTGATCCCTCATTCAGTAGACTGCCATGATTCTTCCCGTTCACGCTACCTCAGATGTCCCTTGTTAAGGATGGGCATGCCCGCCCAATTGGTACAGCGGTGACACTGCGACCACCACCCATTGTATGGGCTGTGGCACCGCGGACCAGATTGATGACATGTGTTACTGGCCCGGCATTTCAAAAAAGAAGAACAATTCTGAAGACCGTTGTCAACCGAGAAGTTATGCCAGGAAAAGTTCTGGCAACAAGGAGGAATTTTAACCGCAGTGGTTTCATATAAGCACACATGTGTGACAGACCGCAAACAGGCCAGTAGATGCATAAAGGCTGGCAAGTTGTGTTTTCCGCAAATGGTCAGGTCGAAGTCAAGATAGTTCACCCAAATAAGTGGGAACTTCCAGATCGCACTTCTCCTCAACCACTGTCAGAGAGGTTTCCACATGGTAATGGGCCCATTTCCTATGGCTCGGATCGATTCCTGTCTTCGAACCAGCAATACGACCTACAATTATGGATTGCCTTCGCAGCGAGGAGAAGTCCGTATTCAAAGTACAGATTCCCGAAAGGTAGTGGTTAATTGCTCTGAATGGAAAGAGATATCCACCCTTACTCAGAAAAAAAAGCTTGCAACGGCGTCCCCTGCACCCTTTCATACATAATTTCCACTGTTGTCATCCTTGTAAAGCTGGGATTGAAAGTTCCCCATTTTGATGAAAATACCTGCGGCGTCATGAAAGCCAAGCGAGGATGCAGCCTCTAACAGGTGATACTCTCCTTCAATATCGCAACGCGGAAATATCATGACAATGCCCCTAGGATGTCCTCCTTCTATAGCCGTCTCAAGGACACTGACACCTCGCAAGGGAACGTCAATGCCCCGAGCAACGAGGAAGCTGCATGCAGTCTCATGACCGCAGTTCGCTGCGAACCGGAGCGGAGTCCTCCCGTCTTGGTTAGTTGCGTTGATATCGTAGGCTTGCTCAGCTACGGTCTTTAACACGTTAGGCTTACCCTGGCTCGCTTTACGGTAGATTCCCATCATAGTACTTCCGAATTGGCCGTTGTTCTGTTTTCACCGTATAAGAAACCAAACCAAGAATAGTGGCGAAACAAAAGTGAGGCAAGAAGATTGAAACCTGAAGCACAAGTTGGGATTGATACGAGCTCCGCCAAACCATTTCCTCATCTTATTACGAAGGGGAAATATCAACACAAAATATGAGATTGGGCTTTTACTTTACAGAAACCCCTTTCTATTACTCCCTGGAAAGTCAATTTACCCCAATTCCAGGTATACAGACACGTTTGAACTAAGACCGTGTATTTTCAGCCACGAAACTGCGGTTTCTGGGCGGTGAGTGATATCCTATCCCTGGATTCTTATTATCATAATCGACCAAGAATCAAGACGTATAAAGCTCATGGCAGTGGACCAATCGACGACCGTGCAGGAATGATTTGTCATGTTGAGTAATCAAATTGTGAGCCGAGGCTGTCTCATTGTTGAACCATGGAAAGGTAGTGTTGTGTGACTGGCACAGGGCGGCTAAGAAGTGTCAGGGGCAATTTCGAGGTCAAGAAGCGCCAAGACGGTACTGTGTTCTTTCAATAATCTTTGTTCAAGATAATTTCCATTGTCATATTCATGATAAAGTTATATACAACAATCCACCACTCGAATTACAGTGTTCTCCAAAAAATGGGTCAACAAAACGATAAGACCTCGACAATTGCATGAAAAGTTTCAGTGTAGCGACGCTGCACCTTACAGCATCTTAATATTACGACTTATTGGCCCAGACATGCCGTAGCTCAACATATCCTATGTTGAATAAACCAACTGAAGATTCCGTTGCAGCGTCACTACTATAACCTAAATAAAGACAAAGTATACTAGATGCTCTCTTGAAATATATATCTTCTCGTACTGCCTTCCAATGAAATGTATGTCGAACATATATTTACTGAATGTTTTAGAGATTGCTCGATGCCATGTACGTGCGTGTGAACAGATCAGGGTAACGTTTTAATGTTCGGACTATAGACCAGAAAGTATAGTACTGGATCAGCCCGTTCATTATGTTGTTTTATGTACACTATGTGATAAAAAGTCGAGGGACACTCGAAATTTCCCGGAATTCCAATCATGATAAACTTCTAGATAGATGACAGATAGTATGTCTATAATTACTAAAGAAATATGAGTAATTATTGTTTCTGTAAAGTGTATTGATTATTTACTATTAAATATCTCAAGTGTATGACGAACAATTTATAATAAATAAATTAAGTTCTTTGTTGTATGTTATGAAGCATAAAAAATATACAATTTTATTACTTTAGCTTAATCGTAATCAGTACAGTTTCACCTAAGAATGATACAAAAATTATTTTGGTCGAGTAAGAATTATAAAGTATTTAGTTTTGATAGTATCCATTTTTCAAGATAATATATCTTATATATTTGTTGAGATAATTGTGTACGAATACGATGAGTTTTGGTGTGTCAGCAGGATGTCCCGAGACATTTGAACACATTAAACATTAGCTGTTGTTTCGAGGCATCCCGAGGCAGTCTCAACTGTGGGTTTCTTGAATTGGCCCCCTGACTATCAGGATGATGGAACTTCGATGATTCGACAATGAGCCATAATCAGAGAGTCTAGCTTTTTGATCAAAACTTTATCTACCATTTAGGGCTGCTTTGACGTGAGTAGACTTTGTTTATTAATCATGCCGCCATGCGACTACAGAACTTCCCGCGCCGAATCCGGATACGCCCAACCCGTTTCATATGAGTTGGACTCTATCATTTGGGAACGTTTGATTGGGCAGAATGAGCCGATGCACAGCACTTCCGAGTCCCAACAATGTGAGCTCCACTATAATCAGACTCTCAACAGCCGCTAACGTTCGAGACACCGCTTGCTTAGGCTTTCCTCAACCATGCTAGCTATATTCTCTTGTACTATGACAGTATTCTCTTGTACTAAAAGAGTTATTGGGCTCCTAATCTGACAATGTTCAGCTCTCTTGTCAGACCACATGCAAATATTTCTACAGCACCAACTGAGCAAAGAAAAAAAAAAACAGAAACGTGCAAAGCAAAAGTTGAAACTTTAGCAATGGCGTCGGCCAAGGAATCCAAGAAACAGCATTCTACAGAAACCTCTACGGACCTTTGCTACCAGGGAAGTTGTCATTGCAGGGCTGTACGCTTCTCCGCAAGGTTTCCGTCGCCGCTGTCGCAATTAACTGTGATCTCCTGCAATTGTATGTATATGACTACAAGTCGAATACAGCAAGTCTATAACTGCCCTTCTCTGCGGAATAATTATAGGTTTCAAACAGAACTAGTCGCTAAACTAACAAATCTATCCAGGCAGCTATTGTCACATTGCAGGGAGTTTGCTGGCTTTTGCGGATGATATGGAGGTTCAAGGAACAGAATCACTTACGGTATGAGTCAATTAGCGCAATATCTCTTTTTATTATGCTTTGTTATACTTGATATATTACGACCTACTGAGATGAATGGCTCATATACAGGAATATCGGTTTGCCACGCACACTATACGGATCTTTTTCTGTAAAATCTGCGGGGCTAATGTGTACAACAAGTCGATCAATCCACATTTCCAGTATGGTAAATGTGCTATTAATGTGAGTGAATTTCTAGCGGTTGCGCATAGCCCATCACTCTTCTCTACAGTCTATGCCTGTTTACCATGTTTGAGGATTGCAGAAGAGCTAACAGAGATACCGGGATTCCAATCCAGGTGCGCCTATTACATGGGATTGACTTGGAGACCATAGAAGTGACAAGGGGTGATGGTAAGAATCTTTGGCTGCCGCCTTTAGAAGAAAATTCTCTGTAGCCCTCAGGGCACAGCCACCATGATTTATGCGACTCTCGTGAGCGCCCAAGTCATGCTCTAGTACAGAACACATGTCAGATCCTGCTAGTAAGACAAATGCACCAAATATGTTCTATGCTTAATGACTTCCAGTCTTAGACATTAAAGGTATATGTCCGATGTTTCCGCAAAGGAGAAATAAATTGTGATCTTAGTTCTCTGGACCTGCAGTGCAACCAAAATATCTTTGTCAAATACGCAAGGAGTCAGTTATGAAATATTATAAATTTATCTGAGAATGACCAAGATACAAGGTTTGTCTGGTTTTAAATCTATTCAACTATTAGTTTATTAGTATGACTAACTTGAACAGCCATATATAATCCGTGGAAATAGATAAAAGTATTTAGATCTTAGGAAGTAGATTTATAACCCAGAGAACTATATTTCTATTATATCTTAGACCTAGACAGACCCAGCGTGCAGCTGAAGCTACAGCATCCGAAAGCCCAGCTCGGCAAACGTTGTATATATCTTCCTTCAGAATAAGATTTATAGATATATACTATATTTATATCCTCAACCTGTCTCACTGAAGAGATGAGACCAATTCTGTGCAATCTTGGGGACTCCACGTCTAGCACATTGATCGCCGTGTGTAGGTATATTTTGAATTCAATTTAGGATTCCATTGTGTACAATGATCAGCCCAGCGCTCACACATAAAAGTGCTCGTAGGTGGCTTTATTTTAGCTGGCAAGGTTGATCAGCCAAGTATCGTACGCATGAAGTTGTAAGTGGGAAACCTCGCTTCTCTGTATTTAGAATCTATCTTTTAAGCATCAAGTCCTTTGTATATGTTGACTTTCTTGGACTCCCAAATGATCTAGTACAAGGAATTTCCTAGAGTGCTCATCTTAAAACCTGCTTATCTTGATATTGAAACCGGCTGCGCACGTACCTTTGAACGTGGAATTTTCCCTTTCGGGAAGTTCCATAGCAATATTAAGATATTTAGCCTGAGATAAAGCTCCTATATCAAGAAGGACAAGTTTTATAGCTTTAAAGCGACCCGTGAATGATGTACGTGTGTTTTTTTTTTTTTTAGGTGCTGGTTCGGCGTCAGATTACGTGAACTACGGGTGGAAGAGATTGTACGGGTAGTAACTAATTATTGGTCCGTATAGGGCAAATACGAGAGGGGGTTTGACCCACTCATGTATAATCAAAGAAAAGATCCGACGAACCAGGCCTCAGTGATCTAGCGAGAAAAGGTTCGCCCCCTACAATGTGCAGGGGATAAATCAATAAATCAATCAACACTATCTGTATCACACGGCAAGAGGTACGTGCAATAAACTAAGAATACAATCGCGTTGCTGATCCTGAATTTTAGCTCTGTGGATGGTCGGCCAATATTCCGAAAGGGGGTGCAGGTTCTCGTATTCGTATAGGGACACGTTCTGTTGTCATCGAAGCCATGTATCCAATGAAATTGACGAAAATGCATACAATCTGTCAAGGATACAAATCATGGTCCACACAACCCGCAATGGGATATCTCAAGGCTTGCAAAGTTTATCTTTGAGTGCGTGAGGGGCCCGCTTCACTAGCCAGAGATCCTCGTCTAAGCACGTGAGTTCATCTCTATGACCGAGTAGGATCATATTGAATTCCTTGCTGCCCTTCCTTCACCAATGCTGGTTATTATTTCTTCTTCTTCTTCTCTTTGTCCTTGCAAGTCCGCACGATGTTCGAAAGGAACGCTGATATTGCAGTATCTCCATTACATTCTATACCTGTAATCAGTGGCAAAGGAAAGCTCCCCAAGCGAAGTATTTCCAAGGGCGCACATTCAGGAAATTCAGGGTGAGAAATTGCTGAGTATAGTATTTCTATACCTATCAATGTGGCCTCCGAATACTAATTGCTGAGCAGTGATGCACGGACATCGCGAGATAGCAGAAGCCCGGAAACATTACCGCCAAGCCCGTCTTATATCACCACAATATTCTATCTGGCATACCCGCCGCCGCATAGCTCCTCTCCTTTTCGCCAGATCAAGCCACGGTTATTACTTCAGCTCCTCCAACAAGCAGCTAGAAAGAATAGACTTCATCCAGTTTTTGAAGTCTTGCTTACAGCGCCAGTGGGGTTACAACACTACCAGAAAGAGGTCCGCTGTAGATCAGGTGACATAGCCTTGGTCCACGGTGATTATTATAGTGATTGTACTTTACCGGACGGCTCAAGAGCCAGATATTCGGGGGAAGAGGAAGATGAAGATGAGCGAGCAGGGAAGATCAAAGTGCTTGCAGTTATTCGAGACCAGCGGAAGAACCATGCAAGACGGGATCATCTAGGACGAGCTGCTGACAATGACAGCGGCCCGGTCAGGTTCTTCTTCAGCTGCGGTGCTATATGGGAAGCCATCACTGCACAAAATGGAAACAACTATCAGTTAGTAGCAGTTGACCCGGGGGAAAGTACGGTCAATGGGGATTTGAAACTGATAACATGGACGCGAGAATGCCCTTCCCATGAAAACGGGGGAAACGAAACACGAAGAGATATCAGATTTCGCCTGAGCATTGTGAATGGGGATTTCCAAGAGTTGCCGATAATGGCCACTGCTACAATGCAATCCATTCAAATCATGTTCCAACCCCGGAAACATGACGACTTGAAGTCGCCCTCATCTTGCCGACCCTCGTCATCACTCCCATCAATCAGTAGGGAAAGGGCACAATTGCTCACCACAAGAGACAATCCGTTCGGCTCCCTGGACGTATCAGTTTCTGAACCGTTGTATCTCTTGTGTCTTGTTCTTACCTCAGCTGTGTGGGTAGCTTCCAGTGAGGGATGGTTAATTCTGTGAAATTGTAAGGTCACAAGATGAACTTCTTTGGCCCGCGGATGGTCAGCTACGCGAATGGAGCAGACGTGCCATGCTCAGGGGATGGTGTTATGGTTTGCTTCTTGAGAACCTTCTGGGCATCACCAGCGTTCTTCGGGCTCTGTTCAAAACTAAGGTATGTTAACTCCGAAACTTCTACATAACAAACTCTTCTAGTGATCTGAATGGTGCAGAAACATATCCTGTGACGATTTAGGAAAGCACATAATTCTACCTTGTAGAGGTGCTGAAGTCATGCTTCGCGTCTTGATAAAGAAGGTGACGTATCGTATCCTTCTTCCAATATACATAGTTCTCGCGCGGCTGTTTTTCATTGCATTTGATATGTTCCTATTCCGGTTCACCGAGCGTATTCCTGTGCCAGTCCAGTTGCCACGAAACGGAGTACTATGCTTCTAGCTAGTTACTAAATTCATACTTGAGGGTGCACATGGAAGATATTCATTCATGTTGTCCCCAACAGTCCACCAACTCTGCCGAACAATACAAAGTCTAATTGTATCATGAGATTTGTACGATATTAAGGATACATCGGTATGACAAGGCAAACGCAGGATCGAATGGCTTGACGCTATGCACCAGAACGCAACTGAGGATGATATCACATCCCTCTCATAAAAATCAAGTATAATGGGTATCTCTCCTCATGATGGTCTGCTTCTGTTTCCCGTCGTCAAAAAAGAGCCACCCGGTGCGTTTGAATCCCCTACTTCCGTACAAGGGAATCCCTGCGTCAGTGGCTACCAAAGTAGATGGAATACCCTCTTCCTCAGATCGATCAATTCCCCACTGAAGCAATTTCTTACCCACCCCTTGCCCCTGGGCCGTTGTCCTGACGGCCAAGACACTCAGATACCATGTCTCAGCTGGTTGACTAGCTTTAGCTGCATCAAGCTCACGTCCAAAGTATTTCAGATTTGACCAGGATATGGATCTTCGTGGTGTGTCCAGAAAGAATGTATAGGCAATTTTGACATCGAGAAAGATCCGTTTCAGCTCTAAATTATATATGCAGGCATTAGTTCCAAAGCCGTGTCTCCATTATTAAGCGACGTACTTTTGGAAAAGCTACTCCCTTGCCAGCTTTTTGCTGCATCACAAACGCCAGTCCGTTCCCATACTGCAAATCCTACTATTCTGCCCGGGTGTCTGTCCGCGCCCTCAGCGCCCTCGTCGGTATCCCGAACCTTGGCCGCGAGGATGAACTTTCCACTGTCCAAGAAATCTTGCAGTAGAAGATACTTCCATGCCACAACAAAATCTTCAGGATGGTCGCGGCCACCGGGAAAAAACCAACTCATACCAGCATCATCACGAAATGCATCTGCTCCGATGTAAGACAATGATTTCAGCTCTTCAAGGGTGGTGACTCGATGTAGAGTAAGAATGGGTGCCATGGATAGTGTTGACTTTGAATCTTTATCACTGATCGAATATGTATATTTAGGTAAGGTATCTTCCCCTTCAGCCCTCAGAGTCTGCGGTGTGATGGTATATATATTATTACAATATAGGCAGCAACTGAAGCCAAGCCCCGAGCACCGAGTTTCCTTGAAGTGGCGCAGTCTTAAAGTTTTCCGAATGCCGAAAGCGACCGTGATCCACAAACCAACGAGCCCATGGTGGGTACTGTTTCAACATAGCCTGTCTATACATATGACACGGTGGAGTCATACTGGCCAACTACGATGTGACGCTGTTGCCTGCGTGTCCCAATGCATTGCTAATCTCTGGATAAGATATTCTCCCTATATCAGTTACAGCTTATAGAGCAATGTCATCATGTGGCATGAACTTAAATCCTAAAATTTCTATCGCGACGGTTGATGACGAGAGCGCCAGGTCTGAGCAAGTCAACTTATGGGACGGGCTGAAACAACCAAGACCTCTGGTCGGAGACAATGAAAGCTGAGAAACAATGGACTAGCTTACCCCGGCGTACGAACCTGTCAGACTATGTTGAAGATAGATCAGACAGGACTACCAAGGGAAACACTCCACGCGATCAGAAGACAAGGAGGGAGGCCCACTAGTGCTGTGCCGCTATATGAGAGAAGGTGCAGACAAGTGTTGTAGTTTCGCTGCTTTCATCAAGGCTACGGTTACCTAGATAGCAGGACGTCTGGGATGTAGACCCAAACCCATCCTGGATACATCAGTATAAGTCCTTATATATCCTACTCCGGAAGTGTTCGGGAATTGCCTGGTCGGTTTTGTCTCCAACTGGATACCAGTGTTTTTGCGCTTCTGGAAGTATGAAAGAAGTGTCCAATACAGTTCCTAACTCTGACAAAGCAATCATTCGCTCACGCTGACACGCAGTAGACCACAGCCACGAATTAAACTCTTGGTTCTGCTTCCACTTTTCGAAGGGGACGGGAGGTTTCGGATAATTCTCGCGAGGCGCTGTCTCGCCGGGGACCGAACCGCTGCGGAGCGCCTCCCTAACCTTCGTGTAAGGCAACCTCGAATGTCTTTCTTTTCTCTCCTCATCACCCCGGTATCAGGCCAGCTATGACGGTATGATTGTAGATGATGACTGAACACCTCAATCAAGACCGAATGCCTTCCACTTCCACTTTGCGGGGTTCTCTGTCGCCTGCTACGGCGACCGATCAGAATGAAGGCCGATTGACCGAGGCAAAGACCTGCAAGGCCTGCGACCAGAGGGTGGGCCGCCAGTAAATGTGTCCAAAAAGTAATTGCAGACGACAGCTCAGTGCTGGCTCGCATTGCGGCATTAGGCTTCGCCGAGCCTGATCCACTGGGGTTGGGCCGCCGCATATGCAGCGGATTAACCAGTTCATTTACTCCTTATGGAAAGTTAGAATTCGATGGAGTCGGGCATCCAATACTCAATTATAAACTGGTGAAATGATAAACCTCAACTGCGTCGACTCTTATCAATGGGATATAGTTGGTCCATTCGAGGTCAAAAAGGGAAGCCCAGCCAAGCAATGAACAAGAGAACGTAGGACACAAGGATCCCGAATAAAAATTGCTACCAGAGAAAGAAATCGCACATTCGACCAGAAACCTACGCATTGGCAAAATACCACCAGTACGCACCCAACAGCTTCCTTTCTTTAATATGATTGTCCCTGTCCAGCTTCTCATCCGGACCATGAGCACCATCGTCCGACCTGCCAACGGGAAGCAGCATGATACTTTTATCGTAACCCAAGGCATTCTGTATATCCAGCGTTACGCCGATACTATCGTAATGTAGCCATTAGTGATACTGATCTGAGTGTAGCAAAAGAGGGGAAGCAGAAAGCAAAGAAGTAGCTAGGGAACAAAAACCAACCTTCCACCTTCGCGAGTCAGATCTGGCTTGGTGTTATATACTCTGTTTGTTGCTGCTCTTCCCGCCGCGAAATCTGAGTCCTCGGTATTTGCGACCCAGTACGGTGCAGATTCACCACATTGTTTCACTTCACACGTATTCGTACTACCTAGCTTCTTAAACTCCTGCTCTAGGTAGTGCACCACCAGGGCCATGACCGCTTTACCTTCCATGGTTGGCACTGTCCGGATGGAGAACTTCCCAGTCACCTTAGGGTAGATGGCTGTTGTCTGATTTGGGCTGGGATCTGCACCGTTGATACCATGGATCGTGATAGAGGGGTATCTCCATCGGTGCATTAGAGTGTCCTTGGCGGTGGCGTATATAGCTGCCTCGCTGCCTATTGTGCTACGGAATTCATCCATATCGAAGTCAATGTCTTCGTATTGGGCGATCTCATCCGGTGTAACGTCATCGACCAGCCCGTTGATTCCGGGGATCAGGATGTTGCCATTCGAGTCGGCTAGCTTGGACAGCATAATCACGAGTTCGGTCATTGGCTCGTGGACCGTCCCTCTATATATACCGCTATGGAGGGGCACAGGCTCATGTCCCGGCAAGGGCTTCTGGGCGATTGTTATGGTGAAATAGTTGATGTCTCGAAGGCTGTAAGTGAGACAAGGCTTTCTGGTAGTAAGCCAGTAGTTGTCGGAGATGCAAGCTGCGTCAAACTTGGTGAATATGTCCTTGTGTTCCTGCGCAAATTCTGAGAACCTAACTAAGCCAGACTCTTCCATTCCTTCAAAGCACAATCGCAGATTTACTGGGACGTCGACTTCCGCTTTTTGGTAGGCCTCAAGGGCACTCAGCCAGGCGAGCACGGGACCCTTGTCATCAGTTGACCCACGCCCATATAGTTTCCCGTTTACCTCTGTGAGCTCCCAGGCGGGATGAGTCCACCCGTCGCCCTCTGGTTGGACGTCGTAATGACCGTAGATAAGAACGGTTCTCTTCTTAGGGTCGGGCGTAGCTGGGTGGTTGGCAAGAATAACGTCGGGTAGCTTGAGAACGGCTGTGTGTCCGGCGGCTTCCTAGTGACCACGATTGAACATTTGCTCCTAAACCTTCAAGTTGATTTTCCAGGAACTCTGCCATCTAGACACGGTCGTGGATGGGAGTTAGTAGGCTATAACACACCACATAAAGTGTTCTTGAGAGTGAAACAAACGTACCTGATCAACTTTTGTGCGTCCTTCAGTGGTCAGGTCAGAGGAAACCGATTGAATTCCGACCGCCTTTGCGAGCCCTGATCCAGCTTGGTTATGACTGACTTACAGAATTATACAAGCACAGAAGAACCCACTGTCTGTGATGAAGTGTTGGGATAGTTGATCGATCCTATAGAAAGCACAAGGCAGTAGTTAGCCCCTGATAACCCGCCGGCACCGATCTTTAACCCTTCCTATACATACTTCGTAAAGACCTGATCCAACGTATCAGATAGCATGGCTGGATAGTAGCTGAATGATCATGAGCCTTGCTTGTATAAAAAGAGTGTATTATATTGAGAGACAAAGAAATGGAGGGGCCTTATGTTCTGCAAGGGGCTGCAGAGGGCAATCGAGAGTTAAATAACCTCTTCTCGACTAGGTTGGGTCTCAGTCAGCTGCGTCAATGCCACAAATTCGACACATGTGGCCCAGAAGGGACGAGTGGTTCGTAGATGACCAAACGATGATGCTTATACCGCGGTCATGACTGAGATCGTGTAACCAGAGTTATAAATTAATTGGTAGAGCATCACGGTATGGTGCCCTGCTCTGAAGTGTATTATTCTCGGGCACTGCTGTGTTTTAACCAAAAAGCAAGATGTTTTCAAGGGTTTATGATGATGTGGCGGCCTTCATGCTGAGGGAACCGCACGGAGATTTCACACACGAGGTGTGATTATATGGGCTGCAGATGTCATTACCACCATAGATGTCATCTTAATTAATGTCTTCTTGACATGTAATGGCATATATATTCTGTTTCGCTAAAATATCCCCTCAAATTACTTATTCGCTAGTGACGCAAGCGAATGCTGAGAGAAAGGATGGAGAAGAGGAATATATAAGCAGAAATAGCAACCTTCTTCAGTGTGTCTGAAAAGGTAGTGGTTGTACCAGCGATAGTAGTAGGCTTAGTTGACCTGCGCACATCCATGTAGGAAGATTATTATCACCAACTGTTCGACAAGACTCTAGTTGTTGTACTGAGGCATTGTCAATTCTCACAGTTGCAGTATCACCATGCTAGCACAGCAACTTCAAAGGGGGGATGTTGCAAATCGTAGGAGTCGCAACCCAAGTAAACAAGAAAGCCTCATATACTGAATAAATCTTGTATATTTCCAGGTATAACTTACCGTGTTTCATTGAAGATTAGCCACAGCCAATGATTTTCAAAACGCCAATACGGGCATAGTGAATGATTGCTCTGTTCGAGGACATCTGCTAACTAGGTTGACGTCCCGTATACGGCCCACCCTGTTGACGTATATCGATGCAGGAAGTGGAGCCATCAGTGCCACCGATGCCTGGACAGTGCACTCAATTAAAATACTCATACGATACCCGAATGCAGGTCTAATACTGACATATATAGATAATTGTGTCCTGGAAATTGTTCAATGCCGGCCCCAAAAATGAACAGATAACAAGCTGTTTTTCAGACAGCCATAAGTATATATTGGCGGGGAGGCTAAACAAATACCATGGTATAGATTGGAGTGGCAAGCGTTACACTCTATAATGATTGTTGGCTGCAAGCGGACGGGAAGGCTAACCAAACTGAGGGGTATAGAATTGGAGTTGCCAGAGTTGCATTCTGTATTCATTATTAGCCGCAAGCGGAAGTTAATCGTATTTAAGAATTGGAGTCTAAAAGAATCTAGATGCTATAACGGACAAAGGCTTTGTTGAACAGATGATATCACATTTATTTTCACTTCTGGGAAAGGAAATCACATGTGAAATGTCCTTGGTCCAGACACCGGCATTCCGATCTCATTAACGGTCGAGGCCATCCTCCAGCGTCAGTATGTCTGTTCTATAGGGCTCATTTGACCCGTGGAACTAGTCGTATATCTTCGTTTTGTCTAGTCTTGTGCATCATGACTTCGGGATGTTCGGAGGCGCTGTATCCTGATAGAGAGAGCTGATGTATAAGTAGCGCATCCAACAACTGCTTATGTCTGAATTAGTCCTCAATCCTTCTTACCAACTAGCCTATCCTGTACTCTCCTTTCGTGTACCCGACTTCTCTACATACCAAACTTTTAAACCGTCATGCCGAAATACAGCCCTATTGTCCAAGAGCTCCGCGACGAGCTGCTTTGGGAAGTAGATGACCTCGAGCAGGCGGTCAAAAATGCTCGTAAATGGGATATCCCCGAGCTGGACAAGTACGGCATCATCTCAGCAAGAGGATTTCTTGACTTTGCCGACTGGCTTATCCGAGGTTGGGTTCCTACCGAGTCAACCAAAGGCCGGGACATCTACTACATCCTTTGTGTTTTCTACTTTGTCCTTTCCCAGGAGCCATTGGGCGGTCGCCAGACAAAAATCCACCCGCTAAGTATCAATAAGCCGCTGAAACCCCTGTCAGACTGGGTGGTTCGATTCGCCAAGGAAATCGGCACTAGTATGGACAAGCCTTCATCCATCAACGAGGCTGCAATAACGACCTTTCGGAACTCTCCTCTCTTCCGTGTCTTCGAATCTGAGGGTGACTCCAAAAACTGGACTTCGTTCAATAAGTTCTTTTATCGAAATCTTGACAGCCCACGTGAAGTAGAAAGTCCAGCTGACGATCATATTGTGACCTTCCCTGCTGATTCCACTTTCGCTGGCGCATATGCCATCAGCGATGATTCTGAAGTGGTCTTGAAAAAGAAGGAGCACAGGATTGTAAAGGACGAGGTTATTCTGAAGAATGTCCCATGGAGAGTAAGAGATCTTCTGGGTGAATATGGAGACCAGAAAGTTCCTGGGGATGACTCTCAAACCTACGGAGAACTTTTCAAAGATGGACTTTGGACTCATGTCTTCTTGAATTCATTCGACTACCATCGCCAGCATGCACCAGTCTCGGGGACTGTGGAAGTAATCGACGTCATCCAAGGAGCGGCCTACCTCGAGGTGCTGGTGAAGACCGATGAGCAGGTTGGCCACAACTATTTAGAGCTCTCCCGCAACATCGGGGAAAAACCGAAAGATCCTTCTGGCTTCCACACACTTGATGCTCCGGACACTCCAGGCTATCAGTTCCTTCAGACACGAGGAGTGGTAATTATTAACAATGAAAACTTGGGCAGAGTTGTTGTCCTGCCCATTGGCATGGCCATGGTTTCTTCTGTTAACGTAAAGTCGGAACTTAAGGGTCAGAAGATCAAAAAGGGGGATGAAATCTCGCACTTTGCATTCGGCGGCTCAGACTGCATCATTATGTTCGAGCAAAAGGCAAGAGCCTCGGGCTTCCCGGACTCTGACCCGGCTTCTCGTGAGCATTTCTTCTACGGTGAAAAGTTGTGCAGGGCCTATTACAAGGAAATCAAAGAACCGAAGGGCTTCGGGTCCCGATTTGGATTGGCTTCCAGATAAGAACTTTCATGCGGGGCCGTGGGAACGTATGAAGAGGGTCTTTTGGTAAGAGGTGAATGAAACGTTATGTACCGTCTCTACTTTGATCTGTACTAAAGCTGCAAAGTCGTAACAAAAGTATTTTGTCCATTTTCGCAATTTATTCTTCAATGTTCTCTTCTTTAGTCATTAGTGTAACTGGTAATTACTGAATTCGTCTAACCCGTTATGTTAGGGTTTTAATTGCGATGTGGCTTTACTACAAATATACTGTTGACTCAATTAGCAGTTTTTGTCTCGACTTTACAGAAGTACATGTTATGAATATCTACTATTGAAGGTGGACGACCTGTTAACTAGGCTAGAGCACCTCGGTGAACTGCCCAACATGTTAGACGTAGAAGATTTCTATCTCGTTTACTAGGTATCAACGAGCTCCTTACAAAGTTTCACTATGAACTGGATGATTCAGACCGATGCCTTGAAACATACGAAATGGTAAGATAGAAATGTAACCCCTTCGATTCGCTTGTGAGTTCCATCAATGAAGCTTGCGATCGCGAAATGATTGGTTTCATTGATGGACATTAGTCCATGTATAAGTTGAATCATGGGCCCGGTGATGATATCCGGATTTATGCCGGTCAAGTCAAATCCTGGCTTAGCCTTTTCCATAAATTGCCACGCAGCTGCCTCAGCGCGAGTGTTGGAGACGTTATAGCCCAGGACGGTGTCATTCCGTGCGATAGTTTGCTCAGCGGTCGCCTGGATAGATGTCAAATCGCAGGCATGTATCCTCCTTCGAGGCACTAAATGGATTCCAATCTTTCTCCGTATAGGGCCTTCCTTGTCTAGGTAGATCTTCAAAGGAGTTTAGCACCGAGACAGCACTACCAACAAGCACGAAGCGTCTAAGGGACGGACCCCCAAAGTGATGTGCTGCTCGCAATATCTCCGTGGCTCTGAATTTTTGAATGAGTGCTCGTCTGGAATAAAGATAGCTAGTAGTTTATTTACCCCTTCTCAGCTGGCTCAGTCATCTCTTTCTGCATATCAGAAACCTGAAACTTCAGTGGAGAAGCTGTGTGTATAACATAGTCAAACGGGTTGCTCGAATTACGGAAAATGTCGTCGAAAGGCCCTTGGGATGTAAAATCGGCCACAATCACGAATTTCACAGCATTCTTCCATGACGGTGGGTGTCAATGATGTCGTTGGCTTTTGCTTGTGACCGCACGGTCGCTGTGACGATATATCCACGCTAGTAAGGTGTGAGTTATAAATTGTTTTGTCGCCATCAAGTAGGCTACCGATAATATGACTAACCTCGATCAACAAAGATAAGATATGAGATGCCACAAAGCCATTTGCGCCTGTTAGTATGACGTGCTGTCCAACGCTCGATTGTGACATCGTGGTGGTGGAAGGGTAAAAGACTTTGAGGCATATGGTCTCGGAAGTCTACGAGAATTGCCGATTAATATCACTTTCTCAGCCCCTTTTCTTCAGCATATCTCCCGATGCATGCACCTGTAAGAATTATCGTAATGATGACATAGCCTAGGGCGTTCTGGAGCGTGGTTTCCCAAATTCTTCCTGAACTTTGGAGTACAGACTCTGGCACCCAACGCGGTCAAGTTCTCCAAGATAACAGCCTAAAGTTATGCTCGCCATGTAGCTCCATGTCGTGATAACCATGTTTAAGCGCTAAATCCGGAAGCTGCGGGCAGAGATCGCAGTCATCCGATATTTTCATTCAGGACTACCAAAGACTAATCAGTTATAACTATTCGAATCTCAGCACAGCACAAGCGTTGGCTCGACATCAGCCCACTTAATCCAACACAATTCTCTTTCGCGTCCTTCTCCGAATTGTCCACAGCAAATGCCTCATCTAACAGAGCCTTCTTCCCCCCAGTAATTATCAAAGTCCATCTGACAATGGCATGCACGATGTTCAATGATAATCTCACGTCCAGAGGCCAAACGGAGGCTATAGCTATTCAATATTGCGTGGAGGCATTTCCAATTCATTATCCGACAGTGCCTTAGCCCGAAGCGAGCACTCTCTCGACTCGCTCCTTGTAAATGTTCCACACTTCCCTATACTGAGGCACTTTCTGGAATTCCATTATCACCTCCCACACCAATGGGGTGGGCTTGCGACGTCATCGCCTAACGTAGGTGGTGTGCATAATAACCGTAGAGCTCGATTATCGCGATGGCTCTCCCCCAATCCTCGTCGCTAACATTGTACTGGTACGGCGAATGAAATTGGCACAGCCTAGTCTTCGGAATCATCAGTGTTAGTCCGCGGCGTACGCCACATCTTGCCGGGGATCATATGTATATGTGGCTGCATCATTTTCCACGATCGTGACGATTGGGGCCATGAGGATCGACGTAACATATTTCGCCAACAGAGGCCATGACGTAGGATAGGCACCGATTGTCTGCATTCCTGTCAAGTGACTGTTTGACGTTTTCCTGGCCCTGCTCCAGCCAGTAGGGCAGTGCGCGACCAATAGTCTCAGATGGTTTCCCAGAAGCTCTCGTCACAAACACCGTGCACAATGTCCCCGTTGAGGAGCTCTTTGGGCCAGGTTTGGCTGGACATGATGAATTTGTTGGTCTGTTATTCTTGGAATTACCTAAATTTCTTCCGCAGATTGAGGTCTCCGCAGGGGTTTATGACCGCAGTAGTCGGATCCCACCCCCAATTGAGGTTGCAGGATTGTTCAGCAGTCATGTACTGTTAATTGCCAACTACCCCATCCGCATTGCCAATGTGGGTGATCGCTTCAAAGCTCGTTGATTTCTGCAACTCCCTTAACCGGAAGATCTGAAGGAGGATGCTGGGTGGTTGAGCTCTCCGAAGGGATAATAAGTGAGGCCTCCCTATGGTGGACATAGTGCGGGAGAGAGAAAGGTTTCTAGGATGCATAACCGATGTGTGGCCCTTGTCTTTTGGCATTGGATCTAGACTAAGTCTTAAGAGCTTGATAACATATGGCTAGTCGGGGCACTGCATGTATCTCACATTGAATCAAAGACCCTAGTTATTTGGCCTTTAACAGGTTGAAACCTATGACGGCCGAGATAGTAGATGGATTTACTCCGAAGGTTACAGTCTCCATGCTTGTCGTATTTCCAAATGTGACAACCAGAGTGGCCGAATTCCGGTGGCAAGGGGATTGATGGGCTAAGCGCAGTCTGCGGTGCTCGAAATACCATCGTCTGGTTTCAAGTTCGATGAAGCATTAGCGCTGGATTTTTGTGTTAGTATCTCCCGTAATACTTAAAACTTCAGTCCGTAGCCAAGGCTGGCCCAGAACGTCGGTGGTATACGGGGGGGAAACTGGCATATTTACCTCTTGCCATACGTTCCCTTCCAGAGAACGTAATACTTTTACAATCATCGAGACTCATATCATCACCATCGTTATTGGCCCATTCTCTAGACAGACATTTCTCTAACATGGTCATAACGCACGAGTTCGGAGGATGAGCCGAGACCTCCGAAGAAATAAGATGTCATCTCCGCCAATTTCGTAAGAGACCAAAATTAGCAGGATCGGGTTCCTCGGATTCCTTGTGGGTCACAACTCCTTAGGTGATTACTAAGAAACGGCGCTAGGGTCATAGTCATCTTCGGAAATCTCCCATTGCATGTATTTTGCTTCTCGATTGATGCGCTAGACGGCAATCGCATCTGTCTACCTGTTGACCGATCATCTCTTGGACAATGCCAGCCAGCTCTACTGACATGAGTCGCAGAGGATCGCGTGAATTCAAAGCCAGGGGACTTCCGAAAAGGTCCAAGTTGACAGAGAATATTTTCATCAAGCGCGTGGCCCATTGGTTGTTGCGGAAACAGATAGGTATCATCCATATTCTTCTATTGCTGTTCCTCTCCAAAGGCCTGCCACTGACGGCGCAACACCGGGAATAGACATTTCATTCCAGCTGGTTGTTTTCCTCCTTCTCACACATCTTGGTGTACCCGCTCTACGGCCATATACGTCGAAGTTCTTCAGGCTATCTTACTGTAACCAGAGCACCGAAAAGTATGGAATTGGATATGATGACCTCTACTTTATAGCCTTCTGGATTATACTCCTCACGGGTCTAAGGGCCAGCTGTATGAAGTATATTCTTGCTCCGCTTAGCCGACGGTGGGGAGTATCAAAAGCCAAAGATGCCACTCGGTTTGCGGAGCAAGGATGGATATCCTTGTATTACAGCATGATGTGGACACTAGGCATGGTATGTTGACCTTCTGTTCCCAGATATTCAGGGATATACGGGATTGACCTGCGACAGTACCTCTATTATAAGTCACCGTATTTCCTCAACATGGAGGAGCTGTGGACCGAATGGCCTCAGAGGGAAATGGACGGCCTGGTTAAAGCATATTACCTGGGACAGTTGTCTTTCTGGATTCAGCAAGTGCTGGTGATCAACATCGAGGACCGGCGGAAAGACCATTGGCAAATGCTAACCCATCATTTCGTAACAATCAGCCTTATGGCAACCTCGTACGTCTATCACCAAACCAAGGTCGGACACTTGATTCTAGTGCTCATGGACGTAATTGATCTCTTTCTGCCAGTATGTTAGCCAAGGACCAATAACGATAAAGTGGCTGACAACGGGAAAAGCTAGCAAAATGTCTTAAATATCTAGGCTTCACCACAATCTGTGATATCCTGTTTGGGCTTTTCATTGTATCGTGGCTCTTTGCGCGCCATCTGCTATTCTTGATTACTTGTTGGAGTATCTATACTGATTTCCCCCGAATAGTCCCACCCGGGTGCTATCGGGGAACTGCAAAAGATCTTCAGGGACCGTTTCCAGTTCCAGAGAACTGGGGGTATTTGATCGAGCCTTTTTATGATCCAGCAGGAACAGTGTGTATGAACAATACCATCATGTATAGCTTTCTATCATTTCTTCTCCTGCTTCAGGTCTTGATGGTCATATGGTTCGCAATCATTGCGCGGATCGCCATACGGGTGTTGGAGGGCAGGAGAGCAGATGATCCTCGAAGCGACGGTGAACAGGACGAACTAGTGGAGAAGGAACAAGGGAATAACGAAGCACCCCAGGGGTCGGCCAAGAATATCAGCAGAAATGCGGTAAGCCAGGACAGGTGGCAACAACACGCCGGTGAACGCCAGCGGCGTGCTCTTCGCCAGCCCCCAGGTTCGGGAGGAGCCGCATAATCGGAACAGACGCAATAAGCGGATTAACGAGCCGCTCAGTGAGCCAGGGCATTGAACAGGTTGGACTCAGGTCTCTATGAATTCGACCCTTATTTAAATTATTCAATGTGCAAATACTTGACTACATATATATGTGGGTTTATACCCCAGAAGTATTTGAGCCCGTGCAGTACTAGTACTGTGATACATCTGGCGAGAATTAGATTCAAGAACAGTTGAAAGAGGAAAGGACAGAAATAAAGCCAACATTTCAATTATATTAGTTAGTCTCGAATATGTATACTCGGGCTTGGACAGGACACTCTAACCAGTGTGGTTTATGCATTGCTCGGGTCAATTACAGTGATTGCATATTCATTCTTCGGTAGATTGGTTATAGCCCGCAAAGGCCCGCTTTCCTGACGAGACCTAGCGGCACATGTCAGGACTGAGAAACAGCCGGAAGTCATATATTGTAAATGGATTGATTGACTTGGTGCGTGCCTCAACCGAACACCCTTCTGGATTCGCGTACCCGGTCGTTTGACTGGTACTAATCCAGGCAGTGAATCCGGCGCCAGGACAAGGGAACCCGATCGGGTGTATGGGTCGCCAGGTCGCCAGGCCGTACGTATTTCTGGTTCTTACCAGTAGCGGACCTGGTTAATACCAGTAATGGCTATTGGAAAAACTAAGCTGTAAAAATACATTATCTTACCAGATAGTAAACCTAGCGAGCTCATGTATTTATCGTATTTTTATCTAATTTTTATTAAAAATTCTAATATTTTTTAATATTAATTAATAAATTATAACCTGGTAAGCCTTAATTATAGATTACTGTATATAAATCAGATTTTATTAATTCTATTTTCAATATATTGAACTGGAATCTTTAATAATATTTTAATTATTTATCTTGAAAATTATTAATTATATTTAGTTATTTCTAAATTTTTCTAATAAACTTATATTTTACTAATATATTTTTTAATGTAAATGGAAGCCTTGTTCAGTATTATTAAATTTAACTAGTTATTTGTAATTATAATACTTGATATATATATATATATATATTATACAATAGACTCTTTTATTATGTGATGGCGAGCGGTGTTACTCCTGGATAAATTTACTGAGTGATATAAATTTGAAAAAGTAATACCACTGCTTTCCGAAGAAAGAGTAGATGATACAATATTACAGATATTAGAATTTTTATGCTTATTATGATATAGATACAAGCTAGTCTTTAAAGATTTTTAAGGATGAAATTATTTATGAAAATAGTGATTATAGAAAGGGTTACTACATATCATTTTTTACCGCGCGGGGAAGCTGATATTTGGGTAATAGTAAAGTCCAGTATCAGAGTTTATTATAAAACTTAAGGATAGAAAATTTATTATATAAATAGTATGAATGGAGAGTCTTAGAAGATGAATATAGTTTAGAAAGAGATGATATAGTCTGAAATTTTTAAAATATAAGCAACATATTCCATGAAATGGGAAAAACGGGAGCCTTTAGTAGGATTAAATGTAAATATTCAGATCTGGAAATGAAGAATAGGGGTGGGACCAGTATAATAGAGATATACAGGCGGGGATTAGGGAACAGGACGTTATATAGAAAGAAGGTTAAGTAATAGGAGAGTTGTACAGCTGATGAGAATATTAAATAGTATTACTGTGATTATCGCGGATTCTTATATATTCTCTCAACAAGACAGCCTTGGATATTGGAAAGTATAGTGAACTGAAATTCTCTTATCTTAGAATTTCTTCTGTTACCGCTGATGTATCCATAACCTGGTCAGGCTGTTTAACTGAGTACTAGAATTATGAACTTCCAGCTAATTGTGTCTAGTATGTTGCCTCTAAGGCTCTCATTTTAAGTGTCTTATTTTAAGACTCTCATGTTAAGCATCTCTGATATATGTACAGTATATAAATGAAGATGCGGAAATTTTGCTATTAGCAGGTGGTGAAGATTAATCCGCAGGTTTGAATGGTCTTTATTCTGGTAGGTTGAGATATATAATCCAGATCAGATAAACTAGCTGGTCTTTTAGTTTATAGATTCAATAAGATGGAGCTATTCTGATAAACCACAGGATTTTTTCTATCTAGAGTCTCAAAAGTTCTTGTAGATAAAGGAATCCTAGAAATAATACTAGATTTAAGAATGAGTAGAAGATTGAATAATAAAGATATAATATCTATATCTACTGTTCAACTTATATATGACCGCGCCGTAAACTGTCATGATTCTACGGAGTTAGTATGAAATAGGTTATTACAGGTGAGAAGGCTTCCAACTAGATGAATAGAGATGGCTCACAAATTAATCTTAAGAGGCGACGGATTTAGCCCATGGATTAACACTTATTTGTAATTAATAATCTAAGCTTCTTCTGAGGTAAGAATAATCTAATTAGTTTATTATTAACTACTACCATCCAAAGTTTACATGCATGCTTGGGCCATCCGACTGTTAAAAATGGGTTGAAACCCTCTATTTATATCCAGATTTGGTGTTCACCCCATGTATATTAATGTCTTTTAGATAATTTATCATCCAGCTCAAGGTTTATTAGTCTGTTTTAGATTATTATTTTCTTATTTAATTGTTCTTATCTCGCCATGGCTCCCAGAGTTGTTATTACTTTTGTATGTTAAATCCCATTTTTATAGCTAATACTGTTCCTAATAATGTTGTTGGACAGTACTCCATGTACAGCTATATTAAAAGATTGGTTTAAGTAGAATTGAAGGAAATCTAAGCTGCTGGTAGTCATACTGATCTTTATTAATAAGCATTCTAAGTCATGCTTTGTTATATCTCTAAGTAGAAAGCTAAAGTAAATAATTAAGAATCTAAGAGATGCTCTCTGTTGAGGTCCTGGCGAAGATGCACACTTCCCCCAAATCTTTGGTATCTGTAATTAAGCCGGAGTAATTAATTTAATATGAAGCTGTTTTCTTCAGTATTTCCACTTGCTTTGGGAACTTCCCCGTCCAATGGAAAGCTTTTTGGGATCAGACTGGTGGTATTAGGGCGTCGGACGGTTACTGGAGCAAATATCCCAGTCTGTTCGTCTCGACCGGAATCCTGGGAGGTGGCCAGGAATCTACTGTATTAACGGCTATGAGTACTCTCGCCTATTATGGCTTTATTTATATATCTCTAGATTATAAGACGATATTTCTGCTTCTTACTAATCTCAAGGAGATCCATGGTGGAAGTGTCTGGGGTATTAGTATTTTTAGTATTGGTTTTCTCTCTTCTTTCTTATTATTTTCTCGTTATTGTACGTCCAGGCCATATTTAATATGCTTCTTTGATTTAGGGGGCGGATGGCTCCCGTCAGTCTAGTAAGCTTGAGCTTTCTATTACTGAGGTCCAGGGCAAGTTATTCTATCAGCATATTTCCCGGCTTAATCTCGCTTGATTATAAGATATCTACTAGAAAGAGATGTGTATTATCAGACAGAATGGCCTATTCCAGATATTATTGGATTAGTCAAGGCTCGCATCACCTCATAGAAAACAGCGGGCTGACCGTGTCCTGTCCCAGGATGATGTTGAAGGGGGACCATATGGATTGCCTAACAAGTACATCATATGTTGATCTTTCTTTGGGCTCTCACCGCATTTTGTTCAGTATTAGTTAGAGATGGTTTCTGTATGCTTTACAAGATAGTAGATTATATTTTTAAAAATAATAGACTGTATTTTGGCTCTACAAAGTACCTGCTTAGTTTCGGGTTAAAGGAGTTGTGGTTACTTGAAGATATTATTTTCTTTTTCTTTCTGAGTATATCTCTGACGAATTATAAATGATTATTTTTAGAATTCATTATTAATTCTTATAAAGTCTCTTTTCCAGTAACTTAATAAGCTCAAATTAAAGATCTATGAAATTTGACCAGAGATAGCAAAAGAAGGCAGTACGGAAGAGCAGAGCTTCTTTTTTAAGTTATACTGTCCGACTGCTTCCATGATTTAACTTCGCAAAATTAATATCTCAATTCGGCTATTAACTTTTTCTATCCCATTTCGAAAGGAGCACTCAGTAGACAATCGAGTAAAATAAACTTAACAGCGTTGGGGGGTGTTGTTCAGCGGGCGCGGGGAATAGAGTGTAAGAGAATATATATCTGGTTGTTCACCAGCTAACTCACTCCTCAGGCCGGAGTATATAGTTGTCTTATACTTATAGTTGCCCCAGGCATAAATATATATCAATTTTAGACTCATTTGTCTCCGAGAAGTGGGCCGGCTCTAAGATATCTAGATTTACTATATTAGTATATAGAAATACTTGATCTCTCTTCCAATTCTCAGCAAGTAGAGTCACTGTAGTGAGAAATAATTTTGATTGTATCATTCCATCATTCATGGAACCCCCATTCCGTTTAATATAAGCACTAAAGAAGATAGTTATTGTTGTACAATCTCGCTGAGAGGAATACACGACCAAGCAATAAGTCAGCAAAAGCTCTTTCCAGATAGACAAAATAGGCTTACCCCTCCAGTTGACTGCCCGTTTGCGCAACAACGCTACTGTATGATCTAAGCTTTGAGGGTTAGACACCATGCATTGCAACATGCAGTTATTTCTCAATGGACCTCACCGGCAGGTAGGAAAAAGCCCGTACTTCCCCGTCTATTTTAAATACACCGCGTGGTCGCCTCCATGTTGTGGACTCGCCCGCAAATACTCCCTCTCCCCGATACATTTGGCAGCCACTTCGTTCCATGTTATCTCGAGAGGCCCCGAGTAGTGTGAGGCCTAGATGTCATCAGTGGATGACGATCAATTGGAGACAGGCGCGTACCAGTTGCTCTCGTGATAGAGGCCATTGGCGGTTAGAATGCAAAACATGATTTGGCCATGGTGTTTTAAGTCGTATCATAGAGCCATCGGCATCACCTTCCCGACAATATTCGAAGGCTGGTGAAGTGGAAGCGGACAGTGACAAACAATGCTCCAACGCGATCGCTCTGTCTGCTTTGCTTAACATTACTGATGACATATCCCGCACAGGAAGACCGCATCTTGGTCATGACCACCAACGCTGTCGGGCAGCTGGCTCGCGCTCCCCTACGTTCGGGGCGCGTTAATTTGAAGGTCCGCTGTGGACATGCAGACTTTGCCTAAGAAAACTTTCTCGTATCGTCCATTTAACCGCCGCTAGACACGTTTTCGGTGTTCTGGGCGCAGGGGGGCAGATTCGTCAACGTTTCTCGCCAGCCTACTCTGAGTAGACGTGAGATTATATTGTCCAATCTGCTATCCTCGCATAATGCCCCTTCATGTCGTTACCGTGCAGCAGAGGTTCAGAATTACCTCTTGCAGTACACAAGTCGTGCTTTGGAAGCAGTCAAGGTGTTTTTTACCTCGTTAGGTAAACCGCAACTGCACTTCTACTTCGATACCGATTGCGAGGAAGACTTATCTTCCTTTTATCCCCCAGGCTCACCGGATGTATTCATGTTCAACGGCCAAATCTACAGCATTTGGGTAAATGTCGCGATCTTCTCTCGGCACAGAGCGAGCAACGACAAGGCGAACAATCAACTCCTTATCCTTCTCCAACATGCTTCAAAGGATCTCAAGTCTGGGTATTGGGACAGTAATATTAAACATATAAATACCAACACACGTACCCCTGTAAAATATAAATTTATAGGATATTCGTAGTACATACTAAAACTAAATATCTTACATACATAGATAATTAGATTTTCATAAAAATACGCGTGTGTTGGCGGTTGGGAATAACTTCGAGTTTCCACATTGTGTTGCAGCCTTTAACGAGATCTTCGGATCGGCGGGGAATTGCGTTATATAGAGGCATATAATAGAAATGATTGGATAAACCTGATAAGTGGATTGGCTGCAAATAAGGTTAAATTACATCACCTGGACCCTTGAAACTGGTCTAAGAACCACGGGCTCGGACTATATTTACGAAGTAACCCCCCCACATTCCGCGCGCACCACAGCGTTCACCTGAAGAAGTTCTAGCAAAACCCTCATCTTCGATCTTCGCTCCCTTGAACGTAACTCGGTTTAACATGGCGAACGGGGCGGCAGCTAGTATTCCCCTGGCTCTTCTTTCAGCGCCGGCCGACCGGCGGCGACATGGGCACCCTACCGATGGCCGTGATTCAGAGGCTCATGTGACCGGTTTGATATAGCTCCTTGAGTAAACCTGCGATGTCGAATGGCTCTTACTGATGGTTATTTTTCCTAGATGATGGCCGCGTGGGAATCGCGGTCGACGAAGACGATCCGCAAGTAGCCAGTCTGCTACAGGCGCTCCAGCGCCGGCCAATCCCGCATCCTTCAGAGATCGAGAAGGAGGCTTATTTTCCACTCCGGCTTAATGTGGTGATACATGTTGTTGGATCGCGTGGTGACGTCCAACCATTCGTTGCACTGGGCCGGGCTCTGCAAAAACAGGGACATCGCGTGAGACTGGCGACTCATTTCGTATTCCGAGACTTTGTGAAAGATAATGGGCTGGAGTTCTTCAATATCGGGGGTGACCCGGCGGAATTAATGTCGTACATGGTCAAGAACCCGAAGCTGATCCCCAAGATGGAGACTCTTGTTAAAGGGACTGTCGGGAGACGTCGCGGAGAGATTCGAAAAATGATTGGAGGATGTTGGCGGTCTTGCTTCGAAAGCGGCGAAGGCATCGACACGACTGGTAACGAGGCCATAACTGCGCTGCCATTCGTGGCTGACGCAATTATTGCAAATCCGCCAAGTTTTGCACACTTCCATTGTGCCCAGAAAATGGGAGTACCTCTGCATTTGATGTTTACGTAGGTTCCTGTCTATGAAATCTAGGCAAACGGTTATTGATGTTCCTAGGATGCCATGGTCTCCTACTCAGGCCTTTCCACATCCCCTGGCTAATATTCTTACCCACGATACAAGACCTTCCGTTGCCAACTTCATTTCTTATATTCTTACAGAGATGCTCATCTGGCAAGGGGTGGGTGACTTGATTAATGAGTTCCGTCGCTTTGAGCTGGGCTTGGATCAGCTGGAAGGCACAGGCGCGCCGAGCTTGCTCCACCGGCTTCGTGTCCCCTTCACATATCTCTGGTCCGCACTCTACCTTGATTACTGCCACGTAGATATATTCATCACTTGTCAATAGGTCCCCTTCGCTGCTTCCCAAGCCAGATGACTGGCCCGATCACATCAATGTAACCGGCTTCCAATTTCTTCCCTCGAATCGCGACTATACTCCTCCACAGGATCTAGCCGATTTCCTTGAGACGGGGGCCCCGCCACTGTACATTGGATTTGGTTCCATTGTAGTCGATGATCCAGATGCTCTTACGCAAACTATCCTTGAGGCGGTCGAAATAACAGGCCAACGGGCCATCATTTCAAAAGGATGGGGTGGACTTGGAGCCGACGAAATTAACCAACGTGATGTATTCTTCTTAGGTAACTGCCCGCATGACTGGTTATTCCAGAGAGTCTCCTGTGTGGTTCATCATGGTGGTGCTGGAACAACAGCTACTGGAGTTGCCTTGGGACGACCGACAATCATTGTCCCGTTTTTCGGCGACCAGCCCTTTTGGGGGTCTTTGGTGGCACAGAACGGCGCCGGGCCCCCGCCTATTCCAATACGAAACCTGACTGCAGACCGTTTGGCCAGCGCAATCCATTTCTGTCTGAAGCCTGACACTGCCGAAAAGGCACAGAAGCTGGGTGAGAATATTCGAGCAGAGGACGGTGCTCGCAGTGCAGTAGACAACTTTCACCAGCAGCTGGATACTCAACGTCTTCAATGTGCGCTGTGCCCTGATCGTCCAGCCGTGTGGCGCATCAAGAGCACAAGAATACTGCTTAGTGCATTTGCGGCCACTGTTTTAGTCGTGGAGAAGAAACTCAACCCAAAAGATGTAAAACTGTGGGCAACTCACCTCGGAGCTTTATCGCGCGTCTTAGCTAAATTAGGAAAACAGATACTATTCAAAACGCTATAACACAAACTATGGCTGCCTAGGGACCGAGGCTTTCGCAGGAGCGATGAGCAATTTCCTTACCGGGATCGTCGAAATGCCGCTAAATGCGGTGCAAAATATCCGACAGCCGCCTTCGGACAGATTTGCTGCTCATTATAACCTACCTTCCCATGAGGCATACCAGACTATGCAGTCACCAGGGTCGCCGAGAGTCTTTGGCCAGGGAGAAGGAACACTAAACAACGATGCAAGGGTAACACCAGGCTTAACAGCAGCGACAACGATTAAGTCTCAGGCGGATGCACCGTCCATGGCGACTAAAAGGGGTCCATTGCAGAAATTAGCGGCCAGCGCAAGCTATATGGGTCGTCGGACGCTAAATTGGATGGTAGAAGTACCCATGGGGCTTACTGTGATGTTGTCCCAGGGCTTCCATAATTTACCGCTCATGTATCATGATCGTGCTGTGAGGGATACACCGGAAATCACTGGCGTGAAATCTGGTTTCGTAGCGGCTGGAAAGGTACAACGATCCTGGTCCTTCAGAACATGGTAAAGCACTAACAAAACCAGGAATTTGCCTACGGCATATATGATGGAGTTACTGGACTAGTGACTCAGCCCAGCCAGGGCTGGAATGACGGGGGATTTGGTGGAATGACTAAAGGAATAGGTAAAGGAGTGGGAGGCGTACTTCTCAAACCTCAAGCCGGTGAGTGGAGCCGGTGAGCGTTGCTGCATACGGTATTCCAACAGAATCTTGACTAACTGAATCATGAAATAAATACAGGATTATGGGGATTGCTCGGTTATCCCTTAGAAGGAATTCATCGAGAAATTGAGCAGTCATACGGTGCTAATCGAGTGGACTACGTGGTAGAGTCGCGAATCAGGCAAGGGCTTATGGAATTGGATACCGCTTCGCAAGAGGAGAGGGCAGCTGTGTTGGATAACTGGAGCAGGCGTGAGACAGAAGGTCGGCATTAAGTAGGAAAAGCAGCCTCAATGAGCCCGGCACACATCAATCGCTGTAAATTGCACCTAAGTCCTTGGCCTAATGTAAGGGGAATTATATGGAGAAATTCCGGTGCAACAAGATAACGTATGTAGAAGACTGGAAACATGCGTCAAGGCTATGGCGATCTATGCTTTTGCACTTTGTCTGGAGCTCTCCACTAACTAAAGGGTTTTTGAGCAAGCGTTAACTTGAGGATCTTGGAGTTGGCCATGGTGCATGCACAGTCTATATTATCCTCTCAATAGTTTAATGCAATGTTTATGTTTGAGGACATCATACCGGACCTGTGTGGATGCGCTTCCGTTCTGCCCCAGGAATCCAAGTTGATATGCCCGGATGGCTCTCGAAAGCTGAACTTCTGCCAGAAGACCCGGATATCCCTATACAGTCCAATATCATAGCTACGCCTCGCATGCCTATGTGACCTTATATTACTAATCCTAGATTCTAAAATAGGCAACAGGCTATGGAGGTAAGACTTGATAAGTTGTCTTGGGTAACCCATAAGTCATAGGCAGGCCCAAAGATAAAAGTTCAAAACCCGACCAGCCGCTTAGAAAGGTCTAGTCATGACGTCACATTAATTCAGTTTTGTGGTTATGTAAACAGCTGCGTTTGCCGATAACTCCCGCGGCAAAGTGAAGGAGGTTAGTATATGCTTCCTGCTAGTGCCAGGTCAAAAGAAGATCAAATACTAGCGGCATCCCGATGGACACAATCAGTGACTCCGCGTTTGGCAAGGTGGTTCGTTTTTTGACGAAGTCCCGACTGCTTCCGTACTCCGAAGAGAAAGTTCACGATATTTGTCATCAGTATGCAAGAGAGCAGCCGGAAGCCAGAGATGAAAAGACGCCACTGTCACCAGTGGGAGGTGCGGAAGAAGACGAGACCTGGGGGTTATACAGTGTCATGTCACGGGCCTCCCGAGTGACTCGGCGGAACCCTTGGCAATCAACTCTCGATGGGAGGTCGAGTGTCATTCGACCTGGAGCAATGTCCGGGGAGGACGTTATTGTTGTGGACTGGCGAGGGCCAAGTGATAGTGAGGTATGTCTCCTCCCGCAGGCGAAGACTGTGATATTACTCCTGTCGGAAACAAAAAGCTAATAGGGAGCACCTAGAATCCTCAAAACTGGAGTACCGCGAAGAAATTCCTCGTTAGTTGTGAGATATGGCTGCTCACATTTGCGATCTATATCGGTTCTGCCATCTACACCCCAGGCATCCCTGGCGTTTCGGAGCAGTTTGGGGTGAGTAACGTGGCAGCTGTCCTTGGTCTTACTCTTTTTGTTCTTGGGTATGGCCTTGGTATGTACCTCCCGTCCTCCTAGACCCCTGAAGGGCAACAACTAACAGTATATTAGGCCTAATGGTATGGTCGCCCCTGTCAGAGCTGCCTAATATTGGTCGAAGCCCGATCTATATCCTCACACTGGTTGTCTTTGTCTTCTTCCAGTTTGCTATTATCTATGCTAAGAATTTTGGAATGCTTCTTGTCTTTCGCTTTCTCACGGGCTTTATTGGCTCCCCTTTTCTTGCAACTGGAGCTGTATCTATGAGTGATATCTGGAAATCCCAAGCCCGTGATTATATGATTGGCATCTGGGGCTGCTTTGCCGTTGCAGCCCCTGTTAACGGATGGATCTGGACAATCTGGCAGTTGCTTTGGGTCTCGGCATTTACTCTTGTTATATAGTTCTTTCTCCTGCCTGAGACCTACGACCCTAACATTCTATGTCGACGGGCACGGCGGATCAGAAAGATCACTGGCAACCCCAATTACATGTCTGAGTCCGAGATAGAGCTCATGCAACTAAATCCAAAGGTCAGGACGGTTGAAAATCTCCTCGCTAGCCTCGATTAATAATTACATCATAGGTGGTTCTATTCGAGGCACTTGTTAGACCCTTCGAATTATGCTTCTTCGAGCCCGTCGTGTTCCTCATGAACCTGTACATTTCTATTATATACGGGATTCTGTATATCTGGTTTGAGGCTTTCCCCATTGTGTTTGGCGAACTTCACGGCTTCAATCCCGGCGAAGTCGGACTAGCCTTTCTAGGAATCCTGGTATCCAGCTGTTGCATTGCGATTCCTGCATACTTCTACTGGAAATGGAAGTACCAATCCAAATACTATATCGGAAACTGGAATATTAAGCTAGAATACCAGCTGCCGCCTGCCTGTGTTGGGGCTATTTTACTGCTTATCTCCATTTTCTGGTTTGGCTGGACAGATAACTTTGCTTCTGTCTACTGGATTATCTCTACTATAGTCTCTATGCTCTTTGCTATCAGTGGCTGTTTTATTTTCAACAGTATCTTTATCTACCTGGCATATGTATATCTAAAATATGCTGTCTCTTCCCTGGTTGGAAATAACTTCATATGATCTTCGTTCGGGACTGGCTTCCCGCTGTTCGCAACAGCTATATTCCATAATCTCGGTGTGGGCTGGGCATGCATCCTCTTAGGCTGCTTGTATATGCTCTTCATTCCCTATCCGTTTGTCTTGTACATCTTTGGAAAGCGTGTCAGGATGGCAAGTATGTATGCTCGTCATGATATTTAACGCCCGCCAATCCAGGAGGAACTCACCGTTTAGATATAGCGGGATATACAATCGGAGAGAATATTTTCAGTTCATGGTTATATATTCTGCGACATGCTCTTAGCGTTGGACTCCCTTGAAAATACTAGACAGGCTCGGCGCATGTACACCATGTGTAAATATATTATTACATATACGGCGATGGCGACTCTAGCTACCGGACAGGTGGTGATAAGTCGGCAGACCATGCGTTAATCTGTCGGTTGTCTACTCTTCCCTCACCGAGTAATAGTAACCAGGCGAGAGAGAGCTGTTGATGTACCTCGGAGTTTAGTCGGTCCCGGGGAATCGCGGAATCGCCGGCCCATGCTGCTCTACGTTTCATGGTCCCTAGAAATGTACCACTCGTGCTGACTTGAAGATTCTCTAACCACTAACTTAGGGGAAAGTAAGTGGCCACAACTGCCAGGGCTCTCCCTTGCGCCAAGGGGTGGGTGGTTGTTTCCTTTTCTGCAAATGTGAAATAAAAGGTTTTGGAAATCTGCAGCGGGCCATAAGGGGGCTTTGCGTAGTGTGCAGGACTTCGCGCACTTCCATGTCTGGTACACTTGCCACGCCGGTCGCCCTCAGTCAGCCATCCATCCTTTCCGAGCAATCACGGTACAGTTGGAACTAACAAGGAAGTTCCTACGAATATCATTTATCGGGAAGGTTTAGTAAATATTTCGCGCACTAGGCAATGATTATGATTACGTGTCATTGTAGAACAGGTCTGCAGAGCACTTTTTGCCATCTTACGCAAGGGCGCTGTTGTTCACGCTGTTTACCAGTTGTCTATCTACAAAGTGGAGGTGACCATCTTAAAGGAGTAGGTCCCACTCCATTGATTGATACTTAGACAGACTACTCTTTGCCCCTTCGGTGACCTCTCGCTTGCCTTCAGTCCAAGCATTTGTATTTCCATTCTCAAGAGACCAACATGTAATTCACATGCCCTGCCATGGGTGTCGTTTCCAAGACAATGAATACGGGACACTATGACCAATCAATTCCAGCAAATACTTCCTTCATACCGACTAAGCCAGTGATCTTCAGATCTCTGCTCGTAAGAACCTGCTCATCGGGGGATGTCCAGCTCTTCTCGCCGGCTACTTCCCAGTACTTGAACATGAGGCCAACCTCAAGTCCCCACTTAGGCCACAGCTTATCATAATGCTCTAAGGAAACCGCCACATACTCCGCAGGCTTGCCCGATACCTCTGACCATAGCTTCAGCACATCCGCGGCTGTCCTGGTCTCAGTAGCGCCTAGGACTACCTTGCCTGGAAGGGTGAGTTGAGGCTGGTCCAGGATCGCAAGAGCGTAAATACCAGTATTAACCCTGGTGTCGCCCATGGTGGTGATGGGCGTATTTTCAGAGACCGGGAAGACCTGGAGGTGCTTGCCGGAGGATTTCTGCATCCAGAGTCAGTAGGTCAAAAACATTGCGGAATCCTATCGACACCAACCACAAAATTGGGGACTATCATCGGCATGACAATGTTGGAAGCGTAATAAGTAACCCACAAGAAAGTGGTCTTGGCCAGTAGATCTCGGTCTTGTTTAATAAATTGGTCGACCTTGAATTTACTCTCAAAGTGGGGCACGGAACATGTGCCGCCTGAGATCTTCCTGTTGTCAGGAAGTGTACTCCAAATGTAGTGCTTGAGAGTAGGAGTTTTGGCGGCTGCTTTAGCAAGGTTGATGCCCTGCGAGGCCTCGATTTCAATTGACTCTTCGGCATTGTGCTGTGCGAAGGCGGCAAAGAAATCGGTAACAGCAAAGATTGCATAGGATCCCTTTCAGAGCGTCAGTGGAGATTTTTCGTAATTCGAATGTTTGCCTGGCGCACCTTGAATGCCTTTACCAGGGACGCTTCATCATTCGCGTCCGCAGATACCATCTCAACTCCTTGAGCAGTAAGTGCTTTGGCTGCCTCGCTGTTGATGTTGCGAGTAATACCACGGACCTTGTAATTACCCGACTTCAAAGCGGAGGCAACAACTGAGCCACCTTGTGCTCCGGTGGCGCCAACGACAGTGATAAGCTTGGACATATTGGCGTTTGAGTGTCGGCTAGGAATGATAGACGAGAATGTAGTAATTGAAGGCGGTTCTGTTGCGTAGTAGATATTGTGCGGAATATTGGGAAGGTGTGTCGATGTCGATATATATACCCATGGAGAGTAGAAATGACGACCTTAGCATGGGCGCTGTTGTTCACGCTGTTTACCAGGTGTCTATCTACAAAGTAAATGCGTCCAGCTTGATGGAGTAGGTCCCACCGAATTGATTGATGCTCGCCCCACTTACCAAGTGGGTTCGGACACGGAGTCAACTAGAAGGGCCTCCAATGAGTGTAATCAGAAAAGCCCCACTTTATGCAAGTGGACTTGGTTTATGCTCGCCCCATTACCAACTGGGTTCGGTCGGTTTCCCCGGAAAAGATAGACCCCGAACGGAAGAGGAAAATGCAATTCCAAACCACTGTGGAACCCACACACCCTTCCTATTGGTTATCTGCTTGCATTTATGCTTATGGATATCGGGTCCGCAAAACAGCGAACGAAAGGACTGCCGACCCAAATTACGAGCAAGGCCAGAACCGAGCAAACAGTCAACACAGGTGCAAAAGAAAACAAATCGGCACACGGCGGACGAGAATAGTGGAGGAAAGATAAAGGAAGAAAGCCGAGGCTCGGCTTCTGGTTCACGCCAATCAGCAAGATACACGTTGCGGATAACAAGGAAATAAGTCTAAAGGAGATACTACGATTAGAGGACAGGAACAATTCGGCCCAGAGAAGCTCAGAGTAGACTGAATAGGAACAAGTGTTCCGTACTATTTCTCTGAGGGTGGCTCGATGATCCATCTAATCCATCCAGACAAATCCTAACCTTGGCACGGCGTGAGGAACGTATGGGACCTTGGGGCGGTCCGAGGCGGTCCGAGGAAATGCATAATGCCTAGATCCTTGGTACTGAGAGGGAATACCGGGTGCAGGATCTGATCGCCCCGAAGTTGTTCATCTCGACCTGTCTCGAGCGCTCTAATTTTCCCCGTCTTATTTCTTATAGTCTATCCCATTCGCTTGGCTGCTGACACCGCCAAAGTGGTGAACGACAGGCCCAAGGAGTGCCAACAGAGTCTCATCTCACGTGGAGAATGCGTCCCGTTATTCACCCATTCCGGCCTCTATCGTCTCCCCCTAACTGTGGAAAAAAGGGGTCCCCATGATAACAGGATGTATGTCATTCGACGTATTCGGGGAGAGGAATGGGATTGGGAGGATTCCATCATTGGTCTCGCTACAACAACCTACCGCTCCAGTAGCAACTGCATGGTGGAAGATTTCCGCGCTTACATGACCCTCGGCAAGCTGGCTTTCTTCACATCAATTTCACCAAGTGCGCTTTCTCCCTTCACGGCTCCTTGCTGTGAGTTGACGGGCCAGCGTGCTACCTAAGCTGGTGCCTACCACATCGTTATGCTCATATCCTGGGCGTCGCCCTAGGAAACACCATCGCCCGTTATTCTACCGTGGTCTCTCATCAAATCTCTTTAGCTGTGTTGACGATGTCCTTGTTGACAGAATATCTGGTGGTATCCGTACACTATACAAGCGTGCCAACCTAAGGCCGGCGTCTCCTCTATAGCCATTCTAGGCACAGGCGGCCTTCCACTTAGGCCGGCTTTACCAACCAAGCCCTGGGTGGCGCTGCGTTAGAATATCCCAAGTTTGTTCAAAAAGCCAGATCTCAAATCAAACGCACATCGGAGTGAACCGCGTGTTCTGCTACCGTAATGAAAGCACACTTTAAGTATATTGGTCCACATATATAGGGATACCCAGCCTGGATATCATTTACACTAGGGATTCCAGTACTGTAAGTCATTCCGAGACTCCGAGATGCCGATGCAATGCACAAATGATCCTTCATGCATGGGTAGGTATCCGTGACCCGGATCGACGCAGGGTGCAATCAACTATATATCTAGTGATCTGCAACTATGAAGGTTAGTCTAGAAAGTAGTTCGCACTATGATTCGGATGTGTTCGGGACCGATTTGATGTAATCAGATCCCTTGTGAGCACATCACAAGTGACACGTAGTTATGCATTTTGTTACTGTTGTTTTCCGACGTTGAAGCGCGTACTGCCATTTCGGCTCACGCTGTCGAATGCAAATATTGATACACATTCCACAGCCACACGCTTATGTGCCTGTTCCCTATACCCCTGGCTTAGGGATCCCGATGGGTGCAGATCGTCAGTGGGCATGGGCAGAAGGCTAGCACCCAAGAAGCCCAGCTAAGATTAGGGGTTTTGATTCATGAGAGACATAAATTCCTAGCACTACCCAGGATGAATTGAGCACGCCGATATCTCTCATCCACGTCCTTTCCATAATGGCGTTCCCAAGTCCTCTCTTTGCCTTCTTTATGCTCCTAGGCCTTCTAGATTCCGTTCGGGCTATAGGGAATTGGTCCTGTCCTGACCTGATAACCAGCTCCGTGCCGGTTAAATTCGCGTTGATCTTAACGGAACAAAATATCTCTCCGGATGGGTTCCAAAGAAAGGGTATATTGGTGAACGGCCAATTCCCTGGCCCTATCCTTGAGGTTTGCCAAGGAGTTGAGGTTGAAGTCCAAGTGTGGAATGAACTCCCTTATCCAGTGACGGTCCATTTTCACGGTGAGACTCGCCTATAGTGGTCGCATGTTATTGAAATGTCAAGCTCTGATAACTTCATTGATATTGTGCAGGGATCGAACAGAGAGAAACTCCATGGTCCGATGGTGTTCCCGGGGTATCGCAAAAAGGGATTCAGCCAGGATTATCTTTTACATATAAATGGAGAGCTACTGATTCTGGGAGCTACTTTTATCATTCTCACGAAAGAGGCCATCTCGAGGATGGATTATATGGAGCAATCTACATCCACCCCAGGAATTCTGTGGAACGGCCGTTTGCACAGATCACCGATGATCCTAGCCAACTTGAAGCAATGCATATTGCAGAGCAGAACACAAAACCAATCATCCTGTCCGATTGGCGTCACTTGGCATCCGAGCAAGTATGGGAGGCCGAGGAAGCTACTGGACTGGATGCATATTGTGCTAACGCACTGTTAATAAATGGCAAAGGATCTGTTACTTGCTTATCGCAAGAGACAATTGACGAGTTTACCAGTGAGGACCTGAAGCCTCTTCTCAATGGATCTCATCTAACCGATATTGGGTGCGTAATATAACCGCAGGCCTCTAGGTTGTGCCTCGCTGACAGAAACACAATTAGATGTCTGCCGCCGACCATCCCAGCCGCCCAAGGTCCTTACCATCACAATTTTAGCGCCGTTCCTCAGAGCTTATTTTCGGGGTGCAACGCATCACATGGAGCAACGGAGACACTGCTTGTTGATCCCGGGCTTCAATACAGCAGCTGGGATCTCATAAATGCCGGTGGTCTTGCAACCCTCTCCTTCTCGATTGACGAGCATCCAATGTATGTTTATGCGGTTGATGGGCGATATATTGTACCCAAGCTTGTGGAGGCCGTTAAATTGATTCCTGGACGGCGATTCTCTGTCCTCGTCAAGCTTGACAAGCCTCCCCGTGACTATACAGTGCGGTCGAACATAGTTGGAAATCAAATTCTGAATACCACGGCAATAATGTCCTATGATGCTGCTGTACGGTTCCAGAACGACCCATCTACCCCTTACATCGACATCACCGGTCGCAACGCCACACCTGATGCAGTACTCCTGGACGAAACACAAGTCGTCCCCTTTCCCGTGGAGGTACCAGCACAAACAGCAGATCAGACTTTTGTTCTGCACATTGATCGGTTTAATTCCTCTTACCAATGGACCCTCGGCAACGGCAGCTTCCCCCTCTCCCTGGAAGAAGCAGCACCTCTTCTCTTCTACCCGGACTCCGAGGTTGCGCATAGTGACCTGACCATCCGCACCACGAATGGCAGTTGGGTCGACCTGATCTTCTACGTGAGGTCGGCGCCCCAACCTGAACATCCAATACATAAACACTCAAATAAGTTTTTCTACATTGGATCCGGTCAGGGTGAGTGGAAATACCCCTCTGTCGCTGAGGCAATGCGCGATATTCCTCATAATTTCAATCTCCACAATCCCCCACTCTTTGATACTATAGCCACACCCGCCGCTATGTCCGATCCGGTATGGACAGCTGTACGGTATCACGTTGTGAATCCGGGGGCATTTGTGGTCCATTGTCATATCCAAGTCCATATCAATGGCGGCATGAGTTTGGCAGTTCTGGATGGCATAGATGCTTGGCCACAAATACCTGACGAATACCAGATCACCAACTGACCCTTAGGGGTCTGTAGAAGTGATGGATGCTTCGAACTCCCGACCATACGGGCTACAAGGACTCAAAACCCGCTCAAGCCAGCAGGTGTTAAATGTGGAACGGTTCATGTCGGAGTTACCCCACGCATATCTTGAGTTGTATTCAGCCCTTAGTTGATCGATTGATTGATTAAATTATTGACGCTTTCCCAGCCGCCCCCAGATAAGTATGCAGCCAAGATCCTTGTCAACCGCCAGTCCTAGTTTTACGTGCGTAGGAAAGGGGTTCTATTTAAATTAATAATAACATATACCTCGAATATTTGTAGACTTTCCCACAATGGCGGATAAGAAATTTGGTCTGCCGGCAGTAGAATGGGATCCGTGGTATATCATACACGCATTTGCCAAGCTCCAGCCTCCAGAACGTGGGGGTAAATACGGGCTACGTTTTGCAAGATACAGTGGGATTATGAAAGGTTTTTGAATACGCAAATATCCTGATTGGTGCAGGATATGAGCGCAACCACGTGAATATATGTAGAGGAGGCCATACATGTTGATATTGCTCCGTTCGATTTACACATCCCGAACTGGTAGCTCAGAGAGTACCCTCTATATAAGATAAATCCACCTCTTCGTACCACATCGCTTGCGTGAAGCTCAAGGCGCTTACTTGTTAAGAAATGAACCCCGGCTTTGGCCCTCCCACGCTGAGGCCTACTCGTGGCTGTTCGGCAGAGAGACAGTCATCGAAAACCTATGTCTGCGGAGAGTCAAGTCCGAGCATCAAGCATTCTCAGACTCGTTGGCAGCGTTGCTGGGCGTGGGTGGCCCACTTCCTGGCGTTGTATTTTCTTGCACGCCTTTTTTTGGGTCGTCGATATTGTCGGGATAGATACTTTGTGGAGACTAAGCAACCCATGGGCAAGCCAAAAGACATAAACCGGGACAGTAATTTGACTTTTAGCACCACTGGTTTCGTCAAACGAACCGGCCATGTGCATCACTTTGGCTCGCCAGGTGCTCTCTTCCATACAGGTAAAATCAGCCATATATTTCCAACAAGGTTACGGTATCTTTGTCCACAGTCCTCGAAAAGCTCGTCAGAGTCAGTTGTGCACTCCCATATAAAACCTTCAAGTCATCTCCAGCCCAAGTTCTTGGCTTCAAACGATGAGTATCCCGCCGACAACTGTAATAACTATCGATACACTAGTCTGAAATCTGTCTAGAGTTTATTCAACCACTAATTTAAGGTTGAGCTGAGGACCGTGCGTTCCCTGTAGTATTTATCAGCTATAGGGGGGACTATTTAACTAGCTAGTATTAATAAGAATTAATAAGAGACAATATAAATTGAATATATCTAATTATTTATTTACATTGACTAGACTCATAAAGTCTCAGCTATAGGAATAACTGGATAACTTGATATATATCATCAGGACGGCCACTGATCACGTGCCCGGCGCCACTCACAGTATTTAGGTTATTACTCCGCTATTAGTGAGCACCAGAAAAGCTGACAAATCGACGCTAGGGCAAGTTGTCCGCCGAGTGTCTCTTATGACTTCGACTTAAGCTCCTTTCACCCATCCATTGTTCAGCGGCAACAATGTCGACAGCTTCGGGAGGAGAACAATTACAGTACAGAAATCGGCCGCTGGCCTGCAACAATTGCCGATCAAGAAAGATTCGATGTAAGGGCCCGATATCCTGTAGTATTGCCAATTGATCATGCCTTGACGTCGATTGATAGGCAGTAGGGCACTCCCGTGCGCCAACTGTTTGGTAAGCTACTTTCTCTCCTTTTCGCTTCAACGCATGGATCACGTAATAACTAATAGTTATGGCATATTTCTAGGATTTTGGAAGGGAATGTAACTATCCATCTCCGAAATTTAGAATCCGCAGGAAGGAGAAGTCATCAGCAGCAGCTCCCTCAAACGAACGACGAAGGCGCCTAGAGGAACGACTCGCACGCATCGAGACAATCTTGGGAAAGGCGACTAGTGCCGTTGGTAAAGATCATGCGAACAGCATAGCCAGTCTCAGCCAAACCCTCCCAACTTGGCGACAGCAAGCCGAAACGGACAAGCCTGGACCACAAAGCCGGCTTGCTGACCACTCCGTCTATCAAGTAATAAGCTTAACTCACCCAAATGATTGCCCTGCACGAGAACTTCTCACTGTGGAAGGCCCAGCTCGGCAGGCAGGCTATAGCCCAGAGCCTCAGGAAACAAACAGCTCTCTTCCCCCATTGGCAGTTACGGAAACAGGCTGTAGCTCTCTCGAAGCTTATGTATGTGAGATTTCGCACATCTAATAAGGAACTTTGTTGGAGCAAGCTGACTCGTTATCAAGCCTAGCTGGGAATACCACGGTAGGCGGGCCGTCTCCTTGGGTGATCGAGTAACCCATTCACATTATATCTCTAGGATCGACCTCATTTCTCTCGATATGCTCCCGGCCCGGTATCGACTGGGTATCAAAAAGGACAGGAGAGCCACGTTTCAGTGAGATTGCTGGATCGCTAGTCTTGGGCATAAATCGAAAACTAAAACTGCAACGAAACATAAGCCAAGGCAGCGTGCCAGAACCTGAACCAGATATCGCCTGGAAATACAGTAAAGGTTAAGCGTTACTCTGTTCTGTCTGTTTGTGTTGGATTTTAACACTGTTGATCAAGCTTACTTCGAAAACTCTTTCGACGCTATGTTTGGAGTGATATCTCGCCCTGCATTTGAAGCACGCCTCCGGTATCATCTCGAACGAAATGGTCTGTCTGATGATGACCCGGCTTGGTATGCACTACGAAATACAGTATATGCGTTCGGTCGCAGGATTGAATTGTCCAAGGCTTCATGTGCAACAACACTTGTAGAAGCTGAGGAAAGTGCCTGGCAATTCTTCCAAAAGGCCCTATCGGTGCACACCGAACTCCTCTATCTTCCGACTGGACTTATGGCAGTCCAGGCCCTAACAGCCATGGTAAGGTCATCGTCCTTTATGATTCCATTGTAACTCAGCCCTTAGTTAAATCGCATGATCCAGAGCTATTTTGCAGAAGGCGTTGGAAGCCCATCTCTCGAGTACATGCTCTGCTCCTGCGCCATGCGGTTGGCTCAGTCGAAGGGTCTGCACCGGGGGGAGGCCAGAGCCTGGAACCTGCCAGAGCCGGAACAACAACATCGAAATCGGATTTTCTGGGCCATCTATCTCCTTGAAAAGCATATAAGTTATCGATCAGGACGTTCATCCGTTAGTACCACGTCGCAGCTTGCGTCAATCAGATGAGGAATAGCTGGTAACTTCTATAGGTTATTGACGATGAAGATATAACTTGTCAACTTCCTATCACCACACCTCCAACATGTACTGATGACCTAGGGTGCTTTAAGTATATGGTAAAACATGCGCAGATTTCATCCCGTATAACGAAGCGACTTGCAACAGGAAGTGTCTTTCGTCAGACTCCCACACAAATTCTTCAAACTGTGCATGAGTTGGATCTGGAGCTTCAAGAATGGCGAGACTCGTTGCCATCCTACTTGCATCCTGACAAGCCCATTAGCCATGACCAATTTTCTCGAAGTCTTCACCCTTATCACGCCTTATATCTCCGATACTCATATTTCGGTAGCGTTATGGCCATCCACTCCATCTTCACTCTTCCTTGGAATAACGCCATATTCGGCGACGGAAGTCTCCCTGTGCTGCATAAACAAATATCGCTAAGCTCCTACATCGTCGTCAATGCGGCAAGAAGTATAATCTTAACCCTAAATTGCGCCCAAATCGATGCCTCGACGCCGACTTGGTAAATTCTCTACTTTTCCCCCGAAGTCTGAAGACTGCGATGTGTCAGGTCAAGCTAACGGTCCCCATTTAAGGCTAGTACTTTATTTCCCCCTTGTTAGCGTAATAAATCTCTTTATTTATATCCTGAAATACCCAAGCCTTCCGACCACACAGTCCGATATTGCGCTTATTGAAGTCGCCGCTGGTCACTTCAGTCGATTGGAATACGCATCAGCCGATCTCGCGCGTCCTTTTGCCAGGGAGATCACCCATCTTGCTCGTGCCGTGGCAACGGCGGCGGAAGAAGGAAAAGAAACTATGAGAACTGCTCCGTCTCCTTCCATGCCGAGGCGGGAAGCAGATGACTCAAGTAAGAATATCCAGATCAACTCATGGTATAAAGATACGCCCGTTTCCTTACAATCTCTCAATGTCTTAGAAGGTCCCAATCCGCCCAATCTCGCCATCGGTTCAAGACGTCAGATGTTGGCCCCTAATGCCCGGCAGGTTGACAGCGAAAATATGGTCAACTTCTATTCTGATGACTGGAGTATTTCATCATTATTTCCACCACCTGCTTCTAGTCCCCCAGCTTTATCCCCTTTCAACAGCGGCAATACAGGCTCATTTCTCGATTTTGAAACGGCAGAGTCGGCCTAGCCGATGCTCTACTATGAGAAGCCAAGGCTACATCAATCTCTAGCCATATCTGACTGATACAAGCCTGCGCCTCTGAGATGGTGATTTATAAAGCTGAAGGTTGAAAGTCCACGCAGACAGCAGAGCATATACTGAGGTAGTTGACCCTGATATCAAGCGTATCATTGATCCCAAGCTGACAAAACACCAGATTAGAGTCAATGAGGGTTGAGACAGTGCTTCAGCAATACTTCAAAGGCGAATGTCAATCTTCCTCTTCTGGGTTATATTACAATTCGAAGCTCTCTTTCCTTGTGAAAGCGTTTGGAGATTGCACCGTTAGTCTGCACCTAGCTGATATATTAGAGCAAGAATTTAATCAGCTAACTAGGGTTGCAAAAGTACAACGTATATTGTACTTTGTCTCAACATTGACAGACACTGGATAAGTCTACTCCTACTATCATAGCAGTTTCGAACAAGGAAAAATCTGTTAATTAAAAAAGAGCAAGATAAATCCAGTAAAATATCAAGATATATTAACTAAACGTAAGCCATAGAATTTAGTATCTAAGACATAATATATATAATCTAGATATTAACAGATATATAGCTAGCCAGTACTGGAGCTTTAACAAAGACTTCTATTTATATCAGCTTCTTAAAATTGCCTTCTATTGTTTTTATTGTTACGTTACCAGTGCTGGATGGAAGGAAAACTAGTCAGGCTTAAAGTATTTAAACAAATCTTCTATACGGAATTAGGCTTGCAGATCTTTTTTTTTGAAAGAAGAATAATGCTTCTGGAAATCTAGTGTCTGTATTGTATAATCTAGTATGTCAGTCGGTAGGCAATACGAGGATCAAAACATTACACAGTGTTACCTTAGAGCTTTTTCCCCAAAAAACAAAGAACATAAACCAGTCGACACCTCAGTAATTGGCCACTCAACTACAAAAAGAATCATGCCATTGGTGTCTTCTAGGAAAAGCTAGTCAGTAGAACAACATTATGCTAAATCAACTTTTAAACATGAATACCCTTTTCAAAACATACACTCTATCGAACGATCTATTTACACTTCACTTCTAGCCAGCCTTGTGCGCCTGCACCCACCTCATCTTCCGCTTCTCTGTATCGTCTCCCTCGTGTAAACTCGTTAGCTTCGACCGCGCCCGAATCTTCTTCCCCATCTTGAAGAAAACAAATGGAATCAATGCCAATGCCGAGGCTGCCAGCGCTAGAACAAGTCCTGCATACTGACTCCCCACATTATGGAAAAACTGCGACGCAAATAGTGGCGACACCGCGCCCAGCGTGTTTCTCAATAACCCCTGTCCGGCGATCGCGGACGAAGAATTCTCCCCGTAGCAATCAGAGGTATAGCTGTAGGTGGACTCGAAAATGAAGAAGATGCCAACCGCTATTGGGGCCAGCGCGATGGCTGGCCCGACCCAGCTTACAAATCCGTATTGGGTGAAGCTGTAAATGAACAGGCCCACGGGAAGCCAGATGGCGCCAAACATGGCGCCGTACAGGCGGGATTCAGGGACAGGTTCGCGGTCCTCAGCATCCATAAGGGCTTTTTATTTGCGGTTTTGAAAGTAGTTGGCTGCGAAGCCTATGGTTGTGCCAAGGCATAGAGAGATATATGGGAGGCCAGCGATTCCTTCGCTCCAGCCGTGGTTCTCCTGAAAGGTGATGGGGATAACAGAGAGGAAGAGGAAGGTCACGAACCAGGCGAAGCCAATCCAAATTCCAAAGGCGAGGACGACGGGCTCGGTCACGAGCATACGGACTGCTTTGACGGAAGAACCGTGCAGTCTCTGCTTGAGGTTGGGCGCTTCGAGCTCACTTTCGCACCTGTACCGCGCATCCCCGGTGTTCTCGCGGAGTAGTTTGGCTCTTTTCTCCAGTAGAGCGCTGCCGCGCGTTTCTCGGAGGAAGATCGCGACCAGTAGGACGAGTGGGATATTCACCAACCCCTGTATCCCCTCAATCCATCTCCACCCGAGGGTCTCGTCGATGATCCCTGCGTAGATGGGGGCTGCCACAGTACCCAGGATAGCGATATATGAGAAACTGGCCATGGGTATAGCCCGCTCATCAGGCAGATACATATCGCTGAACGTGCCCCCCACCAAAATCGTCCCCACGGACCCAAAAAGACCCAGGAGCGCCCGACACACCAGGATTGTGGCAATATTTTTACCCAGGGCTAATCCAATAAACATCACAGAGAACAGAATATAAGCACCCACATAGATAACGCGTCTCCCGACCAACTCGCAAAAGGGCGCCAAAAACATCGGCGCAATAGCACATATGATATTAAACGTGAACAGGCCTAGCTGACCCAGCTCCGTCGAGACTTCCAGGTCCCTGCACATACGTGTAATTCCGGAGCTATAGGCTGTCGTAGCAAGACCAATGAACAATGTCATGAGGCAGAGCAGGGCAGAGATGAAGTGCTTTTTCGCCGGCCGCCAGTTAAACGGGTTCTCCGGGTCGTCTTCCAGAGATGTCAACACTAGCACTTCCTCTTCCCTCGCCTTGTCTAGGTATCGGGGTATTAGTGCGGTAGCAGGGAAATCGAAGTCGACTTCTTGAGGTTCGCCAAGGGAGGGTGTGTAGGGCGCTAAATTCTCTGATTCTTCGCGGAAGCGTCCGCCCACGATCCATCTCTTGCTAGCGACGGCGTCAACCAGATGACCTGTGTCCTTGCCAGACAATGATGGTGAGGTGGACATTTTAGTCTGAATCAGAGTTGGAGTGAGGATGGGGAACTTTGTAACTGGGTTGAGATATTATTGGAATGCAAATGTTCCGCTACAGAGAAAACTCGAGGAGGACAAGCATAATATACTGGAGCCATAGAAGACCATCACAAGTACCAGACCTCCCCCTCTTCAGAAGTAAGGATAGTGGAATATAGAAGTAAAAAAAAATAGTAAAGAATTACTTTGATGGCAATAATAAGTCGCAGGACTCGGTTGGTCTGGGGAGTACATGCAGCTGTATCCATTCCATGGAATAACTACCCGGATTTATCCAGGTGCTGGTAACCCACTCACGATTAGAATGGACTTCGCGAATAACTGGGAATATCTCCGCTTCAGAGCTGCCTAAAGGTGCAGTCCTAACGGACAGCCATCCTCTAAGGTTAACGTAGTTCCCATCCGAACCAGCCACGGGTCGGCCACCCAAGCAGTACCATATGCAAGACATCTTTTTATGATTGAGATATCTCAGACATTGTAATAGCTAATAATTTATAAAGGAATATACAATTATACTAGATACTGAAATATTCATTAGAATCTTTATATGATTTTCTGATCATTATCCATATGTTAGTACCTTGGAGATTTGTACACCATTTTTATTAAATTGAGTACAGTTTAAAGTGAAGGAAAAAAAAAAGTATAATATTATAATATTATTTATACAATCGCTATATTTTATCTCAGTCGACGTAATCCTGTGGTGGCTGAGACATCTCAACCTGAAAACTACTGTACGGTACTGCATGGTGGCCGACCCGGGCAGGTGGGCCGGTTCAGATGGGAACTACGTTAAATAGTTAGTCAGTGTTTGTCAGCAAATACAAAGTCTCCCTTGGAGCGTAACTATGGAGATTGACCGTCTGATATGTGATTACCCCTGTTGCCAGATTCGGTCGACAGTGGCGAAATGGCGCAAGCCGGCGTCGGGAAAGGCAACGAGAATGAAAGGTGATTGTGGCCATACTTGGAGGGGGAAGCAGAAGATGATCGGGCAAGCCGTGAGGAACTAAATAAAGTTCCGAATGCCGAGTGTCTCAACTTCAACTGGGCCAGAAGGACTCGATTAGTTCTTCATCTAGATGTTCGCTACTTTAGAGAGAAATTACAGAAGATTAATAAGCTATATATAGAAAATTTATAAGTTTATCAATTTTAGTAATCTAGAGTTATCATGGTTATGAGACTAGATTGTGATGCCGAGGGCAGAGTGCAACATAGAAGCACCTTCCTTGGTAGACTGTTTAACCAAGTCAATACTAAACCGTTCTGAGCTTGTCCCAGACCAAATCGCTCACCAGGCGAGCGCCTCCGACCGTTCACCGGTTGTCATCTAAAAGGGTGGATGGATTTGAAGTCTAATGGATAAGGTCCCACTTACCGAATGGGTTCGGAGTTCGGCCGCGAGAGGATGGCCCGAACGCACCACGGAAAGGGCATATTGCCTATACAGCGCGGATCTCAACAACTAGCAAACCCCTTCCTATTGGTTATCTACTTGCACCATAGATATCTGCTCTAATCCGCAGAAGAGCGATCGAAAGGACGGCCGACCGAGTTAACAAGCAAGGGCGGAACTCAGGAAACCGGCAAGACGACTGACTGTAAAAGAGAGCAAATCGGCGCACGCGGACGGGAATCGCGAGCCAGAGAAAAGGGGTGAAAAGGTCAACGCTCGGCTTTCGGATCATGCTGACCAGTGCAGCGGACTGTAAGCCCCACCTCATCCACAAATCCGGTCACGGCCTAGACACCGGCCAGGAGCGCGTCCAGCGTGAACAATGTTGTAGGCAAGGAGGCAATGAGGATATATTTTCCCAGAGCGAATTGGAGGAGGAGATAGCGGAGCTGGCACGCCAATTAACGTGCCGGTCCACACACCTCTCGACCAGCAACACAACAAACCCGTTCTCTGAAGAGGATAAGGAGTCATCGTTGCATCCCGGCAGTCCCTCGTTTCCGGTTAAGGATTGGATTCGATCCCTTCTGGTAGTCCAGGCAAGTGATTCAGAACGCTTCCGTCATCAGACAGCCGGTGTTGCCTTCGGGACCTTGAGTGTGTACAGATTTGGTAGTCCCACTGATTCGTCGCACAGGCCTGCCTCTCGGATCACCCGTTGTCCAGTATCTTTATAGATGTCTAAAATCCTAATAAATACTCTGCGGTCCTCTCGCTACGTGTCAGTCTCAAAGATCACGAATGGAATATTAGTACCATATAATAAACAAGTCAATATTAGACTGCTAAAACTAGGACTAATAATAGCAATCTTTATCTGTATCTGGAAAATGAAGATCATACAGTATTTTAGAAGAATAAAAGCAGAAATCTCTTTAAAGGAAAATAATTAAATAATTAAATACTAAAGAATACTGGATTTTATTATTAAAAGATAAATTATATAAAAATACCTGCAGTTGATTTATTTATTTCTTTATTTATTTATTTTCTACAGGTACAGTTCTTAGACTAGACCGTAGATTAGTAGTCGAATAAATGCTAAAATCTGAATTAATAACTAATAATTATCTAGCAGTACCTGCTATAGAGCGCAGAAGATAATAGCCGATAAATTAATATTTTATGAAAATTTTAAGTCTTAAAAATTAATAAAATAAAATCTTAATTTAAAATTATTTATTTTAAAATATTATACTCTATTCTCTACTAGCTTTGACCTTTTATACTGTGTTAGAGCTTAGCATGCAAGACAGTAGATTTGCTACAGTTATAAATAATTTCAGCAAACCATAAGTTAATATAGAGGCTGCTGATTGTGAAGAAACCAAGAACCTCTTGATAGTCAGTAACTCAGTATATAATTAGTCTGCAAAATAGCTAGGTGTCATGGGAGTTATGCCAGATTCTTGTTACCGCTTGATGAAACAAAACCTGTCCTAACAAAAGGTAGCAACGAGAGGTTTCTCATAACAGTGAACCTGACAAAGAGCAGTCTGGATTCATTGCTAACTCAAGGGATAATAAGGTTGGATGAAACATATTCCATCAGCTACAATGAGCATTATAACCGTACAGATAAAGAATCACTTAATCTTCTAATAACACCAGTACTGCAGGCAAACCTAATTCCCTTGGCCGAGCATGCAATCATCAGTCCCCCTCCTAAACAGCATCTGGACAAATACTGCATTCCCTGTACATTAGCTGAGTACAATGCTATTCTAGTAGGGAAATCTTCACAACGGGACAACAGTCAAATAATGTTCAATAATCAAAATTAGGGATAATACTGTATAATTATTTATAAGTACAGATAAGTATTCTGTACCTAAGCTTCTAAATATATAACTATTTAAAGACAGTTGTATTGAGTACAAAGAACAGAACTAGCTAAGTATATAAAAGAATATTCTTATATATCTTATTCTTTATATATTACGTTATATTATTCAGAGTGGGTTAGTAGTTGATTCTGGGATTCCTGTATACTCTAAATATATCTTTAATGGTAGATTTGATAGTAGATAATCATACAATACATGGCTGTTCCAGGCGTTGTATTAGTAATCTGTGATTATATTAAATAATATTTTGGTTTTGCCTGAGCGCTGCTCTTATCAGCGCTTTCTGCCTGGCGAGTCCGCCTTACTAGTAGGTTAACTAGCAGGGGTCCGTAACAGCTACTCTATTTATAAAAACCAGAGAAGTGAGAACTGATATTTTAGAATTAAAGAAATCTTTGAAAATTTCTGATTTTGCTATATTCAGTGACAGGAAGATTCTTGTCTTTGAGGACTAGGTGATTGTAATACAGTAGAAGCTGGAGATGAATACAGACTACTTGAGGCTAGTAGAGATCTTTTTTATAAACATTCATAATTAAAGCAATTCCATTACTACTTATATAAATTAAACTGTTAATCTAATATTCACATAATATTTATCTATAATCCTGTCTAATATTAGCTGGAATAGCTTCTGTTACTTCCATATATTTTTTATATTTAGTCTTATTATTATAATCTGCTATATTTTCTTCTGTCTAGAGACTAACAATAAGATTCTCGAGCAGATAGACGAGCTGTTTAGTAATATAATAGTACTGTCTGCAGATATGAAGAACAACAAGGAAACCCAAGTGAACATGATTGAGAATGCTCACATTGTCGCGCCCTAAGTCATACACTGTTACCTCTTGGCTGTTGACAGTCTTAGGTATCATTACTATCTTTATCAAGTATTCCACAACAATGGGAGACGCCGGGTGACCAATTATCATAAATTTCGATTGTTGAATGCATCTGCCACCGTGTCCTCACGGGTACAGTCTCAAAATTGTCTGCATTTGCGAGTCCTTCTATAGGCTTTGTCTGAAGGAAAGGTTCGAAGGCAGCGGAATAACCTTGTTGTATAGTCCACATCCCCACATGGAGCCTATAAAAGCAACACGATGGGCACGAATGCATAATTTCCTATCTAATGTTTCGTTATGTATAGATTTCAACGTCCTAGTAGCGTTACTGTAGCTTTAGCCACCAAGTCAGAATCTGCATAGGGCTGAATTCATATATGAATCCATCAAAGGGATTCAGCCCTGAGCTCCGTAAGTTTGTCCCGGGCTTCCATTATTGACATTCTCAGTGACCCTGGTTTCGGACACCCAAAACTTAGCCCTGAGGATATAGACTAAAAACACTCCCTACTATCTTCTTTATGTAGTCTTGTCTTCAACTGTCGTATGATTATAGGTCAATTTGATAGTTTCCGGCGAAATATATATTCTTCGCCTTGGGTGACATCCACGTGACTTTGAGTGTCACAGATGTTGAACATTCAGTTGTAATGGCGTAGTTTGGCCAAATATTGATGAGTCACCCCGTCTGCTGAATAGCCAGTGATATATCGGTTTGTCCTACCCCGTACTTGGCAGCATGCCATTTGACAGACCATCTAACACGGGCGGAGGGAAGCCAAGCGACCGGCGAGAGATAAACCAGACAAATAGACACCACCACACGAGCTGAGACGGTGCTCGCCATCAGATGCAGCACTAACACCGCCATTTCCAACTCCATATAATTCCTCAAACCCAGTAGGGCTGTATTACATAGAGCCAAATGCATGCCATTTAGACCAGTCTGAATTGGCCTACCGCTCGTTTTTGATTGAGCCTGACGCATCCTGGCTGAGGTTCTAGCCATCCTGCGCGTAATTGAATAAGGAGGGCGCTACCGCCACACCAGCTAGGATGCATCTATACTGTGGGGATCCTAACGATCCCACATCCACCTAGCAAGCTTATAGGTGATTCGCGTTCTGGGTCTATTGACTCAGAATTCTTGACTTTCACCGGGATAGGCGAGCGGTATCGCTTCCGGAGGATTTATATCTAAAGCGCATTTAGGAGTACATTCGAGAAACACCCATATAATTTCATTCATTAGATAAAAGATGGACGCCAACTTATCTGAGAGGTTAGGAGGAGGTTATGTGACTAGCTAGGAACTCCCACGTGGCCCGCAAGACACCGAAACGGAGTAAGGAATGGAACATACACATAAACACACAAACAAACAAACAAAGAAAGAAACAAAGGAACAAACAAGACTTGTAAGGGAGGTTCTCAACATGTGCACAATAAATTTCATATTGTTGATCTGTATATTCCTACTCGGTCTAGCAACTATTCACTTTGCTGCATATCTAACATGTCCCACACATCCTCGAGGTAGGCCGTTGTGTATCCTTCATCCAATACTTCTCTTTTCCAGGCCTCCTTTGAGACGGCGTCACCGAGAAACAACGCAATGTCCACATCACCAATGCCGCAATCCATTCCGTCATAAGGACCTTCGTCACGCGCTCCAGGTTGGACCGGGTCATGGAGCCGGATAATCGGAGACCGATGTGGGAAGTAAAGCTCACTCGCCACGAAATAATCGCCCCACCAGTCGCTATTAGGGTGAGCTACGTCCAGTTTCTCAGCAGCGTCAGGTACGGCTGCTAAAATGTCGGTCTGGAAGTGTTTGTTCGGGGAGGCGGCGGCTTCCATCCACAGCCCGTGGCGAGCATGTTTGGTCAGCCACCACAGCTTGGGGTCTTCGAACTTGAGACCGGGCTTGCTAGAGTCGTGGACGAACTGTTCCTTGAATATTTCAGGTGCAGCACGCAGCAAAGCATCCCACGTATATGTATACCCGGCGACTATGCAGGCCCGTAGACATTCTTCAAACATAGCTGGTCTCCTGTGAGCGAGCTTCTCATAAGTCGTCACATCAGCGACTTTGGGAAACCAGATGAGGTCTGGCAATAGCTTTCCAGGAGTATCGGGAGTGAGCCAAGTCAGATCATTGGACATGATGCGGCGGGCGTTGATCGCGCGCCGTATATTGATCTCATGCTTATCTTGCGGGTGCTCAGGGATCTGCGTACTCCACCATTTGGCAAAGATCGGATTATGGTATATACCATGTACAACCATGGCCCATTCATGTTGAAGCATGTGCGGTCGTCGGAGCCGTGCGTAACGATCGATTTCTCCATTGTAGGCGGCAACATGAATGAGTTTGTCCTTGTTGATGAAGGGGAGGTCTGTAGGAAGAGGGTTATACACCAATAGGAGATAATCCTCTGGTGCCTCCGGGGCCTTACTGTCATGGTCATCTATGCTCCAGTCTTCCGTAATATTGAAGTAAGGGGGATTGCGACAGAATTCATTCCATGGCGGGGGATCACTTTTGAAATCGCGCGGCCCATAGTACTTCGTTCTGGCTGTGAGGCTCGAGTAGACAGCGGTATCCCCATTTAGAAATGCAATTCGACGTGCATCAATATTGACCGTTCGTGTATAGTCGTTCATGATCGCAAACCTCACCGGCTGAGACATGATATGCTGATAGATCCGTTGACTGCCGTTGCTGCCCCTCTGCATGCTCGCGTAGCCAGCCTCTTCGGCAATATGAACCTCTGGAAGCGGATCAAGCTCCGTGTACAAGTCAGCGTAACCTGCAACCGCACAAGCCCGAGCGATATGATAAAGCATGTCCGGGTATCGCTCCACCAAAGCCCGCAAAGTCTCCTCCACCGGAACATCTGGATACCAGATACAGTAAGGCACCTCCTCCGGCGATGCCATGGTCGGAATCACACCGCTCATGATATCCCGGGCGTTTAACGCGCGTGTGAATTCTGGACTGGTTCCATGGAGCTCCCGGGAGAAGCCATAGTGATGCCGTATGCCGCGAATGGTGCAGACTCGATGAACCTCTTCGTCGAATGTCTTTGGGATTCGGATCCCCTGGATGGCAGCCTGGCAATCTTCTTCATCGTATTTCCCGACTCTTAGTCTTTCTTCTTCCTCGTCCGAAGATAGGTCGAGTAGCAGATCCATGGTCTTCAGATGATAATTAGCTACGGCGAATAAGGAGGTGTTTGGGCAAAAGGGCAAGAAGCTTGTTAGACTGGCAAATGGCGGGCATTTCCCACCCTGTAAAGAAAACCACCGATTACCGCGAACGGTACCGGCTGATCGTATCAATTGCAAGTGGGGCCGGGGCTAACCCCTTAAACCCCCGGCAGGACCAACAAGATTTGGTGATCGAACAAGTACGGACTAGGGTCCCATTTTCAGAACAGGGCGAGACGTCGGCTTACTAGTGGGAAAGTAGTATCATACAAGGTTACTTGAGACGAGAGTCACCAGTATCTCAACTACCACGACGTAGTAAGACATATCCCGTGTCCCAATCTATGGTGCATCGTTTAGCTTCGCGGAGGTCCGTCATAGTGCCTAGCATCTAGTTCGTTACTAGTAATTATCTGGTAATCGCTCTCATGACAAAGGTCATGGCAGGATTAGAACCCTGGCTTTCTCTCTACTGGTCACAAATATCGCAATGCTGTTTCCTCTCAGAAACGATTACTTAGAGGCCCTCTGCAATCACTCAGCCTTTCAATCCTCAGCTTCTCTCTGAGGATATCCTGTTTCTTGTATTCCCACTCCCGTTCCCTCAATCCGAGACCTTCTAGCCGCACGGCATGTACTGAAGTCTCATGGGAAGCAACATGGCCCTGTTATCATATCTCTGCATCTTGATCCAAGTCGCTGCACTGGCCGCAGCAGCTTCTTTCAATTCCAGTGTTCGCGTGACAGACCCCTACATTGCCACCCAATGGAACGCCTGTCCTTCAATATGCGACAGTGCCAACCCCAATGACTGGGACTTTTACTCCAACCTTCGAATACTTAAGTCGTGCAAAGAACCAATGCTCCTCAACCTGGTTGTTGGCTTTCCCAATAGCACTACGAATCTCAATGCCCGCCAGCCGCTGTATGCCTGTTCGACAACAAACAACGGACACAGCAGTGCTACCTCTAAGGCCAAAACTGCGAGTACACCACAGGCAAGTTCCTCGCGCTACTTAAAAAGAGATGTTCAGGTAGAGACCGCGTGGCGGGGAGAGGAAACAAGCCGGTATACATCCCACGCGGGGGTCGCAGCTCAACTTGCGCAGTCGCAATTGAATGCCCCATCCAGCGAAAATGCCACTATTGCCATTGGGTACTCGAACGGGGTCGTCCTTGGAGCGTTCGTTGGCTCCCAAATGCAGAAAGGTAGCGACAAGGACAGTGGCATTTTAGGACTCTTCCTAAATAAGATCCAACAGGGAGAACTGAACAAGTCCGGCGTCATGATGCAGGTCTGCGAGAGTGACCGTGCCGCAGCTTACACACTTGGTGTTGTCGCTGAAGCAAACCCAGATCCCTCGCGAGCCCTGAGCGCCGTGCGAGAGGCCCTTGCAACTTGGGATACAGGGAAATGTGCTTCTGGATACAGCGGGAGTTTTTCCTCCACGATGTCTGTGGGTGAGGTCGTGGATGAGGGCCAGAACGACAGTCCTGTCCCAGTGGTAACGGAACCAGCGTACATCGACGTGCCCATAAACATTCGCACGGAATGGGTCTGCTACATGACAAACACCGCCGAGCAACATGCACCGCCATTCGAGTCAACGACGGCGACAGTTGCAGCAAGCTTGCAAGCCGGTGCGGAATATCTCCTGCTGACTTCACCAAGTACAACCCGAGCAGCACCTTGTGCTCTTCCTTGCTTGCTGGGCAGCATGTTTGCTGCTCTGCCGGTACGCTTCCGGACTATTCTCCCCAGCCCAATGCCGATGGGACACGCGCAACGTATAACGTCCAGAACAACGATGGGTGTAGTAAAATTGTCGCTGCTAAGAGCATTACGGTTGATGATATTGAGGAGTGGAATAAGAAGTCGTGGGGGTGGACAGGATGTGATAGCATTCAAGCTGGAGGTAAGCTTAACACACCCAGCCTACATTTGTGGGACCGATCGGTGGATTGAGATATCCTTCTCAAACAGCAAACATTTGTGTCAGCAAGGGGGACCCACCAATGCCATCCACTCTGAAAAACGCTGTATGCGGTCCTCAGAAGCCTGGAACCAAGAGACCGGATAATTGGGATGATATCGAGAGTCTAAATCCTTGCCCTCTCAATGCTTGCTGTGATATCTGGGGGTAAGTACTTGTGCCTTCTTTCCATTCACTGATCTCACACTAGTGTTTCTGGATAGGCAATGCGGTACTACTGCGGAATTTTGCACAAGAGCCAGCGTACGTGTTTTACTTTGCTCCATGTTTACACTCTTCGTTGAGCGGAAAATAACAAGTCGAGCAGTCTCTTACTGACGCACCTGGAACGGCAAAGGATGGCACTAATGGATGTATCTCGAACTGCGGCACTGACATCGTTTTTGACGAGCATGGCTCCGACGACCATCCTGTACTGGTTGGATACTATGAAGCGTTTCAGAACAGTCGACCATGCTTGAACCTGGACGTAACAGCTATCAATAACACAGTTCAATGGGGTGGTCAACAAGGAAGCCATTCATCAACATTTTCGCAAGTTTGGGATCATATCCATTTTGCGTTCGCCAACATTACTATATCATTCGAGGTGGACATTTCTAGCGTCCAAGATGAGTTTGAGCAGTTCAAAAAGTTTGGATCCCCAGGAAAGAAGCCCAAGGTGTTGTCCTTTGGTGGATGGTCATTTTCCACGGCTTTGGACTCCTATGCCATTTTCCGTAAGGGCGTTACCGATGAACAGCGTTCATTATTTGCATCTAATGTCGCAAAGTTTGCTGATGATAATGACCTTGACGGACTCGACTTTGACTGGGAGTATCCAGGGGCCCCTGATATCCCTGGCATTCCCGCAGGCGATCCCGGTGATGGTGATCGATACCTCCAATTCCTGAAGGAAGTTCGGGATAAAATCTCCTCTGAAAAGACGCTGTCGATCGCAGCTCCTACCTCTTACTGGTATCTCAAGGGTTTCCCGATTGCGAATATCTCGTCCGTAGTTGACTACATCGTGTACATGACTTACGACCTGCACGGCCAGTGGGACTGGGACAATGCTTGGTCGGTTGATGGTTGTGATGGCGGTGGCTGTCTCCGGTCACACGTCAACTACACTGAGATTGTCAACTCTTTATCGATGATCACCAAGGCCGGGGTGCCCAACAGCAAGATCGTCGCAGGTCTGGCGAGCTACGGCCGGTCCTTTGGGATGGTTGACCCATCCTGCTATGGACCTGAGTGCAAGTTCAAGGGCCCGGAATCAGCGGCTATGCCTGGACAATGCACGCAGACACCAGGTTACATCGCAAATGCAGAGATCGATGACTGGCTTCAAGGTGATCAGAATATCACCACGTACTTTGACCACGTTAGCCGATCCACGATCTCGTACTCGGCAAACGGAACATGGGTGGCCTATACGGATGACAATGAGAGGAACAATAGGATTACCGAATGGTGGTATAACAGAACCGTCCTTGGAACAAGTCTCTGGGCAATTTACCTGACTGAATTCATCGCTGAACTCCCGGACGGTACAGTTCTGCCTCCAGTGACCCTACCCAACTGTGATCAAGCCTTTACCAGTCTGGACGATGTCGAAGCCTCTGCCGATTCAATCGATCCGGGATGCATGAATTTGTATCTGATCCAAGCATTGAAGAGTAATCTCTCCCCGTCGGTCTCGGCGTACCATGAGGTCATGAAAACAGACTACGACAAGAAATTCGGCTGGTATCAGGATGCGGTCAGGGAGCAATTCCCGCGGTCTCTCCAGGATTTCTTGAAGGCCAATGCCTCGAATTACTTCGAATGCACCTCTCAGGGTATGGTCCCGCGGAGCGAAGAGCCGGAAGGCAAGAATGTAAGCTCTTCGTGCCCATCCAATCCAAAGGATACAGGTTACGCAATCTTCTATTGGACAGCGAAGGACAAGGATGGGTTTCTGGAGGATCTTGAAGACACTACAGGAACCTCGCCAGATCAGCTCGTGTGGGAAATTGATGCATCCCAATGTGTAAGTAGTCCAGACCCGTCACAGCCGACCATGTGCAGCGGCAGCAGGAACATTGGCATGCCGAACCTCCCACCAGATTTCACCGTCAGTAATCCCAAGGACATCATCTCTGCTCGCCTCCCAAATATCACGATATTCGAGGAACAGTCTAGTAGGGAAATCTTCACAACGGGACAACAGTCAAATGATGTCTGATAAATTCGAAATTAGTATCATCTTATAGCCCTCTATACGCAGAGTACGGTGATATAATTTTTATTCTATTATTCAAAGATTATGTGGAGTTACAAGTATTCGAAGATAGCAATATACACTTCTGAATTTGGTTAGCATATGTAATGGAAATTCAATCGGGTTAATATATATAACGGAAATTCAAATCAAATTAGCATCCTTTTCTACAAATATTAAGTCTAATTGGATCTATTAAACATTATTAAAATAAATATTACAATAATAAGTATTACTCTAATAAATGTTACAGGAATAAATATTACAGTAAAAATAGATAATATATATTTCTATACTTAGAATTTAGAGATTTATTTTATATTAAGACTTTATATCTTATTTCTTAAATAAAAAACAAAATCTATATCTTCGGAGTTATATCATAGTGTTAATATACTATAGATCCTAAGAATTCTATATTCTTTAGAAAGTTTAAATTATATATTATTATTATTTAGTATTATTTACTATACCTAAGTAATATATGTTTGGGTAATACTTTTTTTATATAAAAAACTGTAAAAATAAGATGAAAGATTAGAAAATAAAATTATATTAATATATTTTAATTTCCGCGACGCCGCCGAGCCCACGGAAGATGGAGGAAGTTAATATTACAGTAAACAGACTTATTATAGTTCTTATATTTAGTAGTATTTTTTCTATAAAAAATACAGAAATTAGTAGATAAGCTGATATTATATTTATCTGTAATATTATTCTTCTTGGTATATCTCACCCGTTTATCTCTCCGTGCAGCTGGTGAGATAGAAAGGAAGAGAGATTATAAAAGAAAGAAAAAGAAAGAGAGAGAAAAAAAAAAAATAATTTTATTATTATATTTTAATCTCCGCGATTTCTGTAGAAAATAGATAGTAGAGTAAATAATAGTAATCTTATAGTACTAGAAATTCTTTCACTGCAGATAATATATTTTATTATACTAGTATACTTTATAATCTTGTCTTTCTGTGGGGCTGCTAAGCTTATATTATAATTATTATTTTTAAATCTCTGTAATTTCTGCAGAAAATAGATAATAGAATGAGTAGTAGTAGTTCTATAATACTGGAAGCCTTTCTATTATAGAAGTTCTCTATTCTTTTAATATATTTTATTATCCTGGTATATTTTATTATCTTATCTCTCTGTGGGACTGCTAAGCTCATTATTATTATTATCTTTTAATCTCTATAATTTCTGCAGAGAATAGATAGTGGAATAAGTAGCAGTAGTTCCGCAGTATTAGAAATCCTTCTATTATAAAGACTCTCTATTTTTTTAGTATATTTTATTATTTTAATATATTTTATTATCTTACTTCTTCTTGCAGCTGCTGAGCTTGTATTATATTATTATACTTTAATCTCAGTAATTCCGCGGAGCCTATAGAAGATGGAGGCAGGCAGTATTATAATAAATAGATTTATTACAGTTTTTATATTTAATAATATTCTTTCTACAGAAAGTACAGGAGTTAATAAATAAACTGATATTATATTTATTTATAATACTGTTCTTCTTGGTATTCTCTGTACGGCTGGTGAGGTAGAAAGAAAAAGAGCTTATATAAAAAAAAAAAAAAAAAAGATAATTTTATTATTATATCTTAATTTCCATAATTATGCTGAGCTAGAAAATAATAGAACAGATAGTAGCAATTTTACGGTATTAAAAGATACTTTTTATTATTTTATCTCTCTATAAGACTGCTGAATTTATTATTATTATTATATTTTAATCCTTGTAATTCTATCTAACTAATAGATCACAGCCTCCTGTAACCAGCTACTTTCTATTAAAAGAAGATAATATATTATTAATTAAGAAATACTATAAGTTAATTATCTTAATACAGTATCTGGTTAATATTTTTTATATCTGAGTTATTATATTTCTACTAGCTAAGATAAGAATATTATCTGTCTATTATTAAAAATATATAGCTGATACTGAATAATCTTATCTAGAAAGAGTTTAAATATTAGTATAATTCTTATTTAGATTCTACAGTTTAATCTGAAGATCACTTAAATATAATATTAATATATATAATATATCTTTCCAGCTACTAAAATTGAGATTGAAGATAGATCTTATATAATTCTAGATTATTTTATTCTAATTTACTGAGTTTTTATTTTTATATATTAATTGTGCAGTCCTCGCCACTGGAAAATAAGAGAGATTATATTACTTATTTTATATAAGATATTCCAGTTCTTTTTCTTATAAAAAATATACTTTGTTAATATTATATATTATTTCTTTATATTTTAGATATTCCAGGGGTCTTAAATATTCTAAAGATTCTAGAAGATACTGAATTAGGACTATTAAGTATTATATAATTAAGTATTATTAGTAATTATACCAGCTATACTGAATTAAGACTATTAAATATTAGGGTTTTAGGGTTTAGGGTTTTAGGGTTTAGGGTTT